TAGCAGGAATGCCACGAGGTCAACGATTAAAAAAACCTGGAGATCTACAACTTTGACTCTGTCTCATTACCCTTTACAGCTTTTATCAACTTGAATCTCCGAAAAATCTTGTCTCAAGTCCCCAACCGCAAACAATATCCCTAAGCGACCAACCTGCGACAGCATCGGACATCGTGATATAAAAAGACAACGCCCCCCCGGCTTCATGCAAAACATTCTCATCCCGGCATCAGCTGAGAGTAATGAGAAGGTTCTTGGTCATATCGGTTATATGATACCGATTCCGGCTGAGCATGGACATAGTTGTGATATTAACAAGCTGAAATCTTGTAGCCTTCTAACCCTCGATGCTTCGCATTGTCATTATTCCATTATTCATAAAATGTTGGATCCACAGTGATCCGAGCATCGTAAGAGCCGTAAAATCCATAAGGCAATGGAAAAAGGAAGAAGAGGGAGAGAGAAAAAAAAATATGTAAGCAAAAAGCAAACTACCGTGAAATTCCGTTTATACGAAAGTACACAGGGGCTTCCGTGCGGCGGCCAAGCGCATAACCCCTAGTCTAGCTTCTAGCGAACTTTGGCCGAGAACTGGGGAACAAGAGAAGCTCCATACACCCATACATGCGGTTTGCCGTTCACGCCCGTTGGTACGGAGTTCGAAGAGAGCCGCGGCCCCGCGACGTGGTGACTTGCATCAACATCGGAAATTGTCTAAATTACCTATCGGGGGTCAGTTTACTCCTCTTATATTTACACCAAACACTGCCGTGCAGCGTAAGCAACGACAAAAGTGACAGGTAAGAAAAAAGAATAAAACCCTAAAAATTAAGGCTACCTGGCAGCCTGGGCAATAAACAGGTTTTCGTTATTATGACGATATCAAACCGTGACAGGGCTGTAGGGCCATCACTAATTGTAAATAGTACTTACTATGTAAATCTCGAGCCCTCACGTGTGATGGATATTGAATCTTGAAGGCTTAGACAATGCGCTTTTCCTTCCTTGTATCCGCTAGATCGCTTTGACAGCAACGACGACAATCTCAAAATCCATCAACTCGAATAGCGCAGTAATAGTGACGCTAAAGCCGATTCTTTCGTCCTCGATTTCTTGATTGGTCCATTTAACAAGGGTAGCAAGGGGTCCCTCGTCATCCCTGTGATCTTAGTCTATATCAGATGCTTTGAACCTCAAAGCACAAAACGTGACGACCCAAAATGCCTCAAGAGCCCGCCCAGTAGTTTAATGGTCGTGTGGGGCTTTCGCGGCATCAGTTCGTCCAGTCTCGTAGTCGCTTAATATCACATGCGGTCCAAGTCGGATCGTAGAGAACACACCCCACGGAACCAGTCTCGCTAAGAAGGATACCCACAAGGAAACTGTCGTCATGTTATGCGTAGAGCTAGCGTAGAGGGGTAAGAGACAGAAGTGGAAAGACATTCGCCGGAGAATATAAAAAAGAAATATACGAAGGAAACGAAGCATCGCCGCACTCCAAACCCCTTAAGCCCGATATAGAAGCTGCCTATGTCAAGACCGAACCGGTTTCTTTGCCGGGCTCTCATCGGCTCCGTGAGATAAGGGGCTATATTAGGCTATATTATTGAAATTCTTAGATCTAAGGAAGGTTTACTATAATCAGTTAGTGAGAAAAACACCGATCGACTAGTGTTGATTGAGTCTTCAGACTTGCAAGGCTGAGAAACAAAGCTACGGCAAAGCTAAGGCAAAATTGGTATAAATATGAGTTGGAGAATCTGAAGTTGGGATATGGGTGATGAAAAAGAAAAATGAGGCGTCGAAACTGTGGCTTTTCGCATCTTTCGCCCGACATCCGAGTCGATCTACCGAGCCTGGCCGCATACGCGGCCGCCGATCTTCTACTAGGGTGCTAATTTGCTGTAGTGTCGATACCGGAGCTACGCCTCTACTGTACCAACACCAATGCGGCACAAGTCCAGATCTCGGGAAATCTACGAGACTGGTGGAAGTCCCTGAAATTATCCCACGGATGAAAATATCCAGACTCGAATATTGGAGTTGGGGAAACGCCAAGACATCCTGTCAGCTTAGATGGGTGTTAAAGATGCAACACGGACACGTTCGACTCGCATTGAAGGCGTTCATTCCGGGAAATTGGATAGACAAAGTAATATAACGGCAACAATGTCAAGTAGTAAAAGGTAACATCGGTATGGTTTAGAAACCTGGTCAACCTTAGGCGATGACACCGTGTTGGACAGATGGACAGATCCGGAGGCCTTAGAAAGATTAGCGATATTCCCAGAGGCCAAGAGCTAATGCGCGGAAATCTATCTAGGTAGGTTAGAATCATGGGTGTCAAAATCGGTCCGTAAATCGATTTGAAGATTGGGGATGAAGATGTTAGGAATGAGCACGTGGGCGGTCAAGCGATTGATAGTACTATGTATTAGGTATTAGGTATTAGGCATTAGGCATAGCTATTATAACAAGGTTATAGCTATACCTAATATCGTATAGCAAGGTAGGTATGTATAATATAATCGGGTTAATAGGCAACGATTGAAGGAAGATAAAAGAATCCAGTTTCGCATGCTGTTGCCGAACGCACCTGCATAAGCCGCTGCTCAAGTGGGTTTTCAGCGGGCGGCTACTGCAACATAGTGGATGTGTTTCCGTCCAGTCGGCGTCGGAGGCCAAGAAACATAAGGAAGTAACCATGTACTTGTACGTAGTGCAGTTTAATAATCGGAGCCTTGTCCCGAATCAAAGGAATTGATGCAAGTGAAGGCATCATGGATGTTAATTTTTCTTTTTCTTATTCGTGATTTCCTTCCTCATGTTTCAACCGTGGGCAAGTGTGGGGGGAATGTTTCTCGAAGCAATTTGCCAAGAGTGAAAGCGTAGCTCCTTAGATTTCGTACCATCATGGATGTCTATGAGTAACATGTGTTTTTTTCCTTTTTTTCTCCTAAATTTTTTTTACATGTCAGATCGTTCATTATATTGAAACAGGTATGCGGGGCTAGAAGGAAACTAACATCTGACATACATAATAACATAAGGGTACTTAAAACAGCCACAATAGAAAGGCTGAGATATATGGCGAATTACCAAGGATGTGTGGCTACAGTGTGGAGGTAGGAACGACATCAATTGAGGTAAGAACATGTGGGTTCCCGTAAAAAAGTAAACTATTCCTAGAAAAGTTTAAGTATATACGCATCAATATGCATCAACCGAGATCTAGCACTTGGATTTTGTTCCGACGCGCGCTTAGACACTTATCGATCTCATTATGGATCCCCCCTCCCCCGAAATGGCCGAGCATCCTCTCCTCTCCCACCTCTTCCACCTCTTCCACCATTTTACACGATATCCACCGGATGCGTCAAAGCGCAAATTGGGTTTCGTCAAAGTCAAAGCGCTCGTCTGATCTCTCTATATTCTACCCTTATTATTATCTCCATCAAGTGAACCGAGCCGCACACTGCTCACTCTGCGCACACTGTTTCTTTTCCTAGAAACTCTCTACCGCCCTCTACCGGTGATGGGCTCTCTTTTTCGTTTGGTGCCCGACGTCAGATTTTATTAGACCACGATATAGGAGTCCACAAAATCCACAATAGCACCGCATGGCACGCCAAAAGGTTCGTGCGATGCCCTTCAATAAAAGGATCTAATAAAAGTCCGAATGAAGCCTCAATGCGGTGCGATGCGGTGCGACGCCGTGCAACCTTTTTTTTTCTACCTACCATCCAGCCAGCCTGGATGGTTCGAATCCTAACCGATTCTGACAGGTCACAGCCAAGACAGCAGTTCCTAGGACTTGACAGCTTGACTCTCGATGGCATAATACATATCATATCGTAACTTACCGCTTTACCGAAAACACATTCATGCTCGGACGTTAACCGTTAACCATTAACTCATCGTTACCATCTTTGAATTCTTAGTGGTGGCCTCGACGAATGAGTTTCCGCGGTTCGTTCGGATGCCTAAACCCGATTGGGTTTCGGACCAAACGATGCTCAACACCATCAACTCACCCAATATACACATCTACCCAAGTTTAAAAGGGGATCAATCGTGAAAATTCTGGAAATATACCCCGCCCTCCACCTAAAGCCTTTTTTCCCCAGGCATCGCGTATCAAGTGAATGGATCTTACACACCCGGGCACATTATTAACATAGTAAGCTACACCCCTAAAATTGATCTGTCGGAACCTGTTCGCCGAAGGTATATTCTGCTATGGGCTCTCTGTATGGGCTGTATGGGGTCGATGACGGCACAATTCTTACTTCGAAGACATTTCGAAGCTCGAACCGGTCGTGGTAAGCCGGAAAACCATGATATGACACCTAGCCGGATCTGCAGGGGCAGCTCTTCATTCCAGCAGCGGTGCGGCTGACCGCCACTTTTACACCGCACGGCGCACGAAGCTTGCAGATGAGACTCGAGCCCCGTCGGACCGTCGCCCACATTGGGGGAGGGGTTCGACGGGTTTCCACTCTAAATAGGGAATAGGATCAGTTCGCATGCTCCCAGTGCGCTGGTTGAGTCCACATCAGCCTGTCGTGGGGCAGTAGCGTTGGAGTGTGGGTTCCTTGGCTGCCCAGTCGGACTTCTTGACGAAATCTTCGTAGATGAATCCAGTCGTGCGGGAGGAATCGGCAATCCTGTCACGAACTGTTCGCGAACTCCGAGAGGACAGCTTCCTCACCCTGTCTCAGCCGAGGTAAAAAGGGGATATCATTACTGGCCTAAGAGGACCTCACCGTCGGCATAACTTAGCCGCTCACCTGGCGGTCTGTTTCCCGGTGGGCAGATGCTTGACGTACGCACGATGATCTTTGGCATGCACGGGCGGACGTATGTTCAACCGCAAGTTTAGGAGTAAACCTCTGGGGGCTATGGGGACTACGTGTAAGAGGACATGCTATTGATAGTCCCATCCTTATAGAACAAGCTACGTAGGGACAAGATCACCATCATCAAAGACAAAACGACACCGGAGAGGCAAGTAGAAAGACCCCGACATTGGTATATTCAATTAACGTAGCCAAGAGGTGGGTTGAGTCTACTGTAAATGCGTCGTGGGAATACCTAAACAAACAAAGAACACACCCTCCCAAGAACGACCCTTGGATCCTTCGCCCAGCAATGCAGATATCAAATCACTCCCACACACGCATACTTCTATTGGAAACTTCTTGCAACGATCCGCAAGCTCCTAGCGCCAGTTAAAAATATCCTCGATATATGTAAGTGATATATGGTAGTTGTTAGGTGATTTGCGACCTCCCCAGTAAGTATCTAGACCTAGGTTGAGTAAGTTAGATAGTAGTTATAGTAGGTAGTTTTATAGGAGTATAGTCGGCTCGCAAACTCCTGTTAAGTTTTTCTTCGTTCCAAATTGCTGCTACTGCCGCCCCCCATATGCCGCGCGATATATATATAACCCAAGAAGAAACCCGCTAACAAAGAAAAGTGAGGTTGGGGGATCACGTGTCATCCCCCAGTGAGTAGACGCCCTTTAGTATCTCCCAGCACCACAGAGAAGTTGCGTCTGTGTCTTTCAAGTCCCGTATCCAGTCGATACATAGCACGGCCGTTTCGTTAGCGTCTTGATCGAACTTGGTCCCCATAAGTGATGTCCTTATTCGCAACAAGATCGGTACTTTCTGTGTTAGGTGTAAGATTAAGAGGACACCTAGGAGATTTTGCGACCAAAAGAATAAGCATGGGATGAGTCTCTTGTGGAAGCAAGTCGGAGACATCGTGATGGGCCATTTTAACATGGCTTTCAAGCATTCCGCGACACCTTCCGCGTCGTCGTGCGTCACCTGCTCCGGATGATGTAGGGCTTTAAAAATAAACGGTCGATAGATAAGATATTTCACGTAGTAATATCGCGTCCTAAGATTTGCAGTCTGTATGTCCACAGCATAGGGGTAGGTTACTGGTGGATTGTCGAGGTCTGCGGAAAACATGAAATTCGTATGGAGATCCGGAACGGGGGGCGGATACATCGATTGGTCGTCATATAATTCCTCGGCCGGGGTCGAGAATGCACCCGGATTTTCTTCCTCCCAACGTAGATAGACAGGTAATAACCCTCTCCACTGGTCCAACTGTGATGCCATGTTCTTCATCATAGCAGCCGCCGAAGAAATTGGCGGCTCAACCGGAAGATGTGTAGGACCGAAAGCTTTGCGAGCCCAGTTAGTTGTTTCTTTTGAAGGGGCGCAAAGAAGTAAAGGGGAATAAAAGGGGTAATTAGATTTGTATCGTTTCTCCCTTTTTCTTTTCGAACTACTAGTTTCGTTCGCGTCGAGGTACTCTAGGAGCTTATAAGACTCAGAAATATGGCTTACCATTTGTTAGAGTAGTATGAAACTCCACAGAGAGTCGCCGAAGGACTATTTGAGAGGCGAAATGCTCTTGGAAGTGGGAAGCTTGGTTTCCGATGTAATCTTCTTCGGAGAATGAGCCGCTGAAGTCAGGTAATCCCACCAGTCCTTCCAGTTTATTGAGCCCAGTCTGGGGAATATTCAGCTCCATATTCAGACACCTAGAACTTGTCAGTTTGAACCTGATAGGGCTCGAATATACGTACGTTTCCATGATGGAACAGTGCCAGAAGGCTCTCCGAACAAGATCACCTCGATGAGTCGTTAGTTCTTCCGGATTACTAAAAAAATCGTCAATACCACTCTGATTAATGCTCCGATCTCATACATACCTCGTCAACAACGCTTGACACGCTAACGACGCTGACGTCGTCATGCGCCAGAATTCCTACATCAATTAGTATGCGAGGCTAGGTAATTACCCGGGAGCGGTCCTAGTTACCAAGTGATGACAGCACGTTCCGTAATATATACTAGACGCAGAAAAGCGTCAGTAGTAGTACCAGTTTTCGGCAAAGAGAACACTCACGCCGCCAGCGAAAACATTTGCACATTCTCAAGACTGCACTCAGTCAGGTTGAAACCCATCCGTTTCCTAGCCTCGTTGAAGAATAATAATCCCGGCGGCCTTTCGACGGTCCCTCCCCTAATGCCGCTGGATCGGCCTTTATGCGTCTGTGAAGATCGAATTAGCATATTTTCAGTTTACGAACACCAAAATAGTGTCCTTGATGGCACGTTAAAGCTACACGACATATTCAGGAAACCGTAGGCGAATAAAAGGCCATAAACCTTACTGTAATCGGTGCGCCTTGAATGGCACTGATAGCAACTTCGCCAAGGGCGAATATCAAGCATGCTAATGTCGAAGAGCTACTATCGTCAAAGCCTTGATTCGCAATAGTGGGCAAGATTTCGGATTGAAAGACTTGTCGGTCCAAGATCGGATATATTAAGTTAAACGTGTCAAAGTACGATTTAGTTAGCCGCTGCATCGTGTCCCAGCTCATACCCCCGGTTGGCATCCCGTCGACCGAACTCCCGGGAGCAACTTGCAGAGGAAAAGACGTTCCCTCGATACCGAGATGCGCAGATTCGTATACATTGGTTGGCAGAGACGTCACTCGGCCTTGTAAACCCAACAACATGGCAGCTCCGTCCTTTTCCAAACTCGCCAAGTCGAGGTTCGGAACCTGGCTCTCTAGTACCTGCTGCATAACGGGCCAGGAGAGCATTTTATGCGTAGCGGAGACATACTGAACGTCGCGAGGCGAGGCCGGAGAAATTGCTTGGGGCTGAAGATGAATGTTTGTAGCAGGCCAAGCGCTGGACCTACTAGCATCTAGTGTCGTCGTAGGATGATGGGATTGTATGGGGCCATAAATAGATAATGGAAGGGTGCCCCGAGAATTAAGGCTATCGACCTTCCCGTCAAGGTTCCTCAGTCCTCCTTCAAGACTCTTTAGCCGCTCTAGTATCTCGACAAGGGTCTTATCTTTCCTGCAAGATGTTAGTGTATCCGGCACGTAACTGTGCAACATAATTCGGCTCGGGATTTCCGTCGAATGCATCTGAGGATGGTACAAGTTGCACTCGGGCTATACGTACTTGGTCGGTTGAGGCTCTCGGTATTTGCATTCCAGCTAATGGGGTTAGTGAAAGACAAGGCACGGGGTAAGATGAACAATCCTTACATTCATTCGCTATTCCACACCTCGGAGTTAGTCATCAATCATCAGGCTTCTCTACCTTGCGGTTCGACGAGTCACTAGGAGCAGTACGGCCAGGGGGAGCAGACAGTAAGAGAGCTGTACAACCTCGATGTCATTCTTTTATCGGAGGCATCCCGAGAAGGCGTAAAAAAGGAAGCAGGAAACAGAAAAAAAACATCGATTACTGACCTGACAAGTAGCGCACTTTGGCCTTTCTTCGCTACATCTTTGCTTGCGTTGTCTGCAAGATTCACAAGCCTGGGGCGAAGTGTTAAAAGTGATGATGGGTGAATAGAAAAAGATGGGATAATACCTGGGCTGCTATGGCACCCCGCTCCTTTCTACTATTAGTGGGCGTCGCCGGACCACCAGAACTCGAATTAGTCGAGGTATTCTCGGGATTCATCCTTGGGGATCAATAAGGGAGCCGGAGGGTATGGAGGTGAAGATCGAGGTCGATCGAGAAAGCTTTCTATCGTCCGGGCACATGACAGACGACAGGAGAGTAGTGCTACGGTTGTGCCCAAACACGACCATCCCTAAAAAGAAGCGCGAATCCGAAAAAAAAGGGTGAGTTGGATGCAGGTTAGGCGCGGTACACTTGCCGTGTAGGGGGGGATTGACCTTCAAGGGAACGGTCGCCGGGCCGGACCGCGAAGGCAACGCGTGAACGGCAGAAGTATAAGTCTCGGATATCTACTAGGTATGGAGCCTACCTAGGTAGATAGACTAGGATGTTGGCGACGGACCGGCCTTGGACATAAATCCTGCTCTACCAACGAGTGTCATGCAATAGGGGTTTCTCAGGATGGCACGAGGGCAAAAAACCGATTGAGATTTTGTATTTTTTGGAGACTTTTGGGTTAAAGCAGCAAAAAACAGAATGTTTTGATGACTGTGGAGGGCGGTTCTCACGGAGGAAATGCCCGACTCCGCTCCTGGCCGCCTCACCAAACGAAAGGAAATACAGGGCCTCTCTTATTTAGTTTTAACGGGCGCTCGTGATTGAAAACTGCGGTCTGCAGTCTCTCCCGTTGGGCCAAGTATCAATTTACAGCACCATCAAAGTGCAGTGAAGCCCGTTGTCTAAGACCACGATATACACATGACTTCCCTTTGGGTCGTAGAATAGTGCTGTGGGATTTTGGGAATTTTGGGAATTTTTATCGTGGTTGATGCCACGATGCCGGCTAGAGATGGGGAAAAATAATTGAGTGTGGCTGCTGCACTTGCGAGGGAATCCATAAGAATACAAGAGGTAAAGTGGTAAAGTGGACAAGAGGGAAAATAAAACATCAGGGGCTGAAAAAGAAGGCTACAAGCGCCTACTAGGTAGGTAGGGAATATCAATGCTTCGATCCCGCCCAGCCATTGCGAATATGTACCTTACCATACCGTCCGTACCTTACCTCTTTCTTAACTCGACCGTTAACCTACCACGTGTGCATTCTTAATATATGAATAAATGTAGGATCCGCATTTTGCGCTCGCGACCTGCTAGGTTCTCCAGTAGCAGTTCCGCGCCGGTTCGTGATGACGGCGGCTTTTGGTTTTGGTTTTGGTTTTCATACGAACCTCGCCCTTGTGACAATGAGGGCATCTTGCGGTCTTCTCGGATGCAAGAACATTGTGTCGCCTATGTTCCCCACAAGAGTTGAATTAGATAAACAGCACCCAGTAAGAGGCCATCGTGAAGAAGACATCAGAAAAGGGTTAAGTGTCCAGCCCGGACGACAGGCTTGGCTGCCGAAAGAGAGCTAAGGTCGACGTCATGCCGCACCTTTGCCGGTGATTTATAAGATATCAGATGGGGATTGGGACGGCATAAACGGAACAAGAAACCTGATGCCTGTCAAACCTGTTCGAGGACGAGTCAGCCCCCAGGTAGGTACAGGTAGCTTTATTAGCTAGCTAGGTAGGTCTCGGACGTGACAGGAGGTTTGATTGGGGCCTCGTTATGTATGAAGGTCACAAGCAGACAAGTAAAATGTAAAAAGATACTGCACGTATGCAACACACATCTTGCGAAGTGGATCCCGGAATCAGTGTTAAAAATTCAATCGAGAAAAAAAATAGATTAAAAAGAAAAAGAATTGGGAAAAATAGAAAAAAGAGAAACTTATTGCGAAGGTAGAAAAGAGAAAGCTGGCGAAACAGAAGAGAGGGAAAAAGGTTGATTATCCATAATTCAGATGTTATCCAATTGGGTAATGAGATATACATCCCACCAGCTAATCAAATTTGAGGAAGTCATCATGGAAGCATGGATCTGATGGCAGGTAAGGTGCTAACGTGCTAAGGTACACTTGCTTCCTGGCCCATCATCCGTCCAGGCAGTACCTGCGGTAACTAAAAACCGGATAACTAAAAATCATTAGCGGGAACCTTAGGAACCTGGAAGTTAATGGATCTTCTACGCTAACGGTTCCAAGCACATGTACCTGGTAATGGATAGCCCTAGAAAAGATGTGGGGGTTGACCGGGGAAGCGCAGGTATCCCCGGTGTGCACCTCACCGAAAAAGAAAAAAAAAAAGGAAAAAAAAAAGTAAAGAACCGAATTCGGTAAAAGTCCTTGAAAGCTTGTTTCTCATATACCCCTTCGAGCTTGGAGAACAAAACCCCCCATCCTCATGCAACCTAGCTGGTATTTTTATCTAAACATTATTTTTTAGACATAGAATATGAGAATCTATGTCGAAAGAGCCGAAGACGTGAGGAATTACGTAGTCGTGACGAGGGCCGTTGGATTGGCCTAGAACCCCTGAGTTATCACTCGTAACTATTGATTCGTTTCCTGTCGGCGTAGGTCATATGCAACCAAACCCTCAGCTGAGGTTCTCTCGAATACATCATTGGAGAATGCAGACCTCGAGTAACAGATGATCTATCGATGATCTTCACCTCTTTAAGCTACCCTCGCTTGAGCCGCAGCCGAGTCCGGGCGACGACATTCCGACTACATGTCTATTTTGACTAAAGAGCCAGACCGCTTATCCCACGTGTTCTACTTCCTAACTTCAAGACCGCAGATAACCAGTTAGATGAGCGGTGTGGCCCCTCTTCATCTTTGCCGATGATTGCTTCAATAAGATAGATTCATGCTCATTATCTTACTAGTCTCATGTCTCTTCACAACCATCTCCGACCTATCTATTGCCATCCCTAGTCCCGCTTAGTCCGCAGGTCCGATCCCATGAGCACAGGATGACCCTAACACGAACAAAACAAGTCTCGGGACGAACCCGATCGACAAGAAGCCCGTTAATCTATCGACCAGGTAGTCCAACACTGATGGACCTGCAGCAAAGCACCGCTCCGAGATAGCTTCGGCAGTCTGTTGGCAAAATTCATAGCCTACAGTACGTGAGCACTCAACTCCTCTCAGTACCAATGAATATCATCGTTCTTCGATTAACTCGGGTTAGTAAAGAGACTAGACTTATACATTACCTAAGACAACATTGTGCTAATATAGACCAAGTAAGATAGTAACAAATACTCCGACCTTCAATTGACGAGCGACGACAATGTCGACGCCTAATAGTACAAGCCTATCGAACTCGATTGGACATTCTCAATTAACAGTTGGCAATTGGGGTGATAGGTGAAGTTATAGAAAAATGAGGAGTCTCAATAATACTGAAGATATAGGGTGTTCGCCGTTTCAAGTCAAAGAAATGTCCGAGACGCACTCGAGTTATGCGGGGTCTCCAAATCTATAGCGCCATCAGCCGGGCTGTTGGTACGTGGCAGAGTCGAGTATTAAAGGGGAACTTACGTGAACAGAGACAGATAAGGAGGCTTAAATCCGACTGGGTCAAAAATACGGTACCTAGCCCCATCGTGATGGAGATCATCAGAGCTGTCGTGATATTTATGAAGGTAAATTCCGACCTGCGAGTAATTGGAGAACCCAGTTACGCTACGACACGCTTACGCTTATGTGCTATTTTTGGTACTTGATGGAAAGTTATGGATTCGGATGGGTTCGGATCCGATTCATCAAAGCCCAAGCTTGAAAGTCTTCGTGAATATGTATTTCAGGCACACAGAAAGATCAAATTAACGTACAGCACCATTTCTCTCCATGGAACTAAGATGTTGTCGTTCATTAATTGGTGTTTCTATCGTCATCAGTTAAGCTTGGCTTCAGAGTCTAGAACTAGTGTGCGGCCTATCATAAAGATATAAGTGTTGTTTTCAACAGCAATCGGGGGTCAAGCCGCACCTATGATCTGTCAAAGGCTCCAGCGGGCATCTTATTTCCGTATTTTGTGGACGTATAGAAACAACATGGATTGAAATCATTTCTCCCATATTCACAGAAGTATCATGCTTTATGGGCCAAGGCGATGCAGCTGAATCGAAGATCGTTGCCCCCGGTCCCCTGGTCGAGCAGGATAGTTCTCTTGATTCCCAACTCAAGCGCCTTTGGACTGAGGAGGTCTTCATCGTCTCCTAGCTCTCCCCGGTCGATCGGACCCTTTCTCGATCCCTCAAGCTCCCAAAGTTTACCGTTCGCTTTAACTAATGCCACGAAATGGTGGCCGTGTTCTTCGATAGTTGGGGTTGTATCTCCGATCTGGACACAAGATTTGTGGGCTTCTTCAAAAGGAACACTATGATAGAGCATATCGGCACGGTCCTCCATCTTGAGAGGAATGGCAGCACGACGGATCTTATCCAGGTCGGAGTCCGGCCGAATATACTGAGCAGCGGGGCCGTTGATGGCACAGTGCAGAAACCCGATCGATCCGCAAGCATGTCCGATGGTCTGCTTGAACCAAATTACGGGTTCTTCCGGTCCATGGCCTTTGTAATCATCCTTTTCAGCGTCTTCTTCTTGGCGTTCCTTGTTCCAAGCCGGGGTAAGTGGGAAAATGACCAGCAAGGCTAAAACCGGACGAGGAATATGAGCCAACAACTCGGGCTCGTCGAGCGACCAAACATCGTAGAAGGACAACTCAGAAGATAGTCCTAACTTAAGCGCCAACTGGTTCATCACCTCCGGATTATTCTCTATCATTCAACATCAGCCACATTACCTTACTTCAATACCAATTTTGCACTAATGAGCTTAATACCTAACATCACCCATGTCTTTCGCTCCATGGTAACGATGTGGTCTTGATGGCTAAATAATCCCTGTTTTGGCAATGGACGTCTTTATCTGGGTGGTTTTCGGATCAAACGTGAATGGTATAATTGTAAGATTGGCTGAGTTTAAATATTTCCAAGGTTCAATGTTCTTACTACACTACTCCAGAAGCAATCAGTTAACGGCAGGCAGCATAGATGACGTTACTGAGCTGTACCTGGCTAAGTCGTGCTTACCCCACATTTAGCCACGTGGGGGGGTTAGTTACCGATTCCACTTACTCGGAAGCCACTAGTCTACCTAGACCGTTCCTACTCCTAACCTGGAACGTTATTTGACGTCTTCCTGCTCTCATTTATATTTATCTAAGGATTTCGAAACAATATTTAATTCTAAAGTTTATACTAATAATTCTACATATTGGCCAAACTTATTCAAGTTCAACCGTACCCATTGGGTTAGTCTATCATGTCACCATAGCTTACCAGGTATGGGTCTTTAGAACACCTTCAAATGTTCTTCCTACCTCTAGGCGGAGGTTTCCTACTATTCACGGTGAATGAGTCTATAAGAATATGTAAGATTATTGCCACGGCGATTTTGATATATCCAATAGAAACTCTGAACGCTATGTTTCCTTACAAACGACCCAACTCCACAAATTGAACGACACCGATGACTGCTTGATTATCACCGAGACAAACATACATAGGTACATACAAGTATCTGCTCCTGAAAAAAGTAAATTTCTTGCAAGCTAGGATATCCTTAGGTACTAGATACACAAGTATCCACCTATCTTATAGGGAAGAGACATCAGCCCTATATATTCTGTTCTTAACAAATTGATAAATTAGCAAGTAACTAACTCCTAAAACTAGTACACTCCCAGTATTTACATGTGTGTCATAGACGTAGAATGTTGTGCATAAAGCAAGGAAACCCTCGTGAAAATTGCCTGGATAGGCGAAAGAGCGGAAATTTCCGCGACAATAGGTCTCCATAAGCCTGTTGTGTCACCTCAACTGATATGTAACACGACATCACGGGACGGGTCTCCCCAAACTAGAGTCCTTGTCCCTATGACAGGCATTACCGTCCATACTACTAACTAGGTATGTACCAATCTAAGCACGATCTTGGTCCACACCTTTAAGTTCGATTTGTTTATGTGCTGTGGAACAGATCTGATTTGCCCTTGAAGATACTGAAATCCCGAAGAGGGGAAGATCACATCCACACAGATGTCTCAGCCCTTCAATTCGCTACATGTGATGTGCTCTATATCGTAAAGCTGACCTTGTGGCTGTCTGAAAGGTGCTTAGTTCCTTATAGCTATTGGATGGCTTCAATAGAAATAAAAGCCACAGGTCTTAAGTTGTTTCAACTTGATCAGTGTCTACTGGCCATTACGTAGTACCTTGTCATAAAGGGGGAGAATGCACGTATATGAACTGAGGTGGCTGTCGTAACAGAGCTTAAAGCAGATACATCTTACCTAGTACCTACTCTTGCTCTCAATATGTATCATCACTTTAACTGTAGGTACAGGTACCTACTAAACTTCCAACACACAAGCATAATCAACCTACAGTATTACATCGTCACATAGTATGCAATGACCACACAGAATAATGATTATGTGAAAGTTATCATTCCAAGACTTATAAGATATTGATATCTCCAAATGATCATGTTATCATATCATCATATTGTAAACTATAATCGATTCGTATACATATAAGCCAAGTCAGCGACTCGACTACTAGGTATATATCTCATAAAACTGTAATTATAGATATAGGTATAGATAGGTAGGTAATTGGAACACTGGAACAGGATCTCGAAGATGCCTCACCTCGGTGGGAACCCATAGACGCGACGTTACATGCTGTCTATCGAAGTACGTACTAAGAAAGTACTAACTCGATGTCTAGGGATTCTGCCTATCGTAAATACGAGCTAAGTAAAATAATTTTGTTTTTACTTCCCGAACCGGATCTTTTTTCGGTTTTTTTTTCTTTTTCTTATTCTTTCCTCCAGTTAAGGCCTTCCCCGCAGCCTGATAGGATCGCGAGGGATGTCTAGGATGTCTAGGTACCTAGGTAGGTACCATATAACTTCCAAGGTCTTAGGAACATGGCGTCGCGGTAAATGTCTGCTTGTTTGCGGTATTGCTAGTATACTATTCGCTCGCTGCAGGGCTTTCGTTACCGCATGACGAATCTAAGTTGCAACACTACAGTGTAACTTGCTGTTGATTCAGGCCTTGGTCGATATCATTTTAATACCTGGACCTATTAAGTGATTCCAAATAAGATTTGCCAGGATCGAGCAAACAATAGAAGCGTTTTAACGAGCAGATATAGGTATTCTAAGTAGCTAGACTCACCACCGGAATATTCTTATGGTGCTTTAGTGATACCATAGTCAGGTAGGTATTTTAACCGTGAATATTGTAGATAGAAGTGAACGTTTGGTCCACTCAGTCTAGCTTTAGCATGAGAAGCGATGATCAACCTGGAGAAACCTAGCCTGTTTTGTCTTAGTAGACCCATACTGCAAATCTTTAGAGATCAGATCTTAATATGGGTAGAGGTTTTTGAAGACTCGGCCGACCATTGTAAGCGAGAGATGTGAGGACAAGGACAAGGACAAGGAAAAGGAAAAGGAAAGGAAAAGAAAAATTCTAGAATGGAGATGGCATGGTGAAAAGACTAAAGTAGAAGTATGCGCCGAAAGGGATTGTCGATAGGCACCTAGGCAATTTGGTAACTTAGCTGCAACGGTTTTTGGGGTTGCGGTCGTGTAAAAAGTTGTGTAAACCCTTGGAAGTCCAGCACACTGGATCGTTTAGCAGGGACCCGACACGGAAAAACAAAGGGTCCTTGAGGGGAACCTTGAAAGCTTTAATGACAAGGAGAGGCGAGTCTGGAGCCCCGCGCCGCTAAAACCCACTAACATCTACACTAATATCTATCAAATCTCCAAAAGCACATGATCGACCCGAATACATCCATTTCAACTTATTACGGCGTAGAATACTATTTTAACAACTTTCCTACCCTCAATCTTATAAGATCTTGAACAACATCCTACCTAGGACATTGAATGTACTATACTGTACTACCTAAGGTATCTACTTGCTTACATATGCTTAGTATCTAGTAGATGTTACATTGATATCCATTCCATAGGTACTTACTTATTCATTAGAACTTGACCTTTGTACGAGATTCTTAGCCCTATCAAATCATATCCTATCTATTTGCCTATCCGTACATCTCGTGATGCCTTGATTTCGATGATTTCCTTATATTCAGCGTAAATGTGGGCACCCTCGGCCGATATGGTCTTGGTATATGCGGCGGCGAAACCCATCTGTAGGCTGCGTCGACGATGGCCTAGATGCTTTTTTTCCACCTGTCATCGAGAAGCTTGTGCGTTTCAATTTCTCACCTCTGTCCTCTTAACCCCGAATAAGGCGCTGCAATTTCCAACGTCTCCATTTTATTTCCTATTCGTGATAATTTCCCTGCCGGGGGTTACTAAGAAGCTACCCTTTCTCAAGCTTCACAATTAGCCTCGTTATGCTTTACTGCTGATATGTTTGCTTAGCAATAGCGGTTAGCCCCTGTTAGGCGTATAAGCTCTTCCTGCTATTCGTTCTGGAGAAGCAGGCTTGCTTCCTTTTCCAAGCTCATCACCATGACATTGTTCGTCGTTAATCAAACGGAGCCCCGTCCAAGCTCGCTTGGTGGTTAGATAATATTCGTTACTAGCTCGCTAAATCCCGCCTTAAAAGAATATTTGAATAATGAGCATAGAGGCGCGAGTCGAAACTCCAATTCTTCCAGGGCAATAATTCCATCGAGAATTCTCATTTTCACCGTCTATCAATCTTTTGCCTTCATCAACATTCCACTAGATAGACCGCCTTGGGTCCGGACCAATGGCACTGATTCCGCCGTGGCGCTGAGACCGGGTTCCACCGATGAATACGACAACTCCGTCACCGCTTCATCGGTCTGTTGATAACATTTTCATCAATTAACTGTAAGAAGAGGATTAGAAGCATACCAGGGAAACGATACACTTCCCGTGCCATAAGTATGTAAACGCCGGTGACATACCCATCCTAATCTTGGATTTCTGTTATAGAGTAGTGTTCACTCTATAACATATGAGCTCAAAAGTCCAAATTGGTTGTTGTAACCCTTAGAAGCCCTTACGTATATTGATTTACCAAACACTTGTCTCCTCTCTGGTGCGTATTCTAATACGTACATACATAGCAGTTAAATCGGAAATATATAAAAAATTTTGGTGCTTCTTATACTAGTTTATTTTATTTTCATGTTTAATCTACCACATGGTTCGATCGTTATAGAAGTTTTATACTGATATGTGTAAGTAGATGTGATCATGAATAAGAAGTGTTGCCTAGTAATCACTAAATTCTACAAACTAAGACTGCGCCTGTAATACTCCGATTAAGCCTAAAAAGGACCATAATGTAATATTTACTTGCGTCCTGCCTTATAGATATTTACCTGTTGATAACTTTTTAGCTTTTCCTCAGAAGTAGCCCTTACCAATTGAAACCGTTCCTCATTTCTCTTGATGCGTTTTTTTTGAACCTCGTGTTCTATAGGTATCTAACAACCTGGTGCTGCATTTCCACCAATATATTCCCTAACTCAAGCAATGAACGATGTGATATGCCGATACGGACTGTAGGGTGCATTTTGAAAGCCTTATCAAGACTGACAACAATGTAGGGACTTTTATAATCTCAATCAATATCGAATCTATCCTTTTTGGCCAAGCTGGGTGTCTGTCTTCACATTGAACATCTTGCTATCTTGACTACCTACACAAGCAAGCAATCATACAGTCGGTTTTGACCACAGAGTATGGCATTACGCAAACTCCCCACCAACCATTCCAATGCATGCAGACAACTGCAGAACTAGTGAAAAAAAGCCATATCGTGTCGTGTCCTGTCATCATTACCCGTGCAAATAGTTTCGTCGAACCGAACTTCAATCCCTCATAATCTCCTGTCCCGCAAGCCCGATCGACCCCCAAGTCCAAGTCGGGACCAGAAACCAAGGAGGGGCGTCGGCGCGCACACACACTCATGTATATGGGGATTAATTCCATTCTGACGAAACCGCCTCTCGAGGCTCGAATATAGTCAGAGCTGCGTGGTATCGAAATAGAAAAAAAGGAACAAGGGTTAGGGAAACGCAGACTGATGATTGGGGTATAATCCTCTATCTGTACCGTGGGATGAAATCGAAACGTCTCACATGTCCTCTAGAGCATAATTGAAATCCCTACTAAACATTCTGGATTCGCCCGGCTGCTCGGTAACGACGATTTCCGTTTGCTGTGTCATTTACTCGATGTGCTTATTTCTGGAAGAACCAGCTGCTTCTCTTACCAGCATTACCTTCATTCTGCAGATTTGCAACGGTCGGGACTTGGGCGGGGGAGTCGCCACCACCACCACGAAGTGGTTTCGCGATACGGCTACCCAAGAACCCACCAGCACCGGACGAGTTCAAACCGCGCGTCGATCCGGCCTTGGCCGCCTCAAGACGCTCCTTGACGGCGGTAAGCTGAGACTCGAATCTGTTATACGTGTTAATATAAGGATAATGGCAATTAAGAAGGGCAACTGACCTGTGGTTCGCTGCGGTAAGCTTCTCTTGACTATCTTGCAACAAGCTCTCCAGACTAGAGATGCGCTCATTCCTTGCGATGAGCTTCCTCTCTGCAATGGCAACCTCTTTCTTGAGGCTGCTATTTTGTTCAACGAGCTGGCGTTGGACCTGAGTGAGCTGCTCCAGGTTCCGTTCGAGGAACGCCATCTTCTTTTGCTGGGCACGGTTGTTAGATGACCGCAGCACGTTGTTGTACTGTTCTCGCGTCTCGTCCAAGGAGATCTCTAGTTCGACAACCCTCTCGCACCTGTTTTGTAGGTCGCGCATCAAACTCTTCTTCATGACATCAAACTCGGCAATTTGTTGTTGCATAGTCTTGCCATTGGCTAGACCTGGTACACCGCTGTGAAGGGACAGCTCTGCTTGTCGTACGATACCTTGGGTCTCTACCAGCTTTGCCTTGAGTTCCTGCAAGTCATCCGGCGGGATAGGATCTCCTGAAGAGCTTTGCTCGAAGAGTGCGTCAACTTGTTGGATGGCATTTGCAATCGACTGCTCATTGGCGCTGAACACCTCTCCACCCAGGTCAAACCCGGCCATCATCTTAGCCATCTTCTCCGCCTTTTTCTTCTCCTTATCATCTAAGACGGCGCTCGTCTCTTTCGCGCTCATCTTGATATCCAGAAGTTGCTGTTTGACATCGTCGAGCTCTGTTGTAAGCTCGGAGTTCGCCTCCTTCAGAGCATCCATCGTGATCTGAGCTTCTTTACTTTCGAAGGTTAGGCGTTCCAGTTGCATTTTTGCTTCGTTGACCTCGGTTGTCAATTTCTCGTTTTCCTTGCCTAGCTTACTATCGTGGTCCTTTAAGAACGTCAGCTCTTCCTTGGATTCCTGGAGAGACTTTTCAGCCGCAGCGACAGCAGATTCCTTCTCCGCCAACTGATCCTGGAGCTCATTCTCCCTTCGAAGGAACTCTTCTCTCTCGTCCTTATCCAGAGGAAGACTTGGGGTCCCCGCGCGCTCTGTTAACGCAGGCGTTTCGGCACGGCTTTCGGGAATTAACCGCGATGGAGTAGAAGGTCGATGGGGCCTCGCGTCTGCTCTCGTACTGGCAACACCATCGGCCGCCATTGACGTGACCCATTGTGCCTTAGGAACAGTCTCTCCACCTCTCCACAACTGAAGCTCTCCTTCCAGATTCGAAATATATGTCTCAAAGGTTGTGATGTTAGATTTAGCTTTAACAAGCATAAGCTTGAGCTCTGCGGGGCTGAGTTCGGCATTGACCTTGGCCTTGTTCTTAATCGATTTGGCTCGCATACCGAATCGAAGGGTGCTCAAGGTCTCGGCATCGTTGTAACTACTCGGCGAACAATTTATGATGAGCGTAGTTCGGCTGTTTCCACCGAGCGATTCTTGTAAAATTCTCGTTAATTTCGAGTCTCGGTAGGGAACATGTGAAGATTTCCCGTCAGTAAGTGCGTTGATGACCATGCCCAGAGCACTCAAACTCTTGTTGATCTTCTTCGCCTCCTCCAAGGTTTGTCCGCTGGCGCCGGTCTTTCCCACCTTCTCACTACCAGCCAGATCAACTAAGAATAGCTGACCGCTCTTCATTGAACCAGTCTCGAGGTTCTTCTGAGAGATGGTGACAACGAAAATGGAATGCGAGCGTGATGATTCTTGGTTCATGTTGGTGGCAGCAACAGCCCTTGCGTTTCCACCCCTCTTCATAACCTCGAAGACCTCCTCTACGCTAGAGACGTAGATCTCGAGGAGTCCCTTGACGTACACACCACGGTTCTTCTCCTCGTGGACCGGTAGGTTGTCGTTCTGCGGGGCCAGAAGATCGCGGATACGCTCCATGTAAATTTCCATGTAGCTTACTCGGACAGTATACTCGATGGTCGGTGGACTAGACATGATACTACTGAAGATCTGTTCGACGATACGGGGGGTAATACCCTTGCCTTCGTCATCTTCTATACTCGTTCCCATCATCGTGTACGACTTTCCGGCACCCGTCTGACCGTATGCGAACACCGTTCCATTGTAACCGTTGAGTATGTCGTCGACGGTAGGCTTAATGGAGTAATCGAAAATATCGACCTGTTTACCTTGCATACCAAATACGCGATCAAACGTAAAAGAACCTGCGGCCTCTGCCGACTAAACTCGAAATCATATCGTTAGCACGGGTGGCGGTAAAGCGGAAGGGGGATTCCGCAGGTAGGCGGGTAGGCGGGTAGACGCACATTCAAGGTACAGGTATCGAGGCCATCAAAAGTGACGATAGGCTCTCCGCCCGATGCCAACTCGACCTTATTCTGCGGACGAAAACGGGCAACGACCTTGATACTGTTTGCGCTAGCCATGATGACGTTTTGCGTTGGTATACGGCTACACGCAGGATAATATGTACGAAGGGGGAGAGGCCTATTTCATGTTAGGAAAATAGGCCGGGTCTTGGTTAGGTACAGACGCAGCTCAGCCGACGAGACGGCGAACGGGTCAAAGAATGTCGAATAGGGTACAATAAGACTCGTCCTTATGTTGTGTTATCTTTAAATGTTATGTTTATGTTTGAATGAGGATTGTTGCTTGTTGCGGTGTTGTGAAGCGCCGCGTCAATTTTGTTGGAGTCGGTGTTCGTAGTTTGTAAATTGTAGATAGTAGATTGTAGATTGTATTGGGGGGAAAAGAGTCCTTCACGTTTTCGCTACCTAGTAGGTTTCGGTCGTGCCTGAAGTTCGAGAATCGAGCACCTAATCCAGGGGAAGTGGCAGCTGCAACCTGCAAGGAAACGAAAAGCCACAATTCTAGCGGTATTGAACATGTACTATTGCTGTACCCTCATGCGACAGTGCACCTAAGATTCACCTAAGCCAAGCTTTTAGTGACTTTTTAGTGACTTAAATGAATACAGTACATACCCCTCAGGTACGTATCCCTCAATTACGTTCCAAGGTTGCCCGGGTTGCTGCAGCAGTGAATTCAAATCTTTATTCATCCCACCTTTTAAGAAGTGACTTGGAACTTGGAACGCGTCTAATCATAACCTTGGAAACGATAAACTCAATATTTGTCAGTGATAGATGGCATGTATTTACCTTGGTAGGCATGTGAATACAATAATTGCATATCCATACGTATGGAGAACACAGAAGCATGATACAACACGCCATCCAACCCAAAATAATTAAGGACCTGACCCGGCTTTTATTAGACATGTGGACTTCTAAACCCATGCAAGTCTGGAAACTTTTTACTGCAGTTCATGCATTCATTCAAAACAACCTGAAAGCCTACTATCCGAATCGTATCTGCATACCTGGTAGGAAGTAGGAAGGTAATCAACTTACCAAGGCACAACAAGACACCAGCTGAACAATTTGCAAGGTTCATCTCCGTTCAATGTTTGGGTCATTCTTTGTAATTCATCGCGAACTAATTAACTACGAAGAAAGCATGTCCGGCATTCCCTAGCAAAGAAAGAAACAACAACGCCGGAGCTGATGCGGGGACCTAGGAAAGCAGTGGCTAATAAAATGATCATTTAAGCGTTAAGGAGAAGTCTCCCAAGAGCACAATCAGCCACCGAAATGCGATAGCCCTTCCTGTTCGACGCCTACCAAACGCCAAACCCTAACTGAAGCCCCTCGCAGACGACACTTGCCATAAGCCGAAACGGCATCGCTATATGCCACAATGTTTGTGCAAGTTCCAATGTTCTGAGCGTCATCATCCCAGCCATACATGAATCATGATCGAGAGGTGTCCTACACACCTCAAGCTGTCTGATCACTGCAGAAAGCCCAGGCTCTAGCTTAATCTTCCCAACTCTTCTCCACGGTCTCGCGGACTCGCTTGGTGTACTCCTTGCGATTATCCTTATAGAGGTTGGAAGCTTCTACATTCGCCGGGGAGCCGGTGTTGGGGTCATTGAGCAGGCTGTTCCCAATATGTATCAGCAATTGGTAAAACTAGTAGGAAAATATAGACACTCCATCTCACCTTTGGATGCTCGTGAGGACGGCTGCAACATCGTAGGTAGGGCTCCATCGGTTCTGTAGGATGTCGAGGCAAAGCTCTCCGGTCGCGTAGACGTTGGGATGGAACATCTGGCTAATAAACTTGACTGCGGGAGGCTTGTTCGGGTATTGCTCTTCGAAGTGCATCACGAGTCGGAATGTTCCATCTTCGAACGGTGTGTCGGCGGGCCCGATGATAACGGCATTCCTATATGGTACGTCATCAGTTCTAAATCGCAATATGAATAAAGTACCTAGGTAGTCATTTATAAGCTCACCAAGTCATGACATTGTCAGGAACCGGAGAAGCGGAAACGCCAGCCGGAGGGTCAGTCTGCATTCGCTATGCCATCTCGTCAGCATGGTATCTCTGCAAGTTAGAGACGTATGTAGCTAACCTTGAAGTCTCGCATCAAACGACGACGAGCGGCGGTCGACATCTTGGGTAGCTTTAGAGGGGGTGTCCTTAAAGGTGATGGTTTATGGTGGCTCTAGTAGGTAAAGAACTTTGCTGACAAATATTAATTTGCCTTAGAAGTCAATGAAGTGATGCGTAGAAGTAGAGGTGGCACTAGAATTGTCCGTAATGCGAAGAGTTAGATGAAGTAGAATTATGGTAGAATAATGAACTTTGGGCGGCGATTGCCCCAATAGAGATGGATATGGATATGTTAGGGATTGACGTGATAAGGGAAGTGTACCTGGGTACATACTAAGGAAATATGAATCGTTCGAAAGGAAAGAACTAGGGATACACGTGACTGGATTATGAACTACATACACCCCAAACTACAAACTTTCAATGACGCTAAGCTGAGCGGTAGCTCGCATGTGGTCAGTGCATATTATATACATACCTAAATAGATTTCTCAGGTACCTGCCTGTATTATCTGATTGGCTATTTATAGGGAGACAGTGATCATAACGATAAGGTCCTTTCCAGTTCAATTCTGGTTTCAATATATAATTATTTACACCATATGCACTTGTCTACATATATTGGTAGACATATTCAACTGTTCCGGAGTACTTTGCTGTCAATTAAGCTTAAATCTATCGGGAAGGTACATCGCGAAGGATGTCCAAGGAGGTACGGGAATGTAGCAGCTACTTCCCCAGATTATGGTTCCTCGGTTGATTCTTTGAGTAGAGGGGCAGCACCTAGCATTGTTAGAGGAGCATTCCGCTGTAAGCCGAGGTGCCAATACGGATTGGGGGGGATAACAACGGAATTAGAACCTAACCCGTTCGCTATTGCCATTTTACTACTTCCATGACTTTAGTTTATAATATCTCCACTAGGTCGAATTGAATTACTTTATTGGACTCTTGTATCTTCCATCTCTTGTTTAAGAATACTCCTGGCTTCTCTTCTATTTTGCATCTAGGAAGCGGCAATATGATACTTCGACCAACCGTAGCCAGGTCTGCTACTAGCTACCCGAGGATCCGAGTTTTCGGAACACCGCGTTATTTCTCAATACAGACTTCGCGACGACAAGAAATTCGAGATGCATATATCCTAAGTGCATCTAGGACACCTACTGCGAAGGTGAATTTCACTTTCCAGTCGGGTTTCGAGACTATGATAACTAATATTAAGAGCAGTTCAATGGCTCATTTCTCACGGTATCCGCCCCGCAGCTGGGCGCCGTCGCTATTAAGTCAGCTTTAGAAAAGTCCAAAGTACCAGTTGAAAAAGTGACAGATGTCTATATGGGAAATGTCCTGCAAGGATCAATTGGCCAGGCCCCTGCCAGACAAGCCGCCATATTTGCTGGTCTTCCCAAGACCGTTGAGGCGATTACCATCAACAAAGTTTGTGCCTCTGGGCTTAAGGCTGTGGTTTTTGCAGCTCAAAATATTCAACTTGGTCTAAGTGAGGTACAAATCGCTGGCGGCATGGAAAATATGTCACAAGTTCCGTATTATGTTCCCCGCAAAAGCGGGCTACCTGCATTCGGACACGTCACGATGGAAGATGGCCTTCTCAAGGATGGATTGACGGACGTATACGATAAATTTCACATGGGAATCTGCGCTGAAACAACTGCTAAAAATCACGGCATCTCCCGGGAGGCACAGGATAAATATGCTCTCCAATCTTATGAGCGAGCACAAAGTGCGTGGGATAACAAGGCTTTCGCAGATGAAATTGCCCCCGTAACTATAAAATTATGGAAGGGCGAAACTATAATCGATACCGACGAGGGTTATTTAGACGTCAAGCCAGAAAGAGTTCCCTTTCTAAAACCCGCCTTTCTTCGCGATGGGACGGGTACCGTCACTGCGGCAAATTCATCTACGCTTAACGACGGTGCTAGTGCGCTAGTACTAGGAAGCAAAGACATCGCGAGGGAATTTGGCGGCAGCTCAAGAGTCCTAGCGAGAATATGTAGCTCCGCCGATGCGGCAGTTGATCCCGTGGATTTCCCAGTGGCTCCAGCTAAAGCTGTGCCTATAGCCTTGGAGCGTGCAGGTATTACAAAAGACCAAGTTGCAGTTTGGGAGTTTAATGAGGCGTTTGCTGCCGTTATCAAAGCAAATGAGAAGGTAAATACCAAAATTCAAATTTCACCACCAAATTACTAACATAGCATAATAGATTCTTGGTCTTGATGGTGCTAATATTAATCCATTGGGTGGCGCCATCTCTCTGGGTCATGCACTAGGCAGCTCGGGATCCCGGATTCTCACAACGCTGCTACATCAACTCAAGCCTGGAGAGTATGGTGTTGCTGCTATTTGCAACGGTGGTGGAGCAGCTACTGCTATTGTAGTTCAACGCATCGACTCTGTGTAATTATCGAGTAGCACGGGATGCTTAGAAAGGAACCATGATACCAATCTAGAATATAATTCTAGTCTACCTATGCGTTAACCATCACATCCAGCGCCTACGCGAGTTGTAGAGAATATCACATGCATAATAGTACAGTGTAACTTGTTCGTGCAAGATGATGTCATATCCATATTAGATATGTACATAGGTAGTAGGTACCTTCTATAATGGAGCAGGGATATAGATTAGATTAGCCCTACAGGTTCCCCTAGAAGTTTGATTGGCTATAAGATTGCTAAGTGTCTCCACCTGTCTCCACGCTCTTCACCTACACCATATTTGTTCTCGCGTCTTCGAAGTTAGCTTCACGTCTAGTATCTACATATCAATGACTTCAACCTCCACAGGTATCTACTCAATTACCTATCACCGAGAAACTGTGCAACATTTACAGCGACGTGCCCTTTTGCATTTACCGTTTGAGCAAATACTCGACTTTCTACTCGTCATCGACTCACCGACTCACCGACCATGCAGTCTCAAATATAATGACTTAAATTAAGACAACGCTCTCCAATCTCGAATTTTTACGACAACTTCTCGCCATGTCTGTGTCAAAGCAATTTCTAGCTGGAGTACGCGAAATCCTCGTAGACCTCAATGGGGAAGGCCTGCGCGATTGGCTCAAGGTAGAGCCACCTTTGCCGCAAGAATATCTCGACCTTGCAGCTGAGCTGAAAAGTCGTTACAAAGATGACGACGCGCTCGAGAAGCTTGTCGAGTCGAGTCTACCGGAAGATGACGATGTACCGGAAGGTCAGGGAACATCATGGTTCGGTTTCAATGCGTTCATAAAGGACTATCTTCAATACTGGCGAGATGTGGATTTCGAAGACCTTCTCGGAGCCCACCAATTGCTCACTGCCTTAACCAAGTACGCCAATACGCCCATCCCGATTTCGCATCGCCGTCGGCTAATAAAAGTAGTTCATGTGCAACGGCGCTTAATAATCCCACATATGGAACGATCATGTTGCAGACGAGCATATCACTTTGCGGCTCATTCTCAACCCTGTCTATGACCTTGAATAAGCGACCGGACTTGACATCGAGGTTGGCAGCATTGCGTAGCGGCGAAGATGAGCAGAAGTCGTTCATCGAGATTACGGCCGAGATCATGCAAAAATTCTTCACGGCATGCCTCACGGATCGATCAAGCCCACGATTCGCACCGCCCACGGGCAAAAAAGTCGGCATCTACGTCTTCGCCAACAAAACCTTGAAGCTCCTTACGATGGTATGTTAAGATACATAGCTAACTTAAGCCGACGCCATACTAAATTTCCCGGCGCTCAGAACAACCGATCGTACTTGGCAACACAACTCTTGACCAATCTCATGGCAAAATCACCGCCACTCTCGTATTACCCGGCTTCTCAAAGAGTGTCATTCTTATATTTCCTCGGCCGGTTCCACTTTAACCACAATCTCTACTGGCGCGCCGCACAATGTTTCCAGGAAGCATATCTACAAACACCACCACGTTTCCAGAAACACCGGCGAATTATCCTCACATACCTAATCGCCGCAAACTTCACCATGGGCCGTCTACCCTCACAAGCCCTCCTCCAGCGACCAGAAGCCGCGTCCATGGCGCAGTGCTACTCGCAGCTCTCGTCCGCGATCCGGAAAGGCAACTATCTAGCCTTCCAGCACACGATCAAGCAGCACGAAGACTGGTTGCGCAGCAAAGGGTACCCCCTATTCATCACGTTACAATGGCGCATCCGCCCGCTCCTCTGGCGCTCGCTCTCTCGCCGCACGTTCCTGCTCACTTACACTCCCGACGAAGGTGACTCGCGCAAAGCCGCCGTCCTGAAGCTCGCCGACTTCAAGACCGTGCTCACGTACATCCAGCGCCGGCTCGAGGGCTACCTACCCGCGGCACCAACGCTAAAGACCCACCACCAAGCCAACGTCAACAGCTACCTCCTCAAAGCAGTCTCCAACAGCGCGGGCCCGCCGCTCAAGAACTCGACGCTAGCCCCGCCGCCCGGCGGCGTCAAGAAGCTGATGCCCGACGAGGGCGTGCTGACGGGCAACATGCCCATCACGGACCACCACGTCGAGACTATGGTCACGTCGCTCATAGGCCAGGATCTGATGCATGGGTATATAGCGCATACCCAGGGCGCGTTCGCGATCATGGGCACGAAGCAGAAGGGGAGTGCGGTGGCGGCGGGGTGGCCTGGTGTTTTTGAGGTTATTGAGGGGAGGTCGGCGGAGCGGGAGATTCCGGGGTGGGTTAGGGATGAGAGTTAGGAGAATGGAGAGTGGTTTAGGGGGAGGGGAGGGGAGGGAGGGAGGGAGGGAGTGCCTGGGTATAGGGGCATTTGGATTTGATGGGTCCGGTCCGTTGATGATGTTGATCTGGCTAGTCGTATAGTAGGGTTGCAAGATAGGTGGCTGATGGCTGGTGTGATGAAATTACGAATGATACCCCATACGTGCTATTTTGTGTTGAATTTTGGTGCTTGTGGGACTGGGATGTGTTGTTCATTTGACTTGGGTAGATTCTAGATGGGATGTTAGTGAATTTGCTAGTAAAAAATACCGACTAGAGATCATGAATTATCATATAGTTAGAAATGGCCATTTAGGTAAGGTTTCTGTGGAACTAACCATTCAACCAACCCCCGGCCCGTAGGGTATGTTAAAGGTTGTGGATTCAGTGCCGCCGGTACTGTTTCGTGACTTTACTTTGCTATTTAACCTTCACTCCGAAGTTGATGCCTGGCGAATGGGCCACCTGACTGTAGCCACGCTGACGCGTGACGCGTCTTTGTCGTCTTTTGGCACTGTCAACTCTCCCTGTAAATGACTGAGGTCAGGTATATGCAATATTAAATGTCTGGTTTCCTGAGCCGTTTGCATACTTGTATAACAATGCCCCTATTCCCCCTTACTACCTACATCCCTACTGAATGCTAGTACATGTTGGCCTACCTTAACATTCATCACCTGGAAGTCACCAAAATTTTTCTAATAAAGGTTTCCACTGGCTTACTCTTTTACTGCAACGAGTAACGACATGATCAATAGCATTACAGAATCAGGGGCACAATGGTCAAAGCAAAGTTCTGTAGCAATTTCTCCAAGGAAATTCTTCAGATATCCGTCTGGGTAAATAAAGGTGTACAGGCCTCCATATTTATATACTATTCCTACCAAAATGGATTAAAAAGTGTTTTGATCACCGTAATAGTTGTCGTCACCAAGTAAAAAAAAAAAGGGGGAGTGCTTAACCTAGGCCTTTCATCTCGTCTACCAGACCATTATTAAATTCCCGAGGGTTCCAGTTTACTACATACCTTGGATACCTATTAAGTGTATAACAATGAGAACTATGGCAATAATCAATTACGTGGTTCTAACCAAAAAGAAATCTCAGTATCTGAAGATAGGGGGTTTGAGGTAGTCACGTGACCCATTCAAGAGAAATGTAGAAGCCAAACAGCAACACTGCATTGGAAATATCTAGAGTGATTGGTTTATTAGTAAAGGAACGACACTAGAGCACCTACTTGGACATTATACTCATGTAAGGGGAGGGTCTCTTTAAAGACTTGACACCTAGGTGGGCAAGTACCCTCGAACTCCTTGCTTCCTTTAGTCAGTCATCAGTCATACTGTCAGCATAGTCACATGTTTAATTCAACATCAAAGACCTCTATTCAGCTTCAACCAAATCTCATTCAATGCTATCGATTGCCAACAATAGGCAAATCGGGGCAGAAGATAAAGTATATCCACAAGAGACGCGGTATCCGAATCCTAAGCCGCGTCTACTTAAAATATATATCCAAAAATCTTCCAACCCCCTTAACAAATATTTTTCCTTTTGATCCAAGACTCCCTGATTGCGGCACCCCAAAGTCAGCTATGTTCATGAGCAAAGTACAAAATCTGATTCGCGTGGCGTGTCGTCTTGGTCGTATGTATCTCTTAGCCCCCAACCCCCCATCTCTTAACAAAGCTTACTCCATCGGGAATATTCCAACCCACTTTCTCTGAATTGGATTCAGAATGTTATCTCGACAAGAATGATATAAAAAGACTTCAAACCGCCTAGCCCCAGGCGCTCCACAAAAGGGGGGTATATTGAGAAGATAAAACGTATGTAGCCCGAGATGGGTAAGAAAGATACTGATGAATGTAGTTGATAATTCCGGAGATCGTCAATCGCCGTTGAATAGATAATAAACACTATCGAATAATTGTTCGTTGTATGCAACCAGCCCTAGCTCTAGAGGGAGATATACGAGCTCCCCAAGCTGTAATATGTACGTAAATTAGTATTCATATTGCCGTTCCGGGATGGCAACATATAAATCGACAATGCCGGCAGTGATAGAGACGTCGTCGTCTCGGTAAAGGGAGTCGCTATTCCCAGCGGTGACCAAAGCATGCGAGACCCCCAAATAAAAATTAAATATATTGCTGAAATGAGATAAATTCGCGTTGGCATACTTGGTACTCGTGGCTACTCAACTACCTTAAAGTAGGTAAGTAGCAGCCACAAAAGCAACGACAAGGCCTGCCATAGCAGCACCACCTTGTCGCTGGCCCGCGCCTTCATTCTTGTTCGTTTCGCTTGATGCAGACTCCTCCCCGCTGGTAGAGCTGGAGCTGGAGCCAGCTAAGGAGGTCGAGGAAGGATTGGATGAGGAAAAGCTCAAGGTCGATGTTCCATTTTCCTGGAAAACTCCGCCATAATTCGGGGTGGGTGTAGGGCTTGTTTGTCTCGAAGACAATGAGTAAGCAGTGGTAGCAAGGTTGCTGCTTGTCGAATGAGCCGACGAGCTAGTTAAGATTGGCGTCGACAACGAGGGAGTCGAGGAAATTGAGGTTACCGACGGTATGGATGTTAAAGAAGATACGCTAATCGAGGTGGGAGCTTGGGTCAACGAAGTTGGGGGCGCAATTAGGGAGGAGCTAGAAGATGAAGAGTCCCCTCCAGATCCATCCAAATTATAGACGACGATGTTAGCTTTGCCTCCACTAGGGACTGTAACAACGCAAAAGTCCCCGCCGCCAGCACCAGATGCCTTGTTGTCGCTCGTGACGCCAGTTCCGTCAACACGGCATTTAGATCCATTGCAACCTCCTTCCGGGCATTCGACCTTTAAGCCAAATGTTGGTTTGGTACCAGAGAGCGAGGAGCTTTGCCACACTGGGTTGATTCCAAGCTTAACATATGTCGACCCGTCGGCGACGGTATTTGCTCCGGCAACAAAGGGTGACCAATTGCCAATCGGTTTGGATTCATCTCCCCAATGACATCCTTGGTTAGCATCAATACCAGGAGCATTGATGTAGTAACTGGACATGTTAGTTCAGAATCCTCGATCAAGTCTAGCAATAACCACTTACTGAGCTGCGGTTTCGTCCCAATAAGACGTACCCGGAACAGCTAGTGTAATAGTGCCAGTGACATCGTTGGGAATGATCATGTCTTCATAACCTGGCAGGCAGGTTTGGCAAAAAGACACAACTTTTCCAGCCTTGTTCACAGCTGTCACTGCACCAGTCCCATCAACACACCAGTCCTTATCCTTGAAAGGAACCTCAATTTCGCCATCGTCATTGCAGTAGATACCACCGTACTATAGTCATGTTAGCTAATTGTCGCATATCTTATGAACATATGCGGTTCGACACTAACAGTGGATTCGGGATAGGCATAAGTCGTGCCTGGTTTCCATTGCGCCATGACTTGACCAGAAGGGCAAGCAAAGGGACACCACGTGCCCGATACGCACTTCTGATCAGGGGCCATTGCCCATCCACCATTTTGTCCCGACGGAGTGACAGCAACCAAGCCCTTGTCGCTTGGGAACTTGCATGTCTTCTTGCCATCTCGCGATGAAAGTTGTGAGTTATCCCGGACGCTATACTTCGGGTTGGTGACGTTCGAGTGAGCTGAACCATGACCATGGCTATGGATATGGTTATGCTTCTTTTCAAGATGAAGATGGTGGTGCCGATGTCCAGTAGTGGCGGCGCATGACTGCGCATTCAAAAGAAGGATTGCCGACCCCAAGGCGGCCTGTATCGTAGTGATCTTCATGATATCACGTTCTCGAGGACGATTTCGTATCAAACGACAGTAGATATGTTCCGAATAGGAAGCTAAAGGCGCATGCCCCTCTGTTAGTGTAGCGCTTCGAGTGATCAACAACGCGATCAACAACGGGGACGACGATCGATCTGGTGTTTGCAAGTTTAGTCGCTGGGATGAGCTGAAAAATGAGCCTAGCTCTCAACGTGCTTCGGAATCCTTCTAGAACGAGCGTGTCGGTTTACTTTAAAAGAGTGACAGGGAGACTATTCTCCGCGATAAAGAGTGACTATTCACAATAAAAGAGAAAAAGAGCGTGGGGGAGAAGGAAGGTAATGAGGGATTTGGACCGGCTCAACTCGAAAAGGAAGAAGAGGTGGACTCCAGCAAAGGAGAAGAGAAACTGGGGGGGAAATAGAAAATAGGATGCTGACAACCGCAAGCGCATTGGGCTACAATCTCCAAATCTCCAGGGGCGCTTTAGGGCGCCTTAAGGCGTTTTTGGGGGTTAGCGCGATCCGTCGTCAATATGATTGGTCACTATCCATGAAGCTTATTGAATTCTCAACCAATGGGAGTAAACGAACAAATGAGCTAGAAGCAAGTACAGGGATAAATTTCCTAAGATGGACAGAAAGGAGCATGCAACTACCGAATTAACCTATATCAAATTTCCCTTCCTTTTTTTTCGACATTTCCACAATTTCCCAAGACCCAAGATCCTCTCCATCACCTTACTCGCCCCGACAAAACACTACTGCAAGGCACCGCTGCGCCAAGAAGGCGCGATTTCGATCAACATAACCCACCATAAATCAATAAAAATTTTGATAGTGTACCGCATAATGAATCGACGACAAAAATAATGGCAGAACGGATGTCTTCGACACGTATGTCGAATGGTTGTCCATGGCAATAGTCCAATTGTCGACTATGTTATCCCGACGAGGTAGCAGTCTTTGACGTGTTCGAAATGCAGGTACACGTAGAATGGGTGACAGGCAGCACTAAGCACAGAGACCTGGAAGCGTTTCGAATACTACCTCACGCTATGGACGCGTTTCGATTTGCCCTAGGAGTTAGACGATCCAAACCGAGGAGTTGGAGAGTTGGAGTCAACAAGGCACGAGGATACAACCTATTTTTGCGACGCTGCAAGGTACGGCAGCCCAGCTCTGTTTATATATTAATTGAGTCCGGAAATCCCCAAATTCCGAGGTCTTCCGGTTTGATTCGACGGATGACAAATATCACATGCGCCTTATTGTGGCAACTATCGCACAGCACGGCACGACACAAAACATACATACTATGTGCGATATACAGCTACAAGTCGATATCATACCGCTTGTTTGAAGATATTCAATCGCATAAGTCAAGCAAAATTGAATACCCCTTTCAGGTCTACTTGACCCCTTTTTATTCATTGGGTTCTTGGGACATGATCGTCACGTTCGAAATCTATCCTGGCTCTCATCCTACTCCTTTTCTTGACCGAAATTCAGCCGTGGCATATCGCCCATATTTTTTGAGGGGGGAATCATACGATCGTGACTGGCGGGTCATATCTAACCTAGGCATCTCTTCAATAGTATCAAGATTATTCTTGCATTACCATAGCCAGCCTTTGGCCGGAATATGAGGGTTTCTCATTGGTCTGAACCATGGTCTAATGTTATCCGAATTACGGATAGCATGAGTCAGCATTCAAGCTTGTCATGATGGCTTCAAGTCAAAAGCTGACTACAGCATTGTTCATTCAGCTGAAACCACTTACATACCCCACATTATCCATCTACCTAACTAAGTTGAACGTATATTAATTATAGCTAACTCTAGCTTTAGTATGGCGACTCTTAAGATCTCGACTATCGTACATATTTGTGATACGCCGGGATGTTTATCTGAGTCAGATCATCAAAATCACCGATTCGATCGTATGCGAATCTGAATACACTACAGCTAGCCGTTTAACTTGATCAGTCGTAGCTAAACGATGTCTCATATTGAGACTCGTTGGCTGAGTCGTAAAGTCTCCTGCCCAATACTAACAATTTAAACTATTCACAATCAAGAAACCAAATGACCAATGAGCGAGTCATAACATGAAGCCTATCACCGGACGACAGCATACATACTAGATACCAGGTAAGACCTAGGTCCTAGGTATATTAATAGCTCCCTTAAAGTTAGCTTAGTATGGCGTACTTATAACACCGTTTACTTTACTAACCTTTAGCTAGCTGAAGTAGAGGTGTGACTTCGCAGACTTGCGAAATCTCTTATATTATTACTATCTCTCATCGACATAGCCTTTCTAAGATCAAGATCCCGGGAGCAGACCCTAACGTTCTAGACTTCTCCTCCGGCATGACTTCTTCCGTTCAAAAGCTTGTCATCCTTTGGTTAACAGCACGCTAAACAGACGCAGCTAATATCTTAGCTCAGCACCAAATCACGAACAAGATTTACTCTCACCATGATTGGCTTGTTCGGACCAACCAGTTCTTACTGCTGTTGCCAACCGACTTAACAGCCTAATAACAGTGGCCAGCGACGTTGATATTTTTATATCAACATTACGCCATCATACCTGACAGCCCCGAGACCCACAACCACGTTGCGCCTTGGCATCTCTTCAACATCTACGAGATTTATCCAATCATATGCTTCTACAATTGCCTATAGCAGACCCGGGAACTTGGTAGCCGTCTTTGCTCAGCCCTGCGGAATTCATAGCATCCATGAAAAAGAGGCCCTCTCTAGCTAAAGGTGAGAGAGATGGATGTCTATTGGTCCATTCGCTTATGAGGTTTGATATGAACAGTCTGAGGTAGATATATAAGATTCAACGTGAAACCCGCAAGGGAAGACTTATATTTTTTCATCACCACCAACATCATATCCACAAAATCCAAGTCTTTCCTATTTTTCTATTTATTTTCTTATCTCTTTTGTCATCTCATTATTTCCTTATTTTCCTTAAGCCTTCGTCTACTTCTTTCTCCTACTAGTGCAGTTTGTTCTTTTGGACCGATCCTCTCCTACTATCATAATATTGAAACAGTCATATCGTCTAATTCAAGCTTAATACCGTCAAAATGCTCAAGGCCGGAACCGTCGCTGCCATCTTGGCTTTCTGCTCCGTCTCTGCGGCTGCCCCTGCCAGTTGGGGATCCGACTCATGGGGTAGCACTGGCTCCGGATCATACACCACACCTCCCGCCTGGGAAACTGCCACTGGCGGCTCATCTCACGAGACTGCCACGGCCTCGAGCTATTACACCTCTCTAAGCTACGCTCACAACAGCCCCAGCCACAGCACAGAAGCAGCAAGTGCTTCTGCTACGGGCTCCGCTGCAGGCTCCGCTTCTACCACCGTCGCAGCCAGTACTGTCGTCTCAGCCCCCTCTACACCAACAGGCCTGAGCAAAGTCCAGCAGATCCTCCTTTCCGACACTCGCGCCGACGCCGTCAACAACGTGCTCACATCCAACTCCGACTTCATCTTCGATTTCAACAAAGCGCGCAAAGGAGGCAAGAGCAGCGAGATCGTGCAAGCGAACCGCAAGGCCTTCCCCGCACTCACGGGGACCGGAATCGGCATGGCCGTAGGCTTCCTCGGACCCTGCGGCTTCAACACCCCGCACGTGCACAACCGAGCCACCGAGTTTCTCATCGTGACCAAGGGCAAGATAGTCTCGGAGATGGTGATCGAGAACGGCGTGAACAACGCCAAGGGCACGCCGAGGGACATCACGAACACGGTCGAAGAGTTGCAGGCCACGCCGTACTTCATGGGCGCCCTACACACGCAGTACAACCCCACCTGCAAAGACGTGACCTTCGTCGCGCCCCTGTCGAACGAGGACTTCGGCGCCAATACCATCGCCCAGGCTTACCTCGCCCTTAAAGACGAGACGATCGCCGGGGCCCTCGGTAACGTCATCGACGGCGCTGACATCGATAAGTTCCGCAGCTTGCTCAGCTCGAACGTTACTATTGGTGTTGAGCAGTGCTTGAAGACTTGCGGCATCTCTAAGCGCAAGTAAGGGGTTAGTGTATATATACTTTTGAAATGTATATACTACCTAGTATATTTAACGGGATACGGCAATAAAGAGGGTAGGGTTATAGGGGCATGACGGGTCTTTTGGTTAGACGACAGCGCACGTGCGATGGTTTGATGGGTTAGGGGGATTGGGCATCATCGGTCCGGAGTTCTTCATTGCATTAGTTTGTTTATTTGGTGGGTTTTGCATATTAATCGCTACTTAAAATTAGAAAAGCCACCAGTTATTGAATACACACTCGTTTCTGGTAGTATCTAGTTACGATCCTGTGCTTCGTTGTGACTAGTTGTGTGTACTACGGACTCTCCACGGACTTCTCGATCATGTCCTCTTAGCTAATAGTCGTCTGTAGATAATGAAGTATAATGTGGAAATTAATACAAGGCTATTTCACATTTTTATTGGCTCGTAGACGATGCTGTTTCCTATAAATAGGCTGTAGTGTCATGTGCGAAGCCATCCTGGCAAAAGAGAATGACTGATTTGTCACCAACAAAAGAGGATTCTCAGTCAGGAGACGAAGACTCGGCCGAAGTTTTTAAGGTCATTATCTAATAGTCAGGTTTCACTAGAATGGCATTGCCTCGTCTTTGAACCTAGAGTTCGTCTTAAACTTGACTAATCAACCATTGCCACATACTAGTTCCTATACCCCTTGCTGTTTTCAAGTTTTTGTGTCGATCCTATGAGTTATGATGCAGTCATTTCAGCCCTGGGCACGGATCTTTCTCTTCTCTTCATTCCCAACGAGAGAGAGTTAGGAAAATCGACACAGACTCGGTCATCATTGACAGCGTGTTTACTCATTATTGATAACTATCTCTTTCCGGACATCTGAAGTCGGGATACACTACCTACAATAAGATTTCAGTAGGACCTTGTTGGGTTAAGGCGTCTCAAGAGCATATATTACGACGGTTACTCGAAAAAGCTCCCTCTGTTACATCCAAGGGTAGGCTTGTCATTCTAGGTCAGGTCATTATACCTGGTATAATAGCAGCAATTTGCTAGAATAGGGATACCTTGAGTTACCCTGTTTTCCACATCATTGATAGTATTTCTTGCGGTAGAATAACTTACTATATAGCTACAATCATTATAGACATTTCAAGAGTTTTTGCAAGATTATAAGTGTTCTGTTATGATAGTGGGAAGAGTAATTATCGCATTGCAAAAAGAAAGCAAAACTTGGTCGGTGGCCGATTCGAACCCTCGCATGCACCAAATTACTACAACCTCTTATTCACTCAAATGTAGAGATATTGCGATGGAAAAAAAGGGAAATGATTTAGAAAATAGAAAAAAAAAGATCTGAAAGGTATGAATAGATGCATCTAGCAAAAGGCGCAAAAAATCGTAAAAAAATTGTTTGCTTCTCTTTGATTGAGCGTGTCATCCTTAGTGCAGGGGCCATGCTAATCTTCTCTGTATCGTTTCAAATTGACCAAATGCCCGAAGGCGAAAATTTGTAGTTTATTATGCTATATAACCCTACTAGTTTAGCCGGACTTTTGCCAATTGGCCAGCCCCACATTCGCGCACTACGAAATCCGAGTCGCTGTCACTGTTTCTTTTGTCGTATCACTTACAATATTTCTCTGTAGGAAAGAATCTAATTGGGCTTTCTTTTAGTTTTCTCAACATTATATGACTCAAAGCTCCTAAATAAAATATTCTCACACTTACTGGTAGCAAATACTGGCGAGCTCAAAGACTTGTATTGATTTAATGTAATCAAATGATGAAAGATCGTGAGATCTCTCAGTGTGGCAGCAATTACTAAATACCGAATCCTAGGCGCTAGTGAAGCCCTAGCCCTGAGAATAGCACCCTATGACAAATCTTAACTCGAAGGATGACATACTCAAACTAGAAGAAACCGACCCCTTTAAACCAGAGAATGCATCCAACAATGGATAATCACCCAGGTCATAATTACTGCTCCCAACGCTTGCCAATATCTAAATCCTCGACAACAGAGATAAATCAGTTTCTTATTACCAGGAAGATATTGACATCGATCATGTTCCACGTCGAGTTTGGCTATATGTGAATTAACCTTAGATATGGGATGAGGGTTCAAAGTCATATATGTATACCGTAACGGGAACCCCTAGATCGCGAGAATGATTTTATGAAGCTTAGAATGACTCTATCATGTTTAGAATGACTCTATTAAGTCTAGAATGATTCTAATATAAAGAACAGTTTCTCCCAATTTCTATCGATCTTATGCATGTAATGCTTCTATGAGGTTTATAATCATTCTCGCGATCCAAGGGTTCCCGCTACGGTACCTTTCTTTCATTGAGACGAATCAGAACGAACCACCTATATGAGATGTGAAGTTATATCCCTCAATAGTAGAGCCATCAAGTAGCCTGGAAAGTGCACCGACATGAAAGTCAGACCTTTTAGAAACACCAGTCTCATATTCCTAGGAGGGACCTTAGATACTGAATGATTATTTTATAAGGTAGGTATCCAATAGTTATAAATATCATTTATGAAAGACCTTATAAACATCGTCACTATATTCATTATCACTCATCGCTATATTACAGAGATAACCCGTAAATCTCATGTCGTCTCATCCTATCTCATACGTCGTCACCAGATGGTATCATCCCCCACTCCTTCCTTCTTATTAACCCCCCTCCCTAAGCCTTCGCACCCGCCGCCGCACCAGCAGCCGTAACCCCAGTCCCAGCCGCCGCCGCCGCAGCCAAAGTCGACTTCTTAACCAACTTCAAGCCCGCAAGCGCATACACTAACCCTTCCACACCCAGTATAACCACCAGCGTAACCAACGCACCAATAACACCCGCCACCGGCAACGTAACCCCATTCCCAGACTTCGTCTGCGCGGCCGTGCTCCCACCATCCGCACCTGAGGTCGAGGCAGAGGTAGCGCAGATACCCGTAGTATTGCCACAAGCCGCACACCAGGAGGTCGTGTCACCAATAGCGAACTTATTCATCTCATTCGTGAACGTACTCCACGAGATCGTCGTCTCGGTCTGCCCGAACAGGGGGTAGATCTTCGGCGCGTTAACCGCCGCGGTGCCGTTCGCCATGTAGAACCTAACGGACACGTCGTTCGTGCTGGGGTAGTTCGCGGTCGAGACGTTAGTGGCGTTGGTGACGAGCTCGAAGGCGATGGAGGAGGCGTAGTCGACTACGCCGGTGAAGTCGGCTGAGACTTTTTCGAGCTGTGCGAGCCCGAAGAAGGACATGAACGAGGCATAGGCGCCGAATTGGATGCTGACGGGCGTGCTGCCCTTTTTGTTGAGAGTTGCGTTAAGCTGCTGCACGATTTGCGCTGCGAGTGTGGCGCCTGCGATTGCGCGGATCGGGTCGCTGCTGTTGTATGCGAGGTTCCACTCGTGGTTGTCTGCGAGTGTTCTAAGTTGGAATAGTGTCTCGTTCGTGAGTAGCTGTGAGTCTGAGATGGTCTGGTTGTGGATCGTCGCTACATTAACTAAGTCGAAGATCGTGTACGCATTCTTGAAAGTCGCTTGGCTAGCGCTGAACGTCGCATTGTACACAGGGAGTAGGTCGGTATAGAAGCTCTTGGTCGAGGAGAGCAGGGACAGGTATTCCGACGATGAGAGGTAGTTATTCGAGCTCACGACAGCATTGCCGCATCCGGATCCACCCTGCAGCCATTCGCTATTCTCGGAGTTCGCGCTGCTGGCCGTGACGGAGCTTGTTGATATGGGGATGTACTGGTATCCGTCAAGCGGAGCGACGACCTCGGACTTGTTTGCTAGGATAGACACGCTGTTACTACCAGCGGGTGGGTAGATGCCCTGCAAGAAAGCCAACGCCGAGCTTTGTAGCACGGAATCGGAGGGCGAGATGACATTCAGTTGGGAGGGGACGGCGATGTCGTTGCTGAGCCCGTGGATTGGTGTGCTGGCATTGGACGAAATGTACTTGCTGCGGTAGTAAGTGCCGGACTGGAACACCTCGTCTGCGCCGAGCGCGGTTAAGTTTGTCGGCGCGAGAGCCTTGGGCGTTCTATCTCCATGTCGGTGGAAGATGTAGACGCCGAGAACAGTCTCGCTGTTAACGAGAGGGAGTGTCGCTAGCGAAAAAAGAAACGTCTTGAACGCCATGGCTTGGCTTGGCTTCACTTTGCTTTTTCAGGTACTGTCTACTTTCTTTACTTTCCTTTCTATTGAAGAAAATGTAGGTACCTAGTAAAGTAAGATGATACTTCCTAGGTAAGCCAACCAGCAGAGCAGCAATCCAACAACCCTCTAGAAAGAGAAGTGAAGATGGTGGGAAGATGCAGTCTGAGTATTGATAAAACTTCTCTCTTCCAGCCCCGCTCATCGCAGTAGGCAAGCTGGGACTGCTGGGTAGCACTACAGCAGCGATAGCCGCATACGGGAACGGCAAGCTAGGATTGATCTTGGAACGATTCGCCGAATAGTTTCTAATCATAGGCGAGAGGAAAGCCATCAAGCTCTCCACCCACCCTCATCCTTGGTCATCTTCCGCCGACCTGCCTAGTCGGGCTATCAGATGGGTTAGATGGATTAGATATCACTACACACCTAGTTCTCCGAGGTTTGTCGGGCTTGCGCCAAGAGCGGATCTATCACCGTCTAATTGCCCAATCATATCCATGAACGAGCAATTTCTTGCATCTCCGCTGCAGTCCGGGAGGGGCCGACATCGAACCTGGATCGGGGACTTACGCCCTAAATGTTGACAATTTTAAGTGACCAGTAGATAGGGCCTTGATGTGATAAAACTTATGTAAAAGTGAAAGATGGCAAATAAATGAAAATTGTATTTCCGAAAGAATTGTAAATCATAATTATACCACCCTTTCCTTGGAGGTATAGGTGAGTCCGAGGATATGATTCTAAACTGGCTGAGAGTTTTGCTTGAATCTGCGTCGAGAGCAGTATTGAAATTTGAGGTTGTTTTTTCTTATGGACACTTGCTTGCCTAGCTTCCGAATATGATCGTGATTATAAACGATCTAGATATGCACGAGGGAGCTCGGTTTGTAGCACTATCCTCAAAAGCGCAAAATAGTAATTTTCCCATCAGAATCTTCGCCAACAATCCACCGCTCATCCCCCACAATCTTCCCCCTCCCCAATAACTCCTTCCACATCTCATCCTCAAATCTACGATCCTGTTCCTCTACTTCCGAACCGCCGTTTCGCTCCTCCTGGATGCAGATCTTGGGTGGCGTAAAAGCTGACAGGGTGTCTATCATGTGGCACCGTCTTGCCACAACCCTGACACCGGCATCATAATCCACCATGTCGCTCACAGTCAGGTACGGGAACTCTTCATGCCGCCAACAGGGTGCCCAGCCAGGCCACGACTTGCTCTTGCCGCCACCGAAACCCAAGGGCCGATTCCCTAGAGCGCGCGACAGCGATCCGGCACGTGGGCAGAAGTTCATGAATACGCTGCCGTCGGTACAGCATTCATCAACCCAGCGCGGTCCGATCCCCGAAAAGGGGAACCCTGTGCAACGCACCTCATGATGACGGGGTGGTATTCGCTCATCATCCGGGACCCAGCAGTGGTCTTCTTCCTGGAAGTACACGTTTGTGTCGTCAATGAGGATTTTGAATAGGACCGGCGCTTCCCCCTGTCGTACACCTAAGAAGTCAAGATCGTCACGTGAAAATTCGTTGATGATCGTGGGTCCTTCTTCACTAGAGCCGGGCCTAGGTTTATCAATCTCTGTTAGCTCGATGGATGCCCGGTAAGAAGACGGCTTAGATATGTCCCAGATGGTAAGATATTCTTGGTGATGGCGCGGGGGGTGTTCCGAGCAATCGCGTATATACAAGTATAGGGCATAGTGAGTAGAAGTATGAGCGGAGAAAAACTGGTAATCGCTTCCAGTCGTGAAGCCAGGAGGGTAAATCCGCCATTCAGAGCGGAAGGTGATGTCCAAAGTAAATTTTATGCTCGATGATGAAGCGGCTGTATTTGAACATGGCCGCCGATCCAGGTCAAATGCCGTAACGTAATGGCGAAAAAGCATCTTGCTTCCTAATATTTTCCACGGTTCACCCTCGCACCACTCGATAATTAGCACACCACAGGCAAGCCGCATGCGCCGGATGATCATTTCCTCAACAACGAAAGGGACGGAGACTCGATTTTTAGTTTCTAAGTCATATACAACGGGCTGCCTCGTTATATGATCCTCATATACCAGCAACTCGCCATCCATGGTCCAGCTTGGCTCATTATGCTGAAAATTAGCATATTCGTAGTTCCATAACACGCCCCACAAGAAACAACCAACAGGATATAAGTCCTGCGTGATATCGAGTTTTTCAATCGACCGTGGTTTTGCGGATCGTAGATAGTAGTATCTTTCTGCTACGTTGGCGAAGATGCGAGTCCAGTTCGGTTTCTCATCCGGTTCCGGTTCCGATTCCTCGGCGACCCGCCGCATTTCGCGGGAGCGGGGAAAATACAATTTCATGAAACTCCATGAAGTGTCGGCGTTCGTGAATACCCGAAACCATAGTCGACTTACTCGACGACAAATTATAGTATCTTGAGGAGTGATGTAAGAACATATGAGGAAGAATATTTCGGTTGGTAGATCCGTCAAGTCGAACTTATTATCATGATTCTTGGTGTTAGAAAGATTGAGGCTCAGCTCAATGCTATTGTCCACCATATTCATTGTTCATAATAGATGGAATCGATGTTTTGATTCGATGAAATCAAATACAACTAACTATGGATGTATTTATAAGTAGGCATGTACATACATGTACCCAGTACGGGGTAAGTACTTACCTACCTAGGTAGGCAGCACCACGTCACTTCATGCATGTATGTGGCGAAACCCGACGGGAAGCTGCATTTGGCTATAAGCCACCGTCTTCGCCTTCCCGCCTTTTACGGTGAGAACCAACATGATTGAAGATTACAACTTGGAACTTTATACACGCCGAGTAGAGTGGCCAATTGCAATTGACCGTAACTTACATTACCTAGTTTCTGATGGATCAGTTATATAGAGGTTTTTATAGGTGGAATATCCCCCCTGACTTGTGGTTAACAAATACCTAGTCTCAGTGCATATTTTATCATTCGTCTCATTCTACCTTTTCGCATCAATGTACCTAGAATAGCACGCCAAAAACCATTGCCTTACATACCTAGGTACTAACGTATATACATACAGTAACATCACATCCCGTTTAATCGAGTCCAATCCACCAGTTCATATGCATTACCCCTAACTATGCGTAGGCATAGCCACATCCGCCTTCCTTGAAATAGCATCCGCGCTCGACCACAACGCCGTCACCGTCTTCTGCTGGGTATAGAAGTTGACCCCGGGTCTGCCGTAGAATGTGTTGGCGCCGCCTCCCGCGACACTCTTCTTGTTGCCTGTGAACGAGAACATGGGTAATGGTACCGGGATAGGCACATTGATACCCACTTGTCCTGCCTCAATGTTCTTCCTGAACGCCTCTGCCGTGGCCCCCGATCGCGTGAAGATAGCTGTGCCGTTGCCGTACTCATTGCTGTTGATAAGCTCTATAGCCTCATCCAGTGTGTCGACGTTAAGGGTCACGAGTACCGGTCCAAAGATCTCCTCCTTGTAGCACTTCATGTCCGGCGTCACGTTGCTGATGATAGTCGGGCCCACCCAATTGCCGTCGGGGTACTTAGCCGGCTTGTATCCACGCCCATCTAATAGAATCGTTGCGCCCTCTTTCTCAGCACTAGCGATCAAACTCTCGATCCGCTCTTTACTCTGCGGCGATATGATAGGGCCCAGGTCCGCACCCTTCTCAAAGCCACCGTTAACCTGAAGCTTCTTCGCGCTCTCAGCCAGCTCCGACAGCCATTCCTTGGTCTCGCCAACCATGACTAGCGTACTGAGAGCCATACACCTTTGACCAGCGGCGCCGAAAGCGGCACCTGCAACGGCGTTGATAAAGTGGTTCTTGTTGGCGTCCTGCATGACAACACCATGGTTCTTAGCGCCGAGGTTGGCTTGCACCCTCTTGCCGTTCGCGGACCCTCGAGTGAATATGTACTCGCCCGCCTTATTACCTCCCACGAAGCTAATCGCCTTGATCTCCGGGGCGTCCAGGATGAAATCAACCGTCCGGTGTGCACCGTGTACCACATTGATCACGCCATCCGGGAATCCAGCTTTCTTCGCCAACTCGACCAAGATCATCGCCGCGCCGGGATCTCTCTCAGACGGCTTCAAGATCATCGTGTTGCCGGTCACCGTAGCGATAGGGATACACCAAAGCGGAATCATAGCCGGGAAATTGAACGGGCAAATCGCGGCCACGACACCCAGCGGCTCCTTATAGCTCCTCGTCTCCATATCCTTCGCCACCTCAAGCACTTCCCCCTTCAACAGCTCCGGCGCCCCGCACGCCGCCTCCGCGACCTGTAGACCCCTCAGCACATCGCCCTTAGCATCCGCGAATGTCTTCCCCTGCTCCAACGTGATGCTCGCGGCCAGCCTGTCCCAATTCTCTCTAATAAGTGCCACGAACTTGAACATGATCTGCTGTCTCGCGAGAACGCTAGTGTCCCTCCACGCCGGGAACGCCTTCTGCGCGCTCTCAACCGCCGCCCTCAGCTCCTCATCCGTATTCTGCGGGACGCGGGTGACTAGGTGATTTGTAGCCGGGTCGCGGAGCTCGATGAACTTATCCGCCTTACTAGCCACGAACGCATTGTCGATGAAATACGGCGTATCCTCCGGCTGTGGGATGCGCTCGTGGGTCGTCGGGAAGCTGGTCGCCGTCGACGCTAGTGCGCTGTACGGCCGCAGATGCTGGGCCGTCGCTGCTATACGCCTGGCTGCCGTTGCTCTAGACGCCATTTTGGATGTCAATGTGTGAGGTGAAGTGGTTGAAGCCGAGGTAGAGTACGAGAGACGGGTGGCGGTACGGCCTGCGTTGGCAGTGATGCTTCGCGTGCGGGCGAGACGGTGCATGATGAATTGCCGAAAGAATACAACTGTAACAATTCGACTCAATTCGATAGAAACGAAACCCCTTTGTCTTATTATGAATGCTACCTAGGTGCTGGACGAAGAAACAGCCACCGAAGAGTATTGTATGTCCCAGAAGGGAAGGATAGCGTTATCGGGGTGGCCATCGCTGAGACCAATTATTTAACAAAGGAATCGGATCTGATAGGAGGGGTAGCTGCTTCACCGTGCACTTGTACATACCAACCGTGGGAAGGTGGGAAGAGTTGCCGCTGCAAGCCGAAACCCCGAATGCCGGATAGACCGTGCTAAGCAAGCTGACTGGGGTAAGCTGGGGTAATTACGTTATGGCGGAAGTAAGCAAGAGAAGCTCTATTTCGTATCGATACGTAGGTAACTAATAGATACCTAGTCTCCCCTTTGAAGACATTATTTAATAATAATCATGAATTTTTAAGATAATAGGGGCACAACGATTGAAGCTGAATGGTGCCTATGGCTAAAAAAAGTTATTAGCAATTTATACATATGTATTACCGACTTAGTTATCAGATTCGATGTCAATTGACTAAACTAGCTCGAGTCAACTGTCGTATCTATCCTATCCGATAGAATGCTATCGTCCTTGCACCCACACGCCAGTAGTGCGACGCCAATAACAATTGAAAGAATACAGTAAGGAGTATAGTCATATTTTCACAGCCGACAATCGTCTTATTAGTTGTTCTCGAAACTGTACTTGAGCCAACCACCAAGAGCTCGCAAGCTCTCCCACCGCACAGTTTCGTCTGAATCTTGCATCAGCTCCATGATGCGAGCCTTCAAGCCCAACTTCTCGAGTTGGTATCTCTTCTCCGGGACCTCTCTAACTAGATATCCAATATCGTTGCAAGCAATTGCAAGGACTGCCTTGTCATTTTCCCAAGGCTTCTTCATGATATCTGCTATTTTTCGCGGAATCTCGCCGTTCTCAAACTCAAGGATCTTCCTCGAATTCTCAGCCCAGAAGACTTCGTGACGGTGGGGCGGTGACCATCTTAGATGTCCAGATTGAACCTCAGCGACGTACTCGTCAAAGGTAGTCTTGGTCTTCTGGTATTCCTCAAGCATCTCCTTAAGCTTTTCCAAATCCTCTAGTAAATCCGGGTCTGTTAGGTGACGGCCGCCAACATTTTGAAGTAAACCGGGAAGTCTAGCGAGGACCGCGGTAGGAAGTAGCGTGGACGGGTTGGCTTCGAGAAGGTTATAGAGCGTCGATAGGAGGAGCCGAGTAGTCTTCTCTTTTGGTGAAAGTCGTAATAGTTGAGTATATAATAGAATGATGTCGTATTCACTATAATTGTGTTAGCTGTAGCTGTTAGAATATCACTATATCGTGTTTCGTACTCATTTAGGTCATCGCCAACGTCTTCTGCTTCAAAGCTCAGTTGCCATAATACAAGTAGTACATGGTATAACAGCTGCAACCCAACTCCGCCGCTGATACCTTCGAAGCCTCCGCTTCTTGTGGTTGTGTTTCCACTCCAAAGGCTGGCCGAAGACTCATCACCGACACCGGCCGCTTTTCGGAGGATTTCGATTAAGGGCGCAACAGTCTCGCTTCTTTGCTTCCAGAAGAGCTGTCGAGATGATCGCCCATATAGAAGTGACGAATACTCCATGACTGCAATGTCTTGTAACCCCGCATCGTTCGAGTTCTTTACCAAACCGCAGAGGTAGGTCAGTAAAAGAGGTAGGGCGTTTTCTGTCGCCGCAGATTCATCTCTTGAGTTGGCCATAAGCGTGGTCAGGACAGTAGATGTAAGTAGGGGGATAGGATCTTCAGAGTTGTTCGACCGCGCAAGTAGGGGTAAGAAATGTTGATACGGGTTCGAGTCTTTGAAAAGCGCTTTTGCTAGAGACGGGACACCTAAGACGACGCGAGTACGTTAGTTTGCTAGTTTAGCATGCGTAGGTATTGAGGTAAATAGCAAACGTGATGGGTATGACAGTCGCGGGTTCCTTAATGTAGCCACCTAGGTAGGTAGGTAGGTAAGACGGGTATACAGGTTAGAGGTACGACGCACCTTCGAGTAGGTCACTAAGTAAGACCAAAATGTATTGAACAACATCGGAGCGCTTGCTTGCCAACTCTAAGACACCAGGTGTGCCCGGCTCTCCAACAAATAGTATTCGGTAACTATCCAAGTCACCCTCAACTACTTGTTTTCTCTGTTCCCTTTTTACTTTGTCAACAGCCCTTATCTTAGCCAATTGAGCTTCTGTAATGGTGCGGGCCCTAGCTGCGCCATCCCAGGGAATCGGTCGCTGACGGATGTTGTTCTGAAGCGAACCGAGGTAGGGAGGGGGGTCGAGAGACATGATGGGATCGTCGAGGTTGGAGATTGGAAGTTGGGAGGAGTTTATGATGTCGAAGTCGGAAGTACTCGAACTAGAAACGAGCTCGGCGTGGCAGGGTGGATGATGATAGAGCTTCCTGTATTGTGTAGGTATTGAAGCTAGATAACCAGGTAACAACTTTGATGAGGGCAGTTCCAGGCTGCGCTGAGATTGGTGTGTTTAGATGTGACACAAGGCTTTCAAAGCTCGGAACCAGTCGACGTTTGAGAAGCTGAAGGTCTCCAGGTCCCATGCGCATTTTGCAGCGTTGCAATAAGCTACCGGCTTAAGTGGGTCTTCCGTCATAAGCACATGCAGCTGCCAACGTAACTGCCCTTAAATATCTTGAAATTTGAACTCAAATGCTCAATGGATATAAGCATATTGACTATAATCTACTAGATACTATTTACTGTATATTTTGAATAATCTCTAATACATAGTGTTTGTTTCTTAGATACGTTGTATAAAACATTTGTTCAACAGGTAACATTGAAGTTATTAATATTGTAAATAGTCGGGCGAATAGGCAATATTCCTAGCACGCATTGATGTATGACATCCATGGATATGTAGAGTCCCATTCTCTAACGACGTACAAGGCTGTACATATTATCCCATTCTCTGTTTTCTTCTTACCCATACCTCTTGATCATCTCCTTTCTCGTTGCCTACTCCGGCCCGTGTATCGGGATCGGGACGCAGTTGAACCTCCCATATACCGAGCTTATAATTGGCACGGTCTGCTTTGCCGGTAAACAGATCAAACGACCAGCCATGCTTCGGGCAGGTGATCCCAACACTCAACGTGATGCCGAAATCCTCAATATCAAATGGGATTCCTTCGGACAGCGGATATGATGAATGCGGACATCTCTTTTCTCACTCGCATTAGCAATTATATTCTCGCAAGAGTCCAAGTATATGTTTCTTATATATTACATTGTTGACAGCATGAAGCTTGCCGTTATACTTGAACACAAGCACCTGGTCTCTGAGGTCTCCTTCCTCGTGAAACATTGAATCGCCCTCGATTTGGTGTGCCTGGGAACTGTCTGTAGCGGGAACGTGGAACACCTTGCATCCAGGAACTGAATCCTGTCCGGTACAAGAACGTTGTTCGGATAGACTAGCGTTGTTAGAGTTGGTTATGTCAGGAAATGACGAGACTAGGCCAACGCAGAACCACGCATCACCTTTCCGGGATGGAGCTGAAAACACCGAAAACAGGGAAGCCATGTGGTGTTCTCAACATTTCCACGACGATGCTAAAGTGCTAAAATATATAAGATATAGTATGTCGTTTTTAAGGTCCCCCAACCTTGGGCTTGGTTCGGAGTAATTGTAATTTGGAATTTGAGAAAAGTTTACGACGGAAAGCGATAACGGGGTTCTTTTAGATAAGCACCTGTCTAAAACTCTACCTACTAAATTACGTCCATACATATTACACCTTAAGAGAGAATTCCTAGACTTCTAAAATACCCAGCTTGAAGTTTTTTTTTACGATTTTCAGCTTTTATATCTCGAGAATCATTTGTAAAGTTTCGAAACAACACGTCAAAATCGATCTTTACAAGGAATTTGTGGATCCGATTTATGGGTTTGTCCGTCCCCCTTGCACTTTCCCTCTTGCATCGGGCTTTATGTATGGTGTGTTCAGGGACAAATGTGAGTAACACATAGTAACCCTCGAGTTCGAAAAAGAATGCAGACCTTAGCGGTGATGCCCATTATCTGAGCAATGGGATGGTTTCCATAAAAGGTCAAGAACCTTGGTGGGTCGCCGATGAAGCAGGAGCCTGTGATTGGGAAAGGCGTTCCTGACTGGGTGAGGGGCGTGGTGGACCTACTTGGGCGTAATCGATTATCGCTGTTACAACGGCACGGGTCACAATCAACAAGTTTGCACTTTTCGCATTTTTCGCACTTACACTTGCATGGATCTCTGCCAACTCACCATCGCATCTACGTTTGTACATCGTACATCTTGCATATGGTGATATACCTAGTAGGGTTGATTTTTATGAACTTCTTGTTTAAGCTGTACGATCCGAATCAATTGAAGCTAAGGATAATAGTACAGAATAAAAGCGCATAAGTATCATTCTAAACCACTTGACAAATTAAAAATTTCTGGGCAGGTAGGCAGGTAGGCTATAACTTGACATCAGAGGGTGAAAACCCCTGTCGATTCCAACCACCGCTGTTTTCGACTTTCGAGAGAAAGCATCACCACCCAGCCCCGCGTCATTTCTGGCAGTCACCTCCTCGTACTTAGGAGGTTGGGAAATTGTAACCCACCAGTAAAATATCCAATGTGTTAATGCATTTTGCACCTGCATTAAGTGAACAAGCTAGAAATCTTCTTCCAGACTTTCTGCTTTCCACTTTCTACTCTTTTCACATCTTCTTTACTCTATTTTCCGTCACTTGTATTTTCTACGGAAAGGCGGTTTTTCGTGTCACCGTCAATTACTAACCCTCACAGCTAAATTCTGTTTTAAGCTTGGTGGTACAATTAAGACCAAGTTATTTTTGGGAATGTATGTCTCTTATCTTTCCTAACTTTCTTGACGAAGCCGCATTCCTCGGTTTGCAATTAATATACTAATTAAGTTTAAGTTGTTGGAGGAGGTAAAGAGGTCACCAAATCATCGGCCTTGGTGAGCAAGAGCTTGTCTCAGTCGCATTCCAATCATCCACGAGTCGAGTCCGCCTTTAGACGGAACTTAGACAAGATGCGACCCAACCAAAGCCAAAGTTTACTTCTCCCCTTATTATTCAACCTCGTTGTCGCTCACCCTTACCCGGCCGACGAACTTAAAGATGCCGGCTTTGGATACCTTATGAACCGCGCATGCGCATCGTACTGCGGCGCTGACAACCAATACTGCTGTTCCGATGGCGAATCGTGCACCACATCAGCCGGTATAGCAAGTTGTGCCGCGTACAATTTTTACACAACTACCTGGACTGAAACGAAAACGTACACCAGCACATTTAGTTCCGCCTTAGGTGCGTCGACAGCAGCAGCCGGAGGTGTGGATTGTATACCACCAGCAGGGTCCGGACAAATCGCATGTGGACCTATTTGCTGTGCGACCTGGCAGTACTGTGCTCGCAGTGGACAATGTCTGCCAAACGCCGGCGCTAGCTCTTACACCCAATGGACCTCAGTCGGCGTTATCACGACGCAATTCTCAGCGCCCTACCGAGTCACGAGCGGCAGTACCATCATACAAACTTCAGAACCTACCACTACCGGTACTGCAGCCAGCGAGACCCAGTCATCTACTACCACCGCCGCCCCTGCTCCGGTCGCATCCACTAGCGGCTCTCTAAGCGGAGGCGCAATCGCTGGTATCGTTATTGGTACAATTGCTGGCGTGCTCTTATTACTACTACTCTGCTTCTGTTGCATCGCTAGAGGGCTATGGGGTGTATTCGCGTCAGCCCTCGGTTTGGGCGGTAAGAAGAGAAGAAAGGAGGAAGTCGAGATTATTGAAGAACGATATTCCAGACGCGGAAGCAGGCACGGCAGCATGTATGGCGCGGGGGCAGGCGCCGCACGACCGGTACACCGAACATGGTTCGGCGGCGGTGGGGGCCGACCCACGTCAGCCGCCGGCCGAAAAGAAAAGACTTCAGGGAGCGGCGCAGGTTGGCTCGCCGCCAGCCTGGGCGCGGCAGCTCTCGTTTTAGGCCTGAAGAGGGATGAAAGGCGTCGCGCTAGCAGCTCAAAGCCGCCTCATGGAGGTAGCGAATGGAGTAGTTCGTACTATACTGACTCCTATTCTGCAAGCAACCCTAGTGAGTTTATCCCTCAAAGATAAACTCCAAGAGGGTTATTACTGACCAATTTTCTCACAGGCAGCCGAAGTTCGGATCGAAGAACGCGACGATCGGGTAATTCCAGAGCGACAAGAACATCGAGGCCCTCGAGGGCTTCGCGGTCGAGACGAGGCTAGAAGCAAGTTCCACCGCGATCGCGTCCTCCTGTAATTTACGAGTCTTCGGTCCTAAATTGAGTTCATAAATCCTTTTTTTGTCGCGAGATCTTTTTTTCCTTTGCTCCGACACCTCGGCATACATACCATACTATCATACGACCAATACCTTCGGCACGAAAACGGCGTTTCGGAATTCGAATTTGGGTTTTTTTTTTCATTGCTCCTTTCTCCATTTTAGACTTAATTCTTTCACGAAGATGTGCGACGACGCCCGACCAAAGACGCAACGAAAACTTGAACACATTTCATACGAAGGAATGGTATGGAAGATGAAATATGAATAGGGGGTTAAGATAAGCCTCCGAAATGAATGTACATACGAAAGATAATGAGGAAGAAGGGATTTCGAGGGCGAAGTGAGTGAGAACGGTATGATTCCCAAGGGCTAGGATCGAAGGGCCTGGCAATGAAAGGAAATGGAAACGATGTGGATGCGTAGATAGTTACGAATGGACGTTCAGTGCTGCGTGGGGTTTCCCCATGGCGAACTGAGATCGGATGAATTTTATGACTGTCAACGTGAGTTGAATTTGGTAGCCTTTGTGACGTGAAAATAGATGTCGTAATTTCTAACTACTGATTAGTCACGTAGCTTCGTTTTAGAGTTTCATTCTAGGAACTTACTGGAATTTGTACTTACCCCTATTTCGAAATCCATAAACGTTATTCATGGCACCGAGCCTGAATTATGGCGCAAATTCAGGGATATCTGGATATTTATAGACAGAAGAAGGGGAATGAGTTATAGAGTTAGTACTGTAAACTATCGTGTAATACTTGTTGACTAGAGTATGAGGGTCAAATTCGAAGTTAGAGTATCTCACAAACTGGCGAGGATTAATAGATCGCAGCCTAGTCGTATGTACTATTCGCCTCGAAAGGATTTCACGTTTTTCGTAGTTACTATGGGAATTCTAAGGAGGTATCATGGCCCCAAGCTCATAATTCAGACGAGGACCGTTGAAGAAAAGCATTTGCTCAGAATTCTTAGTATTCGGTTCCGTTTTTCGTAGCTATTTTGCTACGTGATGCACATGAACCCCTGCGACTCCGTATTGAGACCCAGAAAGCAAACAAACCATTGTGTCCATCCCCCCATTTATGCGTCATCCACGACGTTGCCCTTCTCGGAAACGTACATGCCGTCCAAGAACTAGGGATTTGTTAGCATATCAGATATAGTGAATAGGTAGGTTATAATTGGTCGAGCGCACCTTTCGGATATCCTTGTTTCGGACTCGGCAGATCTGTTGAATGTCGGCAGCACTTTGAGATACATCCTCGAGGGAGTTGCCGAGGAGAAGGAGCTCATCCTTCTGTGCTGTGGAGATCTGGACATCGACACCGGGCTGCATGACGACTCTTCGGACGAGCTTCTCGCCGATGAAGTTTCTGTTATGGATCGATTAGTTATCCCGTCCAGCTATATATCCATCTGCAATCGTTTCGCAGGAGACTCAAACATACCGGATCTCGACTTCGAAGTTGCCAGTCTCGCCGTTCTTCTCGACGTTGACGTTGATGGGGAAATGGGCATAGACGTAACGCATCTTGTACTTGAAGCCCTTGGTGACACCGACGACCAAGTTGTTGATTAGGGTTCGGACAGTTCGTAGGGTAGCGACATCCTTTCGCGATCCGTGGTGAATCTCAATGCCAATAACATTCTTCTTCGGCCGCGAGAAGTTGACAGCGATGTGGCTCAGATCCTTAGATAGCTTGCCTGTTTTCTTCATTAGATTCCTTTGCGCCTATAGAATTCGAATTGATTTTCGTTGGTAGAAGGGACTATCGTACCTCGGGGGCCCTCGACGGTGACGTTACGAGACTTGATGTGGACCTTGACTATTTCGTAGATCGCATGTCAGTATTTGCTTGATGTTATCGTAAAAAAATAATGTCCTGTCCAACCAGATCCAAAGATTTAAATATCCAGAATATCTATATGCGACAGCTGCGCTTCTAGTAAATAAATCGAAATCGTAAACGTACCTCCCTCAGGAATCTCCAAGGTCTCTAAGCTGTGAATGTATCGCATCTTGACGGTTCAGGTGAGAATGTGGCGGGGAAATGGACCTGTAAACCGGAAGAATATGTGAGTAAGTTGTGAAAATCTGAGGGCCAGCAGATGTAAAATTAACGGAATAAACAAAGATGGACGCAAATGATTGAGAATTGTATTAGGCGCGGGGGTCTTCACGTACCTGAAGTTGATGCTGTCTTGAACGGGGAGAAAAAATCACCAAGTGCCAAACTCTAGAAAATCAATTGAGGAAATTCGTTGTGGCCGGTCGCTAAGCTAAAATTGGGGTAAAACTGCGGAAATTCGGTACCTGTGTACTTAACATTTATTCAATTAGGGCTTTCGGGTTCAAGCAAGTGGCGGGGCAGTATGTGGCTAGTGCATTTCGGTCATCTGTGGCTAAATATCAATTCTCAAATTCTAATGTGAGGCTGAAGCTTAAGCCACACTAGACTCAACTTGGACCCAACTAAATTGATGAATGTCCAATCGACCCGGAATTGAATGTGGGGCCTTACAAGGCAGGAGGATAACAGTCAGTTACTTGTGAAGCCTTCAACAACGAGTGACATAACAGCGATTTCAACAGCCAATTCGCCTCTCCTTAACTCCGTAATCGCCCAAGATGTCGTACTTTTTCGCTACCCCGGTGGATATTGATATCGTCCTCGAAGACAGCGATGAGCGCCAAGTAGTCGACATAAGAGAAAAACAGCGTCGCGAGAAGGCGCCGCTGTATATGGATGGCGAGTCTGTTAAGGGGCAAGTCACAGTGCGCCCGAAGGATGGGAAGCGTTTAGAGCATACAGGAATCAAGGTCCAGTTCATCGGCACGATAGGTTTGTTATTCCCTACTATCCAGTTTATATGTTATCTCCTACCTTGGCATGGCACTGGATCGATATAAGAGCTTCCGACAGGAGCTGACGCAACCAAATAGAAATGTTTTTCGACCGAGGCAACCACTACGAATTCCTCTCGCTAAACCAAGAACTCGCGGCGCCGGGCGAGCTGCAGCACCCGCAAACCTTTGACTTCAACTTCAAGAACGTCGAAAAGCAGTACGAGTCGTACAACGGCATCAACGTGAAGCTGCGGTACTTCGTGCGCGTCACCGTCGCCCGCCGCATGGCCGACGTCATCCGCGAGAAGGACCTCTGGGTATACTCCTACCGTATCCCGCCAGAGATGAACTCCTCCATCAAGATGGACGTCGGTATCGAGGACTGCCTACACATCGAGTTCGAATACAGCAAGAGCAAGTACCACCTCAAAGACGTCATCGTCGGCCGTATCTACTTCCTCCTCGTCCGTCTCAAGATCAAGCACATGGAGCTTAGTATTATCCGGAGGGAGACCACCGGCGCCGCCCCGAACCAATATAACGAGAGCGAGACCCTTGTGCGCTTCGAGGTGAGTTTCATTCCAAGTCCTAATCTTACAAATCATATCCCATCCTTATCAAACCTGAAACTGTGACGGTTGGCTAATTCAGTATTACGATAGATAATGGACGGTTCCCCCTCCCGAGGCGAGACAATTCCCATCCGCCTCTTCCTCGGAGGCTTCGACCTGACTCCGACGTTCCGCGACGTGAACAAGAAATTCTCAACACGGTACTACCTAAGTCTGGTCCTGATAGACGAGGACGCTCGACGATACTTCAAGCAATCCGAGATCATCCTATATCGGCAGGCTCCGGATGCTGCCGCGAACGGAGACCCGCAAGGGGTAGTATCGGTTCCGGAATCAACGCGTCCGCCTCTACCACCACTCCAAGCATGAAATGGATCTAAGTGAAGAATAGGATTATGTCTGTTTTTGTTCTACTACTATGTGTTGACCTGTTCTCTGTACATTCTTATTCACCCAAGGTCGAGCATTGTCGGCACGGCGTTTAGTGGTCTTTGATTAGCATGTGATCAAGTCAGAAGAGCCAAGGCGTTACTCGTGAGGGTTGTAATTTAGTCAAGCAAAAAAATCCCGTTGCAATTCGCATTTTTTCCTACCACGCAGGCCTGAGGTCTATCTTATAGCTCAGGAGGTATCATCCAGTTAAACAAGCCATGTTATACATTTGCGATCGTTCCCCATTATGAATCGCTCTACCCTGAAATCATAGGATCTCCATCTCATCATCAGCGGCGAACCCGAATTGGTCATTGTGGATCGCTGCGATACGGTCAAGTTCGTCCTGATACTCCTTTCGGATATCAGCCAGAGTTACCACTCTCCGCTTAGGAGTGCCGTTTGTGCCCGATTTGGTTGGGTGCGGTTGACCTTCAATTGTGATCCATGCCTGCTTCGGGTCTACACAACTCAAGACATTGATAAGCATCAAGTATTGTCTCGTCACAGCCGTGTCCAGAATATCATCACCAGTTACCTGATCGCCTTCGCCGAGTTGTCTAAGCTTTTGAATGCGATCGAGTAAAATTGAGGCAGCACCGCGGTAATCATTACGCTTGATGCGCCAAGCGTAGAGGATCTGGTGATAAGGTACGCCCGTGATGACGTCAACAGTATCTTGACAATGCTGCGCAAGAATGTCGTCGACCGCAGTTTGTAGGCCCGGGAAAGTAAAATTGACAAGTTCGGAGTTGTGAAGGTTATCGCACATCCTCTGGAGAAGCGCTCGTAGACATGAGTGCTGCAGAGCGCGGTCCTTCATCGCCACCACGGTCGAATGAGCCGTCTCAAATTGCGAGGTAGCCAGCGCGCCACTAAAGAGGCGGCACTGGATTTCTGTTCGGACCTTATCCGCATCCTCGGTCGTGCGAGTGACAAATTGGAGTGACAGGCGGGCGAAATCGATAACAAAGGAGTAAGCCTTCTGGTGTTCAAAGAGGGCGACTATGTGTGCGTAATAACGTGGTAACCCGGCGAAAAGTAGATTCCATTCTGTTTCGTCAAGAAGACCGCTACTGTGCCTTTCAGGATTCGCCTGTGGTACACCTAAATCCATTATCAGCTAAGTTTTATAAGACTCGTCATTAGTCACATACTCATTCCATATGCTGCCTTCTTAAAAAAAGTGGCGGCAGTCCTAAAGTCTTTAAGAGCAAGGTATACGCGCCCTTGCACGTAAGTTGAGAATGGGTCCTGTTCGCAGAAGGGAGTTAACTCAACGGCAAGATCTGCCCTATCTCTAACGAGTAGGCCGCATTGGATGTATTGAGGTTGCAGCTCCACATTACTAGCAGGCGCACAAAGATCGGCAACAATGTTCGTGATCCAGGAAGGCATTGCGCCCGTGTGAATTGAGGCAAGACCGGGTAATTCGAGAAGGTGTCCTACGTTGCCCTCAAGAGCGGTAAGGACTCTGTGTTCCTCAACCTGTCGTTTCGAGTTTACGGGGGAGCTTCCCGACACAGAGTTTGACTTGTCGGCCTTTGGTAGCGGCGTTGTGATCTGGGTATTGGCAAGCCATCGCAGAAGTTCAAGTCTTCTTAGTATTATAAGCAAGTTGCGATATATAACGCCAACCTCGACGCTATTATGAAGAGCATCCTCTGGGCTGTCGAATTCGAATTCCATATGAACAAGAAGGATTAATTGGCTAAAGCAGATATGCCATTGCAATTCGGCCAAGTCCTGAACCGATCTAACAATGATTTTGCGCCCAAACTCCGTAAGAGGCAGTTCGGTTGGATGTGAAGGTTCCCAGGTTTCGTTGAACGTCGCCAGCACCCGGTCATATAAGCGTGTCGTTACTAAGTTGAAGTTCGGTCCTAGAGTATCAGTCACTTGGGCCGCATCTTCATCAGATATTTGTCGCCAGAATCCTGCCTTATCCGAGACGAACTGGAGTCGTTCCTGATCCGACTTCGACGACTCTTCAAACATCTCTGGCCGTAGGACGGAATGGCAAATCTGTAACATGCTATCCGAAAACCCCTCGACGAAGTTAACCCCAGAGGTAACGAGAGCGGGAACCTCTTTTGACCCCTCAAATGTCGAGTTTGGATTATGACAAATCTGTTCCAACTCACAGCATTCTCTAATTGCAGAGACGCTGTCGGCGCACACAACCCACGGCATTCCCGATTCCGATTCGTATGATAGTGACAGCGCTTCACTACGCGGCTTATCGAGCTCGAGTAGAATTCGGTAGAATTTTCGCCATTGCATCTCGCTAGAGTTTCTGAATTGCTCGTGGTCCATATCGCCTGATGATGTCTTATTCAACGACGAAGTGGAGGCGATAGCGGAGCAGATCGATTCAGCCAGGCCTTGACCATTACGCGACGAGGTACGGCCGTGTCTACCAATAGCTCCCTCGTAGGCGCCTAGCGCAGCCTCAACAGTCGCTCTTGGAAATCTTCCCGGGAAGAAAATGAGTTGAAGCCATTTTTCTGTAGGATCGGTGGGGTCGGATGAGCTAGATACTTGTGCGGTTGGTATGGCTGTGTCGGAGAAAACAGATCGCCAACGGCTCTCCCAAGCCTGTACAAGCTCTTCTAATAGGAATGTTAACTCCTGCACCCGATATGCCATGTTGTTTTTCCATAGGAGCCACATTCTGAACTCATCGGTTGCAGAGCGTTGTGCCACGCTGAAATCAGCGAGAGTCCAAACATCTGATCCGAGTGGAGGATTGGGAATGAAATTCCTGGCGGGGAAGAGATCATCCGCCTGGATAGTCGTGCCGTTATCAGATTCAATCATCCAGAACTTGAATTCTCCGGGTCCAACTGGCGAATAAGTCACACCTAATCTCCTTCCTTCAGTGTCGCCCACGATACGGATCAGGTTCGTTTGCGTCGCATCCAACTGCCACTTCCCCGTCTCCTGTGGATCTCTTGCAGAGTTGTTTAGTAGGTCTACAGCCTCTAGAATAGTACCACTATTAAGATTCCAAATTCGTAGACGATGATCGAGACAGACCGTAAACAGGAACGATGCGTTGTTGAGTCCCAGATCCGTATGGACAGCAGCGGCGGCGGCCTTGATATCTAAATCTCCCCGACCTCCCAGTAGACTTCGGAACCAGCCTTTTGCGTTATAAAAGGTCTCCTTCCATGGCATCTGAGAGGCTAGATTATCTAACGTTAGACTGATTGGTATTACGCACGGGAGAGGTAGAGCATACCGGTATGGGATGTATTCTTATCAAGGCGAATGTGGCCACCATCGGAGAGTGTTGCGACCAGCTGATCACAATTCACTGCAACAAGTCTATACGGATGCTTGAACCCCCCTCGGAAGGCATTAGGTTGGAAAATCTTGCAAGAATCTCCAAGTCCCGATTCGGCAAACGAACGCTTTCGGAAGGAGTCCGGTCGTAAAAAGATGTTGTACATTTGGTTGGCAGTATCGAGGATGAAAATACTGAGCGCATCGTGATCTGGTGGGTCGCAGAAGGCAACGCAAGTAGGTATAATCGGTTGTTGGAAGTGGAAGTTCAGAACGAGGTTTGCGTCGGAAGCTTTCTTAGGTTTGCAGATATCGACAGTTCGTATACTTAAAACAGTATCATCTTCGAGAATTCGCCAAAGGAAACCTCTAGGAAAGTTATGGTGTTTTCGGTAGTATATGGCAGAGGTGGTAGCTCGAGGGGTGTTGTTCTTGGCGATCCCTTTAGTTGACTTGCTGGGTCTTCGCGAGCTTCGTGTTTGAGAACTCGTCGAAGGGAGCTCGATGTCAACAATGTACGAACTGGAAGATGGCTCCAAGTTAAGGCGCGTCTCCTTGTACAAATATGACGTGGTAGCCATACTAAATGCGATGCCCTTCAAAACGAAGGGTCAATGTCGCTAAGAAAATTGCTTGTAGAGGAGCGCGCAATGGGAAGGAATTCGGAGCTCAAAAAACAACTTCTTAGAATTGAGAAGCGTAAATGGTTGCTGGGTACAGGCTAAACCTTGAAATGGTCCTAGCTGATCTTATCGATAAGTTTATTCGTAAATCGTGACTGCCAAGGTGCCTAGTAGGCAGTTGGTCACTGTGAGTTGATTTCTCGGCGGCTGCCTGCAGTTGTCAGTGGGTCAGCAATCTAGTTAAATTGATAAATTGTTCACGTGTTTCCGCGATTTCCAACTGTTTCCCTTGTCACACCCCGCGTCGACGCGTTCCAAGATCCTAAAATCTCAAGTTAGGCTTGCACAACCTGTGGACTTTTCCCCCTCTTGACATCGCTTGTTAGATCCATCCATATACTACCTATCTAGCCAGGATTAGATTCCAGTAATTTACAAATATGGCAGAAGAGTATGAGGAAGGTGCTGGAGATGAGAGCGGAATGACTGGCCCTGGCGCGCCGACGCCTATCTTCGCTTTAGATGTAAGGCAACTAAATCGATGAAGAATAGCATTTACATACATAAACTAACCCTTATACTAGGGCCTCGCGGGCTTAACGAAGCGCGATTGTCAGCTTCTAGCAGATGGCGGCTACCAGACTGTTGAATCAGTCGCCTATACCCCTAAGCGCGCTTTGGAATTAGTAAAGGGTATATCCGAGCAGAAGGCTACTAAGATCCTTGCAGAAGCTTCCAAGCTCGTGCCCATGGGCTTCACAACCGCAACAGAGATGCACCAACGGCGTAGTGAACTAATCTCCATCACCACGGGATCGAAGAATCTAGACACACTACTCGCCGGCGGTGTCGAAACTGGTTCAGTAACCGAACTCTTCGGCGAGTTCCGTACCGGAAAGAGTCAAATCTGCCACACTCTCGCGGTTACGTGTCAGCTTCCCTTCGACATGGGCGGCGGCGAGGGAAAGTGTCTATATATCGATACAGAAGGCACCTTCCGTCCTGTCCGTCTCCTTGCCGTGGCCAACCGGTACGGTCTCTCCGGCGAGGAGGTCCTGGATAATGTTGCGTATGCACGAGCATACAACTCCGACCACCAGCTACAGCTACTAAACCAGGCTGCATCAATGATGTGCGAGACACGGTTCTCGTTGCTCATCGTAGACAGCGCTACATCCCTCTACCGCACAGATTTCCTCGGTCGAGGAGAGCTGTCCTCGCGACAAACCCACTTGGCAAAGTTCATGCGCACCTTACAGCGACTGGCCGACGAATTTGGAATAGCCGTGGTCATCACGAACCAGGTGGTAGCCCAGGTCGACGGCGGCCCTAGTGCCATGTTTAACCCAGACCCGAAGAAGCCGATCGGCGGTAACATCATCGCACACGCCAGCACGACGCGAGTTAGTTTGAAGAAGGGCCGCGGCGAAACCCGTATTGCGAAGATTTACGATAGTCCATGCTTACCGGAGAGTGATTGTCTATTCGCCATTACTGAGAGCGGTATCGGTGATCCAGCTCCGAAGGATATGGAGAAGGATTAATAGCTCATCTTACTACTTCTATATTCAGGAATGATGGAACGGGAAACGCAACGACTAGCTACGGGATACGATTTGGCTTTTTTACTCGACAGGCATGCATGGCTTCGGCGTTCAGAAGGGGGGTTTGACTGCATGCTTGAGGCTTCGTTTTATCGCAATCGTCTATTATGCTTTCTATGTATTGGAAGCATCATATCTTAAGGCTAACAGGTGTAAGATGGCTTTGCTTTACTATCTTACCTCTGCAAGACATAATTGCTTTAATAAATTGTAAGATCATCTCCAAGATTGACTTGTGACGCCTTTACCTGACAACTTAGTATGAAGTTGATTCTCCCACCGGGGAATGTGACATGGCAGCCCGTAGATCGCACAGGGGCAGATGTCGGGCATCAGCCCCTCGCTAGCGCTTCGATAATCTGACGCCAATCTCACTAAAGATCTGGTCTAGAACAAACCTCGTAAACTAAGCGATTATGTCTTCGTTATTAAAACTAGAGGGGTTGCCATCCTTTTTACACGTACATAAGTTTTGTTACTTCTCATCCATGTGACTGCTTATAAATTCTCGTATGTGTTACTCGATGGTGATGATCAACAGCATATGATGTGGGGATTTAGGTTATACACAACCTTAGAACTTACTAACTTCGCCGCGTCATCTCGGCAACCCCCGTTTTATCTAAGCCAGTCACCAACTTCAGAGAATAAGACATCACACATACATTCCACGATCAAACGCTTCGAATTAATTATGTATACGCCCCATAACGCTCCAGCGCAGCAAGCGAGTGTTCCCTCTCTCACCCCCACTCGTTTTGCGCCCGGTATTCAGAAGATTTCAGTTAATTATTCTGTGAGATTTTCCGCTTCCCCTTCCATTCCTTCTATAAACGCCAATATCGATGCCAGCCCATTCCGTCCCGTCTTGATGTAACTACCTTCTAGAATCGCTTGAGCAAAATGCTATCTACATTCTTCCGCTATGGTATGTGGCTAGAGGCTCGAGCAACGACGTTCTAGAAACCGCTTGCGCAATGTTTAAACATCATCGTTTCCTCTCTATCTACACCCCGTATGTACAGTGCATCGTCACCTCATCTCAGTCCTATCTCTTGATGTGCGATCGCGACTTTTTTTCTGAATTTTATTATTGCTATGCCTCCTCGACTGGCTGTCTTCCATCTCGTTTTGACTATTGGACCGACTGAAAGTTCCAGCAGGTAATACTTCGAATCCCGCATTCACTTTCCTACTAGCCGTGTTTGCGTGAGAGTCGCCCGAGTATGATCGATGGGGTGTCGGTCTGCTTGCAGCTAGCGGAGGTCGAGGAACTTGTTGCTTTTCAGAAGGCGTTTCGAACGGATTTCTTCTCTGCTCGGTATATTCGCCAAAGAAATCCACGTGAGATGCTGGCGGCTCTGAGCTATCGGACGAGTTGAAGGCCTGAGGTGTAGTTATGGCGGAACGTCGAAGATGAGATACATAACGCGAGCTTGAATGGCGGGCACCCTCATCCGATGACGTTGAGCTGCGTTCTACCATCGTCCTTTGTTGCGAAGACTCCGAGGATTCTCCGCTGGAAAACGAGTTTGTCGGGATATAAGTTTCGACTTGTTGATGTCTCATCAAGTTGCGCTCGGGTCGGTCTAGTAAGTCGACGTCAGGGATATCGTCAGCGGTGATATCTGTCCTACGATGAGACGGGCCCTTTGGTCGATAGGTAGACTGTGCGCTCAAAGGAAAGACTCGAGGATGGCTAGGGTCGGCTCCAGGAAGGGTATGCCGTTGCAACGCGCTGAGGGCAGGGCTTGGCTGTGGGCTTTGTTCGGGTGTTGGTTCGACGTCGGTGTTTGTCGCAGTCGACTCCTTCTCCTTTCCCTTTAATTTGGTTTCGGTCTCGAGAGTTGACGAGGATGCGAATGATGGACTGATTCGGCCGACCTCTGTGGGAGTACCAGGACACGAGATCCAGATGCCGTCAACTTCTACGCCACTCTGTATCGCGCGTATACCGAAAGGAATATCGACTCGCTTGCCCGCAGGAAGGCCGGTCTTCGCCATTTCCATTTGCCTAGCTCTCTTTTCTAAATCAAGTACTGTATGCTTCTTGAGGTATCTACTCAACCACCATAGCTTGACCAGTCCTGCAAAGAATACCACAACTATGGCAGCAGCGAGAACCTATAGGAGTATGAGCGACACTAGAGCACGATAGCACGATGCTTGAAAGGGTTCAGGGCAATAAACTTACAAAGGTCATCTGTTGCCATAGCTCCCAGTTGGTGAAAAAGTTAATCATTTTGAAATGCTTAGGTTTGACAATGTCCAAGTCAAATTATCCAAAGCATTAAAAATGATTGATTAGAGAAAGTGATCCAACTACGCCAGAACGGCAGCGAGGGAAACGAATGTTCAAATAGTTGGATGAAGACGAAACGAGGGATGAGGTATGGGGTATGGGTTATGATGTGTAGGATGATGATGGAACAACGAATGAATTAGGCCGTTTAAAAAAAGAGTGTTAGGCCAAACGGATAGTCGAAAGTTTCAATCGAAGAAGGGAGGTGTACCTCTCGCTTCTTTCGTACCTCTTGGTACCTTTTAAAGACAACCAAAAAGAAGGTAGTTGCGATCGAGGTTAGGGGAATCAGCTAACAAACAGACTGCACAGGTCCACGGTGTCCAGGATGACGTTTTGGTTTGATTTTAGGGTAGGGAAGTACCCTCTTCCAACTTATTCGATACGGTGTCGCAACTTCCACGACTTGAATGAATGATATAATCAATCCGAAGTTCGTCCAATAATTATTCGACCGGAGTTAACCGTTGTGGTAAAAACCCTCCCTTAGCTGCGCCGACAGCGGAATACGAGGAAGCTATTCGATGCTGTGTACCCTCGATATTATTATTTTATAGGACAAGTAGGACCTTCCTTAGTCGATGGCCGCAGCTGAGAAACGCAAGGCTGGGAGCTGAATGGCAACGATTTGCCAACTTGGTGTCGATCACCTCTTGCAACGTTCCCTGAGCTAGACCAAGAGGAAAAGTCGACGGCAGAGGTAACCTTACGACGAAGGTATGACCGATATATCTAACAGGTCGGCCTGTATAAACCGTTGACTCTATCTTCCCTCTTCTTTGTTCTCGAAGCCGATTAGAAGTGGGGTTAGAAATACACTTCCCGAATTATGAACGTGAGGCTAGCTAAAGGACCGAGTGCCAGTATATTAATCGGGAGACCTGGCCCAGTTGATGTTCCAGCCAGAGGCTGTTGAATATAGCCGGGACAGAACAACGCGCGTTCTCGACAAGGGCAAAACAATCGCAAGATCCGGAGTACACGCAACAATAGAAACGAATGTGAGAAAAATAAGCATCCGGATCTCCAACGGGTACGGTAGAAGGTGCCAGGAGAAACTTTCTCATCCGTCGACGGCCAAACGGATATGCTCTTCTATGTAGGCAAGTATATACATTTTGCTTACTCTGCAGCTGAGACACGGCGTTACGGGTACCAGCATCACGATGCTAGCGATATCCAGACCGAGGTACCTACGAGCCTACCAGCACCTGCATGGACATGTATCTGTGCTCATCGCAAAGTATTGGTGGATGGTCTCTTAAAAAATCAATAATGGAGCGCTGGTGCAGGACGCCCCTTACGCATGGGCTGGCGCTGGACAACATCGTGGGGACATGCTTAGCACGGGTTGGAACCAATACTTTCGAAATAGACATCCATCACAATGAACTCAAAATCCCATGTGGGACGGTTAACTGGCGATCCGGGTTAAGCTGCATCTTTGATCTGAGCACAGATCCATTTTTACGATTTTCCATGCGACTTTGGTGCGCCAACCGGTTGAAGTCACCAGAAAGCCAGAAAGGCCTGTGCCTATACGGAAGCACGGTGCTAGTAATAATCACGTCACGGTGCCAGCGTGTTACGCAAAGTATGCAGGTTGCCGGTGAAGCAACTTACATACCACCATGTGCTCCCGACCCAACTGGTAGCAGGTAAGGTATAGACTTTACCCGGAAGCGAAGTCTAGTGCGGTCCGTCGCTCTAGGCAAAGTCGAAATGGATTAATAGACAAATAAAGCATACGTACCCCCAGACGAACCTGCTGACGAGCCTTCTACTTCAATTTCAACAATGAAACCATCGTGTGTTTAGGATGTCGCCTTTTCTCTCATACATGATACGGCCTCAGCTAGCCTCCATTCACTGCTCTACTGCTCCCTTGCAGGCGTATCTGTATCGATGACGAGAATACGAGTCTGTGGACATTAGCGGCAACTTGGCGAGTTGCCATGCTGTGTTGGCAGGTCCAAACAAACAAAACTAGATCCAGCTGGTTCAAATAGACTCTGAATCTAGTACCACACACCACAGTTAACTGCCCGATCGAATGGGTCCAGTATTTGGTGATGGATCATAAGAATCAATTTTTTTCCTTCATCGGATAAGATGTGCGTTTAAGCCGGGGTATTCCTCGCCTCAACGCGGGCGGGCGTTTTTAGGGGCGTTTACCCCCCAATACCCAATGGAAATTGTAGCTGTGGTGGTAGAAATATCGTGGTACAAAATAAAGAGATGGGATATTATTGGTTAATAAGAAAAACTCGGGGCGATTGCTCAAAATCAATATAATATGTAAGTACATACCTAGGTACATAGGTACACATGTGCATGTATGCCTGTACCATCAATGTAAGTGCTCGCATCCGGTAAAATGGTAAGTTCACCTAGTTGACAACTTAAAGTTCGGCTCGCGTTTCCGTGACGACCTAACTCAATATACGGTGGTACTTAGTATATAAAAAGAACATCGAACGGGAGAAGTTCATATCACAATTGACATGTTCTAGAAATTTGATTTTTAATACCCAGGTATCTAGTTGCCGAAGGATTCGCGGATCAAATGCCGTCCTTGCGGCCCGCTCATACATAGTAAGACATATAAGCCGACTACGCTAGGAATATTGTTGTCTAAGTCAATGGGCATATATTCTTTGACTATGAGGCTCCTATTTGGCATTTATTTAATTTCCGACCCGTGAACTACAAGCCTTTTACTGTCTTGGGACCTGATATATCATATATAGACTTAAATATGAACTTAACTTTTAAAGTATTATATCTACCTACCTACCTATCTAACATACTAGGTAATTTAAGTGTCTGATTTGTCTTCAACATACATATGCTAAATACTAAAGTTATAAAACATTTTAATGCAGTCGAGTGACGTAAAAGGCTTGAAGACATCGTCGGAGACTTCGAATATGACAGGTGTATAATAGAAAGATTTTTCATTGTCTTCGAAGCCGTATGAAGACTCTGACTCATATGATACTATATTTAATTCGATATACCCTCTCATTATTGCATATATATACTGGTTAGATACAAAAGCACTATGTATCAACCCCAATGCCGATCTCAAGCCGAAGCTAAGAATTATTATCCAGGAGTGTGAGAGGGAGAGAGTTAGTCATGTTATTGCAAAATACTAAATTTTTTGATATTATCTGGCCTCACAATTTTTAATCAATAAGAAAACATGTCTGCAAGCGACGACCATATCCTCACGCTTTCCTGCCCGGATAAGCCTGGCATTGTCCATGCTGTTACTGGACTATTAGCATCTAACGGCCTCAACATCCTAAACCTACAACAATTCTCAGATCGGGCGTCTAATAAATTCTTCATGAGAGTTCACTTTGGCCATGCTGCATCGACGGAGAACTTGAACGCCCCCATAGCCAAACTTGTATCGGAATTGAACATAGACCAATATGACTTGAGACCGGCGAGCAAGAAGCCTAGGGTCTTGATCATGGTGTCCAAGATTGGTCACTGCTTGAACGACTTACTTTTCAGAACTAAGACAAATCAGCTTGGCGTTGAGATTCCCCTGATCGTGTCTAACCACCCAGACTTCAAGCCTCTTGCCGAGAGCTACGGCATTGAGTTCCACCATCTCCCTGTGACCAAGGACACGAAGCTAGAGCAGGAACGCCAGATCCTAGACTTGATCAGACAGAACAACATTGATCTGGTGGTGTTGGCTCGTTATATGCAGGTCTTAAGCCCGGGGCTGTGTGAGGCGATGAGCGGAAAGATCATCAATATCCACCACAGCTTTCTGCCGTCCTTCAAGGGAGCAAAGCCTTACCATCAAGCGTTCGACCGCGGAGTTAAGATCATTGGCGCCACGGCTCATTTTGTAACGGCAGACCTAGACGAGGGTCCAATTATCGAGCAAAGGGTAGCGCGTGTAGATCACAGCATGAGCGCGAAGGAATTAGTCGAAGAGGGAAGCAACGTCGAGAGTCAAGTTTTGGCGGCGGCTGTGAAATGGTGGAGCGAGAAGCGGGTATTTCTAAATGGACACAAGACTGTTGTCTTCAACTAACAGCAGCGCAACTTACGTCATAATAATTTTGTCGCAATTGCATGTTGGAATAAGAGCATGTTGATTTCGAGTATGTCACCACGTATCTGTTCATCAAAATAAGCGTCATGAGCCGAGTTTCGTTTAAACTTAGGGTCTTCGAATTTCTCAAAGTCCAGGTCTTAGCGTGAAACAATTCTCGATCAAAATTAAATATTGAAAGCATAGAACGATAGGTAGTTTTCAATTTTACTTCGGCTTCGGACCGCGAAACGCTGTAAAACAAGGGAATAAGCTCAACTAGGCCTTCGGATTTCCTTGCATGCGGGAGATTCATAACGACGTAACATGTGACTCGGAGATAAGAAAGCCGGCTAACAGGGCTCTTCCGTTCCCGGGTATCAAGTATGGATGGTGTCGTTGGCCAGGCTTACTACAGGCAGACGGGGTGTACATCGATGCCCGAACACGGCGTGTTTCCTTGTCAGTGGCAAAATAAGAGCCGGGCGAAGTTTTTTATGTTGTACAGCTAGCACTGCCATGTGTAGATCATCCGCGAAGGAATCTCACTGCTTTACTATACTTAACAATGATATGCATCGATTCGAATCGTGAGATACCTGAGTAAGTAATAATCGTACTTCCGGCTGTCTCGGGTCTCTTTCGTAACACCAACTAGGCAGGCTGGCGGGAAGGATAAGAGGTAGACGAATGGATGCCGCCGAATTTGCGAATGTAGGTGTGTTGGTGGTGTAGAGGTGTAAGGGAGTTACTAGATTGGGAGGCTGATCAATACCCAATTGCTGCAAGAAGGGACCTCTTGAACATAAGGCGAATAGATGATGCAGGTCCCGACGCTCGAAAGGTAATTCTCATAGGTACCTCATGAAAGAAACTGGAATTGTTGCATGTTGTAAGAACAGGGATGCCCCACAATCAGCCCAAAGAGCCTTGTACACGTAAACGAATGATTATTGATTGGCAATGATTGCACATGCGATCGTCAGACCAAGCCTTTGACTAGATTTCCAATCTTGGTACTTTACTTGGTATGTATTTTGGGAGGTCGGAATGATCGCAGACGGTCAAGACTCGAGTTTAAAGTGAGAAATAATATAGAAAGGGAGAAGGTGAGAAGATGAAAAGGTGAGAAAGGAGAAACGGTTGCACAAATATTGAAGTCACCGCCCATCCGGGGATAGCCCATTCCTCTTTCCGTCATATTACCAGAATCCTAGTTCCGTCATACGGTTTGGAGTCAGGTGTAAGGGTACATAGGTCCAAGTTCCAAGTTTAGGAAAGCCCTGACCCGATCCGATTCTTAAAGGTTGTACTTGCCTTACTGTACGATTATTCATTCTATTGGAAGATTAGAACTCAATTGCGATCATTCATTCAATGTTCCATTGTTCCACATCGTCTCTCCTTACTTCAACGATTTGAATTCACTCAATTCACCCCTAACTATATTCGCTTGGACTTAATTGCTACATTGTTTTATTTCCCGCAAGAATAGTACTTTACAATGCCAATTCGAAACCCATTTGCAAGGCGCCCCGGCCTTCTGGGCGGTACCGAGGCCAAGGATGAGAACGTCCGACCCGGTGCGCTGGTTCCCAAGTCTGCGCAAGCAGGCTTTGAGAAGGTCGACACAATTGGGTCCAAGGCGTCTTCTTCTTTGAGCATTCGAAGTTCAAAAAGCCGAGACACCGGTGATTACAAAATGAGTGGTACGTCTGCGCCGTAGCACTTTGCGCTCGGGGAATGTAGAGTCTGACTTGTAATTCTAGTTGTCAACGACAGCGGGGTCTATCTCCCGGTACGAATTATCTATGATACGATAACGATTGTAACACCACGCTTATATATCTAATTCTAGCCTTCTCCAACCGACGACAAGGGCCTCTGGCCAAGACGTTCAGCAGCGTCCCGAACATCTATGGATACCAGAAGCAGCTTTGGTGATATTGAGCATTTCTCCATCTCCCGCGAATCGTTTGATTCTTATCGTCGGTCCTTCGTATGCATTCCCCATATCCACCTAGATACCTACACGTGGTAAGCTAATTATAATCCAAGGACATATCGGCTAGATCACCCATCATAGTCCACGATCAACCCCGCCAGAGTCTCGATTCTGCTCGATTTACTCGATCGCCACGGATGTCAATCAGAAACCGGCCTTGGGATCCACCAACCGCTGAAGAGGGATTCGAAGAAGTCGGATTGAATGATGACCAGAAGCAGCAACCAAAGAAGAGAAGTTTTTTCTCCAAATTCTCCGAGTCGCAAGAGCCGAGCGCACCGCATTCGCATACCCAGAGTACGGGTATGGGTATGTCTCGATTCATCCCGGGACGCAAACGAGCGCAAAGCGGTCAGGGATCCGAATTAGGTCATATCGACCGACCAAAGTCTCGCCAGTCCATTGATGAACAAGAGACGCAGTAGTGCCCTATGCTCTATACTTTATACCCCACGTGAGATGAATCAGTTGGAGACAATATGCATAGATGATTTTACGGAGTTTTGGGGGTACCGGATGGGGCATCACGATATCTAAGCGATCGCTTGCCCCCCTGTTTAACGGAGACTTCGATTTCTTCACGTCTAGTCGCTCGCTTCTGCACATGACGAGCTGATAGATGGTTAGGGACAAAAGACGGATGGGACAGTTTAAGCTGTGTAATCTGGGCTCCCCTAAAGGAGAAACTAATAATGAGATAAACTGGGATTGGAATGGTATAGGATATCTGGAGAATCAGATACCAGCTCTTAATGACCCGAACATATAATTTTTTGCCTCAGTACAACTATCATTCGCATGTGCTAATAAAAGTTCCAATGCAAGCACATGATGGATAAGTATTCATATTGTGGGTTTTGGTAAATTAATGGGCATTATTCGTTAAGTGAATCTAAAGATCTGATGTGCCCCACCAATTTACAGACCCCACCCAGCCCACCAACCCACGTTTAAATCTTTAGTTCGCATTAAAACACAGCTTGGAACCGATAAGACTAAAATATTTCTTATCGGCATTATATCAAGATACCGTGGACCTCGAGACCAATCCGTCTCTAACCTTCGCTCGTTACCTAGGCAATTCCGTAACTCCAACATTCCCCATCATGGCACCAAGACGGCCAGACAAAAAGTCTAAAAAACAAAAAGGCGGCATATCCCGGGCCGCGGGCGGCGACTCTAAGCCGGTCTCCTCCCAGGTCCTCGTCAAGGCCGCAGAGTTCCAGCTCCAGGAGGGGAACATTCAGGAAGCGGCAGCGCTGGCACAGAAGGCGCTCGAACAGACTACCAACGACTCCGACGACCAATTGCTTGCGCTGAACTTCCTCGGGCAGATTAATCTAGAGCTAGGCGACTTCGAAGCCGCGAGGGAACACTTCTTGCGCGCGGTCAAGATCGACGAGGATGGGAGCAAGGATGAGGAAGTCGGTGGCGGGCCTGAGAAGTTCTTGTGTCTGGCACAATTAAGCGAAGAAGGTGGGCGGGATAGTGTGACTTGGTTCGAGAGGGGGGCTAAGGCGCTTAAGGCGCAGATTGCGGCAAAAGAGGAGGCGCGAGGTTCGAGGAGGAAAAGCGATGATGCGGGGACGGCGATATTTCTTGATGAGCTGAAGAAGAAATTGGCGATGACGCTGTGCTCGGTTGCGGAAGTTTACATGACAGACCTGTCGTGGGAAGAAGATGCCGAGCAGCGCTGCGAGGCCCTTGTTACTGAAGCCACGTTAGTTGCGCCCGACTTCGCGGAGACTTGGCAGACATTGGCCAATGTGCGGATCTCGCAGGAGAGGATGGACGATGCGAAGGCTGCGCTTACGAGGAGTCTGGAGCTGTGGAAGGACTTGCCCCCCGAAGACCCATCCGTACCAGATTTCCCTAGCAGAGTCGGTCTGGCGAGACTACTCATGGAGGTGGGAATGGAGCAAGATGCGATCGAAGTTCTCGAGAGACTGGTCGGCGAGGATGACCAGAGCGTCGAGGTGTGGTACCTAGGTGGCTGGGGTCTCTACGTCATGGGCGAGAAGCAGAAAGCGGCGAAGTCTAGCGAGGAAGATTGGAAGGCCTCGTGGATATCGAGTCGCGTGTGGTTGAACCAGTGCCAGCATCTATACACATTACAAGACTACGAAGACGAGCCGCTGGGCGAGCATGCGAAGGAATTGCTTTCGCTTATTGCTAAGGATCTCGGTGAGGCGCCGATTGGAGAAGAAGGCGATGAGGATGAGTGGGAGGACGACGATAGTGATGCGGAGATGAAGGATTAGGATTCTTCATGGCAATGGGTTCACTATAAATGGAAGATACCACGAGACTTAGGGAGTCCTATCTTGGCATGAAACGGCGTTACGGATTTAAAAAGGGGCAGACTGCTTTCATCAGATCCATAAATGAATGAGACGATTCTCTGATATATTCACTAAAGATTTTCCTTCTTTGCGCCAGAACTCCGAGCCAATACTTGACCACGAATTCAAGATATCGAATGCTATGCTATGGAGGTCTTCGAGTCGGCAGTTCTGGCCATCTTTTAAACCCGCCGAGTAAAAGAGCTGTCGAATGCCATCAAGCCGCAATCTTGAGGCCCTCAACTTTTTCAGAAGGGATATCTTCATCGTCCTCGCCTTCGTCGCCTTTACCAACCAATCCACGTTCCCATAGTTGTCTTCCTGTCAACTTGACCGGTTCCTTGACCTTGGCTTTCTTTAAATCAGCCAACCTCTCGTCTTCTTCTCTCTGCGCTTTCTCCTCCATCTCCTTGATGAATCCCTCGCGCCACTTCATAAAAGTCTCAGGAGTTACCTGCGTGCCGTGGAATTTCTTATTTTCTTCACGCTCTGCTGCTAACATCGCCTCCTCGTGCTCCTTGACAGCCGCCTCCTTACGATCCGCGATCAGTTGCTCGGCCTCTTCCTTTAGCGTGTTCACGAGGGTGAATATCATGGGTATGCCCAAGTTGTCTTGGATGGTGTCTTCGAGCCCTTTTAGTAGCGACTCCTTTTCTGCAGCAACTGAGAAGTGTGGATGGGAGGCGGCATTTTGGGGCGGCGAGAGGTCGAGGATAGGGGCCTCGTCCGGATAGTTCTCGGGATAGCGCACATATAGGATGAGGGTGGGGGGTTCCGATGCTTCGTCGCCGTCTTCGTCTGGGAGGTCAAGCTTGATAGATATCCGATATTCAGTATCGGATATGTCTATACTTTAGTTAGCGACTGGAGATCCGTCGAGTAATTATCTTCAAGATGATGGCGGGGTACTGATGTGGTAACTAACCTGTGATTTCGTCCGGGAAGATGGATTCCAGAACCACTGTGCGCTCTTCTATTTGGTCTTCTCTCCCCATCTTCGCGCAAAGAATTCGATCTCTACCTAGGTACTTATTAAGAAATGAATGAAAACATTCAAAAAGACTTCATATGCAAAGCAAATGCTGAAGTTACCTATCTAACCGGCGAAATCTGTACCTGAGCTGCCGTGTATGTGCATGCGCTAAGCAATATAGTGGGGCTGCGGGGTGAAGATTGTGAAGATTGTGAAGATAATTGTCAAGATAACGCTTTACCGCCCGGCAATATAAACGGTTCCACTAAAACTTTTTTAGTTCTTGGATCGCAAACTCAAACTCTCGAGCTAATAATATTCAAGAATTATCATTCAATTAACTTTCAAGTTGTCGCTATTCTTTCTCTTTCCTGCTGCGGATTCTCACAATGGCGCCTAAAAGTGAAGCATATGGAAATAAAAGGAAGCTTGTTGATCGAAGTAAAGATCAGTCAAGCAAGAAGCCGAAGTTTGACAAGCGACAGGTGCAGAGAGAAGAACCAGAGGACGGAAACGATGGTAGCGAAATCAGCGACTTTTCGGATCTAGATGATGGCGGTGCTCCCTTGAACGACAAAAAGCCACAAAATAATGAGTGGAGGAATGGCAACGATCAAGCCGGGAAAGTTTTTGAAAAGGGTTGGTTTGAACAAGAAGAAAGAAGGCTAATAACATAACTGGCTTGCTAACTCAATACAGGCCAAAACTCTCGTGAATCCCATATCAAACAAAGGCAACTTGCTCAAGAACGCAAATCCCAGAAGCCTCTAGCCGATGACTTGCAGCGAACGAAGAAGCTCTGGGAAAGATTACGGTTGAAATCTAAAGTTCCGAAAGAGGAGAGGCAAAAGCTCGTCGAGGAGCTTTTCAGCATTACAACAGGTCGTATGAAGGATTTTGCGCTCAAGCACGATGCTGTTAGAGTTGTACAGACTGCAATCAAATATGCGACTCCTGAGCGCCGGAAGATGATTGCAAAGGAATTGAAAGGTGCTTACCCTGTCTTGGCCGAAAGCAAGTATGCCAAATTCTTGATTGGCAAGCTTCTTGTAAAAGGCGACAAGGAGGTTCGAGATATCATTGTCCCGGAATTCTTCGGCCGAGTCCGAAAACTCATCAATCATCCCGAAGCTTCCTGGATCCTAGATGATATCTACCGAGGTATCGCAACTAAGGAACAGAAGGCAATTTTGTTAAGAGAGTGGTACGGCCCTGAATTCCACATCTTCCGGCAAACGACAGAAGGCGAGACTGCTCCTTCGGGTGAACTTTCTCAAATTCTCGCAGAGGAACCAAGTAAACGTGGTCCGATCATGAAATACCTACTTGACCTGACGAACCAACTCGTCCAAAAGAAGATGACTGGCTTTACGATGCTTCATGACGCCATGTACCAGTACTACACCAACGCGAAGCAGGGCTCAGAGGAAGCTAAGGAATACGTCGAAATGATTAAGGAAGACGAGAACGGCGACTTACTAAAGAACATGGCCTTCACGAAATCTGGCGCCCGACTCGTGTGCTTGCTTCTCGCCCATGGAACCGCGAAGGACCGGAAGCAGATTCTGAAGACGTACAAGGATACCTTCCAACTCATGTCAAGCGACCCTAATGGACATTTGATTATTCTTGCTGCCTATGACCTAATTGACGATACCGTTCTAACTTCCAAATCTATCATATCCGAATTGATAGGAAAGACGGAGCAGGATGAAGTCACCAACATTGTCATCAGTATCAATGACCCGAATGCGCGCTTAACTATTCGATATCCTCTTGAGGGTGCATCCAAGGCACTGTTTGACGCTGGCCGTGCCGATGATTTGAAGCTACTTGAGGAACTCTGGGAGATTCGAAAGACTACAAGCAAAAAGGACCCCGAGATCCGCCGAAAGGAACTCGTCGCAGCATTGTCGCCATATCTATTGACTGCTATTGCCACATCGCCGCTAGATTTGATTTCCACTTCGCATGGGTCACAGATGGTTACTGAAGCTCTCCTTTCTTGCGTCGGGGACAAGTCAGAAGCGTTACAGGCAATAGCGTCTACCGCAAAGGGAAACCCCCATGAGGTAGAAGAATCTGAGGGGGTCCTCACTCCTCGAGAGCATATATCTAAAGCTTCCCACGGTGGACGCATGTTCAAGACTCTAATCTCCGGTGGACGTTTCGATAAAGCAACACGTCGCATAATACCAATTGACCCTCCCCTCAGCTTCTCAGACATACTCTATCCTACCATCAAAGATCACATCATAGCTTGGGCGACTGGGCCGAGCTCATTTGTGGTGTTGAACCTCCTAGAAGCGGATGACTTCTCCTTTAAAGACGAACTCAAGAGTATACTAAAGAAGAACAAAAAGACGTTACAGAAAGCGGCGACAGAGGAGACGCCAGAACAGAAGGCTGCAAAGGAGGCCGTACAGGAGGCCGCCGATGCGGATGGAGAGAAGAAGCCGTCGAAGAAGAAGAGTAAGAAGGCCGGGTCGAAAAAAGAGGCTCCTGTTGGCAATATGGGTTCAAAGCTGTTATTAGAGCAGATAAAGGGATAGATACGTGCCACAAATTAGATATTAGGCATAGGGCTTTCGGAATTACAAATGAGATAATGTTACAGTCTTGGTATCGCAACTCTTGATGTCTACATTTCGGCAGTAACGGACAGTGTGGCTTAGACCAATTCCAGGTGTAGTTTGGGCTCTTCGGCCTTTTTATTATGGCAACAAAATTTACTTACTGTGTATGTGAGGTGTCCCACAGGCTATGTCGTGTTTGCTCGTAGTTATAGTTCCACAGTATACTCTTTGCTACTTGGCTGCCTCCCAATTATTTAAACTCGTTATCTGAAGTAATGGGGCCGAGAGACTATCTCGATTTTCACCTTTAAGCCTGCTTGCCAATTTACGGCAGTTGATACGCAAAGTAACGAGAAAAGACATACATAAGTATAGTAGTAGAAGTATACCACATGTTTCAAACTAGAAGCAAACATCGATCCTAGCCAATTCCCCACGAAGCTAACGTCAGTTGTTTGCGGTTGTGGAGATGAAGGACAAGTTACACAGTCAACGTTTTCATGTCGGCATATATATTCTTAAGGAGGAACCACATTTGATTCTACCTACCTAGGTAGGTAGATCAGACTGCTTCAAATTTTATAGAACTAAGTACAAATGTATACTGTGCTACTAGGAGAGGGAGTGGGCGTGGGCAATCTTGCCCTGGTATCACTTCTTCAACCTCAATAATCGGTCCTTCTCTTAAAACTACACATCGATTGTCCACCTACCTGGGTACTCATATTCTACTGAAAAGTAGGTACAGAGAGAAAGTTGCACTCACAACAACCATCGGGATAACCTGAAGCATCCGACTGCCGTTGTCAGATATATGCAGTTGATCCCCAATCCAGCCCAGTTGAGTAATAGAAACCTCGAGGGTTGAGCGAAACTTTGGGAATTTCCCGGAGGGAGAGAAGGATATTTATAGGCCCATATACATAAACGTGACTTCTTCTTCTCCTTCCCAGGGAGGGAGTCATTATCGTGGTCTTCATATCCTACTAACCCCTCGGATGAGGCTCTTCACGGGTTTGCCGTTCGTCGCCTATCCAGGTACTTGGGTCACGCAGAGCCCAAGCTTCCGAGTTTCTACTTTCTACTATCTATTTCCAACCTATTTAATCATTGCCACTCTACCGTGCGCTTTGACATCTATTCTACATATTACCTACCCGTGGAGGACCGAGCAAGTCTGATCTCGCCTCTTTATCCCTTGCCGCTCACCCACATATCTTTAACTCGCCTTCGATAACATCAACAAGTACCTACCGTTATCAATCACCATCGCAATGGCGTCTTTGGGAATCTGCGAGTTCGGCTTCACATTCTATAGCTGCGACAACGGCTTTAAAGGCTGTTGTCGTGTCGATGCTTGTGGGCCAGACCAATGTCCCGAGGGGCAGCGAACGACAACCTCTTACCCGGTCCCATATATCGACTCTTCGACTACCGCGCCACCGGATGATACTGAGACGCCTGCACCTTCGCCATCTACTACCGAATCTAGTACGGATGATGGCAGTACCACTTTCGTATATCCTCTACCACCATCTACCACCGACCCAACCAGCACCACAGAGACGACAGCACAATCAACCACCCGATCATCATCTCCAACATCCTCCTCACAAACCACATCTCCCACCCCATCCTCCACCCCCCAAACCACCCCCGCGCCCCCAACCGTCTGGATCCCAATCCCAACAAGCGCACCCCAGCCCAGCAGCAGCAACGACTCGCACCCACGCCTCAGCACAACTGCCATCGCGGGGATAAGCGTAGGCGGCACCGTCGCCGCAGCCCTGCTCTCGCTATTCGGGTACCTGCTGATCCGCCGGCGCTGCATCGCGCGCCGCAACGCGCGCGCGTCCGCCGCGAACCCGTTTTCGTTTTCCTCTGGCGCCGCGGAGGGGTTCATGGCTGATCACCCGATGTGGCGGGGAGGGGATAAGGGGAAGGAAGGGGGGGAGGGCGATGCGAAGAGATCGCCGGATTTGAGGGGGTTGTGTGAGTTGCCTTAGGGGGGAGGGGGTTGGCTTGATGTTTGTTTTTTTGTGGTAGGATTTGTGGTGGTGGAATTGGTGGAGGAATGGTTTGGGGGGAGATTTAAGTGAGATGAAGGGGGAAAGAGAAAGAGGAAAGGAGATTTGACACAGCGGATCGGAATAGGGAGGATGTTTTGGGTGATTAGGTCAGTCGCTGAAGCTGAGGTTGGAGGAATACCATGATGATATCCTCACGGGTATCGTTATGCCGCGTACTATATACTCGTTACTAAATTAGCGGGTTAAAAACTTATAGCTAACTTGCTTATGCTGATTTAAATTAAAGAAACCGCATTTTCACCAACCAATGCTCCTAAGATAGACGTTGAAGCAGTGATATAGCTTGTAATTTGAGTGACAACCTTATGAGCGGAAGGGAAGACACCAGATTCGGGATCGATGGATACTTGTGGGAAATCAATCAAATGCTATTTTTGCGTCTGCCTTTATCTGCCGATCTTATGGGGGTATAGAAGAACACCAAAGGGAAACAGAAGTCTTTTCCTATCCTACGCCGTCCATGTGCAATTACCAGTCCTCTGGTCTAGTTGAAATGAAACGCCTCAAAAGAAATCTGCATAATTCCATCCTGAAACTGATTATCATCATCACGACTTCTCAAACTCGAAGCAAGTCCGTTCTAGTGCCTTCATGTCGATCTGATGAATCGTTGGAAATAACGGAGGCGGGATATCTAGAAAAGTTCGTCGAGATGATTACCGGGGCATTAACTTGTAGATCTCGTCGAGCATCTCTTGGAGTTCCTCGTCAGAGATCTTGTTCTGGAGGGAAGGAATGAGGTACTTGGCTTCCTCAGCCGTCTCGCAACAGAGAGATCCTAAGACGCGTGATTCTCATGTTAGTTCATCATTGTAACCCATGAATAACATATCTACTAAGTATTTATCGGAATAGTGGAGATGTGCATACCAAGTTGTGCTCGCTCGAACTTGTGCAGCTTGGGATATGAGCTCAAGAGACGCTCAACAGCTTCTACACTTTCCTTCTTCTTGAAGCGTGCAAACGTGTCTAGATAGTCGACAGTCTTCGTCAACATACTGAAGAAGATGAAGTTAGCATGCTTCTCCATGAACAGACTAGCACTCTTTCTCCTTTCTTCATCACCATCGTTTATCGAAGGGGAATCAAAGGGCGAAATGCGTACTCTGTCTCGTTCACGTTCTTGCGATCATTTCGGCGTTTGGCTACGAGGGCATTGATGACCAGAGCAGCTTCGGACAATGTGAGAGTATCGACATCTTGGAACTCTCCAAGCTTGAGAACGGTGGTGGCCTCTTCGGTACCAGGAGGCTCTGGCCTCGAGCGCGAGGTCGGTGCATGCTGAGACATCGTCAAGTTTGACCGATTGACTCTGTGCGATAGCAATCGCACGCGAATAAAGAATTGATTGACGATATCAAAGTTTGGTTGTGTTGGAGAATGGCGATAATTGGCAATTGTTAAATTGTATCTTGGTTGTCGCAAAAGGACGCGGTGATGCGGACGGTTGGAAGATGGAATTGCGAAAATGCGACAGGAAAGAAAGGTAAGTCAGCTTGTTAGACATGCGGCTGCCTGTGATGAACAAGGTTGCACAAGCTTTGCATGGGCGTGTTGTGAATTATGGGGATTTCGAGGAACGCTAAAGCTTGTATATAAATCCACTAACCAATTATCGTAATAGACACAGGGAATTTTCTGGATAATCTTCGGTGTTTCGACTTTGTCAAAGCCAAGATTCAAAGCGTGGATTTAATAATGTTCATAAAGACCTAGCTAGGTACGTATACTTAGGTACCTGTCGTGTGCTATGAAATATTACGTACTTTGAGAAGCCATCAATAGATGAGACCTATCTTGATGAGAAATGAGCAAGGAAATATATCTTGGACTTCTTGAACCCCTACGCCCGTACGCGAATAAGAACACACCATAGCCATCCCCCATTCCCGCATAATGTAAGCATGAAGCTACTGGAATATATGGAACCAATACTGATTTATATAGGGGCGTTTTAGCTCTCATCGTGATCAACAAGGCTGGAGGTCTTATTTATAATAGGACCTTTGGTGATGGCCTCAACCAGCTCAATACGAACGACTACCTTGTTCTTGCTGGAACTTTCCACGGGTGAGATTCTCTTCCTCGTCTCATCTTTGAAACCCATCACTCTCTTATCATGAGGTTACTTGCTCATCTCATCCTAAACTTATAACAGAGTCCACGCCATCACAGCTCGGCTCAACCCACTCAAGGGGATATTGAATTCCCAATATCAAACAGCTGTTAATGCCGCGGGTGTACCGATACCAACCAGGCCGGAGCCCCCTTCCGGCCTTGAAGTGCTCGAGTCGGAGAACTTTCGGCTGCAGTGTTTCAACACCTTAACCGGCACTAAATTCCTACTATTCACCGACACAATGCAAACCAACGTGGATTTAACCATACGCAAAATCTACGACCTATACTCTGATTACGTCATGAAGAACCCCTTCTACCAACTCGAAATGCCTATACGTTGCGAGACTTTCGACAGGAAATTAAATTCTTACATAAGAGAGATCAATAGCTCCAGATAGAATGGCGTGATACCGGGTACTCATTAGATATGTTTTCATTATGAGCTTGTCACTAGGAACGAAGAAGGTCTTGCCGACTTGATAGGGCGGGATTAAATAGATACCTATGTATGGTTATAGGTTTGCATCGTCGCACGGCGTTTGGAGTTTAGAGATTTGGTTTTAACACGACAAGGCAAAGGCCTCAATTCTTGATAGAAGAATCCACCCTGCCTCGAGAGAATGCCATTTCCCCCTTGATTCGCCGCTAGTCTATCATTACAGTACAAGTTCAACTCCGTGATCCCACGCCGACGAGAAATAGAGTTAATATGCAGTAGATAAATAAGTCTACGACATGTCCATCTTGTCATCGTCATTTTTCTTGTTGTTCTTGGAAGATCCGCTTCCACTAGGCTCTCCCTGCTCGTTCAGGAGGGGTTGGTTTTCGCCCTCTTCCTCTATGCCTTCCAAGTCTGTCTTTTTCGCAGCTTCTTCGTCTTCTTTGGCTTGCTTGGCTTGTCTAGCATTCTCTTCGTCCATACTCATGCGTAATGCCAGTGCTAACTCCGGGTCCGCACTAGGATCGAAGTCGAAATCACCGAAGTCGCCACCGCCCTCAGCCATGCCGCCTGAACTACCGGCAGCACCTTCGCCAAGTAGGATAGGTGTAGTAATGAGCTGATCGCTCAGAAGCTTCCCGCTAGGCGGAATAACGACGAGATGTGAGTTTTCGTTAGTCTTAACCGCGTTGTTAAAAGCTTCGAGCTTCTTCTGTACGTCATCATCGTCTAGATCGCCGAATAGAACGAAGTCGATATCGATATTGCCCTTCTTCATCTTCTTGGCTAAGGAAACGAGCCGCTTCTCGTCATCGGCCACAGGAGAGCACACAAAAACGATGATGCGCTGGCGTTGGGACTTGTTTTGTCGATGCTTTAGTGCTAGCTATTAGGCGGAAGAATCATGTCATTAGTCTAAGCACCCTTTACATACACTTATTAGACACGGAGGTTGAACATACACTAGCGATCTGGATGCCGGTTGCGAGATGAGAAGAACCCGAGATCTTCTTCTTCGTTCGGTGGAGGCCGTCGAGCAATTTGCCTCGGTCCGTCGTTAAAGTTGACAAGACCTCAGGTCCCTTGCCACCCATGCTCATCAAACCAACGGAGGACTCTGGATTGGACTGGGTAATACTCTCGAACATGATATTTATAGCATCGGCTTGAGCGTCAAATCGCGATGGTTGATAATCTCCATTTCGACTACTTTCGCTGTTGTCCACAACTATCATCACTGCTTGTAACGGCATATTGGCAATGGTTCTGTGCCGGGACAATTTGGTTGGTAATAAGTGGAAAGTAGAATGTTGGCCGTAGTGTAAGGCTGGGGGGAAAAGAAGTAGGGAACAGCTTTAAGGTTGTGGATTGGATGTGCTATGTAGGTAATGGATTAAGGTGTAAGGTGCAAGGTGCAGTTGCGATGATTGAGAATCGGAGTTTGAGCTCTAGGTACAATCAGATACAGCGTAAACGTCAGGCAGGTGCAGCCTGGGTAAGTACAAGGTACAATACTGTACAAGATATTTAGGCATGTAATAGTACTTGATGCAGTTAGTTGCAGTAAGCTTTAAAGCTTACCAGGTATATGCACTTACCGCCATTACTGTTTTTAGACGTCAGAACTCCACCAGAATCCCGGGTCGTCCAATTAAATCGACCACAACTCCAGGTACCTATGCTCTATCTTTCCAAGGTTTGTTTACTTGCACAATCTTTAGTTTCATCAACACCAATCCTGCATTGTACTCCATAGTACTCCATATTCAAAAAAGCACTACACGACGAACGCGTTCCGTCTTAGAATTCACCACTTATTCTCCTATCAGAACCGAACCGAATTTAATACAAATACCCAACAATATGGCACCTGTTAAGGCGACGCGAAAGCGCAAGTCGAATTATTCAGTAAGCCCCATCGGCGACAAGATCTCTCAGATGAAGCATAGCCCACACCGAAGTCCTATTAAGAGGCGAAAGTTGGGTCTCACCCTCCAGCAGAAGCAAGCTATCATCGATAATTGCCGACTTGAAGGTATGGGCATGAGTCTTAACCTGGCTATAAACATACGCGATACTAATAAACTGGAACTATAGTTACTGAGCGTGCTCGACGACTAAGGGCCCAATACAATGTGCAGGCGCAACAATTACGATCACGCGTCGAGATGCGCGTCAACCGAATTCCGACTTCTCTACGCAAGATGAAGATGGGCGACCTTCTTGCAAAATCCCTACAGCCACAACAGCCCCCTCGCCCTCCCAAGTCAACCAAGTCAACGTATGTAGCACCGCCAGTTCCACCTAAGGACGGCATATTACCCCAGCCTGTTACCCGCAAGCCAGTTCCCGCACGCAATGCAGCAGTCGGACGAAAGCGCTTGAGGTAGGATTAAATTTCTGTCTGTTCCCACTGTCTAACTAACAACAACATATAGCACGGAGAATTCGTCTGATAAAGAGAACCGTAGCAATGCTGTTGAGAATCCCAAGAAGAGACTTCGTGGTGTTCCTAATAAGGAAACTGCACCCATTCAACCAGCCAATGTCTTGTCGCCTACATCCTCGAACACCAACACCCGGCCCATTACCCGAGAGCGCCCTGCGTCTCCTACGAAGGCAATGATCAGTAGACCCGCTTCGCCTACAAAAGGTCCGCCTCCTAAGGGTCCGTCGAACATCCTATCGGGTATGGCAGATAAAGTTAGAGGAACTCGGCCCGCAACTGGCACACGCAAGGCTACCGGTACATCTACGACAAGTTCTGGCGGCGGCCCGACTACCACGCGCACGCGACAAGCCGCTGCGGTCTCCCGCCCACCAACTGCTGCCTCTACGCGTGGACGACGCAAAGTCAGCGCTGCAAGTGAGACAAGCAATGGAAGCTCGACGACCGTTGTTAAAAAGACAACTGCTTCAAGAGCTGCCAAGACTACTGCTCCTCCGGCCAAGCGGACGGTGATGAGCACAATCAAGTCGGCGACTACCAAGAAGCCTCCAGCGTCCAAGGCCACGGCTGCACCTGCAGCTACGGGGACTGGAAGAACGCTGAGAAAGAGAACATAACTTTCTCCGATGATTTAATGTGTAATTGAGGTTTGAGGGTTGATTTTTGTATGGAGTTCACGGTCGGCTGGCAAATAAGGGCCATGGAGGGTACGGTTGAATCGGGTCAATCGGGTCTCAGGTCTCAGGTTACAATGAAAAAACTTCATGCTGTCTTTTTCTATTTCAAGGACTGTTTCCTTCTGTCTCTCCCCTAATTCATGTAGGGCATACGTGACTCCTTTGTGACATAACACGCTCAGCCGGCGGCGCTGGCACTTTTCTTTTTCTTATCATCTACTAACTCGATGTTGTCTTCCGGTATATCCTTATACTTCTCTAACAGGAACTCCTCGATCTCGTCGCTCACATCTCCCTGGACTACAATCTCCTCCCCGCCGCTTGGCACCTTGGTTACCGAAGAGCCGGTGGCAAACTTCTTGCCGAATTCTTTGGCCACCTTCTTCAGGTCTAGTCCAAATGCTTCGAGACCGGACACAGCGGTTACGTATTTGCGCTTGTTCCGCTCGACGCGCTTGATGGTGACGACGCTGTTGGCGATCTTGTCGGCCTGTTTCTGCTCGGCCTTTTCTGCCTGAGCGGCTTTCTTTTGGGCGTCCTTCGCGGCTCGCTTTTGGGCTTCGACGGATAGGGAGGCGGTGGCGGCTTCTAAGGCTTCTGTGGGCGTGGATTGGTTGTATTAGTGGCGTATCTGGAGAGGACTGGAATCGAGACCTTGCAGGTGCATTTTTGGGGAATTGGAAAGACGGGTCAAGAAGAGAGATTCCACGTACCAGCGGACCATATCTGGTCATATAAGGTCGGATAAGCCTTCTGTAGCCAGTCCTGGCATTTCTTGACGGTGCCGCCATATTCGCAGTACTACTTGCTTGGCAATTAGTCTTTGTCTTGCGTACATTTGCGCCTATTCTCCACCAACAGCTACTCGAACTCCAGTCGGCGAATTTGCAGGCCATGGATGATGTATTTGTATTATTTGGGAGTAATGGATCGTACCTCTGGTGGTAAAGTGCATACTACGTTAATAGATAGATGCTGTCAGCTCAAGATCTACCAGTAGCAATACGACCACCAGTACCTCCCATTAAACAACCCCCTGCGAGGTCGCTGGTGGGGACCTGGCTGTAATTGTTTATTGTTTCTTGTTTGACTTACCGCCGCAGTAGAGCACGTGGCGGCTCTGGGGCTCGCTGGGGGCTTCTGCCTGTTCTACGTCTGCCATTCCCTGGTAATTAATTGAGATGAAAGGAAACGAACGGTGTTTCGTAGTTTAACAGCTCAGAATGGTGTTGGCCGCTGGTAAGGAACTAACTAGATAGGTATGTATTGTATTTGCAGCGCGGGGTTGTTCGTCGATTCGGTGACCAGGTATGTCTGGTGGGTTGGTGGGGTAGTTGCTTTATTATTGCAGCTTTGTACGAGTACGATCCGCGAAGACGGCGCGAACCGGAAGGAACTTAACCTAGAATTTACCTGGTTAGGCTCTTTCAAGCCACTGAGCACAGACCTCACAAGTTTTTAAGTTGAGCTTACGCCACAGTTCGTAGCTAGCTTACATTGATAGGTGGAATTGATTTGCTAAATCATCACTATAACTTTTGCCTACCTTTACAACTCACATAATAACCATGGCATTTTTCTATACCATGAATCACAATCTTGATTGGTGGTTAAAATATCAAACGATTCTAGATGACTACAATGTCTAAAGGCTGAAGCCGACGATGTCCCCTAAGATCACCATCCTACCAGCTCCGGAAGTCGATATTTATCTCTAATCATGAGTGTGTCCGACGCCCGTACTTATTGAGATACAAGTGAAATGCTTCATTTAGCATCCTCTCTCATCTACGCTGCGGAAATATAGTTACATCCGTCGGACTTCCCACTACTATAGCGTTGTGCCTTCGTCGAGGAACGACGGTTGGCCTTCTCGATCTGCATGTCTTACATGCGTCAAGAGTCCTCCAGAATTGGTCTCATCCCCGCAGACCTTGCGACATTACACTGCTTCACGCATTGCATGAGTCGACGTGTCTTTTTAATATGTTGGATCAGTGTCGATGAGAGGTAGTACGGCTGCAACTATCGAGACTCGAGAGAGCGAATACGTTAGCAACCTGCATGATGCACGGAAGCAAACAATTGGCTCTAATCCGTACGATCATCAAGGTCATCGAATATTGTCCCAACTAATACAACACTACCTAACTATGCGATACGTATATACCAAATATTCTAGGAAATTAATAAAGGAGTATCTTCCTTTCTAACTCCTAGGATACGGTACATCGGCGATATATACCCATATGAAGCGCTTCGCTTGCTAACGTCAATTCTTGCCGCCATTCATTCAACAAAAAAACCGGCTAGATCTTCAAAGAATTCTCCATGAATCGTTTCTTATGACGTTTCTTTAGATTTTATTCTCTTGTATGTTCTGGAAGTTCGGTTTCCCTGCACGATTCATCCCATCGTGGAACGCGAATGGGCCAATCACGGAGCGTCACAAATCGAGGAGGGCGGTTTAAGCGCTCAGTTCAGCGTAACCTTACCTCATTGGTCTGGAAGCCTGCAATATATTCCCAATCAGATTTTTTCTCCGTCCACCTCTCCCGCGCGCCAGTCTGACTATTGGTCCCCATCGCGGAGTTTTCTAAAATTATACCACGGACGTTCGTCTGGCTAACGACCATGATTGGATGTTGGAATCGGTAGTTCGACCGAACACCAGTCTTCTTCGTCCTCGATGTCCTCTTCCGGCACCGCTATCACAAATCCATGCCCAAACCGGCTCTAAGAGGTAGTGTGTATGGTCAAATCTGCAGTACGGGACCATGGCTACCTATGCAACCTCTTGCTACTACCCGCCCATTAACATGGCAAACCACTGGCTTGGAAGCGCTCGTCTTCCTCTCGATGAGACTATCCCCACGCGATAGCCGCTTGCCTTCCCTAAGGTAAGAGTCATAAAACTACTTGCTCCCGATCACTTGGTAGGTTTCGTTTCTTTCACTCTCTTCCCTCAAGCTTCCTTGAGGTTGCCTCATTTCATATTTCGCTTTCGTTGAACGAAGCGTTTCTATCGTTAAAGCATTTTCTTCCACTACCTTTGCTTTCAACGACGCCGGACGTCATATTTTAGGTCGTCTTACGGTTGCAACACCCCAGAATAGCTACAATCTATTTTTCCTTGAGAATCTTACTTATTACATTTTCATATATACCACCAACATGCCTGAGCTAGTACTTTTACCGTCTAGCACATACACACCTCCATCCCCTTCGCTGGCACGAAGACCGGGGAGGTCACTTAATACAATAATGGAAGAGGAGCCGGAAGCGTCCCAAAGGTTGAAGGCGTCGAGGGGTCGTAAAATGCAAGCCAGTTCCAACGATAAGATCGTACAATGGTTGTCACCACGAAGTGACCATTTCCCAACTCCGCGAGGATTTCACTTTCTATCAGCGCCAATATTACCCGAGTCTCCGTCGACTGCTTCTGCTGATGAGAGCAACTCGCCGTCAATAACGTCCTCGGACCCCTGGAACCGAGCGAGCATAAGTACTGACGTAACAGACTTTGACGATATCTACGAAGTCTCCGACGAAGAAGACACTCGACGGATTTCGAGGAAGTCCTCAATAAAACGCCGGAATAGCTCTCGACACACGATGCTAAAGCGAACCGCAACTCAATCTTCCACGTCACACCGGGCTCTTCCGCCTTTAGTTATCCCGGCTCAACAGGAACAAAATGCGGAGAGCTTGTCAGGTAGGCCGGAGTTTAAGAGGTTAATGTCACCTCTGCCTCCTACGCCACTAGCTAAGGTTGAAATGTCGCCAGCTGCGATCTCATTTTTACATGCCCAACAATCTGAGGAGGTGCCAACCATCTCCGCTCCACCGTCCCTAGATGGAAGTTTAAGCTCTGATCAAATGGCCGCTCTGTCTGCTCCACCGACACCAATCATTGGAGAGGGAGAAAGCACTACTAACACGGACTGGTCTGGAGTCCAACTACAACCTGCTGCCCTGGCTACATTGCAAGCTCTATCAGGAGGCGATGACTCCGAAGAGGAGTATCACCTAGAGCAGGTCATTGAAGTCACAGGAGGGCGAAGGCCAGAAATGTCACAGCAAACACCGCGCTTGCTCACTTCCATGTCAAGACCAATTCGAAGAGTGTCGACTCATCAGCCATCTCTCAATGGTTTAACGAGACTTGACATTCCTTCGCCCGGAGGTTTCTTTTCTGGTCTTTCTCCACGTACGAGGCATACTTGGCATCTACCTACAATGACACCTGATGAGAATGCGCCTCCTACTTCGACTACTGCAGAACAGTTCTATCGCTGCCCGTGGAATGAGCCTGCCCCTCAGGTTCCAGCTCTGCCAAATGTTCCGGTCCTACCTCCTCCTCCGCCGCGACCTGAGCGGTTTGCTGCCACGCCCATCCCATCGGCACCAGTTGAGCAATTCGTAGAAATCAGAGGCACAATGTCGGATGGCCTTCCGACTGCAAGACCAGCTGTGCTAGAACAGGTTCTCGAGGCGAGAGGTGATCTTACCGAAGAAGTAATCACAGCGCGACGCATTGAGCCAAGAAACCCCTTAACTTCCCCCACGGCCTACTATGAGCCTTCAAGCCCTCACGAGGATGTCACTGCCACAGAGATCGTTACAACTTATGATCCCGAATATACTAAGAAGCAACAAGAAGCTGCCCTGTCCAACCTGGACCGGACAGAATTATGGCTCATGGCACAGAGGGCTTATCTAAAGGGTATTCTCCCGGAGGAAGAAGTCAAGCCAACGGTTGACCCTGAACCAGAGACGCAAAAAGTCCATGTCGAAGAGGAGCCAAAGACCAAAGAGCCCGAATCTGATGTGGTATCCCCATCACAGAAGAAAAAGATGGTTCGGTTTTCCGAAGTCGTGGTTAAGACCGACATCCCAAGGACCTTGCCGCCCAAGCTTGCGCGACAAGAATCAGCTTACTACCGTGCTTTTCAGGACTATATCATTAGATCCCGTAGTCAAGATCCTTTTGTCCATCGCCTTCCTCGTTTTGAGGCATTGCAGGCTGAGCGCATCTCTTTGCGCGAGACTCACCGTAACCAGCTTCTTGGCAAGTACCAATTATCAGTGATGCCTCAGTCGGCTAAGAAGCGGATGAGTGCCAATGTGGCTCGCGGTGACGACATTCTTGTCGATGACCCCGAGAAATTGAAGCGAGAAAAGGAGCACGAGGCGTTAACCCAAATGTCCATGGCAAATTGGCACGTCGGCGCGACTAAGGCTTTGAATGGTGGGCGTCTATTTTCTGCACCAATCGCTAAACGTCTTGCCCGCCTTTCCCGTATCGGCGGCGCGAAAGATCGGGCGCGTATCCTTGACCTAGGCGGCCAGGCTGCTTGCGGCTGGGCCTGGCACTGTGCTATCATGTACCCTAACACTAAGGTATACACGGTCACGACTAAGGCTATCCGGCAGTTGTCTAACTCGAACATCCGCGGCCCGCCCAACCACCGACAGGTCGCTGTGGAACGACTCACGAAGCTGCCCTTCCCTGACGGCCACTTCGACCTAGTGTCGGCGCGTGAGCTTCACTCTATCCTCAAGTTCATCGGAGAGAATGGTGAGGATGAATGGGATAGCTGCTTGAGCGAGTGCATGCGCGTGCTCAAGCCCGGGGGGTATCTCGAGTTTTCAGTCCTCGACTCGGATATCACTAACGCGGGTCCGCTTGGCCTCGCTAAGTCTGTCGAGTTTGGGTTTGCCCTAAAAACCCTCGGCTACGACTCGTCTCCAACCCGGATGTTTATAAACCGTCTTCACCGCGCTGGCTTCGACGGCGTACGTCGCGCGTGGGTATGTCTACCCATGGGCCCGGACCCAGCCGTCCGACGTAACCGTAGGGTGGCATGTGACAGCATCACTGGGGTAGAGCGTCCGTTGGATCTGGAGGCCATGGTTTGCGGCAGCACGGAAGCCGCGGCCTCGGTGACGGGTCTCGCTGGAAGTTGGGCGTGGGAGAGGTGGCTGTTGAGATGCGAGACGGAGAAGGTGGCGAGCGAGGAACGTCTCGGGTTCTTCGAGGTGGAGGCGGAGAGTGAGAAGGCGAGCAAGTGCCTTGATGGCGTGCATGAGATCATTGAGGAAGGGAGGAAAATCGGCGCCGGATTTAGGTGCTTGAATGGATATGCTCGGAAGCCGGTCGAGAACTAGGTTGGCATACATACTACCTACCTCGGAGTTGGAGGCAACCGACGATGGAGCTAATGAGGGGGTTGTAATCAGTCTTTGTGAAGAGGTTTCTCTTATGTGTAATGCGGTTGGGTACGGATGTGTACGCATGGACGTATGTATGGATATGAGGTGCGTGTATGGCTGGTGATGATACCCCGTTCGGAAATTGGGAGGGAAAATATATATACATATACTAGAGAATGGGATATCTTCTGCTAGGCATGAATACTCGTGTAAAATGTAAGATTGGTTTAATATGTACATGTTGTGGTTTTAAATGTGATGTGCTCAAAGGCGTGAATTGTATAGAAGCTACGTGCTACCCTCTTCTCGCTACGCTTATAGAGTCCAGTTCAATCTCTCAAGAAGATCATATCGATGCATACCCGACAATCCTAAGATCACAAATTGGGTAAGGTCGTTCGTCTCTAATCGTAATCAATATTCATCAATTAACCTAACCATTCAAACGCGTCAATCGTCCCGTATCACTAAACCGCGTTGTGCGACAGAAGAATCTCTCATCCAACCCAGCCCTACTCCTACCCGCACTCCCTCTTCCCGACCCAAATCCGGAACACCACCACGGCTCCCCCAACGGAACGCTCGTCCCAGAAGCGTCGTCAAACCACGTGCGAAGGAACGCTCCCATCCACAGCGCGGTACCTACCTCCAATGTACCATATACACAAGCCGGATGAATGGTAGGTAGCATAAGTAATAGCGAGGGATGGGGAAGGGGGGGTCGAAGGAATCGAGGTAAGACGGAAGGATTTCGCTAGTATCATGAAATACCGATAGTCCTGCGCCTCACGCTCTGGCGTCGTCTGCCACTGGCGACCCAGACCCGGCAGATGAGCCGATCCGAGGTATGTATGTAGGTAGCTTTGACTGTATACCTACCTGCCTAGGTACCTAGATATGCATGCAGAAGCATGCAAGCGTCGTCGTTCGCAATCCCGGTAAGATTAAATGGCTGCATATAGCGCTATTGCTGCAAAAAAGTAAATATCAGCTGCACACCTCGGTCCTAGAAACTTGTTCCTTGCATAGATACCTAGGTAGGCATAGAGAAATCATTTATGTACCTACCTAACTGACATGTAAGTACCTAAGTAGGTAGACGTTCGTTCGAAAGCACCGGCGTCGATACTCGCGATACGATATCTGTTCTCCTGGAAGACCAAGCTGAGGTAGACTAGATCCTAAGCTAAGTTCCCGGTAAGACTGACATAGCTCAGAAACGAAAGGGCTCTGCATCTCACTCCGCGTTGAATCCTTCCCAAAGTTCCCCAATCTCTGGGCCTCGGCTTCATCCTCGTCGATCATTACTGCTAGCGAATCCGATAGTTGGATGAGCAAGCCTATCCATCACAGTCCTAACCCAATTGGTCACTGTGGTCATAGGGCATGGGTTAATATCGTTCAAGTTCCTGATATTCGTTCCAAGCTTGTATACACGAATACAACGGTCGCGCTCGTAGCACATGATATCTTCCAAACTCCTCCCTCATTTCTTTCGTTCCATCGTATATACACTACCCATATATTTCACATTCCGCATTCCACATTCCTAATCCTAGTCCGAATCCAAATCCATCTTCTCCCCTCGCACCGGCGATATCGATATCGCCTTGGAGGAGGAGACGTCGATTGCCCCTTTTGATTCAGCCCTACCCTTTTCATCTGAGTCCTCTACCGCAACGACGATGCTCCGTTCGTCGCTCTTTTGAGGCGTCGAAACCCTGTCTTTCAATGCCTTTGGCGTTGTAGGGACGATGACGTTCAGAACGCAATCGTCCAAATGCTCGTAGAACTCCTGTGCCGTCGAAAACCGTGTCTGGCAAATGGAACACTTAGCATCGCCACCATTCCGAGAACTGTTTCCAGTGATAATCATCTTCCGGCTGTTAGGGGGGGTCTGTTCAACATTGTGCACGGCCGTTAAGTGTCGTTTAAACACATCAGCCCTATTAAATGCCTTTTCATATGCTGTCCCTGGCCCTGGACAGAAAGGGCAGACCATCGTGCCCTTGTAGTGTGTTAGTGCATGCCTGTTTTTGTCGTATTTCCGGGCGAACCCTTTCGTGTGATATTCGCAACTTTCTATAGGACACTTTTCGGGCCGTTCTTCTTGGTGTGTCAACATATGTGCTGCCAAATCTTTGAACACTCGACCGCAATCGGGATGAGGACACCGGTTCCTATTGTCCTCGGCCTTCGGTATGACGGGGCTACTATGCGCAGTGCTATCCAGGGACGGTGCTATTGAAGGTGCCAGTAACGGCCCTTGAGGGGGGGCTGGCGCAAGGCGCGGAGCTTCCAAGAAAGACGACTGGCGTGGCAACGCATATTCTTCCATCATTCTTACGTCGTTATCTTCTTCTCCGCTCGACGTGTCGTTCTCGTTAATATCGATCGACTGCCGTACTTCTCGCATCCAGTCCTTCAAAACAGTCATCGGAGGCCAATCGCCACTAGCTTTGCCGCTCCTGTGTGGGTGAAAATGCGCTCTCCGTAAATGAGCTGCTGCATTGTAATAAGCGCCGTATCGTTTCTGCGTAACGCAAGCTTTGCACTTCGAGAGCGGTATTACGGGCTGCGGAGAGTTAGGACTTGCGTTCTGAGGCTCGGTACAGACCCATCTCTTGACCAAAGAGGCGTGCTTGGCATCATTGTGCCTTCGAAGTTCGTGTTCGCCGCGGAAACCCTCGGGATATTCGTTACACTTGGTACAAAATACGCGCCGAAGAGGTGGCCGTTGGTAAGAAGTCCTTAGTTTCGAAGGAGAGCTAAGACCTCTCGCAATTGCGCGTGTAAAGACAGGGTTCTCTCCTACAGTATGCCGCCTCCCAGGCTCAGGAGTTTCTATGGCATATGTTGCAGGCAGCATTTCTTGATCGTTTCGATTTGCCCAAGGGTCGATTGGACGCCATTGAAAAAGGGGCTTCCGAACATCCCCAGCTTGGCCCACGGCGGAGGGCTGCTGGTAAGAAACGTGCCGATAAATAGGTGTTCGTTGTCTAAAGAAACCATTAAACCCAGCATTACCATCTAGATAACCGCTTCCCAGGCCGAGGAGGAAATCTCTTGATGAGCGAATGCCCAATGCAATCCAGTCGTCCTTTCTAATAGCCGAAATAGTGGTAACAAATAATACACGATCGTTCCCATCCAATTCCTGAGGTGGATCGTCCAGCATCATCGGCGTCGACCAGGCGAATATGCTCACCAAGGCCTTGTAAACGCTATGCATAGCAGTGGCACCTGCGGACATAGGAAAACCAGCTTGAGCCTGGGGGGTCAGGGTTCGCGACGGCGTAGAGATCAGATCGGCCAGGATCGTCCTCACAATACTAAATATACAAAGCGAAACGAAAACAGCTAGCCAACTCTTCGGATCCGAAATAACTCTTCGCATGGTCGTACTCTCGAACGACTGCAGAAATTGAACCATGCAATTATAAATCAGTCGGTTTCGTCCTTCGTAATCTATATCGTCGGGCGAGTTTTGGGCGTTTGTCACGTTAGTTAAGTTGACTTCGGTTCGTATCGACGGTTCGGGCTGCTGCAAGTCATAGAATAGTATCTCCCTGAGAAGTAATTTTGCCCGATGAAGCACAGGATATGTCACAGCTTCCAGTTCCCTACTCTCCGACATGAAGCCCGTCAACCTGAAAAGTTCCCAAAATTGAAAGGGGACACCCTCAGCGTTCCAGCTGGCTGCTAGCACCTTCAGGACAGGCGGCGGCTTATCCTTAGGATCTTTCGAATAATTCGCCAGAGTGGGATTAGGCATTGGTAACGATGCAAGATCTTCAGTCCACCAGAACCCGTCGTCGAAGTCTATATGTGACTTCACCATATCAGACATGGTCTGGCTCACTAAATATGTACGTTCGAGATATTCGTTCATATTACGCCGCCTGGCTAGGGGCGAAGTGACAGGCGTGTGCACCTGTCTCGGCGACAGGGCTTCTACTTGAGATGTGAGTACTCCATCTTAAATATATATATATAGATCAATCGGTATTGAAGGAAGAGGGGGAAATACCTGGTAGCATATAGTCAGCTAGCGCGACCAGAGGGCCACGATGGCAACCAAGTACACCCCAAAACTCGTCATTAACAGAGTTAGGCGGTTCAGCGCAAAACGCACAGTCGTCTTTCGAATCGCACTAATCAGGGTAAGTAATAATCCGATCTATAGGAACTGGGTTTTCATACCGGCTTCGCCTGAACCTTACAGCGGAGGCACGGCCCAGCGTCGCGTGGCAGTCTAAGCTCGCCTATGGATTCAAGCCTTCCGTGTCCGACTCTACTTCGCTTCAGGGGCGGAAGCAAGGAATCGGGTTCGGAATCGACGGATCCCCTAGGCTGAGGAGGTATTTCGTTCGCAAATGGATACCCAATCGTCGATTCACGCCGGTCTCTCGGTTGGTTGGCCGTGGCTAGTGGAGGTAGAGAGGGAGGGACAGAAAGTCGTGGTAAAGTAGCTGGAGAGCTTCGGTTTATATGATCGGTACTAAATAGCCGCGACGACGCTTGGTCTGAGAAGGTAATTGGGGGAATAGTACCCACCGAAAGACCGGAATCTCTCTTTGGGGGACCGGCATGTTGTTTTATATGTTCGTCCCGGTCTTCGGTGTTGGAGAAGCCGTATATATAATACACGCATCGGTCATCCCAACATTTAAAAGAAGCCTGGCGTCTAGAAATTAAAGGTATCGTCTCTCTCATCCTCCATCCCCGGAATATGGGGTCATAAAATGAGATATTCTTATCCAGCCAAGCATCGTAGCCGGACGGTGCATCATCCTGACCGTATAACTTCAAGGCATGCAGAAATTGGCCGTCGTGAAGGTCTAGACCTATTTGCGACAGGGCGTACGTTAGGTAAGGGATGGATACTAGATGGCTTAACTACATACCTTGGTCGATTAAGAAGCTCTCGATGCATTCGCATTTATACTGCAGCGCGCGGGCTTCCTCGACTTCAGATAATATTGGAACGGTCCCTGGCAGGTCTTGGATTACATATATCAGAATTCCGTCTAACACCAACGTCGCACTACGGGATTAATATTAAAATGGAGGCAACTCACTTTGGTTCTTCACATAAGCCTCCAGTGCTCTAAGCTTCCGACGGAGCATGTCCAGCTCGAGCTTACTGTTAGGGAGATACTTGGCTGGGAGTAGAGCCGCTAACTTCGCCTGGATTTCAGCTTGTTGCTCGAACAGCTGTCTAATCGTGGGGTCCAAAGACGGGTCAAAACCGGGTGCGACTTGAGATTCCCGACCCTCGAGCAGGGAACCGCGACGGTCGAGTCGAGGCTCTAACGAGTCGGCGGCCATCACTCCTCCTCTTTCGCGCCTCGCGCCAAAATCCAGGGTCGGGTAACGGGAAGGTTTCCGAAGTTATTAATTCCTCCCTTAGTTAATTTTTTTTCTTCTTTATTTTCTTTTTAATATGCTCCTTTTATAGCTCCTGAGCCTTCGCCGCGCATATATATAAAATACGGACCGGCGACTGTGCCGCAGAAAGCGGGCGGCAGGACTAGGGCTGGGCCGCTCTCCGCCTCGTCCTGCTCACTCTTCTCACTTTCTCTCGCTCTCGCTCGCGCGCAGACTCACTTCCCGCTTGCGCGCGTGACTTAGCGGTAAACATCAACTGCGGCTTAATAAGGACGAAGAATCAATCATAAACATAAACAAGATGTTCATGACGGAAACGTCGGCCGAAGGGTGGAAGGGTTTTAGAGAAGAAGAAAAAAAAGTTAATGACTGCGCCTCGTGACGAAATGAGCCAATAGCAACAGCAAATTTTAAAGATTGGCTGCAGGACGCCTATCGGAGAGACTACGTTCGCGAGGGGTGTGGATGGTGAACTTTAGAAGAACATCTGGCCGACTACTTTTTTTTTCTTATTCTCTCTTCTTTTTTTTCCTCTTTCCTATCTTCTTGTGTGTGGGGGAAAGAATTAAAAAAGAGAGAGAAAGGGAGGGAATAAAAAGAATTGCTTTACTTTTTTCCGAAGAATTGTCTCGGTATCAGGAAAGGGTATCAAGGAAAGAGAGGAAGAGAAGAGAAAAAAAAATGAGATAGTAAAGTAACTTGGGTTTGAAGGTAAATTGGCTAATAACTTTTGGGGTCGTCGCGATCGATGAGAAAGTAGACTGATAGACAGGCATTGACAGGCGAGATACCTAGTACTAAGTAAAAAAAGGCTGGCTGGCTAGACAAGAAGGTGGGGCGACCACTACAACGGCAGATTACACACACATGGAGCCTAGCTGCACAATTATTCCCAGGGAGATACAAGAGATACAAGAGATACTTACAACATCGAATGCGAAAGAGAGAGAAAAAATTGGGAAGAACAGGCCAGCTTCGAATGTGAAGTTGGAAGGGGGTGCAAGCAGCGCAAGCAGTGCAAGGTGTAAAAGCAAGGTGCAACGCCTTACAGGGATTATAGCTCCCGGGCTGCCGGGGTATTCGGGAGGTCGGTGCGGAGCGTTGACACTTGACCTTCGACAGGTAGGTACAGCTACCTAGAATCAGGGTACCTATCGCATCATTACTTTCCTCATACATACCTGGGTACATACGTCCGGGTATGTAGGTTGGTAGCCATGGAGGTCATTCGGAGAAGGAATTGTAACTTTTAGCTACTAGGTACCGTACCTAGGTAGGCAATTACCACTAGGTAGGTATGTAACTCATGCAATATGCAATATGTAATGTCATCATCACCTATTATCATCTACTAGGTATCATCATCTACCTAGTAGTACCTACATGTAGGTCGTATGTATGTATCATATTCTATCTACTATACGAATCTGATCGATCTATAGGATTTGGGATCGTAAGCCTTGTCCAATGTTAACCGTTGACGAATTTCACTTCCATCTACGTACAGTACAGCAACTAGCTGAAATAAGAATGACAGCGACAAGGCGAACAAAATAGTACGTATGTACACAATAAGATCATCGATGCGGATGTGGATTCATATGTGGATTATCAAAATGGAGACGGCGTCCCTTTATTAGATAGTGCCAATATGGTGCATAGAATCGTACTTGCCTCAGTTAGGTACCGAGTACCTTTATTAGTCTTAGGGTCTTAGGGTCTCAGGATAGCATTAGTGCCGAGTAGTAAATTAGTATGTATATAATATACTGCGCACCTAATAAAACAAGAGGGACGAGAGACAAGACGAGAAATAAAAATAAAATAAAAAAGCCGAAAGCCGTTGTGGTGTTGGTTATAGTCGATTATGCTAATCTAGACTAATTCTGGACTAATGATCCAGCTAAAGCCTCGACTAGGTACCTGTATACATAATAGGGTAGGCGACTAATAAGATGGGGTTCTTTCTTGCGTCGTCTTTCTTCCGACAACGTGCTACTGGGACGGACCACCGTGTTAACTACTACCTTGATAGCCAAGGGTTACACATACGATACTATCATGGCTGTGCTTCTGGTCGTAATCATAACGAGTGCACCTTCTATTCCCCATACGGATATATCATATCATATATAGTACGTTTCTACATACTATGTAGTTCATACTATGTAACTAGCTATGTATGTAAAGGTCCCCGGGTACTTGAGATAAATACGTGGATGTGGACGTGGACTTGGACTTGGACTTGAACTTGAACTTGAACTTGGATCTTAGACCTGGCTTCGTAAGTCGAGTGCTTCGGTTACGCCATCTATCCCTTTCTACTTGGCAAAAAAACGTCTTACTAGATAGATCTAGATACTTGGTTCACCTTCGTCGGCAAAACGATAGTGAGCACTAATAAAGAGTACATAGTAGCAGTGCTGGAAGCACGCCACCTATCATTATCCGAATATCTTGATTCAGGCGGCTAAGCATTGCTTACGAACGAGGGTAATCGAGTCTCCATCCCATCAAGTCTCCAAGTGGGATAAGCCGAGAGCCATTGGACACATATGTGGATTATAGCGTGAGGTAGTACGCGGTTTGCATCAACCGCAGCTGCATGCATGTCAGGCGGGAAACTTTCACAGTCCCAGAGCTGGCTCGGCTGGATGTCCAGCTCTGGCTCGAGTCCATGCTGATCACTGTTAGTGCTCACAAAGTGACTGTAACTTTAACAATGTTGAGCTGTGGTACGGTGGCACAATGATATGAATGCAGAAAAGAGGGAAGAGCAAGAAGAAAAAAAGAGTTGACCGGGGGGGTATATAAGGACATGGGCCAATGAACGATACCACCTAATCACGTTACCATCGACTCCATGCCAGTCAGTTCCTCTTATCTACTATTTACATGCCTACCTACATACCTAGTAGGTAGCATCTACATAATAGCTAGCCGATGGATAGGTACCTAGCAGCCTAGGTAATAGGTATTAGCTTCTTCGGCGTAATAGTTCTTAACGACGTTAGATGTAAGAAGAATGGATGAGCTATACTATACCTAGCACGTGCCGCATGTTGCCTGAGTTCTCATACCACGCCGTATAAGCCGAGCCATCAAGTTCGAGACGGTCTAGTCAGATATGGGATCTGAATAGGATTCCCCCATTCGAGCTTTTTGGATAAGAGCCGGAGGATGGCTTGGCATGGGGTACCCCTTGATAGGTCGGCCGAGGACCGCCAGTAAGAAGTGGGTGCGGCAATCAGTATGCAGTATCTTCTTATGCTTATTAAAAGATGCAGCCTGCAGTCATATGAGTTAGAGTAGATATGTACGTAGTAAGTAATGATGGCAGGGCTTTTATCAGCACCTTAAGCAGCTGATAGGCAGGCTTGCCCGGTCACTTGTTGAACAGATTTCCTCGGGGGCACATCCGGAAAATCTTCATACTTACAGGTATGTGTATGTATGTAGGTACATGACATCCATAAGGTATGTACATCCATGGATACATTACCTACCAATAGAGAGATCTCCAACAGCCCCCAACTTCGAGGATTTCGTAGCCAGTAAAGCCTCAGCGCCAGCGCATAGTGACCACCCGACCGCCTCAGCCCGGTAATTTACTTGCCGCTAATTACAGCCTGGCATCAGCTCAAAACAACCCAGTAACTCTAACGACACGACACTTTTTCCCTAACGGCACCACACCTTCCTAATTGGGACTAGTCAATTCACCACATAATTCAGCACAATTACCTAGTCAAAAACATCAGGAATGCCCTTTTCAGCTTAGTTTCGCGCACTAACTCTAATTTGTATTGTGTACTTCTAGTATTCAGCCAATAAGCGTGCGCATTACGATACTGATGTTGAAACTTGAGTAGTTTATTTGTTTAAATTTCTAAAAATTAGAAGAATATATGAGTTTATAGCGCGCGATGAGGCCAATTGATTGATATAGTTTATAGTCTTATCCAAGGGATAATCGCTGAGGTAATTGACAAAGTGCATTCGGATGAATAAGCAATTGTGTTGACGCGATGGGTATCACGTGGCTGCATCAACGCAATCAGTCGCCCATTATAAACCCTAATATAAGATTTAAAAACCACTGCACCTAATTGAAAGTTATATAATTAGATTCGCCAAGAGAAGACCTATAATATGATATCAATTTCATCATTACTTACACTGAATAGAAAATACTATTCAGATTCAAATATCGCATTATGTAATCAATGCGGGGCACGTGTGTATTACGTAATGATGTTACCGCAGTTTTGGGTTATGTAATCACCTTTTTCGAGGTATTCAAAACTTGAAAGTTTAAATGTATAAACCAATAATCAAACGAGAAAAAGCGGGTCAACACGGTAAATTTCATTTAACCAATGAAATTACATTACACTAAGCCTAATTGAATGATTGAAAAGTATTATGTTTTTTTGGTGCGATTAAAGTAATTGTGCTGAATTATGTGGTGAATTGACTAGTCCCAATTAGGAAGGTGTGGTGCCGTTAGGGAAAAAGTGTCGTGTCGTTAGAGTTACTGAAAACAACCGTCCATGTAATTTGTTTCGGCTGACCTTTCCCACACGCTCTAGACCATCATCCCACGCCCTTCTCTCCGCTTCACCTCATCTTCATTCTCATTTTTTTCCTTCACCCACCCTAATCTTAAAAAATGATGATTATGATGATGATGATGCGGTTGTAACCGGTTTAGATGAGAAATAGTCTTATCAAAGCAACATGAATTTCCCATAAACCATGGCGGGTAGGGTAATCTGTCTGAGGCATGATCAGACATCACCATCGTCAGGACGAACAGGGTGTAAGGTTGTTCGAAAGAAAATAGTAGAAAGGAAAAATGAAAAGAATACAATAATACTTACTCTCGACCCTAACTTCCAAGCCATGCGGGAAGAGGATCGGACGTCGACCATATGATCCGGCACATGCATCGACTTTTTTGCTGATCACTTCCCAAGATAGGAACGTCATGTTTCTTAAGTGCATTGATAAGTGCCGAGATGGTCTAGGCGAAACTTCGTCTTGTCCACCGTCGCCGTTCATTGGGGAGCAGGCTATTATGTGTGGGCTAATTGAGCGTTGCAGATGGGGATGCAGGCTCCATCTCTTGCCCTTTCTCCCTTTCTCTCCTCCGCTCGTTCTACTGTTCTGTGACTTGCCTCATAAGAGACATCCATCGACAATTCGATATACCTACCTACCTACCTGGGTCTTAGGTAGGTATCCTCCGCACAGATGCACGATACATGCTGTCAGAGACGCAGCGAGTGTGTAGAGTGTAAAAGGGTTTCAGCGCTTGATGAAACCACTTTCCCTTAATAATCAACGTATCGTCAACTCCGACTTTGCATTGCCGTTTAGGGAAAGCCGCTCAGCAGGTATTCCCCGACGCAGATCTTTCTGCATGTCGGGTTATAAAAGGCGGCAGAGTTGAGAGGTCGGCGGAGGGGACTGGACGGACTGGATAGACTGGAGGGATGAAAAGGTGGATGAGGTGGCAACGAGCGAAATCGCGTGCGCGCGAATGATAGAATTGCAAGGGCAGAGGCGGTCAAGAACTAGGCGGCATGTAGGCGACATGCAAAGCTCACCCAGCACCAGACCCAGCACCAGCACCAGCAGCATCAAGACCACTCTCTGTTCGAATCATGGTTCGCGGAACAAGCTCGTCACACCTAGGATTGCGCGTCGCCAAGAGCTCTCTGCAGGTGAATAGATGGATAGATTGAACCAGATATTCCAGATATTTCAGATATTCACTCATTGATGTATTGATTTGAAAAAAAAAAAAAAAAACCACCGACAAGATAGAAAGATGGTTTCAATCGAGATAGATCGAGAATATCCTCTAGAAGAATGGCAGTCGTAAGTATATACATAAGAGAATATGATGAACCTTCTACTAGGTAGTTCCAAGTTAGAAGTCTAATAATTTGAATGTTATGATTCCTCAAGTCAATCCATGATTCTTTCCTTTCAAATATTCCCCCAACCAATTTCCATGTATCCAGGTACGTATACATGTACCTAAACCTGAAGACCCTAAAGTTTCCCTTGAATTGTAGGGTCTGCCCCACTTTACCATCCCTCGTTTTGATTCTCATTGCAACTTGAAATATTTGAACTCGTCTGATTGGCCAATCTGTAGCAGTAGCTCCATTTAACGCCTTGAGATGGTTCGCAACTTCTTATCTGTGCGTTCGGAGCGCTGCGAAGCCTGCCGCTTCCTTCAGCTCTCCCCGTTTCCCGCTCCCTCCTTCTGAGTAGGTACTTTAGGTACCTAAAGTACCTAGGTACAGCTGACTGGTGTCGCGCATTAGGGCTCGGGGGCTATGATAAGGCGATAAGGCGATAAGGCGAAACGCGGCATTCCAACATATCGTCTCCAGGCCTCGTCTCAGCTTGCCTTACTCTCAGCTGGCCCCCAAAGTCTGCCAAAACATCCCCGTTTCTTGCGCGACAACAAACCATTAAGCTCGGCACTACTTCCTTGAGACAAGCAGAGCCGAGATGGTCATACATCAGCAACTTTCGGATTCTTGGTATTCTTGATCTTCTTGACTTTCTTGACATCTACGACATAGACGCTTGGTGATGTGATAAAATCGCTTCTCTTCAGTCAACGTCGAGGACTATCCACTTGGCGAACCTTGGAATGGAACAGGTTGAATCATATTTGCCAAAGTTGGCGACATACATCCTCATGAGATACACAATCTCCCAATATCTTGCTCGGCATGACGTTGTTGTCCAATAGCCCCCTTTGCCTACAACCTGGGCAGTTAGCGAGGGAATTCGCAGTTAGTTTCGCCTTTACTACGGGCAGTAATGTACCCTTACTTGCCTAGATATCAATGTTTTATAAGTTTTATCCCCCCATGCTACCAGTGTTTGTTTTCCCTCTGCTTCTCTTTAATATCCTAAGATGTGATTCTGTGTGTCCTACCTCACACAGATTTATCCTTTAACACTCTAAAATTATCTTACTTCCTTTTTCACCCTTAACCCCTTTTTATTACAATGCTCAGATATTTCTCTAGTCTTCTACTTCAGCTGCCTTGATAAATTCTCTGAGTCTTGTTTCCTCACAAGCCTTTTCGGCATTATCAAGACTCATGCCTTCCAAATGATTAACCTAGATGCTTCTAACTCAGGCTGCTTCTCATGAGCCCTTAATGTCCTCGCCATTCTCATTTTGAGGTCTTCTTCTTTTCCTCTTTATTTATTATTTTTTTTTTGGAAAAACAAAGAAGTACAACTATATTGAACGCAGAATATATGAGCTTAATACAGTTCACCTCTAACCGTTGATGACGACTTTGGGTATTCGCACTAATCGACCAACATCTATCTTTAAACTATATGCTCTTGGTGCCTACTATACCTGAACATTATATGAGGTAGAGAATCAACCGTAAACTATACGCAATATGAAGAGCTGATCGGTACCATAGTCTAGTAGTTCATATAGCCCTGTTTACATCATGGCACCTTGCCGCCTTCAGCATTCTCACCACCATACCCAAGCACATGTTGAGGCAAATCAACAACGGAATCTAAGTGGCATCGGTGCCCAGTTTAATGGTACTAAGGTGGATTATTCTGGCATGTCCTCGGCTTTGGATACGTTTCTGGACATTCCTTCGACGGCTTCACCCCCTTTGAGGGCAGTGCTTGGACGGAATGGAAATACCGATAATGCTAGGATTCATCTTTTAGGATCTGATATTATTATAAACCTGTCTTCTGGGAAGTACAGCTGAAGTTCAAGGTGACCCGAAGAGGAAAACAAGGTATTCGCACATACTTGGCTGGACGAATGGAGAAAAGGCTGGTCGTCTAATGGAAAAGGTGATATCACATTTTTGGTACTCACACACCATCATCAGTCATTGTATAGGTATACATGTTTAACAAACAAAAACATACACTCAATACCGATACCACCTTATGCTGTTAGATGGATTGCTCGTTAAGATAGGTTAGTGATAACGTCTATCAACATTGGCTGAATAGTAAAGTGTATCAAGATATCAAAGTTTACCAAGGTAGATACTAGGTAAGTAGGTACCTTACAGGCAGTCGAAGCAAAGAAATGAAACATAGATAGTGTAGAGGGTTAAGATAGCAAATAACTCAGCCTCGAGTCTAGCCTTAGCAACTCGTCATGAACAGAAACATAGCCTTCTTCCGGGACCCAAGACCCACTAAAGGTGGTCCGGACAGTCTCACCCCTGACTCGGTACCCAAAAGCAAATCGATACCTACCTAGGTATATAGTCGTAGTTGTTGTTTTTCACTACCTGATACTTATACTTGTAGGATGTGTAGCATCTAAGTATGCCCCAAATAATATATTCGGCGAAGTGAAAATTTCGTCGCGTATAATCTCAAGTATAACGGAAACATCATTACAAGATCGTTAATTCAGATGCGCAGTAGAAGTTCTCCAAGCGCATCCTCTATTATAAAGTGGTATCTACTACAATGCTGCCATGAATACCCAAGCGCCTCCTTAGAAGATTGGATCTATTTCAGTTGCATCCATCTTTTTTCTCGTGGCGACAACTCTTTGTCAGAAGAGTTTTCCGCACTCTTGATCGCTTCTCTCCACCCCCAGTACTCTCCTAATCTGATCTCGGCATACTCGGCATAGTCGAAATCGATGTGTGAAATTGTGGCCTGGATCAAAGCCCATATTCCCCAGTAGAACCCAGGTACACCGCGGAATATATCAATTTCAGCCAGTAACTTCTGCGTTTCAGCTTCTTCGTCTATGTTGATAGGCTTATCGGGCAGTAGACTGAAATAAGTATGAATGTATTCCCGAATAAATTCTAACCGCTGCGCACGTGTTGGCAACACGTTGTAGTCGCAGTCAAAGCCCCCCCACTCCGCGAAGTGATTTGCCAAATCAAAAGCCGCGGGCGAGGGGGTGGCATACTCGTAGTCGATGAAACTGACTTCCTTCTGCTGTTCACCCCCTTCTTTGGTGTATGTACTTTGAGGCTCAATAATGACATTTCCACTCAGGAGATCACAATGTGCAAAGACAAGCTACGGATGGTTAGCGCTCGGAGTTACTGCTGGGGCTGGCCGATGGTGCCACTTACACCATTATCTCCCAACCCAGGCCGTTCGCTCAACTCCTCGATGAGCTTAGTAAGCTCCTGCTGGAGATCTGCTTGCCTAGTACGTTGAGCCTCCGTATCGGTAGGGAGAGCAAATATCCACTTTTGCATAACCGTCCATACGTTAGGAGAGGGCTTCCCGGGTGCGGCATGGGCAATGACCTTATCACGGGAAGCATTGGCATCTCCATTGACGCCGTTAGTTAGTGGGTGTGCTTCATATATGCAGGGAACGATAGCATGCCACTGTGCTAGTCGCCTCGCAACGGCCAAATATATCGGTGATTCCCTAAGGTCGGCGGGCTGTGTAACTGTGCCTCTGATATAACGGTATATCATGCCGTTATCGAAGCGAGCAAGCAACTCCGGAGCCAGGTCGTGGTTCATGAGGAGCTCATGATTTTGGGTCTCTCTGTGTCGGTCTATGAGCACGTCGGTCCCGTGTCCGTATGCTCGGAGTAAGACTGCTTCTTTGTCTACTTCGTCTTTAGACAGTCCTTCTTTCTTATTGATGGCCTTTAATAATGTGTTTGTGATGCCATCTTTGAATGATATGAATTCGATTTTGGAATCGGGACTTGACCATTCAGGACGTAGGGCGAGGATGAGGGCGCGGGCGGAGGAATCAGGGTTCTCGCTGTCGTATGAAAGAGGAATGTGTCGCAACTGGCCAAGTTGACCGTTGGCAACTCCATTCGTATTTTGTAGATGCATAGTGTTTAACTATTCGATCGATTACTTGTTGGTTTGTCCTGGACAACTGCATAGGGTCATAAGGGTTTCGTAAATGTAGGGAAGTTGGGATTTCAAGGATATTTTCTTTTGGAGTACGTTCAATTAATAGGAACGGGTTCACCGCCTAGTGCGCAAGTGATAGACTATCATAGGTGGATAGTGGATGCGTCGCAAAGGATAGCGATCTAAGAATCGTCTAACTTTCAAGCGTTAGGCAGACACATTATCGTGGGGGATATGTTGTACGGAACATCGAATTGTTAAGTTACTACTAGGTATGATGAAGAAAGTCATAAGCACACTTTATGTAAAACAGCAACGCAAACGTCATTGCCCGTGCAAGTAAGGCGAGGTGCAGAAAAAAAGGTGGTGTAACGAGATGCGCGAAGGAAGTGATCAACGAGAAAGCCGGCTAGTGTTAGTGGTCAGGGACCAACTAATAGATGGAACTAAAATCAGGGACAACAGGGGTTAGCTGCAGCCCTAGAACACGAATCTTGGGAACTGCGTGGTGGCAACTTCCCAACGTTTCCTTTCTCGATAACTAGATGTATGTACCTACTACACGCCTGCAGAATCAAACACCCAATAGGTTTGAGACGAGTTATAATAAATGATATAAACAATACCCGGTAGGCAGGAAGGCGAGGGCAAGATATTCCTATGTCATAAAATTCCATACTTATTAGTAGCAGCCTAGATAACACAACAGGGTCACGAGATCAATTGCCCCTCTAGTTCCAAAATAGCCTGGTGACATGTGAAAGCGAGTGTTAACAACGTTCAGGTGACGAATTCTTTGAATCTATCCAACCTTGAACCTTCTAATAAACCTCAAAATTAGTAAGCAACCTAGGATCTAAGGTTTGCAAGCAGGGATCCGTATAAACCTTCTATAGGCGTAGGTAGCTCATAACAGGTACCTACCTGCCTATATCTACAGGAACAATTTCAACTAAAGTTACATGATTTGTGCCACTAATAAAAAACACCAAAAATGGCACCCAAACTGATCCGTACATACATCCATCATTCATTCTCACTAATCTTCGTCTCCATTGTTAGGCTTCCATCCCACTAGCGCTTTCATGTGTCGCAAAACGTCATTGCCACGGTCTAGTATAAACGCCGCCCACTCGTCCATCATATCACTAAAGAGCATAAGTAGCCTGCTGAAGAAGAACAGGCTCACGAAAGACACGCTCGCGATAACCGCAAACGCATACCAGTACGTCTTGCCTGTCCAGTAGATGTACAGATCCTCGATCTGAACCGAAAAGTAGCTCGTCATAAAACTAATCGGTAGGAAGAAGACGCTGAGCTTGGCTAACAATGTGGCGCTTCTTGTGAGCCTAGCCGTTGCCTGCGAGTCTTTCTGTTGCGTCAAGTTGAAGTACTGTCCGGTAATTAGCTTTGTTCTCATACAGAAGAACTGGTCGTCACTCCTTACCGTTGTCGATAACGCGGCTATCTCCTCCAAGTAACCTTCGATAGTGTTCAACATAAGGTACTGAAGTCGATCCCTTAGCCTATCAAATCGACTCAGGGCAGAATTCGTTAGGAACACTTTATGATCCGCATCGAGATGAATGCTCTGAGACGAATCCCGTCTACCGACAGCCATTATCTTACTTATGAGATTCTTATAATTCTCAAATAAGTGCTTAAACTCTCTAAGATCCTTGCTCAGATAGTGCAACGTAGGTATGATCTCAGAACTCTTAGACACCTTGCTTCGACGCTGCAATAATTAGTAACGACTCACCTATTCTCAAGGAGTTCAACCTACTGTACTATCTAGAATTTTGTGAGTCTTAAAGCAACGAGTATTAGCAACGTCCCTTCGATGACACGAAAATTCGGCTCACCATCTCATCCAGTTCCTGTTCCGCGGCTTTGAGAGGGCCAGCTGCAACATAATCTTCGAATAGGTAGTAGAAAAGATTGCTTGTTCCTTCATCGGCCAGACTTCCTGCTTCACTGTTACTGAAAACAGACACTCCCGATTGTGTTCTGTTGAGATCTTTCCGGGGGTTAGGTAGCGACTCCCTGACTGAACTTTGAGCAAGTGGATTGGTTTTGTAAAGGTCGAACCCTTTAGTGGATAACTGTCGAAGAATATCCAAGATGTGTGCTCTCATCGACTCGAATTCTTCGTTACGCCAGCTTTCCTTGTTCTCCTTTTCCGGAACTGGCTCGAATAAGGGTTTCTCGTGGATTGATAAGACGGTGTCTATCTATAGCATTAGCGGCTACTTGACCATAGAATTGTAGCGTAGTACGCACGATTATTGCACAGCGCAAGCCATTGCCAATGTTTGGGTGGCATGATGCTGATTCGTGGGTGCTCAAGCTCAGGTACTGGCCGCTTATGAAGCCAATTTGCTCCGATGCAGAAGGCTTTTTGAACGTGTTAGCGTGAAAATAGGGGTGTTTGATCTATAACATAGCGCACCTTTCTGGGTTTGATCCGTCGAGAAATAGTTAACGGTATCCTTCACTTGCAGATATAGAGCTATGCTGTCATTAACTTCTGCGGAGGCCTGAGGTTTCGAGAAACTGCCATTCGTGGCTTCCCCTTTCTCCAAGTCGTTATTCGATCGTTGATGATGGCGTAGGGCGATCTTTCTCCTATGGTTATGCCGCCGTGTCCCTTCTGGTTGTGATCTTGGTGTAGTCATTAAGCCAAGTAACCTCGGCGAGAACCCATATTTCTCGCCAATGGAGGTCATAGTATCTCTTTGCGCACTGGGATCCCATACATTGCTATGATCACAATCAGTATATACGGCGTACCCGACATCTGCATCCAGTAACGTACATCCATCGGATAGGATAATCCCTGTGGTCGTCGGGGGCTTGATTAAGTAGTTGGTTCATCTCGTCATCATTCACGTCAAATGCGATCCGCGCGCGTTTGAGCCCAAATTCGACTACGAAATTCTTGCTTTCCTCATCTCTTACGTGTTTTTCAGCCTTCTGAAAGACTTCATATTGATCAAAGTCTTCAAAGGCAATCGCGATGCTCGCTGAAGCAGACTCGTCGCCGGACGCCATAATGGTAAATAAGCAAGTAATCTGAGACGAAGACAAATTACTAACCCCTACTACCTTAAGGAAAGAAGAACAAAAATCCGAACATGAAATGGAAAGGCATGAGGGAATCTGTGCGATGTTTTATCATTATTGAGACGAATAAAAATTTGACGAGGCTACGGTACTAGGTAGTTGATTTCGAATCTTGATAACATTCAGCTCTCCAACGCCTGACTCAAAGTCGTTCTCTTGAATACAAGGATTCGGTTGAGCAGGCGACACGCGCCGAAGATGCAGGTGACACGTCGGAATTGGTGGGGGTAAGTAGTACGGTCGGGGGGCTGTTATTAATGCTTAGTGGTTAACTTGGAAGCTGCTGAGGTCTCCGAACAGCGGTTGAGCGGGTAGTCCCATAAAGTTTACCTAGCTTTGACCGGTCGCCTGGGTACGACGGACTCGAACCTAAATCACAGCCCTGGAGCAAGTGCATAGCCGCTGGCCCGCTGCAAGTATAAAGATGGCGCCCGAGGGCGACTTCCCATGCACCCATACAGCACGCTCCTGAGGCTTGAACAAGCCTGCAGGCTAGCAGACTAAGTAGAGCTACTAATAGTAACTTACATAGTAGGTAGTTGACTCTTTCCCGAGACAACATCATTGATTGACTCACATCAATACTCCGAACTATTAGGTACATACCTAATATTTAATGAACAATACCCGCCTATTTCTGATGTAGAAGCTTATTCAAGGCAAATTTTACAGCGAGGCGTTCCAACTAATGGATGCCACACAGCCATATACCGCCGTACTCTCTTCCAACCCTATATTCTAAGACCAATCAGCACTCTTCTCTTATAAATACAACATCTCCAAATTTGCAGATTCTCTCGCCAACATGTCCAGTCTCGCCAAATGGAGGATCGAATTGATTTCGACGGATGATAAAGGATGCCATTTTTATCTCGACCAGTACAAACCATTCAGGCTAGCCGCCTTAAAACAAGATCCAGATGGTAGGTTTGCTTAATATTTGTAGTTCATTTAATATATATTCATCTAAGTGATACGTGTTGGAGTGTTGGACTCTTTTCGGGGGCTGATAGCTGACCCATCCATGCTCGGCCACTTACAAGTTACAACCAACAGCTTTCGGTTCGACTTACGATAGGGAAGTCAACTTCACTAAAGACGACTGGCTTAGCCGCATAAAGAACCCTCTAGCTAAGACATTCGTGGCCGTGCGGCCACACGATGGAAGGGTCCTGTCCGCTACGTCATTAATTGGACCTTTGCCGAACCCTGACCCATCAAGCAATCCGCTTCAAGTCAGTACCGAAATGAGGGATGGTGACGATCAACACCACAATTATGGCAATGCCCAGGTCTCACCACTATCATTTCAGGTTTCTGGTGTCTACACCACACCGGAAGCTCGAGGCCACGGCCTCGCAAAGGCGTTGATCAAGACCGCATCGGAGCAGGCCATCAACTCCGCGAAGGGCCAGGACAGGCAGCTCTTATTGAGTGTCGTCGTATATGCATCAAACAATGCCGCAATAGCGCTCTACAAGAGTTGCGGCTTTATAGTCGACGAGGGAGGACCAAAGAGTTCATTCAATCCTCATAAGGAATCATCCTTCGAAGAATTAGTTATGCATTATCACGAACTCCATCGGTCTCCTGAATGACGGATAGCGAAGAGCAGATAGCGAATTTTACACAGCATTTCTCCCCTTTTAACATTAACATAAAGAATTATGAGGAAAATAAAATGAAGATTACCCCAGAGATCTTCTCAAGAAACTCCACCTTTCGTTGACCTAACCGTCCATCCCAGCCAACTACAGACGATGCCCTACCAGCGCAGTCTTGGCACCATGTTCAAAGAGGCAGCTTGTGACGTCTGCGCTCGCAGGATTGGCTCGCCGCGACCCGAACTAATTAAATGATCGCCCTGGCTCACGCACCGAAACCGACTGAGATTATCCTCTGGCAGGTCGACGACCCTAGCTCGCGATGTTTCACACTATGAAATTCGCCCGCGAGGGAGGATGATCCCGGTAATCTCCTACCCGCCAGCGGGCCTCGCTGCCGAGCCATTATTTTATACATATGGACCGCACGTCGTGAAATCCCGCGTGGTTGTATCAAACATTCCACGTTGTTTGCTATCTTCCTTCTTTAGCATCCACACTTCTTTCGTTCACCGCGTTTCATCGCTCGACATAGGCTTCGCCTGCCACCTTGAAGGGATATTCATTCATTCCATCTATTCATCCATTCATTCTCACCGTCACTCTTTTTGAAGTATAAAAGTTGTATACTATATAATTAATAAAACCTCCTTACAATCCTTACCTTTTAAGGTCCCAATACTATATCTCGTTCTATACTCCGAACAATCAAGATGTTAGCGAAGCAGCAAATCCTTTACGCCGCCCTCCTCGCCGGGACCGCGCAGGCCGCCGCCCAGTTCCCGACATGCATCACAAGCTGCGTGCGACAGTCCGGGTGCGCGCCCACGGACCTCGACTGCATGTGCAAGAAGGCGTCTGGCACCTTCCTGTCCGACGTCGTGATCTGCATGAACCAGTGGTGCGATGCCAGCACTAAATTCTCCGACCTGCTCGGGCCTATCCAGGCCAAGTGCGACGTACCGGAGACCGCCATCTCGTCCGCAGAGTCCAAGGCCGGCTTCGACACTGGCTCGGACTCGACCCCGTCCGCTACTTCGAAGCCCAGCTCCACGGGATCAGGATCGTCCGCTTCTGTGACCGTGATCAAGAGCGTTGGCGAGCCCAACAAGATCGACGGGTCCACCTCCGCGCCTCAGGTCACGGGCAGCGCTACCAAGGCTAGTAGCCCCTCCAGCGCCGTATACTCGGACTCGACGGCCGTGATTACGGCGACCCCTGCGGCTTCAGAGTCTCTTCTCGTTGCCGCCACCACTCTTACCTCTGCCGCCAGTGCCGCCAGCACCTCTACCTCCGAAGACTCTAACGACGACTCCAGCTCGTCATCTGATGGCAGCCCGGCCGGTGGCCACACAGGCGATAGTGGTGCCACCACGAGCCAAGCCTCTCTACTAGCTGCTGTGTTGGCTGTCGGTGCTGCTATGGCCTTCGGCTGGTAATCACCACCACCCCTATCCCCCACCTATCCTCTCCACGCATTTATTAGGGGAGGTCTGGGTTCTAATCTTCTATCTGTATGTATTGGGAGGAGGAAGCGATGCGCTGTATAATAGATACCCCTGGATGGACGCCTGGAATCTCGGCGAGCACTGTCGCACCGGTTGTTAGACAAATTACAAGCTAGAGTCGAGACAGGACGTGGTAAAGACGAGGCGAAGGAAAGTAATGCGTATGGACGTTTACGTCACGGGATGAGACTGGCTGTGTAGGCGTGTCGCGGTAATAGGGATAAATAAAGAAGCTTGATCCAATGGTCGTTTGGCCGTGCAGGGTTCGATATACAAACCTTCGATTAATGCCTGATATTGCATCGAACTGAATTATGAACAGGCCTTAATAATCAATCCCTATCTCCTCGCTGTCAATGTTCCATAATCAATATGGTGATTGGATTAAAGGTGTTCCTGCCCCTAAATGCCTAATGCATAAGTGTCTAGGTGTCTAGTAATGATCAAGGGTTACATTGAGGGTCATGGTGGATCTGAACGACGGTAATAAAACAGGCCTACGACCGATATTTTCTACTTTACATCGAGCTGAATTAACTACCTACATACCTACCTACCTACCTACCTAGTAGGTAACATGGTATAAATCTATGAAAGTAGTGTAGAGATGCGAGTATCGGAGATATGGCTAATATTTTGCTGTGGAGTCGTCGAATGAGGAGATTTGATCAAGAATCTGCCGATACTGGGTGCCCTGAACATTTATTCCATTGCTAGGCGGCGTTCTTATATCTTGTCCGAGGAAATTACGCGCAACAACTTCAGCTTCTTCAAGCTTCTGCGTCTCCGAATCCGAGAGCTTCGAGCAGGCGACTTCGAGGTCTTCGTTTCTGGCAAGCAAGAGCATAATAGATTCGGCTCTCTCAACTACTGCCTCACCAATACCATTCATCGCCGCGCAACGACTACCGAAGCTCGCGATACTTCGGCCCGACTTCAATTGGAAAAGATATGTTACTTGATCTTCCATGATTGGAGCATCGAAATCCAATCGAACATCCATATGCCCGAAGGATAGTTCTGGGGTGTCTACTAGAAATTGGCCCTCAAATATTTCGTGGAAATGCGTGGCTGCTAAAACCTTTGGTCTCTCAGGTCCGAGAGATGTGAAATGATCCAATACCGCTGTGACTAATCCAGCGCCATCTAGACTGTTGGTGCCTTTGCCAAACTCGTCTATTAGCACAAGGCTTCTGCGAGTTGCAAAGTTCATCGCAAAAGCGACCTGGCGTAAGTCAATGGAAAATGCGCTTTCGTTCCTTGCTACGCTCTCACGTGTAGCAATACGTGTTAGTATACAATCAGTTATTCCAATCTGCGCTCGCTCAGCAGGTACAAAGCAACCGATATGAGCCAGATACACAATAAGGGCGACTTGCTTGAGATATACACTCTTGCCAGAGTGGTTGGGTCCCGTCAACACGAGCGTGCTCGGGTGTTCTATCGAGTTTCGCTCGACTTCTGATGAATTTTCATTCGCGGCACCATCATCCTCATCTTCTTCAGGCCCAGGTCCACCGGAGATACAGCAATCGTTTGCAATAAACGACGGCACTACCAATTCCTGCAAAGGATGACGACCCCCTCGGATATGTATGATATTCTGGGCTGTCATTTTAGGCGCAACCCAATTATATTGTCCGCAGCCAATTGCCAATGCAAAGAGGCTATCAAGTTCGCCGAGCACGTCCGACGCTGCAATTATGACCTCCTTCTGTGCTAGGACTTTGATTGCGAGCTCATGGATTATCTCGATCTCTCGGTCTGGTAGGTATAAGCGAGTTCTGTTAAAGCAGCATAATATATAAAAAGATGGAAGATGGAAATGGGGGTGATGGTTCTTACCTATGATCATACAATATGCGTCTCCGAAATGTTCGTCCATTTCCTTCATTTGCCGATTCTTATAATATACACAACCCTCCGCCGTGAACATACGTTCCCATACATCATTTAAACCCTCACCATCATAGTTGCCTTTCCCCGTTTCTGGGTTGACTGAAACTACTGTCAAAAATCCTAATTGTGGGAAGAAAATGCAATTTTGCACGTATCTTCTAGCCCATTCCGGTAACTCGTCCCGTAGCTTTGCTATGACATTAGTCAGGAAGTGCTCCATTCCATCGTAGCTTCGCTTCATTTCATCTAGATTAGCATCAACTCCAAGCCTGACGGCAGTTCTTCCGCGTTCCATGGACTGCTCGAAGTCGATGGTCTGGCTAATAAACTCGCCTACTTGACAGAGGACAAGTGGTTGAATAACATCTATAACCTAATGAATCTATACGTTAATTCGTAGCCTATGTAGATCATAGATAATACCTTACCTTTCTAACGATCTCGACCTTTTCTGATCCTGGTAATGTCCGAAGTGAATCTCTAAGTCGCAAGCTGTATGCAGCGAAACGTTGTAGAGAAGCCCAGACATTATTAGCTATGGATATCTTACGACCAGGAATATCAACGCCTTTTTCCAGCAGAGCTACAACTGATTTCATGTTCTTAATTTTCTTGAGCTCGTTGCTTAGCTGTATAAGAGTCTCGGCATTCCCTGGTCGTAGCAAGAATGATATCGTCTTTTGACGTGTATGGATTACATTGATATCAGTGCTTGGTCGTAGGAAGATTTGGCGGAGCTTCAATTTCCCCTGGGGAGTACGTGCTAGGTGTTGGAATAGTCCGTAAACAGAAAGACTTTCCTTCGAACCAGAAGTACTGGGACCTCTTTGGTGACTGTTCGGGTGGTGCTCTGACTGTAAAATTTGAAGAGACACTAAAGTGTCGGCATTGACGAACATCGAGTCAAACAGAGTGAACATCTCGATAGATTTGATTCTGAATGCAACTAAAGAATCGGGGTCATTTGGTAAGTAATGGGCGGTTCTCCTCCGTTGAAGGTCACCAAGCAGCGCTCCAGCACAACCAATCTGCCGCATGTTAGAGGCACGGAAACAGATCAATTGGTTGACAAGGTCTAACCGTTAGCCGACTATCAAGGTTGATTGAAGTCCCGAGACGCATTAGACGAGCCTGCTTTGAGTTTTCTTCACCGAAACCATCAGCATCATCGACAACTTCGTCAACAATAGACGTATAGAGTACGCTCTGATGGCCGAGAGCTTCGAGGTTAAGCGCTAACAACTTCGTCTTGCCGACGTCGTAACGAAAGTCGGTAGAGTTGAGATTCCTCAAGATAAAGGCACTTCGTGAATCACCTATGAGGTGTGTTAGTAGGCACTGGCATCAGGAGCCTCGATCTTACCCCGGTTCCCATCAACGCCTTGAACTCTCTTGGAAAGGTAGCTTGCTAACGCCTCGGATGCCCTGGCAGATATGAGAATGGTAGTAGGGTTGACGTGAAGAAGAAGTGTCTCGACAAGATCAATACCCGACATGGCTACGTCTTCAAGGAGAAACATAGTCTCATCTATGGCAATGTAATAAGCACAGCCAAGATTGCCATTGTCTTTCATGTCAATCGCCATGATAACTTCTCCCAATGCGTCTGCATCTTCACTGGACAGCGCATCCTCAAGGGTTGAATTATCATTGTTCCCCTGGAGAGGAACCGAATTATTCGAGGATAGCCGACTGGATGGGGGACGTAGGGATAATCTTTGTCTTTGCGGATGAGGTGGGAGCTGAGGAGATGATTGATAGGGGGATATGATGTTTGCCGTGCTTGTACGGCTTGAGCTTCTTGGCTGGCCCCTACTTGATAAATCGGGATAATTAGGGGTAGCACGTCTTTGATTAGGAGTAGAGAAGACATGGCTATCCGTTGCTGATCGAGCAAATAATGAGCTAGACTGGGTGAAGCGATGAGTGTGAGTGGACTGTGCTGATGACGAAGCTCTCGATGGAGTTTGATATCTTTGTTTAGATGTCATGTTGCTCTAACATTTTTAGAAGGTTGTATAGAAAGAAGGCGTATGGCTATTAGGTATCCTCATTACCCATGTAGCATGTTGCAGAAAGTATAGGCATATGCAGGTTACGCTGAATTGAAGGAAATTTAATAGTATGTGAGGCAAGTTAGTTTCTTCGTTTTTGGCTTTTGGATTTTAGCTTTTCTTTTCTCAGTAATAACCCTTCACACATTCAATGTGGAAGGAGCAGTTTCGGGTTGAGGCGGATAGGAAAGCATCAACTTGCGAGAATGAATAAATCTTGTCTTTACTAGTAGATAGTAGTTTCCATACCTTGTAGCTTCTATAACTTCCCAAGACTTAATAACTCGGAATACCTCGGAGGCAGCTAAGGTACCTATACTTGACGAGCCTTCAATATCGAATAGTATTCGTTTATTTCTCAAGCTACCTTTGCCAGGGTCAACTTCGTAGCAGGCGATACCCGATTTACCTAAATAGATACATACCTATCTAGGTGGAGTGTGGAAGATGTAGCGATTCAAGTCTCCAAATGTTGTACGTAGTAGGCACATGTAGCCTTAAGTACATCCATGGGTAGGTAATTCTACTTCCAACTCTCTCCAGTCGTAGCCAGTACAGTGGACCTGCTGCAATGTTGACGTCCTTTTTGATCTATAACAGCCGCTCAAATCCGTCTATTTATTTTTAACCCATTCGGCAAACTCGCTCCTCTGCTTCCGAATATTGACAAAGCCGGGCCGACTCTCTAGCAATCGGAAAGGGTTTCCGACATAGTCCTTCTCCACCTCTCCGCTGCTGTTCACAAATCCAGCTTCACCTTCTCTTTCGATCTTCCCTGCCCAGACACGCCATTGAATCGGACGTAGATTTGAGGTTCCTAACACGATTCCTAGGCAGACAACAAGGGTTGCGACGATGGTTTCGATGGTGATATCGATAGGTAATGTGCTGGATGGGGCGTTGTGTGATGCCGTCAGGGAAGAGAGGGATGCGGTTCGGTGTGTTTGAAGAACAGAATGTTCGTAAGCCGAGTAGCAGCTAAAGGATACCAACGGTTGTAAGCTTCAGAGCTCTACAATACTCTCTGATTATAATCAAAACGGGGGATCTTACGCGTCTACTAATAGGAATAACCCGAAGGTTGTTGTTAACTTAGATATCCAGGTCATCTTTGCTGCACACCTGGAGGCATATGGGATGTGTGATGGATGTTGGAAATTAGAGTAAACGAATTATTATTAATTATTGTCAGACCGAATTCGTTCAATCAATCAATACATCATTAACTCGGCCATGTGCATGAAAGTACCTTCCTAAATGGTACCTATACATGTTATGCAGAAACCGGCTATTATGATTTAAACGAATATAGCGTACAGGTTTCGGGGTACCTTAATGATGCCTATCGGTCCGTACAGGTACTAGGTAATTACCCCATCTGCCCATTTAACCTTAAGCTGCTTCCGCCGCGTGCCTTAGCGGTGCCCGGGTGCATGAGGTAGGTGCGACAGGTGCGATACCACGGCTCTCGTCGCTGAAAAAACCCCGCAATGTAAAGGGAAGCTCCCCGCAATGATCTTGCCTTACCTGCAAAGCACTTCGTCATCTTAGAACAAACTTAGAACCTTAGAACCTTGAGAAGATCCATCAACATCTTCCGCTTCTAAGACAACTTTGAAGTTGACTAATAAGTTTCTGACATAACTCGTTCTTAAGTTCCTGCACCATTCATTCAACATGCCTCGTGTAAGTTATAAAGACTTGCTTATGACATTATATCCTTTTAGGAATTTTTACTTATTTAAAAACGCCCATTTAATAGGCCAAGTACATCCTGCTCGACTGCGACAATACCCTCTGTCTATCGGAGCGTTTGGCCTTTGAGGCTTGCACCGACTTGACCAACGAGGTCTTGGAGAAGTGGGGCAGGCCGGAGCGCTACACGGTCGAGCAACTCCTCGAGGACTTTGTTGGCCATAATTTCCGTGGCATGCTCAACGGCTTGCAGAAAAAGCATGGCTTTACCATGACAGACGGCGACGTCGATGCTTATGTTGACCGTGAGCTCGGTGCCGTGACCGCGAAGCTGAGCGAGAAGTGCCAACCTTGTCCCGGCGTACCTGAGCAGCTTGAGGCGCTCAAGCAGGCCGGGTACCCCATGTCCGTTGTCAGCACGTCAGCCAAGCCCCGTGTCGTCGCCAGTATCAAAAAGGTCGGAATTGATCATTACTTCCCGGACGAGCACGTTTATAGTGCCGCTACCAGTCTAACCCCGCCGTCAAGCAAGCCTGACCCAGCTATCTACAATTACGCTTGCAAGCAGCTGGGTGTCAAGAACGAAGAGTGCGTCACCGTCGAGGACAGTAAGAGCGGTGCTACTGCCGCCATGCGCGCCGGCATCCCCCTAATCGGATACGTTGGCGTTTACGGCATCGAGGAGGGCAAGGAGAAGATGGAGGAGATGGCTAAACTTCTGACAGAGCAATGTCACGCCAAGGCCATCATGTACGACTGGAAGGAGTTTCCCGAATTGCTGAAGAAGGTCGAAGAGGGGTTGTGATATGTCAACCAACCTACACAGTAGTCGACCTAACTATCAGAAGAGCATCCTATATTGCTTGCAGCTATCATAGACGGATTGCGAACGAAGGTATCACGACTTGACGAATTTGCGCATCGGCGATTGTTTCTTTTCCCAGTTTCACGATTTTCGGGACAATGCAATTCGATTCCCGGGCTAGCTGCGAGCTTCTCACCGAGAAGTCGCCGTGGACCTTCGGTTGTTATCGAGGTGCATTTTGAACCCAACCAAAATACTGAAATCGTATTAAATATCGCACAGAAATAAATGGCTCATTCAACTTACATTAGTCCTGGTGTGATGAATACCTACCTAGTACTCATCACAAGTGAGGCAGATAATTGCACAAATCACTGCTAAGAGATTGGGGTCGGTGACGTACCCAAAGATATATGCCGGTTTGTACCTCATATACAAAAATGATCTTGAGCGATTATTTCGACGCATTTTGACCAACCTTATCCATGGCGAGGTTTTGTAGAAATGAGGTGAGTATGACTTTGTGAGTTTATGCAGGTTTAAAGAATATTTATCAGAGGTACCTAGTAGGTATGCATTTCCCCGGATCTACATACTTGTGTAGGATCGTGGGGAAATCATTTTGGAGGTTACCAAGCTCGAAACTGCCATAAATACCGTTGGCTGTCAAATCTACTTAGAACTCAATCGAGAGTTGAGATCTACCTCTCCAACAGCTTCCAGGATACCCAGTCTGTCAGTGCAGAAAACGTTGATCATGATACCGACGATCGCAAAACTTATTTATGGTTGATTCCGGATCGTCGATTAAAAGCAAGGACCACGAGTGTCTTCGCTGAGCACAGACAGAATCTCGATGACCATATTTATAGTTGGGAGTTTCGACCTTCTCATTGAGAGTGGTCAGTAAACTGTCAAAGTGAAAGTGACATTGACAGGTGAAGGGAAGGGAGAAGATCTCGGACAATGGACCTTTCATGACATATGCGCATACCTACTTATGTAAGTCCAGTAAGTCTCGTTTATTACCTAAGATTAGCTGTATTTATTCCCACTTTAGTTAGGCTGTCTTGGCCAGAAATAGATCTTTTGCCCTACTAGGTCATAGGAATATGTAACCGTAGGTTTCCAACATTGGGACAACGGACCAAACATTCCAATTCACCGCTACCAGCTACTACAGAATAGAAGCCAGCTAGCTTGCTGAGCCACTCTTTCGGAGCGATGACTGAGTTCGCCACATGGCAATGGAATACGATAAGACGGCATTGGACAGCGTCAGTTCGAAACGCATCGGAGAAGATCGCACCTCGTATTCTCTCTGGGTTTCTGAATGGTGAATACCACTAATGCCACACCTTCGCCGCACCCGATTTTAGACTACTGGCTAACGGCATTGTACCACGCCTGCACGCCTGCACGCCTGCACGTTTAACGAACTAGACGGGATTTTTTCTAGCTACTTCTCGAACTTGAGGTCATAGGCGGCGAGCTGGCAAGGTAAGTGTAGGTAGCCGACGACGATACTTTTCCCAAAGTTGGATAGCGACAAGTAGGCAGGCGGGTCAACTCCCCTCGAGTCTCGGCAGACAGCTGTGAAAATTCAATACCCATGTCTGACCTTGTGATAACGCTGCTCCTATGATGTAAAATCACAGCATATAAAAATTTACCTACGGTAGGTATGCACGTATTTACACTGTACTATGTAGACCAACACAAGGTAAACAATAATATTAGGTATTATTGGAATTTGGAAAGGGTCAGAAGACAACCATTGTATAACTCCGCAGGTCTCATTTATACGACAACTTTTTATTTATGTGTAAAATCTTTCTTCATTTCTACATGTGGACTTCGGTCAGGTTGGTGATACATAGCAGGTGAAATTTCTATTCCGAAAAAAGATCAATGTTTGTAAGACACAACATGATGTGTTTGAGATGATATTACCATCTAGTAATACCTATGTATCCAACTATTGTTCCTTTTCTTTTTCTTTTTTTCTCTTTCTTTCTCTTTTCTCCATACAGCGAATAGGTGGTCCGATCAGACCCTAGCAATGCCAAAATTGGATCACCCCCTTTTTTTTTTTTTTTTTTTTTTTTCTTCCCTTGCCTCCCTAGGTAGGTAGGTATGTACCTATGCTGCTATGCTGTAAACAGTCTTGACAGCGAACGGTTCAATGGATCGAATTCTCATACTATAATCAGGTGTCCCGTCAATTAACGTCTTTTGGCTCTGTTTTTTCTTCTATTAAGAGTCCAATTCTATTGTTGCAATATCTACTAAGTGTACCAGGTGATTCGAGTCTCGATCTGATCAAGATTGCTGTGATAACCTCTCTGGGCAGTCTGGGGTCGTTGCATAGAAAGTAGGTCGTAATTTTAATTGTACCTTGAGGCTTGGCAGATACAATGCCATCTCATCAGCAATTTAGCTACACCCCCGGTCCGGCTTGGGAACCCGGGCCAACCAACCAAGGCAGAGCATATCCTGCTTGGCTCAGATTGGACGGTCTGAGTGGTCATGCATGGCAACGCGACGGCAGACACGAAAAATTGGACAGCTCAATGACGAGGTATGGAGGCGTCTTAGCGCTCAGCGCTCTTCTTGGTGCTTGGATCAGTTGGATCTGCCCCTAGTCCAGCCGACCAGCGGCGATCTTAAGCGATCCCAAGCTGCAAAGCAGGCTTTCCCCAGGCACGCTAACAGAGACCCGTCTCGCATTCATTTCTTGTTAAATAGAGGCTTACCCAAGGTCGTTGATATTTTGGTTCTTTCCCTTGTCTTTCCCCGTTCGCTTTTGTCTTTAAAGACTTCGTCGCTCGCTCATTTCTGAATCAACTAGCTTGAAGGCTTCGTTCTACACTCGTTCCACACTCGTTCCAACATTCCTCGTACAATAGTCGCCTAATATCTAATTGTATCAACACGAGCTGTACAAATAACCGCCAACATGCGTTTCTCCGTAGCTGTCGTCGGCCTCTTTGCCGCTGTTGCGAGCGCCCAGTCCGAGACCGCTTCTGCTGTGTCTTCTGCCGAGTCCTCAGTTGCGTCTGACGTCTCCTCCATCACCTCTGCCGCATCCGGTGCCTCGTCGACCGTTGCCGCGTCTACCTCCGTCGATGTTGGTTCTCTCACCTCCGTCAGCATCGATCCTGCTCAGAGCTCGGCCCAGGCTGCCATAACCGACTGCCTCAAAGCATGTAAGTAATAATTATGGGTAGCTTTCCAAGATCGACAACTAACCCAGCAAAACAGGCTCCGCTGAAGATGTCAACTGCCAAGCCAAGTGCATTGCTGTACCCAGCCCTGACACCCAGAACGTGAACAAGACCACGGAATGTGTTGCCGCCTGCCCTCAGGGCAACGGCACCGCCACCGATAACCTCAACTACGCCAACTGCGTTAACGATTGCATTGCCCAATACTACTACACCACCACTGGAACCCCCAACCTCGCATCTAGCACCGGTGCCAGCGGTAGCGGCGCCACCGCCACCCCTAGCGTCACCCAGGTCAAGTCGACTGTCACTTCTGACGGATCGACCTTCGTCACCTCCTTCTCGAGCACTGTCGCTGCTTCCGGATCCGGCTCTGCCAACTCGGCTTCCTCTACCTCCAGCTCATCAGCCGCTGCTGATATGCTCTTCTCCCCTGTCGGTTCCGGCATCGGGCTTTTCTCCTTCCTAGCTGCTTTCCTTGCCCTATAAGTAGGGGTGGCTAAGTGAGTAATGAATGTGGACGCTATGGATAATAGGATGGGACCAGTATCAGTATCATAATGCTATATGTTGGACGATATTTTAATAGCGGGCGCAAAAGTGGTGAACGGAAAATGTCATTATTAATACCTTGGGACGTCAATATTAATTGTCTACGTAATCACGCTACATAGACGCGAATATAATTCTCCAGTTGATGGCCAATTTGCCTTGTTTTGTATGTTCCGTCTCGAGTGCTGCCACATCATGTTTAAATTCTGATTAGTTGAATCATGACCGTTGCGAAGTGGGCACAACTACTGGCACGTCGCTGAGCCATGGTAAACCAAGCTGTTTCATTTCCACCGCCAGTTGGAAAAGATAGTCGAGACTGTCAGGACGATCATGATCAGATAAGCTGGCTCCGTTGATCTACGGTGGGGAGCTATTTACCTTTCACACATGGTCTTTGCTTTGTGGACGTTATCGCCCCAGACGTAAACTCCGTGCCTACGGACTAGGACGGCGTAGGTATCCGGGTATTTTTCCATAGCTTCTTCTAGAAACTCAGTGAGATCTTCCTCGTGGGCCGTGTTCTCGATCACCGGAATGCGGAGCGTATCATGATAACCTAGGTTACCCTGCTTCTGGAAACCCTTGCCAAAACCTTTGATTTGCTCGATGTTGTTGATCTCGAACAGCTTGTCCTTGCCGGGGCCCTGGGTCTCCAGGAGTAGGGTGACCAGCACGGCCCAATGCGAATGTGTATGGATACAGCAGCCGGCCCCCCGCTTGGTGAAGGCGGCCAGGAACAGCGGTGTGCATTGGGAAGGTCTGCCGCAAGGTGGAGAGCGCAAATAGACGCGATTCTTGAGATCCGTCTGCTTAGACAGGGCGAGCACATATATATCAGTGTGCTTCATGAGCTCCTTCTGGACGCCAGATGGTGCGATATAGACCAGGTCACTAGAACACACAGTATGAGAGAATGAGCCTTTATTTATACGGACAGTTGTTGCTACATGATTAACAACAAGGAAATAGGGAAATAAAGAATAAGAAGTAATAAGCAACAAGAAAATATGAGAGATATCATGTTGACGGGTTGGATTTGCCATAGAAGTCATGGCAAAAGAGAAAGAGTGAGCCTTACTCGTTGCGAATAGAGCATCCTCCTCCCGTACCTGTGACCCAACCTAATGTCCAAAATTTGGCGCATAGAGATGGGATGAGGTTGGCCGGGTGGTCAGGATTGTCGGAGGTTATATGATGGTCGTCACTCATTTTCCCCTCCTTCTTCGTTACTTCGGGTTTCCCTAATATACCAAACAACTATACCTAGAATGCCAGAGTACGTTAAGCCCGACTGATAAGATTAGGCCAGGGTGGCCTTTTCGGAGAGGAGGAGAGTAAGATATAGTAAAAGGAAGTTGACTGGGAGGAAAAAGACAAATTGATTTATTAGCAAATAAAGCTGATGAGGCTAAAGTCAAGTATCATAACCCAAATCCTATTCCCCACTTATATAGTAGAGCACGCAAGCTTCAAGGTTGGATAGAAGGAGGTACTACCTAAGTCAGTTAGTAAGTACTAGGTACCTACTATATAGTATGTGTCTACAAGTGTGTACCTCATACCTAGTAGGTACCTAGGTATCTAAGGTAGATATCGATACCAGAGCGGCAGTTGTCCCATAAACTTGTCGATGCACAGTTCTATAATTCAACAGAGTCAATTGAACTTGCCATGTTAAGATTTCTGAGTATCTGTGTCAAATATGCCCAGGTGGATATGACTACGAGTTGACGTGTGTCTATAGGAATTATAGGTGGATATCTACCTAGGGACATAGGTATTCATCAAAGCTACCATGATTAACGTTGTCCAGGGATAATTGAAAACCTACCTATTTAGATAATGGCATAATAACCCAGATAATAAACAGTACAACGTAACACTACCTTTAGTGATAGCTTGTTGACAGATTTCATCACTTTCTACATTATAAAGTGAGCAATTTTTGTGGCCATAATACACATTCATAACACTTAATGACATCTGGAGTTAATAGTGAAAGCCAGTACATACTTCAGTATTCATGTCAACTCACCTTTAGTACAGGCTACCTACCTGCCGACTAAGGTACCTAGAAGTGAATAAAGTTACGGCACAGTCTGATGGTAACCTGTATCTTAGCCTTACGTATTGATGTATTTCAGAGAACGGATAGCTGGAGATTTCCTAGAGATTCTATCGATATCCCCGCACTCTAATGTACCCGTGGACCTAGGTACCTACATTTTTTGATCCCGAGCTTCTAGCCAATCAAAGGACGGAGCTAGCTCGCCGAAAAAGGTACGTACTGACTTTAGGCCACGTTTGACTTGGAAGGTCCAGCCAATAATTAAAAGTTCACGACGAACATTTGCAATTGCTTCTTTCCGTGCCCATCTTTTCCTTCTTATTTTTTTTCTCGTCGAGCTCTGGGAGTTCTTTCTCAACAACACTCTCCATTCAACCTCGTTTGGACGGAAGAGACTAAGAGAGACAAGTAAGAGATCAAAGCAAAGTGTTGCTAGCTTTTCACTATGAAGCTGAACTCTGCTATTGCGGCTGCCCTTCTGGCCACCGGCGTCTATGCCGATGATGCCTCTAAGGTTGACAGTGCAGAATCATCCTCTTCCGCCGCTGTCGAGGTGCCCACCTTCACTGTAAGTATATACACTCTTAATCTTATAGCTTCTTTCGTCCAATTGGCAATGTTGTCGATTTACATATAGACCCTGACTAATGTCTTTGTCTTCGCAGCCCACCACCATAAAAGCTCCTTTCCTAGAGCAATTCACCGATGACTGGGAGTCACGATGGAAACCTTCTCACGCCAAGAAGGACACGAAGGGTCAGGAAGAGGAATGGGCTTACGTTGGCGAGTGGTCGGTTGAGGAACCTTACAAATACAAGGGCATTGAGGGTGACAAAGGTCTCGTCGTCAAGAATCCCGCCGCCCATCATGCCATCTCCGCCAAGTTCCCCAAGAAGATCGACCCTAAGGGAAAGACTTTGGTCGTCCAGTACGAAGTCAAGCTTCAGAGTAAGTCGATTGATCCAGACGACGTCATGATATCATGTTTCTAATACATTGGCCTCCAGAGGGACTTGAGTGCGGTGGTGCCTACCTAAAGCTCCTCCGAGATACCAAGGCTCTCCACCAGGATGAGTTCAGCAACGCCACGCCGTACGTCATCATGTTCGGCCCCGACAAGTGCGGTGCTACCAATAAGGTTCACTTTATCTTCAACCACAAGAACCCCAAGACTGGTGAATATGAGGAGAAGCATATGATGGCTGCTCCTCAGGCCACTATCTCCAAGACTTCCGAGCTCTACACCTTGATCATCCAGCCCAACAACACATTCACCGTCAAAAGAGGTGGCGAGAGTGTCCGCGACGGCAGCTTTTTCGACCAGTTCGCGCCGGCTGTCAACCCCGAAAAGGAGATCGATGACCCTGATGACAAGAAACCCGAAGACTGGGTTGACGAGTCTCGTATCCCTGACCCCGAGGCTAAGAAGCCCGAGGACTGGGACGAGGATGCTCCATTCGAGATTGTTGATGAGGAGGCTACTATGCCCGAGGACTGGCTTGAGGAGGAACCTCTCACCGTTCCCGACCCCGAGGCTCAGAAGCCTGAAGACTGGGACGACGAAGAGGATGGTGACTGGGTCCCCCCTACCGTTCCCAACCCCAAGTGTGCCGACGCTTCTGGATGTGGCCCCTGGACTAAGCCCATGAAGAAGAACCCCGACTACAAGGGCAAGTGGACTGCGCCTTACATCGACAACCCTGCTTACAAGGGTGTTTGGGCTCCCCGCAAGATTGCAAACCCCGACTACTTCGAGGACAAGAACCCTGCCAACCTCGAACCCATTGGTGCTGTAAGTGACTATAACTCATCTTTTCTCTCAAGACATATGTAACTAATGTGTTGGTATAGATCGGTTTTGAGCTCTGGACTATGCAGAGTGACATTCTCTTCGACAACATCTACATTGGCCACTCCGTTGAGGAGGCAGAGAAGTTGGCCAACGAGACTTTCTTCAAGAAGGTTGCCGTTGAGAAGGCACTTGAAGACGCTGAGAAACCTAAGGCGGATGACAAGCCTAAGTCTCCCTCGGACCTTAAATTCTTGGATGACCCTGTTCTCTACGTTAAGGAGAAGTTGGATCTATTCTTAACCATCGCCGCGAACGACCCCATCCAGGCTATGAAGTTCGTCCCTGAGGTACCGACTACCGTCGGTGGCCTGATCGTCCTCATCATATCCCTTGTTGGTATCTTCACCATGGGAGGTAGCGCACCAGAGGCCGCCAAGAAGGCTGGCACTGATGCTAAGGAGAAGGTCAAGGAAGCCAAGGACAAGGCCGCCGAGGCTGTCTCAACTGGTGCCGAGAATGTGAAGGCGGAGGTTAACAAGCGTGCCACAAGAAGCCAGTCATAGGAAGTAGCCTGGGGGTAATGATGGGTGAGATGGAGGAGGCACTGGGAAAAGTTCGGTGACCCGTTCCAGCCTTGTAAGGACTGTTAGGGTTTCAATGCTGTCAAAGCATCCTTTGCTTTTGGGGACTTCAGAATTATTTTGCATGGCGTCAGTGTACTGTACACCCAATAAATCAAGTTAAACATCTTTTTGTACTAATCCGTGTCAATCTTTATAATTTCTTTGTATTAATCATGAGGACTTTGATGTCCGTTGACAGTGGTTGTGCATTTTGATCAGCTTTTTTCTTCTTTTTTTCTATCGAGTAACAAGTGGACTTGAGAGAGTAACTTTGCTTTAACTAGCCTACCTATTTAGGTAGTTAGGCCTAGCAAGTAAATTTACGATAAAATTTCCATACCTACCTACCTAAACATGGTAACTAGGTACCTAGGTAGCTATAACATACTAGGTAGACGATGTCTTACTGGGTAGTAGTACCTAAGAGAAATTACAATTCAATATTGTCATAAAACACTATCACATCTCCAATTAATTTTGTATGAAATTCGATTAATACTTAACTTCTAGTAGTACTTTTCTACCTGCAATAAAGGATGTAAACAGAGTAAACAAAGGTAAAACAGCAACAAACTTTTCCGGGTCCCAAAATAGAATATGGAAGAAATGGAAAAATTGAAATCATGAATTACTTACAGAAGAAATTATCATCTTCCGAATATCTGACAACATCTGACTGGCCTTTTGTGCTCACTTTCCCCTCTCATGCTTCGACTGACACTGTACATCCTGTGTTTGGATGTCTGCTAGTCAGTACGGCTCGGGCTGGCACTTCTTGAAGACGCTCTAGAAGACGCTCTAGAAGAGCGGCTCGAAGAATTGGAATCTCTCCTCGTACTCATAACAGGTCCTGGGATTTTGGACGGCTTTGGGGAATTCTGCGGCAGCTTGATATCATCCGAGCTAACCGATTGTTTCTTGTGTTCCTTGTGTTCCTTGAAAAGCCGAGCAAAGCAACGAGAACATAGGCAGTCTTCCTTGCAGCCCCTTCGAGGTCGTACTTGAGAGGAAATTTGCCCTCTAGCGGCAAGGATGGACTCTTCTTCCAGACTGTCACGTCTGTCCTGCCAGAGAAAGTCTACGTCAATATGGGGTGCCTTTGCTCGACAGCTATCGAACTCATCGCGAAGTTCCTCGTAGGTTGAGTCCCACCAAGGCTTTCGACTCTGAGTTCGAGTCTTACGAGGCTCTTGTCCATCTCTTACCACATTAGAGCTACTAGAATCGTCTGACAATCGACGAGGTAATCTTGAACGTCTAGGTTCGGCTTCGGATCTAATAAGAATCCTCTGGGGAGAACGGTGAATAGTTCGCGATATCCTAACATCATTTCTTACCATCCGGAACCGGGAACTTTCATAAACTTTTGTCCGCCCCTGAGGTTGGTAAGCTTGTACGGGTACATTGGGAACAGTACAGACCCCCTGCTGGCGGTCTTGCGTGGATAGAGACCGCTTACTCTTCTTCCGCAGAAGACTGAAGATACCGAAGCACCCCATTTCTCACAGCTAAACCAAAGCTTTTCGAACGTCAATACAAAACCACGCTATCTCTGAGAAGATAGCGTGCGAATCCTAATGAGTTTGTGCAGAAAAGGGAAATGAATGGTATCGCGGCTAGGCTAATCCGCTTATATACCTACGCCTATCTCATCATTGTTCACGAACAATGCTCTTGTTGACGAACAACGAGATGGCGATCATTATACTCGAATAGGATGATCTTGGCCACGCGCCAGCGAGAACAAGCAGGATGGCACCATTCTTTTCTCTACTGCTTTATTTGAAACATCATAGATTATTGTCTATTCGAAAGGCTGCATACTTAAAAGAATTCTAAACAATGACTTTCATTGTCCTTGGGAAGCTGCTTAGTGTTATCTCTCGACAAGCACGTTCTCGAAAGGTCTTCGAAGGCGTTCAGTTGCCTGGTTGTACTTAAGGACCGACTGTATTGCCTATCCGCGCAAATAGGCGCGCGGAACTAACAAAATCATATTCCACATTGCCCATTTTGACATATTCTGTAGTCGGAGTGGAGATTCCCCTGACAGGGCGATTAGCCACGTTCAATAATTTCGAGGCCAAAGTTGGCATGGAAATGCAGAAACTTAATAGAAATCTTCCATCATGTGTCACGACTGGAGTCAGGAATATACCGAATGTAACCACACATCTAGAAAGCTCATCAACTGCCCTACATACTACAAACAACAGAGCTCTGCGAAGGGATTCCTTGGCCGCCTATTGTACGGCAACGTCAAGAATAAGAAACACTGCGGCCATCTCATCCCTCATCATTCAGACCCAAGACCCTTTTGCGCCGAATGTAGTATCAGAGTTGACCAGCTTCGGGCTAAATACGTTGGTGAGGGCGCGATAAAAGTCTTTCGACCGGACCTAGACAATGACTTCCGTCGCCCCTTTAAGAAATACCGCGAGAAACGTAGACAGGCAGCTGAATCACCTGAACTAGAGGCTTGTGTCGAGCATGGCAAGCACAAGTGTAGAAATGTAACAATGGATACCATACATAGTGTATGGGTACCTGAACTATATCACCATCCAGAGATGTTAGCGAAGAAAAAAACATATAGCCGAACAAGGGAGGCGGCGCTACAGACGAGTTCTTCGCCGTCGAACAAGCCGTCCGCCCCGAAATATTGCTCGCATAAAACCGCCAAAAGAGAAAAAAAGCCGCGAGTGTCGCAAGTGCACGAGCGAAGCCCGAAGCAGAAGTCGAAACATACCCATAAGTATACCCGTCGTGATCCTGAAGACAAAACTTTTGTCCTAGGTCACTCACAGCTTCCCCGGGGACCAGCAAGCTCAGTACCAACGAATCGCTACCGAAATCGTAGGGATGTTACCGGAAATGGATCACCTATGTCACCTGCCCCAGAGCCTCCTCCTAAATCACCGCGTCCGCGGATAAGGTACAATGCTGGAGGTAGTTGGCCGGAGTCAAAGCAATACTCGATTTCTCGCAAACCTTTGCCATCTATACCACGACCTATCGAACTACTAAGGTCAGAGTTATCCAACGAACACCGGGGCTTGCCTCAAAATGCAGGGCAGGTTTACAGCAACAGCCCTTCAAAGCCGCCTCCTGACTCTATACCGCTACCGGCGTATCAAGTGTATCTAAACGCTCTCAGGAACCCTGGTCCAGATTTCGAGAGGATAGAACGACTGCCTAGACCGCCGCCGAAGAAGAAAAAATGCAGCCACATCACGGAAGAGTTGAGGAATTCGGGGCTGCGTAAGATGATGAGAATCGCACCGTCCAGTCCAGACTCAGCTATTAGCGATGTCAGTTTCATGTGCCAAGATTCGAAGAGGTTGACCAATGACGTGTCGGCCGCTAATAGAAGGTGAATCGAATATACCTAATTCTAACACCATTTGACCTCTGTACCATCCCATCTTCATCTAGTAAGTTTCCAATTAAAAGATTCCCTAAGACTTTCGGGTTATATAAACACAGATGAGTAACATATGGGAATTGTTGATATTTGCATACGTACATGTATACACCGTAAATAAGTTGATACCCGATCAAATCTAGATCAGATTAGTTCAATCCAATTTATACAATATATGATTTCTTGGTTTGGTCGTTGTAATATACTGGTTCAGGTGATTAGCCTAAGCTAGGTATATATTTTGGTATACCGCTCCTCTAACTCTATATACATCTGTGTCGGAGATGAAAGGGTATTGGTTAAGGGGAGAGATAGTTGAGAATAATTTCTCGATCCACCTAATTTAGCAAGAACCGCTTGCTTGTCTGCGAAGTGGCTATGCTACGTATATGTCATCAGCTAATAGCTCTACTAGATGAAGATTACCGGCCCAGCAAGTGAACTGACTCCTGAGCCTACATTATAAGCAGCATCCATCTTATCTTGGGTGTGCAAAGATATGACATTGGTTATGCCGGCCATTCTTCCTTCTTTCCCATACTAGACAGAGAAGACTGTCGTTGATGTGGATTTCCCTATCGATCCATCTCGTTCATTGAATCTTCCCATTTTTTTTCTCTCGCTATTTCTGTTTGTCACTCTCGGCTTGAATGGCTTTTCCAATACGGTCTTGTAACTCTCTTCGGTAACCGAATTTGAATAGAAGCTCGAGCCAGACGAAAAGGGGCGACAGAAAGATGGCTTGGGACCAGTTACCCAAAAACTGGGACAGCTTTCGGCCATCAAAAATACCGTGTCCGGACAGTTGAAGAAGCCAACATGTCCCTTGTATGGCAATGGCAACTCGGTTTGTCAAACCCGGATCTTCGGAAAGGGCCTTATTCGTGTACGCGGCTGCCCCGAGACATATTAGACCCAGGATAGTTCCGGCAACTGGTTCGAGCAGGACGTAGAGGCTGGCCCATATGAAAGCAGCCAATGTACCAAGGTTAAGGTCGAGATGGGGTATCGTTAAGATCGTGGGTAGAGGAATGAGCGTGCCCGTGTTTGCGGCCTGCGACAAATGGTTCTGCCCGTTAACAATGTTCACGCGATGGGGACGGCAAGGACAGAGACTGATGTATCCGACATACCAATGCAAACCCAGAGAATAGGATTAAAGGAACACATATCATATGTAACGCCATGTTGGCCTCATTCCGGTGGTAGACGCCATACTGGAAACATTTGGTCAGCATTTAGATACGCGATCGCGCAATGGTTTACCTATGCTATATGCTTACGATAATGAGTTGTCTTTCGAGATTGAGCGTCATGGTGACAAGCAAGAGGATATCGAATATGGGAAGAAAGTGCCGGTGACGATAGGCGTGTTTATTACGGGCACCCACATAGGGGAGAGGGAAGAAAAGTGGTGATCAATATTGAAATGTGAAAGAGTTCGAGATATCGTAGTAGTAGCGGTCATGTACCCAAGTACATAATCTTTTTTAATTGTCGGTCATAACGGAAAGTGAGGAGCGGTAGAAGTGGGGCAATACCACTGGGCAATACATTTTCTAGGTACATACCTGCCGAACGAACTTGAAGCTCAACATTGTTAGAGAATCAGCATAAACATAAATGGAAGCCACTAGGTAAAGCATACCTAGATACATTCAATGTTAGGTACCTACTATGTAGGTAGGTAATGTTAGGTATATGTATGCATATATGTACCTACCTAGTACATACATTACGAAGTAGGTACACAGGTACATATACTTGGATTGATCTGAAAAAATACTGCTAAGCACCTAGAAGGTAACAATGCACGTTTTTACGTTAGCTAGGTCAGCTCTACAGACATTGGAGTTCAGAATCGTCGTCAGTTGTTATGCTGCACTGAACCGAACCAGAGATATTGCCTGCATTGTAGCAGTGTAGGACCTACAAGGTGCTGTACAATACCGCATACATGTACAGAGGTGCCTTTCAAAAGATTTTACCATGCGCCAATCCTTGTCAGTTACGAAACCAGCTGTAAGCTCTTACCTGCCAGCTGGCAGATTATATCGCCCATTTCCCTCGATTACCTCTTAACCTCCAGTTAATAATTTACAACCGCCTCAAGATCTAAGTAAATAAAAACTCCTTAGAAGTATTGAATATCGAGTATTATTCGTAAATACGTTGAATTTAAAGCTTTTAAGGTCGCGTATCAGAAGAAATAAGTAGTTAAAGTTGATGATTTATTCGAGGCGACACGGCAGTTGGCGGTACAGCTGTTATGCAATCTGGCAGCTGTTCATTGCAGCTGACAGGGATTGGTTTATGGTAAAATCTTTTGAAAGGCACCTCTGTACCTGCTAATAGTACATTAGGTAGTAGTATAAGTAAACCTTAAAATAAATGGGGCATACTCCCCGGTTTGCGCTAAGATGAAAGGTAAGGTGAAAATAAGGTCAGGGTTGTTACTGCAGCTTGCTACTAGGTACTAGCCGCGTCGCGCGCCTTGTCTCTTTATCATCGTCAGAACTCCGGCTGGCTGCGACTTAAGTTTCTTCTTACTCAACTCTTGCCATCGCATCAATCACGACGGCAGCCAAAACATAGTTTCGCACCGCACAGTTGTGAACAGGGCTGCTTTTATCCATTCTTTATTGCATTTCTTGACGGTTCTATGATACCCTAGATTTCTGACTTGATTTTTTTTTCTCTTTTTTTTCTTTAGATGCGCTAGGCAGGTTTGAGGCTCAGGTTCTCACCACCTCAGCTTGCGCGGACCACCATCACCTCGTCGCCTCGTCACCTACTGCGGGTTGCGACTTGATCTTCTTTCAATCTCGTCATCTGCCACCCTTGAATAGATCCTTCCAGGCATCGCCTTCCCCCAATTGCGCCCGCGCATCTACGTCTCAGCCGATTTCGAGCATAACCGATAAATCACCATAGTGACTAAAATCAGCACACTATCATCTCTCTTGATCCCCTTTACTACTGTCATCTCGGCCGATACCTAGGTGCATAACGTCGTATAATTGTCAAACTCGGACTTGTCACCATGTTCTTTCTCTACAATCTCGAGCGTAGGGTTACCCTGCATCCATCCTACTTTGGCAAGAATATGCACGAACTTGTCACGGGCAAGCTCCTCAAAGATGTCGAAGGAACATGTACCGGTAGTTACTACATCATCTCCATCATGGATACCTTCGATATCTCCGAGGGCCGTATCCTTCCGGGAAGTGGTCTAGCCGAGTTCACCGTCGGATACCGAGCTGTGGTCTGGCGACCTTTCAAGGGCGAAACGGTAAGTTCCCCCCCGTACCTTTTTTCTACATATACTTAGCTATATAATTCCACTCTCCTAAACTTGAACTAATCAAATCAGATTGATGCCATAGTCATGTCCGTCAATCAGCATGGATTCTTCTGTGAAGCCGGTCCGCTTAGAATCTTTGTCTCTACGCATGTGAGTGTTCAGCCCCTCCCTCTCCCCCCCACCCCCTTCTTCTCTAAAGCTAGTAGCATATCTATTTAACAGGAGCTTACATATCCTATCTAGCTGATCCCTAATGAGGTCAGGTGGGACCCTAACGCCACCCCTCCGCAGTTCACCAATAACGAAGACACGACCATTGAGGTAAACACCCAGGTTCGAGTCAAGATTATTGGTACCCGAGCCGAAGTTGGTGAGCTCTGGGCTATCGGCAGTATTAAGGAGGACTATCTTGGGTAATTTGATTGCCTCTTCCCTTGGCCCACCTCAGCATCAATGCTAACAACTCACGTGACAGAACTCTTCAGAACTAGTCGCCCAGTACGTCTTGACCGCGGTGTCTTTTTCTGTGCTTGGTATTACCGTACGTGCGAGGCAGAAATGCGTTTACGCCTACGGTGAATATGCACTATAGGATAATGGATAGGACCATGTTCCCTAGGAATTGATGAATTTGGCACTGGTAGTCCTACGTAGACAACCCATATATGCAAGGTAGTCTTGGGCTCCTAAGTCTTTCGAGCTTTGGATGTGCTAGGAGCTTAGTCGCCTAAATGGCATTGAGTATTCTGCATCTGCTATAAAGTATGATCAGTCTACTCTACGGAGCACATTATTGGGCACTCTACGAGCAAATTGCCCTCAAGGAATGGCTGATTAAAGTCCTAGGATTATATTATACGTATACAGCCCTGGTTGGAAATGTGGGCTATTTCCGCCGCTGATAAGTGCCGAGTTCCAACCCTTGGTATCTTGAACTCCGACTGCGGTTGACCTACGCTTGAGATTCGGATTTTGGGTATATTAAATTGGTATCAGGCCCATCATCGATAAGCCGTCGGTCCTAAACTCCTTAGTGTAGTGCTCAAGACGATAAATGCTGACAGCGGTCCAGTAATTGGGCCAAATACTGATCCAATGCTTCCGAGGGCTCTCCTAAGTAGGAAAGCGGAAAATTACTGTGGTCGGCGAAGTATATGTTGTAATGTACTTAAAGTACTCTCTTTATGAATTAGGATGTTGTATTCGCTACTCGAAATCCGGGGATGACAGAGTGTCAAAAAAAAAAAAAAACAGCCTCTAGAGATAATCTCTAAAATAAAGGGGTAGGGGGTAATCGGTCAAGATGATTCATCTCCACAAACACTCTCCTCGTCTAGGAACAGAGCTCTAATACAGTCATATATTCAATCAACTGAACAGTCACTCCCTTGTTCTCTCCTTCTCCCTTCCATTATAAGCTATCTCGACTACAGACTATATACATCTAGCTTTATGCGCGTAGCCATCGATATACTCACCGTCAACATCATTTGAAGCTCTTCTTTTCTTGGCAGCCTCAGCAGCAGGCGGAGGACGCTATCCTACTCTACCCTATCCATCAAGAATATCCTCCGTCACAATAGCAACAAGTAACGAACATTAGCACAAAAGATAGATAGGCCCAACGACTAGCCTACCGGCCCTGGTTCCGTCCTCAGTGAGGGGCACTTCAATATTCCTGCTCCTACTTCACAAGGGGGAACCCCAGTACCCTCGACGATGGCCAAATACGAGATCACCTTGGAAGAAATACCTTCCACTTTTAACAAAACATATAAGCAAGAGGATCCAGACAAGGAAGCAAGTGAGCCAAGTAGCCTACAGAGCCAAGGGCTCACTACCACTAGGGGCACAAAGGAATTATCTAGTGCAGAGAAGCCAGAGGCTGCTAAAGACCTCCAACCTACCACTGACACAGCTTTTCAAGGCTCTGATGCTAGTAGCTATTCAAAGGCTAAGTCAGATGGCGAGCTGTCCCAAAAGTCGAGGCGCCACACCCGTCAGCGTAAGGTTGGCTCCTCATCGGATAAGAGGTCGACGAGCACCTCTCGAAGAGGAGCGAGGCTATCCCGGTCGTCTTCCTACGGAAGGCTTCTTACGGCTCCTAAGTCCTTCGGCGGTCGCCCCGTACGTAGACTGCCAAGGTGCTTATGGTCACTCCTATCTATATCCTTAAGCCCACCGGACGTCCCAGTCATCGTAGTTACGAATCCGGAGGGCGAGATCAAGTATCCCTTTGACCACAACTATTATGGGGATTCGGATAGCGAGGAAAAGGAGGAAAGCAGTTCGGACGGGTGGGAGGATATGGACGGTACTGGCATGAAGGATCAGGCTACGTGTCGCTTCTAGGATTATGATTTTGAACGGTTTCTAGAAGTTATCGGACACAGGTTAGCTTAGGCTCATGATGTGAATTAAGGTCTCTAAATACCTGTGGCGACGATTTTGATACATAGCCCACCTCGTGTGAACGAACATTGTCCTTTCTAACGTAGTTGACTAGGAAGCCAGTCATTGGAAGTCAAGTCGAATCGGGGCCAAGCCTTTCCTCAATGGAACACAAAGGAACTCAAAAAGACGGTTACAAGCTACCTAGTTTCTTAATTAATTTGGGATTGTATCGCTGGGGATTAACTGAGAAATCGCGGTTATGGGATGGCGTTGGTCGTCGTATAATCTGAGGGACTTAATAGAACATGGGCGTTTTGAAGATCTGTGAGATACCTAAAGCTCTGCTATGGCAGCAATGTCGGCAGATTATGGTTCAGGTAGGAAAGTTCGAAGAAGCTTGGACGATTACGTATCATTAAGAATGAGTTGCTGGAGTTAGAAACCTCGGTGATAACTTTGTAAATAAATCCCCTCAAGTAGGTAAGTAGAGTCAAGTAACTACCTAGGTACCTAGGTATGATACTGTTGCTACTATTTTCGTCCGTGGCTTCATCAGACAAAGCCCCTTATTACCAGTATATCTGTAGAACTAAGATGCCGCATTATACAGATGACCGTTGAACCCCAGCCCAGTCACTCTACGTTTCCACTAAAAGGGGGCTTACGGGCTTACCCAAATGAATTCAGGGGTCATGTCACTGAAATCGTAAGAGGTATTATTCTAACGAATACGATTTTTTCTTCTTTTTTCTTCTTTTGATACAGTATCACTTTCAAGTTCATATATCACAGAAACACATATAAAAGCTAAAGATCTAATGGCAAGACACCTCTTCTAATGTCCATGACCTGACTCTCTGACCCCATTGTGACCACATCTGAAGGATGCGAGTAAACGAAACGTGTATGCCTTCTAATGCGGGTGATTCAGCAGTTCCGGGTGATGTCCAAATGAAGAAAATGGGGTTACAATACCCAATTTGATGATGATAAGCGAGAGTCATCGGAAGAAGGCTGTCACTTTGTTGGCGTGTGTCCAAATAAGCGAGGCCGAAACTCACCTGCTTCACATAAGAGTCTCGCGCTTGTCAGATATCGGATCTGATAGCTCTTAGAACTTTTGTAGGTGCTTCGGCAATGATCTTTTCATGCCCCAAGAGCAAGAAACTATCACTATGATAGGTTATCAGTCGTCGGTGTACAAACCGGCTTCGCGATCTCCTACAGCATCATGATGATACCTAGATCAGATATAGATGTGTTCAAAATCATTAGGGGTCAATAAATATCTCTCTATAGAATTGCGATTCCCTTGGAAGATCATTGGAGAGAAGTCGTGAATTTCCTCATGGCTTGAACATAGGGGTCTTCTCCGGACGCGGAAAATTAGTAGGTAAGATGGGGGAACTGAATACCTACCTACTCTCTATCCTAAGGGGTTTTTTGGCTTGAAGATACTCCCCAGGTGCTTGTAGAACATCTACCGTGGTGTCTTCGTCACCCCTGTCACCATGTCGCCGATGAACTTGTGGATGAGCTGATTACAAAGGTGTCAGGGGGATAACAAGGAATATCGTGAGCCCCCAATCAAACGAGGACACATTTCGAACGGCGACGGTCGAATTCTGGCGCCAAAGTTGCCCGTAGGTCTCGCATTAAGCTATATTCGTTGAACCCTGCCTTACGGTAGGATCGCGCCTATGTGCCATGTCGGTGTGGGGGGCGATCCACCGGCTCGACATACCCAACGACGCCGTTTATCTTTCCTTCACACACACACACGCACACGCACACGCACATACGCTTTTGCTCAGTCTAGGCAACGGCTATGTCTTCTTCATCTCCACCGAAGAGCCGCTAATGCGACGTATATGCAAATAAGAACGGATTCGCCGTCACATCCGCGTCTCTTGATGTCACTAATGTTGCTATCACTCAACTTATGCGACTCCTGCCTGTTGGTTGTTAGGAATGTGATGGAGAAGACCAAGAGAGGGAGATGGGGAATAGTCGGATTCATTTGCATATGATGACTTCTTCATGACTTGTTATAGGTACCAGAGCGTCGGGGCGGGTGTTGGTCAGATGGAAACCCTTGAAAGCCGTTGAAAAGGTAGGTAAAGAAGCGGCCCGCACCGCCCGGGGATTCCTGATTCGATGTTAAGCGTAGACGATCGATCTATGGGGCCATACGGTATCGAAGTAGATTAATTTATACGCGAGATTCCCGCTGGAAGATGTACCTACCTATATAAGAGACTCCCATGAGTGTTCCTTTCCTCGAAGTTGGAGTACTTTACATTTTATTATATACTAGATACAATCGAGAATTTATATTTACCTAGGTACCTAGTAACTAGGGACTAGAAGAGGAATCCCTAATGAAAGGATCGATTCATCGATGTCTCGTTTCGAAATCGGATGTAGCCTGTCGAACTCAACCCCGTGATCGGGAAAGCTATGTTGACATTGTCCCGGGGTATGAATTTTAAAATACTACGGTGCTGTAGTAATTATTGACTGGGTGGTATCTTGGCATAAGCTACTCGACCCGACGGCACGGAACCCAATCATGTAAAGCCAATAACTTCGTATAGTGGTCAGTCATCGACGAATCATATCATACCCCGTCCTCGACCGTGTATGCAACCCTCTGCTGGCAAGCGCTCCGTCGATGGGGATCCCATATAATGCACATTCCAAGGCTTGAGTCGACCTCTCTATTCGTCATAGTCCAGCCGGGTTGCCGTCTATCTAGAAATCCTACTGCGGCTCTTTCTCCCTGGTTACACCTCTTCATCGATACCTACCCACCACCCAGTCATTTAATCATTTCCCCTCAGCCGTTATGTTGCTTTGCAAATCTGATCTGCAGCGACTTTTCAAGCCGTAATCCGGGTGATTAGAATGACGAGATCAAGTCTCCTAAGGGCTAATCTTTTTATTTTTGCTTGTCAGATATCGTTGCGATTTGGGAATGTCTAGATTCTTTACACTCAATGAGGAAGCTGGTCGCGACTCAGATCGCGTCAGCACTCAAGTTGAGAGTTGGTCAGGGGTGGTTTACCAGCAAGGCTTCCTCAGGCTGCTAAGAAGGTCACATTGAAAGAATACGTAACGAATGGTTGGTAGATGTAGTAGCCACGTTTTGCTATGTTTGTGATCGCATTAGAAAGATGGTTGGTTGGCATGGATTAGGTGAAGTGGTCAAAAAGACTATATACACATTAGTTCCTAGTTCTTGGAACATAAATGAATTGCGGAGTTGAAACATATCGAGATAGGAGTAGTTGATTCTTATGGAGTATATCATCTATCTGGTACTCTGAACTATTCCGATCGTTAGCCTCGCCATTTTCTCTGTTGGTCTCTATATGGATCTAACATGCACCATGTCATGTACATCGCTACAGGAGGCTCCTTATACATCCATGGATGTATATGGCCTCCCCGATTGGTAACCCCCTCCACGAGGACATATATACAAAATCCAAGCCGCCTATTGCATCGATGTAAGCGACTATGCAAAAGGAGACCCCGGGCGACTATTCCCCGGACCCATACAAATTCTATATGCAACGAATATGGATAGGTATTCACGTATTCACTTATTCATACAGGCCTCGTAATCCACATCCAGGAGGAGTAGCGATTTGGGCTGTCAGTAAGCGGGGATGCATGGTGTTTACCATGCAATAGCTCCCATGGAGATCCTATATACGGTACTATACATGGTTCTATACATAGTTCTAGCGAATAGATATGCTCTCATAGGCCCAGACCTCTGGGTCGGATTATAGAGGCGGGCCACAACACTACCTTGAAGTCTTTGCGTGTAAGTCGGGATCATGAACCGGGGTTGAGAAATTAAATCATGACTTACTATAGGTTCAAAAATATGACATGCCCCCCTACTCTAGTCCATATATCGGTATTGATCGTTGACCCAATCTTGTTACGGCGGGATGGCGGCATCAGAGGCACATTACGTTAATTTTGAGCATGGCTCGGCTTATGCTGGGTGGTTAGATTAAGAGAATCGGTCGATGAATCTCGATATTATATCTATGAGGTTGGAGGTTGGAGGTTGGAAGTGGAGTTAAAGTATATCACCTCTCGGAAGAGCTGTTGCGTCGGCCATCAGTACATAAAGTAGGTATATAACGCCTCCACAGGTCCCCTTTCATGGTGCCTAAACTTGATAGTCGAAATGTACGGCCAACTGTATTTGATGTATGCACATCCGTGAGAATCACAATAGTCGACCGAAACCAGAATGCTGCGACAGGCCATCACCCGTAGCAAAGGAGGTTTGGATGCGCTGGGGACTTCAACCTATCCCGTACGGGGGGTGGCTACATCGACTTCTCGCCATGCACTTGAAACACATAACTACCATAGTGTTATACTGGATCGTTCTCCTATACCTTACGTTGCGTCTACTCCGCCCCTCTTATGGCCAGAGCGACGCCAAGATACTGAAAGTGACTTCTGGCGTAAAATTCCGCAATGGAGAGATACGCCTAGGGACGAATTCCTATCTTGGACATGGGGGATCAACGTAAATACACCCTTCTCTAGGTATAGGTGGCATTTACTAAGTGCAATAGCACGTCATCGAGGCAAACATAAAAAAGAAGGATAAACTGAAGGAGTTCCTCTATGCCATGGTGCCAAATGAACTCCCTCGTACACATGGCCTGGGTGGTTCGCAGACCCGCGATGAATTCGTGGGTGACGTTGTCAGTGGCATCAGGAAAGCCACAATGTCTGTCAGGGTTATGTAAGTGTATCAAACGAGTACGAAGGTGCCGACGAAACCGTCCAAAAACCTGACTTCATATAGGCCATATTTGTTAAGTAGGATCAACTGGAGTGATCCAGTAAACGACCCTATATTCAAACAATTTTTCCCGTTGGGGTCGGTGATGGTTGATGATCATCCTATGGTTAAGATGGACTCCTTGAATGAAAAATCGGATTCGCCTGTCGACGGTCTCGTACATCGTTATCCCGACAAGGCGCTCTTCCTCGGTATGAGCTGTTTCGTATTGCTCTTTTGCGAATGTCTCGCTAATGAATTAAAGCAACCTCCGTGTGCCCGACATATTGCGTGTTTTGCACGAGGGCTCACGATGTCGGCCCAGACACCGAGATGATATCCAAAGGACCGGCTAGGATGTCAAGAGAAAGGATCGATAATGTCTTCAAATACATCGAAAGTCAAGAGGGAATCCATGACATAGTCGTGTCCGGCGGCGATGCCTTTTACATTCAGCCTAACCTCCTCGAGGAAATCGGGGATCGACTTATCGCGGCGAAGAATATCGAAAGATTCCGCTTCGCAACCAAGGGGTTAGCGGTGGCACCGCACAGGTTCCTCGATAGAAAAGACCCGTGGACAGACACCCTAATCCGGGTGTCGGATAAAGCAAGGAGAGCAGGCAAGCACATGGCTCTGCACACCCACTTTAACCACCCAAACGAGATATCCTGGATCACGGAACAAGCCAGCCTCAGGCTCGTGCAGTCAGGCGTATCTATCCGCAACCAGTCGGTGTTACTTCGTGGCATCAACGACAATATTGATACCATGCTAACCTTGATCAAGAAGTTGGCCAAGATGGTGATTCAACCGGTAAGAGGTTATCGATCGAATGATCAGGTGAACCCGATCCATTACTAACTACCTACTTGGTTAGTATTACATCTACCAATGCGACATGGTGAAGAAGGTCGAGCACCGGCGCACGTCCCTGCAGACTCTGCTCGACATCGAGTCGCAGATCCAGGGTGCCGTCGCCGGATTCTTCATTCCGAAGTGTATTGTCGATCTTCCCGGCGGCGGCGGTAAACGGCCTGCGTCCCTCTACGAGTCCTACGACCGAAGGACGGGCATTTCCACGTTTAAACAGCCAGCGCTTAAAGAGAAGGGTAGGGAAGATATGGTATATAGATATTACGATCCGGTGGATACCTTACTCCATACTCAAAATCCCGTCTTAGGTCGGGTTCGTTAGGGGACCAGGTAGCGTAGTGAAGGGAAAAGGGCGAGAAAGCATTTGATATCGAAGATGGGCAACCAGAACTCCAGTCTACTATTCCGACTCTGAGGATGTACGTATGTATGTACGTATGCATGTACTATGCATATGTATATTTCTCATGGCGCTGAATAGCTTCCGAGTCTGATGTAATAGTCCGTTCCTGATGTTGTGGCTTCGTTGGTGGATTATTATCTGTACATAGTACAGTAGGTACGTAATAATGCACGTCCGGTGTGGTCTGATGGATCAGCAGAAACCAATAGAGCGGGAGATGTGCGTTTCAGACGAAGGCGATAGCCTTGCAGTAGCGTATAGTCATGTGTCCGATAGCCTGGGGGTGCTGCATGTTTCAAGAGCAGATCCAGTCCAAGCTCATTAGTGCTTGTGATCCTCCTCCCACCACCTCCCCTCTTCCCCCCCCCCTCACCAACACGGCAGCACGGTAATTTGCCCTTACGCCATCATTAATTTATTGCCCGTCCTGTAGGCACGCAAAGTTATCCAACCTGCCAACCTACGTAGCACCAAGCACCAGTCACCAAGTATCGATGGACAGGGCTTGCGGATAAAAAATAGACCAAGTTCCGGTCGTTCCCAAAAACGCTCTCAGTCATATAGTAGTTTACTGTAGCTGAAAGCTGAAGTAGATACTGGGTGCCGGTAGTATCTCCCTGCCGAAAGTATGGTCTTATTGTTTCCAGGTATCCGGCTATAGTTACTGTTGAGTGATGATATCACGTTAACTTGACGCAGGGGTTCGGATGGGAGTCTCGAATTTCAACCACGGACTATCATATTAGGTATGTAGTAATAGTAGGTATTAGTAGATACTCGACAATCGACGATGAGTATAGATATATAAACCTATACTTGACAGGGTCTAGCGCTTGGGGACCGTGGAGGAATCAAGAACTACATACGCAGATACGTAGTAGTTGCGGGGCGAGTCATACCGCCAAGGCCTGCGACTATTGGTATGTTGTATACATACTATGTGTAGTGATTGCATAATAGCTCCCAAGATCGACGATTATCTAGAACACCTTACCCATATAGGATAGAGTCCACATGTATCTCTTCCGTATTGGTATATTTTAGTAGGTATAGGGAATCGATAAATCGGAGAAAAGAGATGATCACGATAGTCTCATGATATAGTAGAGAGCTAAGAGTTGAGGTCATTAAACTAGGTACACATGGCGATATGTGTATGAGGCTTGTGAGCATACCTAGGTAGTATAAAACTTATTAATACTAGGTACTTGTAGTTGTTTGTTGTTACGTTGAAATGGGGTGCGCTCGGACCAGAACATAACATAAAATATAAAGCACGGACCCATAGCACAAGGTTTGCCTAAATTACATAAAATGCGATCATGGATTGTGGTACTATGTACATAGTACAGATAGTACAGGACTGCAGGAGTACATAGTCGCCACGTTTTTTCCTAGCGGGTAGCACCCTAGGGCTCCTCTTTATTCCCCATTTTATTTCCTGATGAAGGTTGCGCGGTTCCTGAACTAACCTAACCAGGATTAGTAGATCATCCAGTCTGCCAGTGTCGTTGATAGTTCACTGAACTAACGGCAAATAACGGTCTGTCAAGTTAGAGGTCAGGATCCTCAAAATTCCCAGCACTCAGGAACCGTTTATGTCAGGTAGGTACTTTGTCACGTCTCCCCCAGGGCTGTCAGGGCTGCCAGGGCTATCCAGAATTCCTCTTGATACCTACCTAGTAATAGGTTATTATTCGTTCGTGGACGGCTTCATTCTACATACCTAGCCATACTAGGTGGTTTGGTATGAATGGGGTATGACTGGTATGTGAGGCAAGTACTGGCCAGTAATAATCAGGTGCTTGGGGAATTTATGAATTTATCCTCGTTCTCTAGGTAATGCGCACTGAACACCAACGCGGAATTCAATTTATCGCCAAGTATCTAGGTAGATTTTTTGTTTTCAATGTTCCTAGACCCTTCTCCTTTTCAATCTCGTAACCTTGCAGACCTTGTCACCTTGTCACTCATCACCCGTCACTCGTCACTCGTCACTCAGAAAAAGTCTTAATTCTTGTTTTATGCTTTCTGTCAACGATCGTACCTGCAATTTGCAACCTGTACTTGTAATTTGCACTTTCCGATTTTAATCATGTCTTTTTGAAATCGACTCTTTTTCCTCTCCTCGTTTTATCCCTTTCTCCTAAAAAAAAACAACCAAAAAAACCACAAAAACAACAACTTAATAATGTTTCCTGGCGACTTTTAACCCAATCAACCTCATCTACTATAACTTCAACTCCAACGATGCGGCACTGCACTGGTAGCAACCTCAGCGACGGGAACCATACAGACCTACAAGTGACCCGCCTCAATGCAGCTGGCCGAAGTAGCACGATAGACTATCACAACAGCCTCCTCGATCAGGCCCGGCAGCAACACGAGTCGGAGCAACCTAAGAGACCGCATACGCATCAATGCCATCCTACCCAGAACCACTCGCTTGGTTCAATTCGACAATGGCTGCCATTATCTAGCATTAAGAGACAGAGAACCTCAGGAAACAACGACAACCCTGAGAGGGGATGCAATAAGAAACCAAAGAATGAAAAGGATAACAACAATCGTGAACTGGCGCCACCGCCACATCCACATCTTACTAGAAAAGATATCGAGGAATTTGAGGCTCTTCCGGTAGCCATTAGACGAAAGGTAAGTTTTTATTTATTTTATTTTATTCCATTTTACTTCATTTTGTTTCATTTCATTTCATTTCACATCATTTTTATTTTTATTTTCGTCTTTGGTGTAGTGTCTATTTCCATCCCTTGTCCTTTCCCTTCCCCCTTACGTCCGTTTATCATCGTCTCTTCATCGCCAAAAAGAAAAAAAGGAAAGGGAAAGAGAAAGAAAAAGAAAGAAAGAAAACATACGATAATAGATACATGACAATATTTACATTTTCCCTTTACACGACTTGACTTCCCCTCGTGTTGTGTGGGGTTATAATACTTCGCATTTATGCCCACCATCCACCAGTTCCTCAACCAGATCTTTTTTTTTTCTTTCTTCCCCTTCTCCTTCCCCATCTCCATCTATCTCTCTCGGGATTGGATAGTCCGCAAAGGGACTAAGCTGCAGAGACGCGCTGCAGCAGCTTCAGGTGGCAAGACCCCTCCTACCAATTGGGAGGCTCGTACCTACCTTGGAAAGGGGTGGTAGTAAAGAGGTTAGCCAACAAAGCTGCGTCGCTGTTCGCTGCTCGCTTATAGGCTGGCCGAGCTAGTTAAACAAAGCAGTAACGGCGGCGACCAAGCTTAGATTGGTCTAAACTAGCTCTGGGCAATATACTACCTACCTACGTATGGTATAGCCTTGCAAATTGCAACGCTTTGGGTCATTGCGAGTGCAGGTTCTGCAATCTTCATGCATGCATGGGGTTACCATCTACTATGTATTATGCCCGTTCCTGCATCAGAGCACACTCGCGCAATTCCATACATTCTCCCTATTCACCCTGTTCAACCTGTTCAACCTGTTCAACCTATCTTCTGTTATTTTGCTCCGTTGCCCTTCCCCCAAATACATTCAATGTTATTTGTTATACATGCGAAAGCATTCTGTCGGTGTCTTTACTAAATTCCTCCCTCCCCCTCTTTTTTACAGTATTTCTCCACCTTGGAACGTTTGCGTCTCGCTCAAACCTCTGGCATCCTGGACCCCCCATCCGACGCATTCAGACATCATAAATTTCGCGGTGCCTCTCTCAGCGCTGCTGCCCCCGGCAAGCTATTGGACCGTCCCACAACCGCTCCTTCTCATCGGGGCCACGCTGCTTCCGTTGACTTAGCCTTCCTTGCTAGGCTTCCCGCTAAGGTTAGGGAAAAGCATCTGAGTAGAGAAGAGCAGGTTGTCATCGCGAAACGCTTGCGCCAGAGCGTTATCCTTGATGCTGCTGACGAAGCTTTCTTGAAGGCGGGTCGTCTTGCGAACAGACGCCCTACCCCTCCGCTCTATCCACCTACGCTGTGCTCTTCGGCGCGACCAAGCATGGAGTCTTTGCGGAGTGACGATGCTTCCCCTAAGGCGCATGATGCGCTTTACGATAGTTTTCGATGGCTAGATGAGGATGAGGATCTTGATCTCCGCCTCGCTCTTGATGACTATCATGTAAATCTGAGAGAGTCTGTGCCTATGCCTCCTAAGGAATCAAGACCTCCTTCTTTTCGTCGTCACTTATCTTTTTCCAAGATTCCATTTGGGCGGCCGTCTATCTCCTCAAGTCGACCTGCAACAAAGGATGCAGCACCTCCTACCGCCCACTCAGCAGCGCCCAGCCCAATCGCCTACTTGCCACCTGTAAGGCGAAAATCTAGGGCTCTATCTCTGATTACGCCGAAGCATGTTGCACACGAGTCAATTTCCTCGATTGACCCTGGCGCGGCTCACTACCAGGATCCCGAAGCGCGCCTGAAGTTACGAGTATACCTAGCTTCGCCGCAAAAGTTCGATGAAGCAATCGAGTTCGGGTTTCCATCAAATGACCCCCCACCAGTAGGCGCATACAGGGATCTCCCAAGCTCCCAGGACCAATCGCGCTTGATATTCTCTCCCGATTCGGAAAAATTCAAGACGTTCCTCTCGGATGATCGATCGTCTACTTACAGCGAGGATGCATCGCTGCCGGACCCGGAGTCACCTAGAACTCCAAACACGCTAGATAAGCATGTCAAACCTCTCCAGCTCTCCGCCGTCACCGACGACTATTCCTCGAGACCTTCGGAAAGCTATGCGCAAGTGCCTGCAGCTTCCCGCGAAATGACGCTGCGCATGACGCTAACGCGACCCGATTTACGAGCTTGCGAAGACCATATATACGGGTGGCAGAAGGGATCGCGACAGTATTCAAGTAAACCAGCTCAGATTTTAGCCTTGCAAGAAGAAACGCCTACATCTATGACATACGTCAGGGACGGTGCTAAAGACAGCATGGAGAAGATTTTCGCCGACATCGACCAGGAGCTTGGCCCTCCCGCTTCTACAGACAACAATGTCATGAAGCGCATCTGGAATAGGGTACGGCGAGGCTAGAGAATCTTCCTCTATTTATTTTTTATTACAAAGAAATGCACGACTCTTCGCGCCCCAGGGTGTCGATGAAACTGATGACATCGGATTGTGATACTTATGCCCACACTGGCGTTTATGTACATGGAATCAATCATTGCCTGGAGTTTTAAGGCGTTGGGTTTGTGGTGTTCTATCAAATGACATGGTATTAAAATGTTATTTATTCTTCAGAGGTCGGTTTGTTTGCAGCCGGCTATGAGACATGCGCTAGGGAAAGAGTTGGTTGGTGGATGCACGAACTGCAATGGAAACGCATCACATTCCCCTTTTGCTACCCTTCATTTGACTTGGAAGATGTATATGATTGCAACTCCTAGTCTGGATCAAATATATTATATTCCGGCCGAGGCACCCTAAGCCGTGCGGTCCCCATCTTTACAAGTTCTTTGTCGCCGAAAACTGATGATTGAAGACTGATATTTGAAATAGTGCCAGGTATCTAAACCAAGGTAGGTAGGCCTTGCATAGAGATTAACTTGTACTCATGCAGGATACGCTGATCTACGAGGGGTCTGAGCGGTGAGACTTACATGTAATAGTCACTAGGTACCTAGTTACGTACATATGTAGGTACCGACATGGTACCTAGGTAGGTACATGTAGGTGCTTATATAGTCGCGCGGAACTCTTGTCCTCCGAGCTGAAATTCGTAGCATTCGAAGCGCAGCTGGGCTCAAGACCGAATCTCGTAATCGCCTTGACTAGCTATTATAGCGCGCGGGTTCTTCTTTAGATTATCATTAGTGTTCCATGCTATATCGCAACTATAATAACTAGCTACAATAAAGCTGAGACTTTTTGTACATAGTATCTTATTTTTCCAAGCGCCCGACAGAACGGACCTAGCAACATTTCACCCTGCAGGTACGCGTATCGCCATGTGACGATTTACATAGTACACAGCTTATCTACCTACCTAGGTAGTTATCTGCGTTTTTTTTTTTTTTTTGTTCTCTCGATAGGCCTATAGATAGGCTTATATGGTTATTATACTACTAGGTACATTTATAACAAGGTGAAAGGCGTTAAGTCGTTAGATAGCATAAGTCGGTTAGGCGCATTCATAGAAGTTGGTCAAAATCGTAAATAGAAGCGAAATAACTTAAACGGGATACATAGTTGATCAAAAGTCGAATTGCCGTTTCTAGGTTGCATGAACGTGTAATATAACTCAGGCGATAAATCTGGACTCCCAACCATGACGTGACGTGGATAAGGACCTAACTTTTATTATTACATGGAATGTTAATAAGTTTGACGGTGGCGGTGATGGTGATGGGAGACCTAGGTAGGTAGGTACGCAGTTTGGAGGGGAAACTAGATGGGTAAAGGGTATTAATGTTAGAGAATAAAAAAAAAGCTTGCAGCTTGCTGACGTTGTATCCCGAGCCCCAAGCACGCTGCATGGGGGTATGGGGCATGGGTTTGTCGCAGCTGAATCGTTCGTTAGGGACTTGGGGTACTATGGAGAAGAACAAAAATGACAACAATTTGTCCTTGTATTCCTCGCGTTGTAGGTATATGTATAATACATGAAGTATGTACTGAATACTACATGGTTGATCATGTCAAATTGTGTCAAATTGTAAATATATTGTTTTTGGAATGGAAAATACCTGTCGACCAGGTATTATATTGAAAAGAGTAGGCACATAATTACCTACCTACCCAGTACCTATATATATATATACCTAAATATCATAACATCTCCAAGGAAGTAACACTCCGGGAATGTGTAGGCTGAATTGGAAATTACTTGTAACTTATCATCCTAGCATACCGTAAAATCTACCTGGAGATAAGGAAGAAACCGATTCGTTTACTTTGTCTTGTCTATTCAACTGGAACGAGAATTCTCGAATTTGTGCGGGGACTATCTTATCAACAGGCTCACCTAAAACACATCAAGCCCTATTACTCCTGAACCATGGTGGTGGTGGTGATGCTAACCTAAAAAAGAAAAGGGGGTGGGGGAAGCAAAGGAGCAACTAAAACGATCTCTTCCATCACACAATGTTACAGTGACTGACTACCTAGGTGATTTTAAATGCCTGTAATGTTGTAGATAACGACAACGAATGCATCTTTTTCTTACTTACACCATCCCCCACTTAGATCATCATGATTTTCCTAAACCCTGCCCATTGCCGATGCGCCTCCCGAGTTGTAAATACACTCAATTTCTCCCCTCCTACTATAGATGACGTAAGAGGAAAAAAATAAATCTCCTCGTTACTCATACCTCGTCATCGCTATCGTCGCCGAGAAGCTCGCCTTCGTCTTCGTCCACGATAGCGTAGTCACCTCGCCCTCGGGCGAAGCTGTCTCTGGTTGTATACCTTCGCTGGCTACCTCGCAGCCAGTCATACCGGCCGCCACTGTCTCTCGCGCCCCTGAACCTGTCTACAGAAGAGCTTACACTTCTCCATAAACTTCCTATAAGGAGGGGCATCGCGCCGATAACCGCCACCACCGCCGACACCGCCACTACGGGGTACTTGACCCACGGTGAATCGCTGTTGAAAGCACTTTGTTCACCGAGCCGGATCTGCCCGAACTTGCTCTGCCAGTTACGGTACACCCACCAGCCGGCCAGTGACGCGAACCCAAACGGAAGAACGATGGCAAAGAAGAGACCGACGCCGGAGATGCCGCGCGCTTTTTCGAATTCTTCCTCGTGACCGGGGCAAGGATGAGCTTGAAGCACCTTGTCCGCCTCGAAGCCCCCTTTACATGTGGTCAAGGGGATTCGACGGAAGCCGCTAGGCTCGTAGTACTCAATTTCGTCGGGCTTGTCCTTGCAAACCTGCTCGGGGTCAAGGGGTTGAAGACCCTCGACGAGTCCACAGTGTCCATGGTTGTCCATTTCGAAGTTATAATCGCTACAGCAATATCATTAGCACCCGGCACATGAAATCCGTAGACAGCTAGCTTTCCGCACTTACCATTCAAAGTCCTGTCGAGTACACTCACAATTCTCGACGTTGTACAAGTGTTGAAGCTTGTAGCTATTGTAGCATTTCCTATCCTTCTTCTTACGTAGGTATTGGTTCCTATGGCCGAACAGACAACCGTTCGGCTGTAAAGGATGCTGCGGCGACCACAATTCGTAGTCTGATTTCTCCCGGTCCTCGTCATCCTTGCATGGCTCGCTCGCCAAGCCCGAGAAATCGATATTCACGGTGAAGAGCTTGTCGCCTTGGTGGCCCCAGAGGAGGAAATTCCTGGACGAACCAGAACGCAGGGTCGTGATATCGGTGATGACGACCTCGGAATCTGAGAAATTGTAGTCGTTCCAAGTCTCGCCCCGATCAAGTGAGTAGGATATAGACCTAGATCGTGTGTTCCTTTGTGCGAGAACTACGATAGATCCTTGATCACCGAAAGACCATGTCCAGCTGCCTTTCTTCACCATCTTCCAGCTTAGCCCAGCGTCAGCCGTCATGAAGGTGTCGGCATCCTTAGGATCCCCGAGAATGGGTCCGACGTTGCCGACACCAAACATGATGCCGACTGCTGACTCTGAAGAGTATGTCTTCCCATGATCGGCTCGTTCAGTATAGCCATGGATATGGAGAGCGCATGACTCATCCCCATTTTTACTGGAGCAGCTGAATTCCTTGCCGTCAAGATCCCGCCCAGGAGGCGGCAGGAATCCCCACTCGGCACCATCATTGTGGCTGATTCTGGTGGTAAGCTTTTTAGGCTCCGAATCGCTACCCTTATTCTCTACTGTATTGACTACCACAACTCCTTCCAAGCCGAGCATCTTTTCGAAATCCACATAGTAGCTCTTATCACTGTTGACGCCCGCAATGCTTAACACATATGATGTCCCGTTCGAGTTGCTTTTTAGAATCGACCCATAGCGGTGGTTTTCCTCTTCCTCGGTTACGACAAATAAATTGACGGCGTGAGTCGAGCTGTCTAGGACAGTATATGCATTTGTATGTGGGACCTGGAAGTTGAATGGGAAGTGTGCTGGTGCGTAGTCCCGCCCATTCATACTAGCAAGCGCGTTGAGCGTCCCCTCTGTTTTATTTTCCGTGGCGACGACGATGAATTCAGCCATGGTCGCGAAATCGATAACGTTCTCCAAAGCCACGCTCATCTTGTATTTCGGGAACTCGTCACTATACAAGAGCTGGGAGGGGTTGTTATCTTCGTTATCTTCACGCGCTCTTGCAAGGCAAAGAATTTGTGTGTTATTCCGAAATTTATATGCGGATGAGCCGGTGAACTCGCACTTGATCACATTACGCTTGATCGTCTCCCAGCTATCACCGCGATCAGTAGAAAGGGAGGCCTCAAGGTAGCAGTCACCCTTGCTACGGCACTTCTTTCCATGCCATATGAGCCAGTCTGGCCGATCTGGATGAAACGCAAGAGGTACCCTATTCAAGGAAGTATCTGGTTCATCTCGTGGTTCGAAGTAGTCGAAATGCCGACCACGGTCGACAGTGTAAAAAACTTTCTTTTCTCGGGTCAAGAGGAAGGCCATGTCCTTCACATAAGGATGGGTGATTATCGCATAAATACCCTCGTCGCCGGGCAGCTTAGCCTTGGTCCAATTTTTACCATGATCGTGCGTGACGAAAACGTCGCCGGCTGCGCGGGCTACCATTTTATACGGTCTAGCGATGATCGTCTCTCCATCCTCCGAGTCTAAATCACCACGCTCAAGGTAGTGTTTATCGAAGCGATCAAAATCGCCATCGAAAGGAAATTGAACATGTTCGATCTTATTACTTCCGGGTGCGTTTGGCGAGCTTTTAGCGTCCGAACAACTCCACTCCTTCTGTTTATCTTTCTGATCACCTCCTGTGCGTTTACATACGTTTCCGGGGATGAGACGCCAACCGGATGACCCTAAAAACTTCTCGTCCGGGTTATCACCCTTACACGCGCCCTCGGGGGCCTGGATGGGGCCAGCGGGCTTGCATTCGTCCCCGTCTTGCACGAAGTTGAAGTCGCACTCAAAATCGGCCTTGGTGCAATCGCACGGGGATGACTCAGGAGCAGGATCTTTGAACTCTTGTTTAATGAAGCACATCGCATCCTTCTTCCGTCTATGGTACTTCTGCGTGTGGCCCATCACACAGCTGGCATTGCCATCGTCATCCACTCGCGCGAACCAGTCCTCCATGTCATTGTCCTTGCAGGTATTCTCGTGCAGGCCCTCGAAGTCAATGGATATGACGTAGAAACCGGTGGGAGAAGCTCTCGACCCCTTTCTAGCAGTGAGCAGAAACTTGAGACTTGTCGAATCTTGTGTGGTCAACAGCGTCCAAGGAGAGATGCTCAGGCCTTCCGGCAATTCGGCCGTCTCCCAATTTTTACCGTGGTCCAAGGAATACTTGATATTCTTTACATCAGCTTCCTCACTATCTTTAACAGCGAGAAGGATAGATCCCTGGTCACCAAATTCGTATTTGTGCGGGCCCTTTGGCCCTTCGATCCACGTCCGGCCGGCATCGTCGGATATATAAAGGTGCGATTCCCAGTAGCCCTTGAGATGACTGCCGTGGTTACCGTTGCCCATTACGAGACCCGGAGCAGGACTTGAAAAGACGGGGCCAACATTGTTCATTTCCGTGACGGAGTGTAAATGAATTTCTTCGTCGCCTGTCTTGACAGACTCGAAAGTTCTACCATCGTCGAATGTGATCCTAGTCTTGATTTTTTTATCCGCCTTCCCTTCTTCTACTTCCTTCCAGTTGTCCACTTGGTTGACTAAGAAAATCCCTTGGATGTTGGAGACCTTCTCGAAGTCGACGAAGGATTCTAAGTTACGATTGGTATGCTCGGCATTCCTGGTGAAATAGGTGCCATTCGAATTGCTAGTCAATAGCGTGCCCATCGGATTGGACAGCCGCTTGCTTGTCCTGACATCGATTTGGATGCTATAGTTGGTACTCTCCAATACGGTATACGATGATTCAAGGATAGGATGATCGCGAGGGAACACAGCACGGTGCCATTTTACGGTATCGCCGGTCACAAACAGAGCCATCTCTGCCGTGTTACGCGAGGTGACGGCTACTAGGAGGAATTTCTTGACTTCGACTAGTTTCACGATACCCTGGATGGCGCCATTGCCGTTCAAATCCGGCTCATACTCCTGGACAACTCCGTCGGCGCCTTCGGCACTAAAAAAATTATCGGAAATTAGAAGGCGGTTGTCCTCCTGGGGAGAAAAGATGCCGCCTCTAACGATGCATAGAATTCTCTGTTTATCCTTCTCGTCATCGCCGGTAGTGAAAAGTGGAGATGACTTGGCCCACCAACAGCCTTGAGTGCGCCCGCGCAAGAATTTGGCATCGTCCTCGAAGTTATTTTTGGTATACATGACCACCTCTTCGCAGAGATCGGGAAACGGACAATCCATACCGGTAAACAGAATCTTGTCATGGTCGTCAGCGTGGAAACTCATCCATCGGCCGATGGTATCGATAGAATTGCTCGTGTACGCGTCGGTAAAGAAAGTCTTCCATGTCTCTCCCTGGTCATCTGTCTTCCAGTGAAGGTTACCACGGGTCAAAACGTAGGCGCGCTTCGGATCGTATTCGTGCATGACCAACGCGGCAGCCTTATCGTGTTCAATCCCATCAGCTTTCGACCAAGTTGCGCCGCCATCAGTCGAGCGCCATATGGTATTTCCGTAGGCTTCTTGAAATAAGACGACATTTGACCCCTTAAAATAGTTCAGATTGTTTGGGGGGTTTTCAAAGTTTTTGGCGACGATGGTCGGTCCGTTCTTCGCGTAAACAGTCGGGGTGGTCCATAGAAGAGCAGTCAGCAAGAATATGGACGACCAAAGCGAGGCTGCCGCCCCCGAAGCTCCCCTAGCCCTCATGGTTGCGTGGTTATCGGAAATAACGTGGAGATCATGACAAAGAATCTGGTTTCCTGCGCAGAGAGGACTCGAGATGGATGCGGAAGGGTGCAACTAGAAGGAGCAGGAAATTTAAACTAGATGTGATGCTACCTACGTAGGTACAAATAGGCAGCTGTTGTTACTTGATAACACAAGAGATAGAGGATCAGGAATAATCGAGTAATGAAAGAGTGATTTTCTTTACTTTCCGAGAAAGAAAAGTGATGGATTGCGTCTTCAATAGTATAAACACTGCATTATGTGTCATGAATCGTTGGTTGTTAAGATGTGAAATGCAAAATAGAATGTGCAAAATGTACGATGTACATGAATTGAAAGTCTCAGCTTTGAAAATGCGCCGCGCGGACAATCCAGGAGACTTCGCAGCTGCTCTTCTCTTACATTGGGACAAGTATCCGCCTACCTACACTGCCAGGTCAAAAGTTTGAATCCGTATTGTTAAGCCTGAAGTTGCGCCAAACTGTGCCAAGCCACTATGCTCAATCGAGATAGCTTAGAGCTTCTACCACATAACGACCGTCATTAGCTCCTACGTGACTTTATACTCAGATAACTTCTTGATATTATATTTGTTTGAGCTGTAATTAGTATTAATAGGTAGCTATTAACTGCGAGAATAATATGAATCTAGTTGCATCTATTTTGAAGCATTATAGCCTGAGTTATAACGTATTAGAATAAAGGCTAGCCTTTTTTACACTAATCGAAAAGGGGCTATAATAAACCACCGAATTTCTACTCTTTAAAAGGTTTTAAAGCGGTGCAACTTGACTTATCAAATACTACACTACTTAATATATTTATATATCTAATTATTATATTTATATATCTAATTATAAAAGATATAATCCAATATTCATGAAGTTATTCAAGATACAAGGAAATTAGAAGAGATTAGCTAGGATTATGAGGCTGTTAAGGTGCCAGTTCATATTGGGAATAGTGGCTTGGCGTAACGGAAGTGTAACTTCAGGCTTAACAATACGGATTCAAACTTTTGACCTGGCAGTGTACGTAGCACTTGATATGTACCCACCAATTGTCTATCGATAGGCTTGAGCTGGGGCTCAGCTCGGTAGGTTCGGCGCTTCGCCACATATCCTGGGGTGCCTATCGTGATTGTGGCTCAAATTATAAATACCTACTACTATGTAGGTACCTACCTAGGTACTGTACTCAATCCGGATGAGTAACGGGTCGAACGGCCTCAACAAACATACATATACGTACCTATTTATATATGATAATAAGTACAGAAATACAGCTTGTGATTATAATTGAAATGGAAAGGGGTACCCTATATTAGAAATGAATCATTTGCCTGTATTACGAGTTTGAGTGAGCCCTTAGAGCTGATGTCGAACGTGTTGAATGTGCGCCGATGCAAAAATGACGAATAGGGTAGCAAAGGCCATAAATAGCTCTTCAAAGAGGTATCCAACTGAAAATATTGTATCTGGGCGAAACTAGACAAAGTGAACATGAAAGATAATAGGTAAGATGGCTTAAAGTCACCATGGAATCAAAGTGCGGAAGTATTATACACGACATTAATACCTACAGGTAGGTACGTTCTTATCGTGTTTAGATTGTTCATAATAGTAGCCCGCTATTATTCTATGTCTTTCTTTTTAAACGACCGCAATCCCTGCAAAACTGAAACACACCATTCCTGAATACATAGTACGCATATGAAGTAGCAGCCACGGGTAAGTAAGTACCTAAGTAGGTATAGTTATCTATATATATAAACGTACATACATCCATCCATGTATTTAGGAGTACTTTATGTACCTATATATCTACTCGGTACTAGCCTTGAAGTACGTAGGTATGCACTACATATAAGTAGTACTTTGAAATAGCATTCATTTATATAGGTATAGACATGTACCTTACAGTTCTCAATTAGTAGTTTAATCCAAAACACCTACATATCAAGGTGCCTTAGTGCGATACTTGCATATGTAAGTGATAATGTATGTAGGTCCAAGGGTTAACTAAACTTGGGTACGTAGAAAAAGGCTACGGTGGGGGCCTCAGTTGCTTGGAACCCCTCGCCCCACTAATTAAATATCCGCGCATGAATTACACACCTACTAGCCCTGCTAGCCTATCCTAGCAGCCTAGGTAGCAGCAACAACAGCAACAACAGCAACAACAGCAACAACGAAAACTTCGAGTTGTAGACACCGTATATTCACGATACGGCACAGTCTAATCAAAATAGTCATGCACCAGTAACTAGGTACAATTCAGAAAGCAAAAAAGTGCTTTAGCATTTTCTTGATTTTAATAAAGTATCGGTAAATAATATGTAGTAGTTTAAGCTTTGTTCCAAGTACTAACATATTTACCTACCTGGTAAACTGTATCCTGCCTGTTAATATATTAATAAATACAATCAGTTTTTAGAAGTTATAGACATTAGGTGTTTAAAGAACTGGACTACTTGATGAATTAGTAATAATGAAAGTAATATGTAAATAAGTTTATGAATACATATATTTATATTGGTTGTTGATTATTGGGTCTTGAGTCTTGATATTGACATACCTACCTACACGTATATCAACAGGAAGGTAGTTGCATTGTATACCTAGTACCTATCTACTCTGGGTTTGTAGTACAGGAAAACGGGCGGATATACCAGGCTAAACGTGCCAGACAGGGTTCACATATTATGTAAACAGAGGGAATTGACAAGTGTGTCTCATATTCTTTCCCTTCTATTAATAATAATACCTACGTCTTTCGGTACCTACCTACCTACATATGTAGTACTTACTAGGTACCAGGTAGGTGTCTGGAAAATAAATAAGCAGCCCTCACAGGTTCCTGCCGCAACTGCATAGATATTCCTTCCTTCATCCTGGTCTACTGCCTGCCTCCTAGCAACGCGACACGCTCTAAACCTATACTTATTCTACATTCTGCAGTCTTGACCCCCTTTACCCTTTTGCCCTTTTCCCGTTTTCTCCTCTTCCTGTTCATTCACATCTCTTTCATTCCTGACACCTTTTTCCCTTTCTTTCTTTCTTTTTTTTTTTAAAAAAAAAAAAAAAGAAATCTACGCACAGCGCAATAATTATTGCACTCTACCCTGGTTGCTTACCTACTTCTTGATATAAAAACCCGCATCGCGCAAACGCGCTTGAGCTAAACACGACCATAAACATGGCGCTGGCAGCTGTATACAAGCAGTTTCTTGCTGCGCCGACTTCCACCCAGCTAGCTGATGGGGCTACCCTCAACTACATTACCACCACCACCAGCTTTAAAGGCTCTGACCAAATAGACAAGCACTTTACTACTTCGGCCAAACAGCTCAAGAAAACAAAGCAAGAATTTCTCTCTGTCGTCGAGGGCCAGAATGTCATCGCGGCTGAAGTTGATACTGTTCTCGAGTTTGCCACCGGCGGTGGAGCTTACCTACCTGGTCTTGACGACAACTTCGTAGCCGACCGCACTGTCTATCTTCCAATTGTAGGTTATGTCGCCTTGTACGATTTGATCCAGTAGGTTGACTAACGTGCGATTCAGATTCATATTGTCACCTTTGATAATGATGGCAAGATACAGCAGATTCGCCAGGCCTGGGACCAAGGTTCTCTACTAAAACAGCTCGACGTCATCGGGAAATCCGGCCGCAATTGGCCCATCCGCGATAGTACTGAACAGATCAAACTGATTGAAACCTCTGTGAAGTCCGGAAATTCCGGCCCTCATCAGCACCCTGACGACTTCGCTGTTCGTTCCCGCGGCAACTCTACCAATGTCCTCAGAGATCCACATGCCTCACTCGCATTGTTCGCGCCTCGCGAGGAATCCGACGAAAGTATAGCTGCCGTAATCTCTCCTAGGGGTGGGGCCCGACCGCGACAGCGTGACTTCACCGAGATATTAGGTGATGAGCCAGTCGAAAGCCCTAGTCGGGGACGATCGGAGTCGCCAAGCAAGGCAATCGCCCCTAAAGCCGGCACCGATAAGAAATTCCAACCGAGTCGTTTGTTCGAGGACGAGGATGTTGTGGAGGAGAGCAACTTGCCAGACGCGGTTGCGTCCCCCAGTCGCTTTATTCGACCCAACCCCAAGAAGTATAGTCACTTCGACTTTGCTGACGATCCCGAAGAGTTCCCGCAAGCAATAGATCCAAATCCCAAAACAAAGCATTCGAGCCAATGGTGCTTTGACGATTTCAATACCCCACACAAGGCGAAGCCATCCAAGGTCTTACAAAAGCAAAACGTGCGCCATTGGGGAAATGATGACGACCAAGTACAGGAAAGTCCCGTGCGCAAGGTTGCACCTGTCAAGCCCCGTCGTGACGCTGAGACGCACTTTGAATTTGTGGATGACGGCACCCCTACTGGAGAGGCTCGTGCTGCGCGTCCCCGCGGTGCTACGCATAACAATGGATTAGGGCTGTACAAGAACAATTTATACAGCGAGGATGGAAGTGAAGCAGTTAATGGCGAAGAACCCCGAGCGCTTGGGGCCATTACGAACTTGAAGGACCGTGGCCGAGATTTTGAGGCCCATTGGCAGATGACCGATTCTCCTGGCCAGCCCTCGCCTAAACCCCCTGTAGGGGAAGATCGAAAAAAGGTCATGAAGATGATGGATGCTAGCTGGTCGAACTTCGACCAATCTTCCGGGCAAAAAGAGAATAAACCTATTCCGCAACGCTCCGGTACCAATGGCGAACGAGGAATCCACATCGGCGGTGACGGAATGGGTGGCGGCAAAGGGACCAACCGCAACTGGTTGTTTGGCGATGAAGACGAAAGTCAAAAGACCCAACCGGCTCCAAAAAGAAAGCCCACAGCCGCAAACCCGGGAGGCTTCAACTGGGACTTCTAGGCGACCTAGCATAACCCTGCACATTAAAGAAAATGCACACATTTACTATTATGAATGAACATGCCTAGATGTGGCCCATGAATCACGAGAGGGATGCCAGCAGAATATAAGTGCTTGTATGATGAGGCTCGCAGATTATTTCTTGGGCAGAGGGGTAGACGACTTTCGATGTTCCGTTTGAGTAAAGTTTCTCATGTGTACTAGCATGATGTTGGAGTGTTAATTGTAACATTGTGACGGAATGGCGATAGGATGGTTAGACTCTCATTAGAGACCTGGGGCCTGTCCTTATTTCCCTTAGTTTCGTGTGTACGATAATCTCTTCCTTATACACATTCCCCCCAACCTGTACATAGTCATTCCCCTTTGCATTTTCCCTGGCTAAGAATATGATCAAGCAATGAGATACTTAGCAAGAAGTCACGGTTCCAATAATATATCAGTACGTGTCGTGTTGCTTAATCGCACCTATTTCATATCCCAACGATATCGCCATCTCCCTAGGTAGGTAGGCCTTGTTAGATATCCATTATGTTTTGCGAGGCTTAGTACAGCAGATAACCCTTTCAGTTAGAATTGATGTTATACAAAGCAGATACAAATAAATAGGTAGTGCATACACACACATGTATGGTACATAGAGGTATGAAAATAGAGACCCAAGAATCAATTGCGCTATCTATGAGTAAACATAGTATGCGTTCTATCTCATTCTATGGTGACTTCATTGTCAACCAAGCAGATGTCAGCTGTGCTCTAAAATCAAAATTTCCCAAATGTCCGGAGAACGAAACGAAACCCAACGAATACGGTAGCCGAACGCCTCGCTCCTATATTATCGTACATACCCGTGGCTTGCCTCGTTGTGATATGAAGCCTCCTTTATAATGATCTAACCTAGGCCGACTAGATACTTCTGCTATTCTTCCCGCTTAGATGCAACAACCCTACCCTAACCAGGGCAATCTCAGGCGAGGAATGCACAAGAAATGGGTATACTAACAGAAAAATCTATAAAATCTCTTCCACTTCGGCCAACCCCTTCGTTCTTCGGCCTCTTGAGCAAGCAGGATCGGCAGATTGAAATCTCGGCGACCGGTGTCAATATCCATATCGGCGGTCTTTATAAAGCTCGTGCGAGCGTAAAGGCGGTGCGCGACATAGAAGACAATGACGACTGGGACGGCCATATACTGCAGAAAGAAATTTTTAGCCAACTCGCTGGAAGATTGATCTTCCCAGTTCACGGGCCACGCGCCGACCCAGAACTGGGCCACCAATACCAGTATGTTGAAGAGGAGACCTAGGTAGGAGCCGAAGACGCCGCACTGGGACTTGAACGCCAGCTCGCGCAGACTATGGCCTTTCTGTGTCCATGCTCGACGGAACCGGATGTGCGCCAGGCAGATAGATGACCAAGTAAATATAGAGGAAAGTCCAGATATGGCAACAAGCCAGTCCAGCACGACGCCTTGCTCTTTGAGGTCAGCAAGATATGCGAGGAGGCCCATAGATGACGCGATCATGATGGACACCAAAGGCCGCCCCCGACGATCAACGTAGGATAAGATCCTTGGTGCTTGATTCTGATCAGCCAAGGCGGCGAGTGTTCGCGAGGAACCGAAGACGGAGGAGTTTCCGACAGACAGGACGGCGATCAAGATAACGACATTCATCACCGATGGCAGTACGTCGATACCTGCATTCTCGATGGCGATGACGAAGGGAGACGCCGCGGCGGACGCCGATCCCGGGATCAGTAAACGTGGGTCATCGTACGGCACAAGCAATCCGATGAGAAAGAGGGCTACAATATAGAATAGGGTTATCCGCCAAAACACCTGCTTGATAGCTGTAGGGAGCGATTTGCGTGGATTCGCTGTCTCAGCTGCAGCGAGCCCAACCAGTTCCGTCCCGGCAAAAGCAAAAGCAGCAGTGACAAAGACGCTGCAGAGACCTTTAAAGCCATTATGAAAGGCACCCGGCTCCCGCCAATATAACCCTCCTATATACCCACCACCCGGCACACCTCCAATGTTTAAGACGATTCCTAGCAAGCTGTAGAAAAGAGAAAAAAAGGACACACGATCAGCGTTCAGTCCTACGACGTGGGCAAACGGTAGAAATAAACTTACATGAAACCAATGACTGCGATGACCTTAATGATGGCGAAGACGAATTCAGCCTCACCATAGCCCTTGACGCCAAATAAATTGATCGCAACAACGGCAATCAAGAATATGGTGACGAAGATTGCCTTGTTTAAGTCGGGGTTCCAATACGTTATGGTGATAGAGGCCGCTATGATTTCAAGTGGCAGCGCGACTAGCCATTGCAGGGCGTAACTAATAGATAATGTAAGCCGCTTCCAAGCAAAGAGGCGAAAATGAGACATACTTCCAGCCCATGGCAAATCCCCAAGAAGGGTCTAGAAAGCGGGTGGAATAGGCGGAGAAGGACCCTGCAACCGGGAAACAGACGGCAAGCTCACCGAGGGCCTGGACGGTACAATATAACATACAACCTATGAAGAGATAGGCGACAAGCAACGAAGCCGGGCCACCAACTTCGAGGGCGCGTCCTGAGGCGACGAACAACCCGGTACCAATAGAACCCCCTATGGCTATCATCTGCAGATGGCGGCCTTTCAGCTTCCTCGCGAGATGCGACTGCGCAGTTTGTAAGTTGGCTAGCCGTACATCGTAGGAGTGCGGCCGCGGCGACCCGTTACTGCCAAGTATGGGACGGTGCAGCTGGGCGACTTCGGCGGCGTGGATCTCATCTAGAGGATCCTCTGGGGTGATGCGCTGGTTTGGATCTCGTCGGAACCCGTCGACTAGGCGATCGAAGAATCGCGGTGGAGACGTCTCTTCGTATAAGGGCTCGCGCATAGTATAACTACTTCCTTGCGCGAGAGAGTCCTCTTTAATGGGAAAAATGTTCATCTCGATATCGTGATTAGATGGTGGCATGGTGGGTTCATCGGGAATCCGCCGCTAGGGCGGGGCCAGTGCCAGTTGGCGATCGGGAAGGGAGGGATAGGGCGACGAGAGTTGGGCTATATGTATATGATATTTCATGCGACGTACGATCTATTGAGAGAATATTGGATATCAATTGTCACGTATAAATATGTTGGTAACGTGAAGAGAGTCCGGAGAGAAAGTTCGCAAAGGGTCGCGTGGGGTTTAGGTCGAATCCATGGATATTGATAAACTCTAATAAGACCTGGCTGCTCTGGCTTATCGGCTTTGGTAGCTAAACCACGTCGGGTAGGTACTACATTATGTATTATGTATAATATGTAGGTACATACGTAGGTACTAGGTAGTGATGTGGGATGTGAGATGTGGGATAGATAGAGGACCCTGGAGGTATGTAATGTGCATGAACCACTTTTAATAGATCGAATCTGTAGGTAATACCTTGTAGATCTAGTAATAAATGGGTCTTCGTGTAGGTCCATAAGATCCACTCTGATAGGTCTATGGATACTTATGTACCCACTTTACTTGCTCTTTTTCTTGATACTAAAAGCAATATCGAATCACAGTCATTTTATCTAATGAGACCTGACGTAAGGCAAAGTTTATACATATTCTATTGTGCCATATATACCATGCGGCAAAATAGAAAAGGATAGATAAAACAAATCCATTCCACATCCTACCCCTCCTCCTCCCTCTCTCTCCCAAGAGTAACAATACGCCAACAATGCTCCTGGAAATAGGTAAGTAGTAAGTAGAGACGATACCATACGCATGCTCAATGTTTTGTAACTCATCTAATTATCTTTCCATCCGAATCCCTCGGTTTTCTCTTCCACCCGGTCGAGAAGAGCTGGCCCATGTCGAACCGCGGAAGAGGATGTGCTTCGGTGTTGATAACAATTTTATCCAACGGAAGGAGATCGTCTGACGAGAATAAGAGATAGAAATATTTCAATGTTTCCGCCTTAAAAAAAGAGGTTAGCGCACGTAGATGTGACCATTAATGTAATAGGTAGGAGTTAGGGGAAAGGGGAAAGGGGAAAGGAGGGAGGTAAGCAAGTAGAACATACTAGCCAAAAGCTCTCCATGTTATCTCGCATCACAGGTGGAACTTTATTCGCGTTCGATAGGCTCGAGAACCCACCACCATCTTGGACAGCGGTATGGTTCATAAATGACTTAAACATCTCCCATCCCCATTCTCGGTATTTTATATCACCAGTGATCCTCCACATATAAAAAAGACTTTCTACGGTCTCTGGTCGCTGTAGGTTATGGGTGTCCATCGAGTGGACCGTGAAGTCTTTCCGCCACCGCGCCTCAGGATCCTCGTTGAATTCGGCCGGCGGCTTGTGAGGGGCGGATTCGGGAAGAGGGGGTGTAGCGATGTTAAAGTATGTGATCTCCGCCGCGAGACCGGTAGCCATCCATTTATACATGCCCCAGCACGTCTGCATCAACTCCCTTGCTAATTGCATGTCGGCCTCGTTCTTGTTCGTCCACGTTGGCTGCTTCTTGGCTTCTGCCTCTGTCAAGCCGCCTGTTGCAGCAAGAGCAATAGTGCCAGGCATGAAACAGACCAAGTGATCCATCTTGGGTGACAAAGGACCCTTCAGGCCATCAGGCCGTTCACCAATTATCGTAAATTCGGAGGGCTCCGTGTAGGTAATGAGATGCTTGCGAACCCCTCGCAGAGACTCGTCCCACATCTCCAAATAAACCAGTTCCTGCTTGTTTGTCTGCAGGTATTGCTTGATGAGATACTCATAATAAGAGTCCCCACGGCTTCCCAGTCGGATGTTGTGACCTCTAAAAGTGCCGTCATTGGCATAGATATAGATGGGAACCAAGCCATCTTCGACGCCATTATTATCGACAACCTCCATCACCTTCTCGGCTTTGTCCCAGAAGTATTTCTCACCGGTCAACTTAGCAAGGTATTTGAACTCTAGTTGCAGGGTGGTCGTCTCGGCAGTAGATGAGGCACCGCCCTCATCGTGGGCTGGTAAGCCTTCATACTTGCCCAGGTTCACGCTTGCGTAAGGGACACCCGATGGCGAATCAAAGGCGGTCACGAGCCGATCGGCCAGGTCCTTTGCCTTTTCAAGATAGAGATCCTCCCCGGGCGCACCTGGATCGTCCTCGGCCAATGGTGCCAGCTCAGGGAACTCATTTGAGAGATAGTGAGCCGAGAGGAGACCGCCAAGCATACGAATTGTCGTCTCGAAAGTGCTAACATCCTGATCCTGATCATATGACAGAGTCGAGATCCACTGCCTCGCGTGGGAGACCCGGGACGTAAGGTTCATTAAAATCATAGTGTCCAGCGCATCCACGATAATCCAGCCCATCCCCTGAGGAGCCATCTGCTCACCTTTCTTAGATATTGGATGAAACGCGTCGTAGCCTAGTAAGGGAGTTAGCACATACGTCCATAGAGTGCGGCTGACAACTTAAGAATCGAGTCTCTCACCCCAGGCGTATCGTTCATAGGCATCCCAACTCAAAGTAAAGGCTTCTACGACACGATCTCTCCTCTTGGTCCAGTCAGCGATCTTTCCTGATTCGGAGCCAGATGTAAGCCAGGACCATATAGGGGTCGAAGAGACGGCGGTGTCATGGTGGCGACCGAAAGCACCGAAATAGTACAAAAGCGAGAACAGTAAAAGAACCGAGCCAAGAACTCGCTTTCTCCGCCAGATGGGTCTGGCTCGCTGGGATGGCGGGTAGGCATATGGCTTGTCTTTATACATGGGGAGAGTGTTCTTGTCATCAAACAGGCTCCCAACACGTTCCTGCACCTCCCCAAGTATCCCCGAGTTTTTATTTGTATGTGACGAACCCTTTCCGCCTCGCGCAGTTACCGCTGTGTTGCCCCAAGCACGGTCCTCCATCATCCTCTGGGGATTTCCGAACGAGGGAACATTTTTGGGAACGGAAAATGACATGTCAAACTCGTCAACAGCCTGCTTGCTTTTCTCAATAGCATGGATACTGGCCTCGACGGCGCGCTCGGTAAGGTCGATGGCAGCACGAGATGCGGTAGTTTTAAGGATGGATAAAGCACTCTTTCGATGGATACCAAAAGGATCGCGTACGTTCATGGAGCAAGAGGAAGAAGGCGTAGAAATTGACAAAGAACTACCATAGGAGTTGTTTGCTATAATGATTCGCTTCGTCTCCCTCTTCTCTTTTCGGGGCGAGATTCGTGTGCGAAGAAAATACAGCAGGGTATTCGCGGGACGCTGCGGTGCTCGAGGAATTTAAAGATATGGATCTGAACGATGACAAAATCGCATATGTTGTAATTAACAACCTCCTCTCTCTTCTTCTTCTTCTTCTTCTTCTTCTCTCTCTCTCTCTCTCTCACCGTGCTGCCCCTTGAAATTCTCCCTTGAAGGATTTCCTGGTCAGCTCTTGGTCTTTGGTGAGAAAGAGAGGACAATTAAGGTGACATACTTAGCTACCAAATGTCAAATATGTGTTCATATGCAAGCACCGATTGAGGACACTGTACTACTGCTGCCGGTTTCTGTGAGATGCAGGGATTAAAGTTCTATTGAACCTGCTGCCGCCTATCCGATAAGTACCCCGACTTGCTACTAGCGTTTGAACTTTTAACTTTAAGTACTTCCAAGTTGCATACCAGGTTTATGTTATTAACCCCTCTGCAGATTATTATTACCTACCTAGTAGGTACATCCCACTATCCACATGTACCTACGACTCTACATTTTATTTAATACATGCCTATGTAGTTATCTCTATATCACATGAAGCTTGTTTATTGTCTAAGTTCACGAGGAAAGTAAAGAAAAGAACACACACCAAAAAAAGAAGAAATTCATGATTCTCAGTTTAATTTTAAGAGAAATCAATTATTTTCGCTCCGTCCTCAAGTCCAAACCTCCGTTCTTGAATTTCTTTGTTACAGGCTCTCATTACACGGAGGCCTACGTCTTGTTAATACATAAAATACCCCTTCAGTTTCTAGGGTAGCTAATCGCCATGGACATAGACATGGATCGTCCGAGTACTCATCGTTCAAATTATGAGTGCTATCCGTACCTTTCCAAGGAAGAATTTGCTGAAGTGTGCCATTACCTCGATAGGAAATACTGTCAAGCTGAGCTGGGACCTTTGCGAAGACAATGGCGCCTCCATGTTCATACGGCGCTCGAGCTGTCATTTGACGCAGGGCCGGACCGCACAACATTCTTACAGATAACCAGGCCCTTGGAGGATAGAAAGCTTGCCGAAGATGATCTTGCTGCAAAGTTAGGAGACGTCTCTTTGGGCGAAGATCAAGAATCATGCATGCAGGTAGCCGCCGACAGTGTCATGGCTGACATGGAAAATTCAGATAAGGTCGATCGAACCATCTCGACTAGTTTACATCACATAGAACACTAGTCACTGATATACTTGCAGGAGATCCTCTCCAGACCGCCGACCCGACCAAACTTCCGAGTCAGCCATGTCAAGTATGAGATACATCTCCACCCAACGTATCGTGCACCCTGCCTCTGGTTCAGCCTACATAACCTGCCAGCCATCGAACCAGCATTCGATATCGAGACTGTTTTCCGCCGTATTGTTCCAGAGCAGTACAAGAATCCTCTTCGGCAAATGGGCCCTATAGGTGGCATCTCAATCGATGTGGGTAATTCCCCTGCGCTGTTTAACGAGTCAATTGCCTGTATCTCATGCTGGGTATTTTATTATCTCTACCTTATGACTAAATGTGATGTCTATAGCATCACCCCATCACCGGGCTCCCTTCGTTCTTCGTCCACCCATGCGTCCTCGGAGACGCTATGATGGGATTTGACTGCTCCAAAGAAGACTACCTTATGGTATGGCTTGGTTTGGTGGGTGGGTGCGTTGGACTCTGGGTTCCTCGGCAAATGGCCATGGCCAATGGAGGATGAGCTCTCAGATAGAAGGCTGAAAACAGCGCAGCACACATCCCGAAATCTGATAATGGACGACGAAGCCTTGAATAAAGGGGCCTATTTGACAGACAGTATAAAAAGTCTTCATTCGTCATCGCTGTCTTCTTCCATTGCCACATCCTCGTCACTTTCTTCTTCCTCCTCCTCTTCATCGCGAGGCCGCTTTTGTCCTCGTGCGTCGGGATTCTTCGCGTCCGTCATAACTTGGTCGGAACCTCGGGCCGGCTTCGAGTTTAGATTAGAAGGGGTAGAAATCGTTGCTGTCGGGCCTGTAGTGGTGGAGGTCCCATGTGCTGGAGCATTGAAAATGCTCTGCTGAGCTTCGGTCATCTCGACGTTGGCGGCGGATGACCCCGGAAGCTTGTATGTACCATCCAGCTTCGCGATCACGTCGGACTTTGATTTCGCGTACTGGAGGTGCTGTAGGAGGTGGACATTAGTTAGATAAATTCAAGATAGATAGACACGAGAAAGCATCTGTATCACGTACTAGCTCCGCGCCTAAGAATTTGAAACCCTCTAAGGATCGTAATGCCTGAGTTGCTGCTTGAAGATCACGAAAGACGATATGAGCTTGACCACGCATTTTCATCGTCTTCAGGGCTACGACATCGAGGACTGGACCGTAAGTTGAAAAAAGCATATAAAGAGCCGTTTTTAGGTCTGCCTTATTTATCTTGCTCGATGGTAAGTTCGTAACATATAATCTGAGAAGAATATAAATTTTAGCCAGAGTATGCCGACCGATCGCGAAATGTTAAGCCTACGTTTGATTTGGTGGAATGGATGGTATCTTGACTCCAGCCCTCGAGGTTTGACCTCTTGAGGCAGTTGTAGTAGTGGTCATGGTGATAAAGGTAAGCCTGGTAAATCCAATAGGAAAGGTAGGTAATTGTTAGATTTGTTGCGTTGCTAACGTCATTAGCATCATTCTCGTAGCTGGTGAGGCTTGATTTAAAAAGTGTGTGCGATGGTCGCGTCGAGATGATAGGTAATGCTGTACAGAGTAGGTATCGTCCTGTCCTGTCCGTTTTACACCGGGTCCTTCCAAAAGTTCCGCCGGCTGGCGGGTTAACCATTGGAGTTAAAAAAAAAAAGCCACAGATGGTACTCTGTACAATATAATACATGTAAGTACGGTACCTACCTAGGTACCTAGTATTCATGGGTGGATACCTAGGCGGGGTATTGTGGCTCGTTCAGTGACGCATGCAGGACCCAGGTACCTACCACTAGGTAAAATACACTGTAAACCTTACCTGAATTAGACCATCATCGAACTTCCATCCACCTCTTTTCTCACTTCTCCCCTATCCCTCACAGATTCATGTGAACCTTGATGTGGTAGTAGAGAGCTATACTCCTATCACCTGTATCAATTTAACAGAAACAGAGAGTAAATTTGAAAGAGACAAAGGAGGAGATCATCAATATGGCCGACCCCGAGGTTCATCATCTCTTCCACCGCCCCATTGCCGACCATTCGTTCTCGGCCGATCGGAAGACTTTGGCTGTAGCTAAGGACTCTACAATCGAGCTTTATGGCAGAGTTGGCAATTCCTTCAAGCTGAAAGATGAACTAAAAGGCCATGACAAAACTATCACCAGCGTCGATATCGCTCCGGGTAGTGGTCGAATCGTTACCTGTTCTCAAGGTTTGTATGATCTCAGGCGCATCCTTCCAAGTTTCTATTCTAATATATCCGTATAGACCGGAACGCCTTGGTCTGGGAGCCTTCCCCTTCAGGCTATAAGCCTACTCTGGTGCTCCTTAGAATTGCTCGGGCCGCCACGTTCGTTCGTTGGTCTCCATCCGAGACCAAGTTCGCTGTGGGGTCTGGCGATAGGGTCATCGCGATCTGTTATTTCGAAGAAGAGAACGACTGGTGGGTCTCCAAGCATCTCAAAAAGCCCATCCGGAGCACCATCACCACCGTCAACTGGCATCCTAACTCGGTCTTGCTCGCTGCCGGCTCTACCGACGCCCACGCAAGAGTCTTCTCAAGCTTCATCAAGGGGGTTGACGCTCGTCCAGAGCCTAGTGTTTGGGGTGAGCGCCTGCCCTTCAACACCGTCTGTGGTGAATTTCTTAACAATTCCGCGGGATGGGTTCATTCTGTCGCTTTCTCTCCAAGTGGCGACGCCCTCGCCTTCACTGCCCATGACAGCAGCATTACTATCGTTTACCCGACCGCCCCTGAGCAGCCTCCGAGGGCTGTCATTAGCGTCAATACTCAACTCCTACCTTTCATGAGCCTGATTTGGAATGGTGAAAGTGAGATAATCGCAGCTGGATACGACTGCGAGGCCTTCAGATTCAGAGGCGATGCATCTGGTTGGCAGCTAAGCGGTACGCTGGAATCCAAGGGGAGACCTGGTTCGGGAGATGCTCGAGAAGAATCTGCCTTGAATATGTTCCGGCAGATGGACTTGAAAGGCAAGGTCAAAGATGACACTCAGCTAAAGACCGTCCATCAGAATACTATCTCGACAGTACGTGTTTACGAGTCCAACGGCGCGCAAGTCACAAAATTTAGCAGTAAGTTATCATCTAGCCTCGCTCCGAGACCCGAGACCTTTCGTTCAGTTGCATCAGGAAGCTAATGGTATACGAAGCGAGCGGTGTTGACGGTAGGATTGTTATCTGGCACGTGTAGGTTAAAGGATAGTACCTAGGTAAACACGACGATCAACTTAGCATATCTTAGCATACTCTGTATTTTTTTGGTCCACATTACCAAAAGTTTCTCTATGCTTCTGTTCTTGCAATCTACCTAAATAATCCCTTATTTGTATAAGCCTCTAGAAATTTGCGACCTATACCTTTTCCATCGTCTACGTGCCTGGCATATTATTAATATGAACACAACACTCCCCTCTCCAATTGTGCTCCTTGCCTAGTAGATTACTTGCTCCTGGAATCTAACCATGTAGAAATTCGTAAAATCACTTAGCCATTTCATCTATCGGAGTCGATATTCCCCTTCTCGTCCGGCCAAAGTAGAGCATGATTCTAAAAATGGGAACAGTACCGGAGCAGGTGCCGACATCAAAAATAATAGAAGTACACATGGTAGCGATTCCTGTTCCATCCCGCCCTCGACAAATATCGCTTCTCAAGAACACCAGCAGCATCTGCAACATGATCTATGCCGGCTCTCAGCGTGACAGGTTAGATGTCCTAAACGTCGAAGAGTAGCATGACACATTCTGGGGTTCTGATTGGATACTCTACGATTAGAACATCAGATGAATATTCAAGATAGGCACAGCGTAACATAAGAGTGGTCGTCGTATTAAAATATGTATGTGCGTACCCATGTTTTATCGTACTGAACCATGTGTTAAACCTTTATATATAACCTTTCTCGTTAAACATCATGCTATCGGTATCGGACTTGCTGCCCAATGCTCAAGTTTGGCGGAGCGGCTGGATACCTCGGGTCGTAGTCTTCGTAGCTGACAAGGCTATCTCTTGGGAGTGATTCATGAGGCCTCTTACCCAGGTCCGCCGGTCGAGCGCCGTTTTCACGAAGTTGTTCCATATGAGCTTCGATTCCCGATGTAGGCCCATGCTCTAGTTGCCCGCTAGAGTACGCACCATTCTCGTGCGGCTTGTACTGGAGCGCGGAGTCTCCGTACGATGCATGGCCATCCTGGTAAACAGGCTGACGCTCAAGTTTGACCGGCCGCCTAATAAAGTACTCGCCTCGAGAATCTCGCATCCGGATGAGTTCATAAGTTTCAGCAGATTCGGGAGTAGGTCGGCACTTTCGGCGATCATCGGTATATTCCTGATAGTATTCCTGGTGTGGTGGTTGATCATACGTCCTAATTGAAATAGTTCGTGCTGATGGGTCAGGATGAGAGCTGGGGCATTTTTCTCCATACTGGTCAAAATAGTGCTCGGTTCTGTGCCGAACATATACGGGAGACTCCAGGCGAATTTGATCATAAGATAGCTTCTCGCCATGACTGGGATGTTGAGGGCTAACATATCGTTCATAGGAATGATCTTCATGATTAACGCCACGAGTAGGTTTCGGTCGATAGTCAATATATTTAGATGATACTTGCTGCCGATTTAGTTGACTTTCAAGGCCGGCCATCAGGTCATCCTCCTCCCATTCTTGGGCAGTTTCTGGTTGTCGATGGCTTTGGTTGTGCGTCGGGGATCTAATAACTCGAGTCGTCTGGATATAGGAACTTCCAGGATGTTCTGTTTCAAAGGCCGCTATCGAAAAAGGAGGCTCTTCCGCTTTGATTAAGTGCTGATTTAGGGAAGCAAGACGGGCCGTTTCTCTACGATCTGCAGCCCACATAGCTCGAATCTCCTCCTCCTGGCGGCGATTTTCTTCTGCCACCAGATCTCCTTCATTAGGCTCTTGGGATTTAGCTTTAGTTGACCCAGCTGCTAGGCCGTTCTTGCGGCCCATGAAGCCCTGACTTGGAGTACTTCGGTGATCTCTGGAGTGGTTCCCCTTCTGTTTTCTCGATCTTGCCCCGCCAGAACCCTGCCACGTTTCGGATAATTCCCGACCCGAGTCGTCCTGTTGGGGCCCTTGATGAGCTATCAACTTAGAAGTAATCAATGAATTGGTCTGATCGGGGCGTGGTTTTTGACCTGGTATGCTTGCTCGTGTTGGATCTTGCCCGTGGGGAGTAGCTGAGTCATGCCTAACTACGATACGTAACGATGAATGCTCATGATCAGAAGAAAGTTGAGGGGTGAAGGTGCTATAAGTAGAGCTTTGATTAGCATAATTGGCTACGGGATCGGGCTCGATTCTCTGAAATGTAGCGCTAGTCATGTCTTGTAAGAAATCATCGACATGCGGTGCTGGTGGGAAAGCATTTGAAACGAGTAGAAATTTCTGGCTATCCATATTCGCTAAATTGCGGAGGCGAGACAAAATAGATAGGTCTGGTGTATGCACCATATTGTTTGTCCAGTCGAGGGAGGGTGAGGCAGGCGTTCGAGGTTGATCTACGTGTGCTTGCTGGAAATGGTTCACTAATTGCGGCAAAGAAAATGTTCTGCTGCCCTTATCCGCCCACGGCTCGCCCCCAATACCAAGACAGCACGCCTTGCACATAAGACCGTTGACATTGCGTACTGGACGCATTTCCTTATTATTCGAGAGACCATCAATAAACATAGTTAAGGGTGGGCTTTCGAAAAATCTAGATCGGAATCTTTGTACAACGTGATAGATGACAACGCACACTCGGATCGCACCTGGAAGTTCTTTTAGGCCAGCTGTGGAGGTCCATAGCTCACGCGAACTTCGTGCCAGGTATCCAAGTTGGGTGGGGTATTTGCTAGTAAAGGAGTTGCTGTGGGAAGTTTGGAAGTTTACTTCAGGATTGTTTGATGACGAATTGAAATTATGGCCATAATATGAGTCCGTGGGGGGAAACGCCGCGGGCCCACCATGGATTGAAGAAGAAAAGGATACTTCTGAGTTGGAGTAAACTGCTGTACGCGGATCATATGGAGATGGATGAGGTGGATACGAAGAGCTATAGTCATGCTGCCCTGCGATGTGGGCATTTCCCTGCTTGTGTAGAACTAGCTGTTGTGCTGTAGATCCATACATTGGATGCCCATAACCCGGCGGAGGGATACTGAAGTACGGGGATTGTTGGAATGATGTCGGATTTGGGGCTGCGGGGTAGATGCTGGCGTTGTGGTGATGGATACTAGCATGATTTGGAGGCTGTAAAGACCCATATGACGACCTGGATGGTGGTTGTTGGGGCGGATCTGGTCTGAATGGCGGAGTCTCTGGCCATTCGGCTCTCCAATGGACAACAACGCTCCCTAAGCTGAGAGAATTGCTGTGCTTGGCAGCATAGTGTTGGATAACCCCTTCGAAACCAAAAGCCTTGAAGTTGACATCGCAGCCGTTACAAAAGAAAAGTTCTTTTCTATGAGACTCTGTGTGAGTCTTGATCTTTACATCAAATAGCCACTTCATGTTTTCAAGGGTGAGCTTTTGCGTAAATGGTCCTTCTGCAGGATCCTCGACTGGTATTTTTCCGGCAGCACGTATCTCGGAAGACTCCTTTGCAATTTCCGCATAAAATCTCATACGGACATGCAGAAGAACCTCTACTGCAAATTGCGGGCTATTCTCCGTATCAACCTTACGCCCATCATCCCAGCTACCCTGGATGACCTCATCTGCATATGCAGAAATCCGTGCACGTAACGGCGTTTGAATATCATCCCAAGCCTTGTCGATAAGCTGTTTAGCAGCTATACTATTCTCCTCCGTGTGGCGGCGACCCTCGGACCGTTCGGGGGCAATACGAGACTGGGGAGCACTGTCTTCACGTTTCTCGAGCACTTCCGCATCTGTCCTCTGGGCAAGCAAGCGAGGTTTGAGCATCTCCCATGCGTTGTCATCGAGAGGTGAGATGATTTGGATGGCAGCCTGGAAGGAAGGGATGTGTATTAATATATTTGCTGGCAATGGTGGATTAAGCTCCATCGCACGGCGTTCAATTTCTGCGCGGCGAATAGCCTTAAGCTCCAGGGCCTCCTCGCGAGTTCGGGTACGGGGGGCATTGGACTGATTGCTGAGTTGGGTCGAGGTTTGTACCCAAGCCACGGAATTATTTTCTACTAGGTTAGGTTAGTTATGGTTAAGGGAACTTGGCGAATGCTGCTTACGGATGGAAGTTTCAAGAGAGGTGTATGTGGGCTGAGATGTTGTTAAGATAGGAGCAACATGACATAAATCGGGCGTGTGTTGCCTAGGAGTATTGGTTGGACTTGAGTGCGATCTAGGAGCTGAAGGTACGACGTCTAGTGAGGCCGAACCCTTACTATTTGAGATAGCAATGCCTTGAATGCTATCAGGGGTGAGCTGAGTTTGCATCTGAGTAACTCCCCCGGTCGACATCCATTTCTCCCATCTCATTAGGTCGTTGAAAAGCTCCTTTCCTCGGGCCTCCAAACCTTTCAACCATTCCTCGGCTGTTGCTCCGCCCATCGATTTGACGGATAGGAACTCACATTTCAATCTTTCTACTTGCTCGGGGAGGTATATCTTTGTGACTTGCAAATCTGGTAGGACTAAGCCTTTCTGGAGTGCATCTGGTGATACAATGTGCATCTTATTGGTGACTAGCACGAAAGGCAGCGCTGATATTAATAAGGAGGGTATCGAGGAAGAAAGTAGCAAGTCGATTTCCTTGTCAAATGGTAAGATGATTTCCTCTTAGCTAGAATTCGAGATCCACATACCTTAGTCGTCTTCTCTATAAGACAAGGCCCACAGCTATGAAGCGCAAATGCCCAAACAGGCTGACTGCCATCACGGTGTGGGCTATCAGGCAAGTCTGATGAGACAGAACCTGCTTTGTCACAATACTGGCACATCTTTCCACAAGCAAGGCGCCACATATCAAGCTCTGTCTTCTCCTTCAGTGGCGCTGGCATCCTGGGCCAGAAGCGCCTCCTTGAAAATTGCCATATGGCATCAGGCTTTAAAGGCGAGACAGAAGTATAGGAGTTGGATGATGGGGGTTTACACTGGTAGCGAGACGAAGGGTCCAGGTAAGCGTTAAACAATTTGTTGGTACACAACAAATTACCTAGCGCCCTAGGAGGCGTAAAAGAAAAGATACGATGCCAAATCTCAGCAGGGAGTAGAGATTTGTCTGAAGGATACGTAGCTGTAGATCGCGGCTGTTCATAGCCCTCTCTATTTAGCTTCACCTTTTTAGTTGAAATCACCGTGCAGCTCGGTATATTAATGCGTTCAACCGATTTGCGTTTCTTGGAGATGACTGGATCTTGCTGGACGGACAATAACGGTTGGATCGGAAGATGCTCGTTACCAGTCGAAATTAAAGGGTTGTACTCGCCGTCGCTGTCAGAGTCGGACATAGAAATATCAGACGACGACTGCGATTCCTCACTACTACAATCGAGGGGGATCTCATCATCTTCGGTAGATAGCGGAGTTGGGTTATGATGAGTCCCCCCTGCTCGCAAGCTAGATGGTGTCTTGAGAGGATTATTAAGTCCTCTATTGGAGTCCATTTCCTTTCGACGGGGGTGGCTGACAAACTTGCTGCAGTTAAGAGAAAGGAAATCATCACCTAACGTGATTGGTATCAGATTGTACTTAAGCTGATGACCGAGCAGCGGTTTAAACAGAGGGAAATGAACACTTGTCACGAAACGATTGAGACAGGTCGGTGAGTAAACTTAAAAGGAGTCACCTTTTATGTAACTATTGATATCCTCTCAAGGCTCGTCACACTTTCGAACGAAAATGTGGCTCCTTCAGATACCTATGAGAGTGTAAAGGGGAGTGTAAAGGGGAGTGACAGTGGGAGTGACAGGGGAATCGACACTGCAAAATGCGATAAGAATATCAATTTGACAGGATTGTGAAGGTTTCAGCCAGAGATATATCCTAGGACAGGATAAAAACATTGGACAAAGTTTGGGGATGAGAATACGCGGTGAGTTGCCGAGGGCGCCTTGCCATGCTTTTTGAATATAGAAATTGAAAGATGTATGAGCTACTGAAGAGCGGGTTCATGAGAATGGATGTGAGAAACAGGCGAAAGTAGAGTGGACCATAAGGCCGAATCCGCCAAACCGCCAATTCAATTAATGTATTGAAATGTATACAGTATAATACAGTACAATAACGTACAGTCTGATACATATTTTACACAGTGTCCTGAATCTTACAGGGGGTTATAGCGGTGCAGAGCGCTAAAAGCCCCTGTAACTTATAGGTGGTTTCACAGGTACATGAAAAGCCCTAAAGCTAGCGCTAGAGCCTTCTAAGGTTATTATTAATATTTCAACCTTTTCGAAATGAATTAAATCAATTGATTGATCTGATTCAATCAATTGATTCGATTCAGTTGAATGCGTACTTATTAATAGGTAGGTAAATAAGGATATACGCGTAATAGTTCAAACCGAGGGGTGTCACGTGACACCCCGCCGAGCCTTATCGGGTAAATGTCAACAGTGTATACTATAATTTTAATTGAAATTTAACATATGAAAACTGATCTGACATTAGTAAAATGTATATATATTAAAAGGCCTTTTAAAGCGCTTTCGAATGAATCTATTATATTTGCGAGCGATCCAATATTGAAGCGTATAGATGTATCCGAATTATGGGCTATATACTTAGGTATTTACTTAGGTGCTTATAAAAAGGTGATGCGTTATAACCCTTATAAGTTACAGGGCTTTCAGCGCCTTGTAGCGCTAAAATCCACTGTAAGATTCAGAACACTGTGTAAAATATGTATCAGACTGTACGTTATTGTACTGTATTATACTGTATACATTTTAATACATTAATTGAATTGGCGGTTTGGCGGATTTGTTCTTATGGTCCGCCGTCGAAAGTAATGTCCACAATCAAGATTCAGTAGATAAGTACTAGGTACGTATTAACAAGGTACCTAACTCATAGAAAGTTCAAGGTTAAAGAGTTGGAAGAATGAAATACTACTAGGTACATGTATGGATGAATTCAAGGTTCAATTTGATACTGGGCTAAGGGTACCACAGTACGTAGGACAGTGGGTAGAGTTTCCAATTCAGTATTAGCGTTTAACCCTGTAGCCTTGGGAAGCCCCTATGCCAAAAATGTACTATCTATAATAATAATGAATGCCCCTCCCCCACCATATATACCATTTTGACCATCCTGACCATCCAAGATTGACATCTATTTTTTTTTCTTATTTACCTACGCAAGCACCCAAGGTATGCACATTGGCTTGCATTGCGCCTAGGATCAGCAAAGCTAGGTTTATAGGTTTCGTTACATTCGCTCCTTCTCTCACGCATCCAAATTCTTGTCACGAGATGGCTACGTCCGGCAAAACATTCTCCCTCGAAGGGAGGGCCCTAAAGTTGGACACAGCCCAAGACCTTGAATCCTATATAGGGCCACTACGGGCTATGGATGATGTCGAGGAGGTACGCATTCTCGGGAACACGTTAGGTGTTGAGGCCTGCAAGCTTCTGGGAGAAGTCTTGGCCACGAAGAAGTCTCTGAAGGTAAGCTCAATACAGATTTGTAACGCTGATGCTGGCGCAAAGAACGGAAGGAGGGGGACTTTGCTAACGGTTTGTTTACACAGGTCGCAAATCTGGCTGACATATTTACTGGTCGCCTACTAAACGAGATCCCCGAGGCGCTTTCGTCTCTACTCACGTCTATCCTTAACCTGCCTAACCTCCGTACCATAAATCTAAACGATAATGCATTCGGCCTCAACACTCAGGCGCCTTTAGTCGCTTTCTTGTCCAGCCATGTCCCACTCCAGCACCTGTACCTCAACAATAACGGATTGGGACCCCATGCGGGTATACTTGTCGCCGATGCACTTTCGACACTCCATGCAAAGAAGGAAGAAGCCAGAAAGGCCGGACAGGAAATCCCCTATCTGGAGACCGTCATCTGTGGTCGTAATCGATTGGAGAATGGAAGTATGCTTGCTTGGGCTAAGGCCTTCAGTCTTCATAACAAGGTTAAGGAAGTGAAGATGGTTCAAAATGGCATTCGACAAGAAGGAATTGAACAATTACTCACCGCCGGCTTGAATTGTACTACTGAGCTCAGGATTCTAGATTTACAAGACAATACTTTCACGTACAAGGGCGCAAGAGCACTGGCGAAAGTTGTCCCACTTTGGGCGGAAATACAAGATCTCGGCGTCGGCGACTCATTACTCAGTGCTAAGGGTAGTGTCCTAGTTGCTAACGCCCTTGGTAGGGGTCGAAACCGAAAGCTGGAAACACTCCGCCTACAGTACAACGATATTACATCTATGGGAGTCAAAGGGTTTGCATCCGCGGCGAAGGACGGCTTGCCGTCTCTAAAGAGAATTGAACTCAATGGCAACAAGTTCTCGGAGGATGACGAATCCATCTTGGCTCTTCAAGCGCTCCTAGATGAACGAAAGGAGAAATATGGCGGAGATATTGTTGATGAAGACGCTTGGGGTGTCGATGACTTGAGCGACCTCGAGGAATTAGATTCGGACGATGAGGGTGAGGATGAGGATGAGGATGGGGAAGAGGAAGAGATATCTTCTGAGACGGCCGAGAAGTTGGTTAAAGAGGCTGAGGAAGCCCAAGAGCAACCTACTGCCCAGCTTAAGGACGACGAGATCGTTGCTCTCGCTGAGAAGCTAGAACGTACTGGAATCTAGACAATCGCATACCACGACACGGTTCACGAATTTTCGAGCATTGGACGGAGATAATGGGACGACGATACCCCGGTCTTAGATAGTCGGCAGTCTACATTCCCCCATAGGCCGTAAACTGATATTGATTTCTCCAATGAAAAAAAAATGGCATAAAAAAGGCATGCCTACATGATCTGAATAATACTATATATTTCTCTCGGTCGCTTGGTCTCGCGCTACTAAATTACCCTCCATATGCGTAGCGTTACACATAGATAAGCTGACCGTGCCGTTTCAAGAATTGTTCGACCCATAGAAGTCGAGATAAAAATAGTACGACCACGTGCCAACTAAATCGAAAAGAGAATCGTTGGCTATGATGATAAGAGAGTGATGCTGGTAAATATACTAGATACGCAAGAGTAGCATAATTGCGCCATATGTACAAAAAGGTGCGCCGCCGAGTGTTCTAATACCTCGATCTCATCCGCTTATAGCGACACGAGAGCGCTGAGCGAATAAGTAACAAGCAACCCTTGGACAAGTTACCCCCGTCTCTATCGTACAGATAGCAAGCCATACATTGCATCCTCTCTATGTGAAAATCTAACCATTTCCTAGGTAAGATACTCCTGGTTTCTAGTACAAGGTGACGAGTCATGATGTCCTATTATAACACCTCGCCAATAATCTTGGCTGCTTCTCGGTAAGTTTGAAGCAATTTTTCACATTTTTCTCGCTCCTTCTTGACGGCGTCATCTTCGTAAAGAAGCTCTTCAAAGAGAGTCTCCTTGTATAACTCGCTGACGAGCCTGTTCTGTACGACATCTTTACAATGATTGACAAGGAGATGCATGACAGCCTTCGGGACTTGATCGGCGATAGATTCGCGGACAATATTGAAATATGAAGATATCAAAGCTCGGATCAGCTCCGTCTCCATTGCCTCGCGGTCACTCATGGCAGGTTCCACGTTGTCGCCCTAGAAGTTATAGGTTAGTCGAAGATGGCCAAGTTTCGAGAGAAAATTCTTACCGGTTGCGGTCCAAAACCAAACCCAGCACCTTGAGGAATTTCTTCTTCGCGTATCAGTGACGACGACAACGCAGGCCGGTGAATTAACTTGTCTTCACTCCGCCGGATGCTTTGGCTGAAAGTGGGCTCTACACCTTGGCTGACATGGCGCGGAAGCGAAGAAGGAGCCCCGGCTCCCGGAGATTGCGCTGTGCCATCCTTGCCAAAGAAGTAATTCAAGAATGAATCACGAGCATTTCCGATTGCTTGGGGATTGAACCGGCTAGGTGAGTTTGAACGCACACCGTTCATAGTAGCGGCAATACTTGCAGTCCCATTCTGGCGAACAGCAGGCGACATGCTCCGAGATCCATTTGCAGCCGGCTTCCGCGGTTCAATAACATCGTTCCTTTCATGGATGGGATCATCTCCATTCTCTAGGGTGTCTGTCCCATTCGTGCCGAGTTCTTTAAGCCTCTTCTTTTCTCGTCGATCTCGTTCGTCCTGAATCAACTTCTTCCTCTCGCGTTCCTGCTTGTTCGTGACAACGTGGCTCATAGCGGCGGCCGCCCCTAGAAAATTTGGATGGTTTGTGTTAATGTATGCCCGCTGGATGGCGATCAGAGACTCCACATAAGACGACGCTGGTCCGAGCCGTTCTCGCAGAAGGTCTGACACGACTTCTATAAGCTTGGCTTGAAGCCTCGGGAAACGGGAAAGCTCTGTCGAGCCACATGTGTGACATATCTTGATTAACTCTTCATATACAAGCTCAACGCATCTCTGACTCGGGAGCTCGAGCATTTTTATTTGGGGCTTGACAAGCAGGTCGAAAGCCATTTCTGGCACGAACAAGCTTGGACGAGGACCTGTCGAGTTCCGAATAGCAGTTCTAATATCGACAGCGGAGAGGTTGGAGGTAGGATCAATCGACTCTAGTGCGCTGCCAAAGACCGAGTTGAATATATAATAGATCCGTGCACCCCCAGAAAGCTCTTTAGTTGATATCTCGGTGGACGTGCCATCAATGGATGAGATGAATGATGTGGCAAATCGGGTCATGAGCTGGAGAATCATGGAACCTCGGTGCTCTTTTCCGCTGAAGTGCATATCACCGTAGCTTGCAAGCTCCTGCTGGGTCTGTCCCATCAGTGTGTTGAGGCGTGCTTTGATATCTGGTAGACGCTCTCGAATATGTGACATGAGAGTCTGATTTAATGTCTTAGCTAGATATTGGGTTCCACATCGCATCGAGATGTTTCGATAGGCGGGGTGGTGTCGGAAAAATTCAGCCTCTGCTTTCAGGGCTTCCTCCATGGGCCGATTACCCTGTATATCTTGCTGAGATCGGTTAACAACCCCAATGAAACCTAACTTTAATGGATAAACGCGACCAGAAAGGATATCCAGCGCGTTTGTACCATGATCCATCAAGTCGACCTTGGTAAGAACGCCAATCGTCCGCCGACCCAAAGGATCAACATGTCTGGCGAGCTTGAGAGCCTCTGAGTTGACAATATCGACATTTGCAGGGGAGACGGCGAGGATGATGCTGTTGGGCTTGGCAATGTATTCTGAGATGAGGGTCCGGGTCTGCTTCTCAATATCGGCTGGTTGATCGCCAATTGGAACCTGTGGCGTACGAGTCAGCCACTGATGGGCGATTAGCCTGTCCAGGAAGGGGGAGAGCATACCTTGGTAAGTCCTGGTAGATCGACTAGAGTTAAGTTGAGAACATGCGGAGAGTATATTTTTAAGTTGATAGGCTGTCTGTTGATGCCCTTATTGCTACCGGCAACGCGCGAGGTCTCATTCTCAATCTCACGCTTTACGTCGCCAAAATCGGTAAATTTCCGACTGGGAATGTGGTGGAACTCTGCCCATTCGGAGCGGCGTGCTTGGGTAGGATTTCTATAAGCAGCGTGGAGGTCTGGTTCCGATTCATCCTCTTCTACGTTGATCAATTGTAGGATTAGGGGGCGTCGAGTTACGATACCGCTTCCTCGAGGCAAGAAATCGCGGCCAACAATATTCTCAAGCACGGAAGATTTGCCAGCAGATTGGGAACCGACGACAACCTATTTAGGGGCGACGAATGTAAGTAGCCGTGAGACTATGATACCATGATCAAAGAGAATAGGAATTGTTGTGTGTGAAGGCACAATTGACATACGATTTGAGGTAGGTCGAGAGAGTCCGTGCCGATGGTATTAAAAACCAAGTCTTGCAACTGGTTCACAATCCGCAACAAATCGTCTCCTAGGGCCGCCATCTTGGAGATGGATAGCTCTCACTCGACCACTATGATGAAACGATGATAAACAGAAAAGAAACTTGACTGTAGTTAGATATGTTTCCCCTCTTAGTCGTAACTCTTTTTGCCAGCAAAGAAAGCTGTTGGGCACCGGTTTTGGGGGTTTGTGTTTTCTAATCTCCTCGACGGGGAACTGGAAACTAGGAGCGGATAACGAGGATAGTAGTCGCAATTGGTAAAACAAGCTCTAAAGCTCGAGGATGTACAAAAAACCGCACAAATAATTTGGGATAGGTTTTGACTTTAATGAGGGAGAAAAATGGGATTATTGATGGGTTATCATAGTCCTAATGTGTGTAATGTGCAATGTGCAGAAGGTGTAAAGGACATAAAAAAGGACGAGTCTTAAAAAAAAAATATGGAAATGTCAAATGCTAAAAAAGTACTTTCAACAATAGCTGCAATGCCGCATACCAGACGTGTTATTGCATTCCTTGGGGGGTTTCCCGGGGAATTTTAACCGTATATGTACAGTATATATACGGCTCCAAATATGAGCGGTTCAATTAGGTTTATGGAACGTTGCGCGCAAAATTTTAGCTTCGGCTCCAGCCAATAATACGACTCAGCAAAGCTCGAACGCTCCAATTTCGGACTAGTTCAGGCTGATTAATCGTTTAAGATTTCGAACGCTCCAATAAAACTGAGCCGTAGATATACCCATTGAACCGTTCAGATTTTTGAGCCGCTAAGCAATTAAACGGCTCAATCGCCCCACCACCTGAATAAAAAGAAAAAGGAGATATTTCCAAGTACTACTCCCATACTATTTGTATGGGAGTAGTACTTAGAACTATTCATCAATCATTATTATTATATAATCACACAGTTCAATTGTACAGTTTTTGCAATTACTCACACTCGAACCATGGGCTTTACTAATTTTAATTGGATGAGCTACGGTCGCATTGCCACTTGACTAAGAAGATTACAAGGCTTATGAATTACGCGTAGATGAATAAGGTTCTGTTTTAGTATATGACCAACCTAGAAAGCGGGGGCTTTTAACCTAGAATGGCCCGTGCACGTGATCTTATTGCATTAACGGTTCGAAATTCGAGCGCTCAAATAGTTCGAGCGATTCAACCAAATTGAGCGATACTTGAGCTGTCTATATACGATTCAATTGGCTGAGCGAGGAAACAACGATTCAATTAGGTTAGCGTTGCCAAATTCATGAGCGCAATAGGAAAGAGCCGTATATTTGTGGATCAAAGTTTGAGCCAATCAAATTTCGAACGTTCGAATAAGGAGCTGTTTATTGCATTAAGCTGTATAGATACGGTGGGCATTTAATAAACGGAAAGGTAACGGTAAAGATAACCCCCCCCAAGGCGGTAAGGTTTCATGCGTATATGTAGCTTAGGTACTGTACCTCACGCATAATTATTTTTAGGTATCGAATGATGCTTTGGCCTGGGCATCATTACATTTGGGTAGGTACTGTACTTCCGTCTAAATACTGGGACTCAAAATCCACCCCGTATCCCCGTCCATCCAATCAACTAATTTCCGTTGAGTTGGATAGGCAATCATTGAACGGGCTCATCCTATTAGATAGCAACTTAAGCAACTTACAACATTCAATGCATATAAAAGCAGCGCATAATTTACACGTGGATATAGTGACACATAGTAGGTACCTAAAACTATGGGATTTTATACACTTTCCTTCCTATCATCTACCTCGATCCTTGACCCTATACATTCCCTATACATCTCCTATTTCCTTCTTCCCATTTCCCTTTTCACATGCCACGAACATGACTTAGAATCTGTTGAAGCCTATGGAGTGCTTTCGGCTTCAAAGGCAAATCTTCGGCGGGCTTTGAAAGACTACTGAGTTCTTCTCGAGCCACGTTTACCAGGGGGCTGAGATGTCCCCAAACCTCATCCGTATAACTCGAGAGGACGCATTGCCATTGGTTAGTCCAAATGCGCCTAGCTTCTTCTGGATCAGATAGACCAAGCAACTCAGCAAGTTCCTGTGTGCTATTGCTATTCGCACTGAAGTCTGGAAAGAAGTTCAAAATATCTTTCCATTGTCCCCTCTGAGAAGAGAAAGGCTTCAAGTCACTGTCATCTTCGAAAAGATGATACCGCAATGATACTCTTTCGTCGTCTGTCAATGGTGCGACTGTTTCGTCAACCTCGTCGTATCCTGTGTCGAGGAGGCTTGCCACGCACATCCCATCAGTCGCCGCAATGGCCGAAGTTTGAGGAACCTGCCTTGACTCGGAGTCGTAGCCTCGCCTATAAGCATGGCTTTCGACATTGCTGGGCTCTATCATATCTGGCACACTTGTTTTGACTAGAAATGAAGAGAAACTTGACTCGTGCGAGGCGGGCTGTCCCTGGGATTGTGTAGATTTGAATGTGCCACCAAAATTTGTTGGATTAGTACAGTTTTTGTAAGGTGATGCCTCCTGGATACTTCTGGCTTCGGTAGCCCCAGATGATTCAGCTTTACTTGAGGGCAAAGCACGAGCTATCTGGGTGCTACTTGGGTGCCGTAGAACCATATCTCCAGTTAGTTTGCTTGCGGATGCGCCTATCCGCGACATAATGGAAGTTTTGTGATTGCCAACCTGCGCAGAATCCGAGCGACCATCTCGGTGGGCCGACGAAGATGACAAATTATTCGGGTGAATTGCGATGCCTTTACCCTTGATGTCCTCCGGCATTCCTTGTTCGTTGTTGTCTTTGACCATTGTGATCACATGCGCTCATGTACACGATCCGGGGTTCATCATTATATCGATTTCAACAAAGGAATTTTATAAACATTAATGGGGAATTTGATGTTATGGATTATCAATAGGTGCCAGGGAAGGACTTAAGGAGAATTCGAGAAGGAGTCAGTTCCAAGTAATTGCATGTTTTATCCAACTCTTAACAATTGCAACTTGAAAGGCCGAAAGCTTCATGCTACCTACCTTGTACATGTATGTAGGTACTGGTAGATACTAGGTACCTAGGTAGGTGAACTAGATGAAGAGATCGGTAAAGTTCGGCTCTGAAACCGGAGAGAATGGAACCTTGGAACCTTGGAAGCTACCCATGATGCACATGTATGCTCAAAATTGACTAACCTTAATTCGAGTTCCAACTGGCATGTGATGACTAAGTTTTCAATCGCATTAAGCAAGAACAACTGATGTATTCTCTCTACAAGCTCTAAGCCACTAATCTTGGTATCTTTTTTAAGATTCTTTCAACGCATTTATTCATCACGTACATTAATTTTATATAAAGTACACTTTATATTTGAAGCCCAACCACGTTAACATGATCCACATATGAGGATAACCTTAAAGGTGGGGAGTTTGCAGGATTTTATGAGTCGTGCCACGTGCGACGCTTCCTGATTTAGTTATAAGGAAGTCGGATTATTCCATATTGCTACTCATGATAATGTTAAAGTTGATAAAATCGATCAGCTTACTAGGTACGTATTTAAAGTATGCCTACATTAAAAGGCATATATATTTAACTAATATATACATTTAAATATATGGTTATACACATAAATGTATACGTACCGAATTTACGAATATATATATAATTAAAATATTTAAATAAATATAAATTTAATATTATTATAATATAAAATAATAATTTAAAAAGTTTCACTTACATTTTATGCGATATAAAACATTAATAATATGAGATTCACGTGATATTTCATGTTTTTAATGCAATATATAAGGTATATGTATCTAAATATGATGAAAATCTGATACAGAGGTATTGTACATATACAAGGCCAAAACTAGCAAGGCCGCCTGGCCTAAACCGACCACTTTCCAGAATGCAGACAGGCTCTCTAAGTGTAAAGCAAGACCCTTGTGCATAACCTTGGAAACCCCCCATACTTACGGCTCTACAGGCTACAGCTAAGGACCTTACCACTATCAATCATCACATCACATCACTGACCACAACCACAACTTACGCCTTGCCGTCATTTTGCAGCTACTTGTGAATTCTCTTTCTCTTCCATCTTTCCCTCCATCCTCAGTCCTCGATTCTCTATCCTATTCTCTATCCTATCCTCTACCATCCCCTCTCTTAATAGCTAGCGGATGTTTCCGACCAACTTCCCCCCAACTCATGCACGGCTTCTTAATTGACGAAAAATATCCACCTAGTACATTCCTTCATCCCACCGACCGCAAAGTCGTTGGGAGCCAGTGCACTGTCGGCCTAAGCACTCGCATTTTCTACAACTACATACTCCGTCATTACATACACTGACCAATATACCACACACCCCGCCGCTTTCGATCTGTCCCTTCGACCACTTTTTTTTCTCCCTGTCTCTTACATACGTCCTAGCCTACGTATCCACCTTCAATAGCCGCCACAACGTATCCTGGAGCGGTTCCCGATCTATCGTCATCTCAAGTCGCGTACCAACCCTTTGTCGCCGGACTCCAGCTGGTCGCGGCCGCGATACACTAATACAACTATCCACCACACACACGCACACAAACGCACACACACACATACACACATACATACATACACACACATATAACACATACCCAACACACTCTACCCATACTAATAGACGGGCCGGAGCTTAGGTAGCTTCATCCCGATACTCATCACAAACAACATGGTGGAAGGAGACTCGAACTCCCCCACCTGGAAGTTCACCCAGTAAGTCATACAACAAAGACCCTATCACGCACTCCTTTCCTTGAGTCGAAGCACTTGTCACCTGCAGCCACCGTTTCATTCTGCCCATATCAACCTTATCTTCTAGCAATATTTTCCCCATACCCCTCGCCTAACCGCTCTCTGACAATATTGCTAATCCCCGCTCCCTGCTCTCTAGGTGTTTTGGTGACAAGGGAGACGTTGAGGATATTACAGAAGGTAAGTTGCCCTACTCCCTGTCGAATTGCAGAGCTCTTGCGGGGTTCTCTAAGCTTCAGCCTTGCATCTTTCCTCGATTTCGTATCTTATCTGTAAATCTCGGGTCTGGCGTGGATTTTCTTCTAACACATATCTTCTAGCCGACATCATATCGACCGTCGAGTTTGACCATACAGGCAATTATCTAGCAACAGGAGACAAAGGCGGTCGGGTGGTTTTATTCGAGAGGAACGAGACGGTCAGTCAAATGAAAACCCGCGTTTTGTTCTTCCCCCCTTCCTCCGGGAGAATAGCCATGTCTAATTTGGCTTGTAGAAGAAAACCTGCGAGTACAAGTTCCATACAGAATTCCAGTCACACGAGCCAGAATTTGACTACCTCAAATCCCTCGAGATAGAAGAAAAGATCAATAAGATCAAATGGTGCCGTCGCCAAAACGCCTCTCACTACCTGCTCTCCACCAACGACAAAACGATCAAGCTGTGGAAGGTCTTTGAGAAGTCGCTGAAAGTGGTAGCTGAGAACAACCTATCGCATGATCTAACGCCGGGGAGCGTCGCTGGCGTAGGAGGAGGCGCCCCTAGATCTATTCCTCAGTCCCACTTCAAGAATGCCGGGGAGTTGAAACTCCCACGACTGACCCACCACGATACCGTCGTTGCTGCCGTTCCCCGACGCACGTACGCGAACGCCCATGCCTACCACATCAACAGCATCTCTGTAAACAGCGATGGCGAGACCTTCATTAGCAGTGATGATCTGCGCATTAATCTCTGGAATCTGAATATCCAGGATCAAAGTTTCAATATTGTTGATATCAAGCCCGCAAATATGGAGGAGTTGACCGAGGTCATTACTGCTGCCGAGTTCCACCCCATTAGTTGCAACTGGTTCATGTACGCAAGTTCAAAAGGCACTATCAAGCTGGCGGATATGCGCGAGAGTGCCCTCTGTGATCAACATGCAAAGCGTATAGCCCCCATCCTCTCCTCGCACTGTATTATAGAGGGCGAGCCCTTTAAGCTGACAATATGAAACAGTCTTCGAACAGGAAGAAGATCCTTCGTCGAGGTCGTTCTTCTCCGAAATTATTTCTTCTATTTCAGATGTGCGGTTCTCCTACGACGGCCGATACATTTTATCCCGAGACTACCTCACAGTCAAGATTTGGGATGTCAATATGGAGCGCCAACCAGTCAAGACCATACCGATCCACGAGCATCTACGACCTCGGCTCTGTGATACATATGAGAACGATAGCATCTTCGACAAATTCGAAGTGGTTTTCTCGGGCGATGCGAAAAATGTCATGACCGGAAGTTATAACAACAACTTTATGATTTATCCGTCGGATCCCGAGAAGGAAATCGAGGTTGTCTTACAGGCGGACAAATCTGCCTTCAAGGCGAAGAAGGTAGGAATTCCGACACCTATCAACTCGTCGACAAGCCCCACAGCGACCAACGGCGGTAAGAAAGGCGGATCGCGTGCGGGTAGCCCGGCAGCTGGAGCTGGTCAAGGCCAAAGAATGCGAAAAGAGACGGACGCGGATCAGATCGACTTTAACAAGAAGATCCTACACATGAGCTGGCACCCTTTCGAGGACAGCATCGCGATTGCTGCGACGAATAACGTAAGTTCTAACCCTCCATCGAATTCTCGGCCGTCTGCATGATAGCTGACACAACGTAGTTATTCGTCTTCTCGGCTCTCTAGGTACATAATGGAGGTAACGGCCGGACATTTCGCAGCAGGATTCAAACCTGATCTGCGAAAGCACTTCCCGGCTCGGATTTGGGCAGAGACGTGCGTCATCATTGCCAATGGTCTCCCTGATACTTGCGCGGTCCTTTGAAACGTAGAGTATTGCTCGTGGCATTTGTGATGATAACATCTGGCACACTCTACAGAAGCGGGCGCCTTTGCAAACGAGAGAGAGAAGGGACGGGTGAGAAAATGTTGGGTTTATGGCACAAAAGCTGCATATAGGAGGTTGGCATTATCCCGAGTCCTGGTATCCTAGGCACTCGGGTTCGTATCAAGACACGCGGGTAGGAGTTGAAGCATGGATTCGGCAATGAAATCTCCACAAGGAGTCGGTTGCTTCTCAAGTCAGCAGACATGGAGCCGATATTATGGCATAGACTCTACAAGGCAGATTAAAGGCCCTAAGACGGGACTCAAGACAAATGAGATCTGAAGCTTAGATGATGAACTGTGCTAAAGCACCCCGTAAACGTGCATGCAGGTATTCTATCTTTCATAATATGTAACATATAGAATAACCAACTTAAGAAAGGTTGTTTAAAGTAACCCACTGTAGATAGTGGGTCGAGATATCGAGGCGATATTTCTTTCTACACATTTTAACTTGAAAACTGCGTACCCACAAGGATCGCATACATGCATACCTAGGTATATATACCTCTTCCTTGTAGGTAGGTATGATATGCGTATATAGGTAGTATGTACCTAGGTACTAGGTACCTACATAATTCATGTTTGTAGCTAAGTGGGTCCAATGGATGCCCAATTTTGGTAAGCCTGTCGGCTGAAAAAGCTTAGGTTAGCATGGATCCTAGACCTAGATGCTGTCAGATTGCGACGAAATCAATACCTGCGTATAATGAAACCTGTCAAGTCCAAACACCAAGTACCTACGTATAAAATCGACACGCCATATTTATTACCTAGGTATCAGACGGGCAACAGCACTCATGTCTACTTGTCCGTTAGGGCAACGCTGGAACTGTCAAATACATAAATGCAAGGAATCGCCATAGCAGCGGCAACACATCCCGCCATTGGTACAGGACCCTCATTCGGATGATCGATCTAGATTCTAAAATAGCCGGGAACAACTGACAGGTCGCCGCAAGCGCAGGAACATATCTCTCGTTATTATCACCCATATCTATTTCCTCCTTCCCTCTGTCTCTCCGTCCCTCCCTCCCCCGTACAACATCTTCTACCTCGATGACGAGCCGATCGGTGCCTCGGAGACGCCAAACTTTGCGAGATTCGCATGCCGCTTCGCGAAATGGCACCGCTATGACACCAAAGGTCATCAATGCCGGCCCTTCTCTCGAGAAGGCCGAGCTATACGGCATAGACGATCAGCGGCCAACCTTCTCCAAAATCATGGGTCTCGCCGGCCGCATCTTCATTGAAACTATCCCGCAATGGCTTGCCGTAGGCGCAATGCTCGGCTTGATTTTCGGCGGCTGCTGCTCGAACGTGAGGTTAAATGATCCCCAACTGCATATCGCGATAGAAGATTGATGTTTGTGTAATTGCGCAGGTCTTCGCTCTCGAGGCCATAATCAAGTAAGCTCCCATAATACACCGCATTCGTAATGTGGCTAGTATTCCGGACTAATTAATCATCTCGTCAGGGTCGAACCAGCAAGTGGTATGACAATAAAATTTGACTATGTAAACCCCGACCTAGAGCCGAACTGACATCTTGCAATTCTCATCTCTAGGAACGCTTTTGACATTTGTACAATTCCTCTTCGTTGCCGTTACCGGATACGTCTCGCAGTTCGACTTGACACGTCCGCCATTTTTTATCAAACCAAACCGAGTACCGATCCGTCGTTGGCTAATCAACATCGTACTTTTTTTCAGCATTAATGTGTTGAATAACCACGCCTTTAGCTACGATATATCCGTGCCGGTTCACATTATCCTGCGGTCTGGGGGTAGCATTACGACAATGATCGCCGGGAGCTTATACGGGAAGAAATATTCTCGCATACAGGTCTTCGCTGTTCTCTTGCTCACAGTCGGTGTTGTAACGGCTGCGTGGTCAGACGCACAATCAAAGGCAAGATACTTCCCATGTGGGTCTATTCTATTCAGAGATATTTGCAGCTAACTGCTTCGAAGGGAACAAGCTCCGCTGAATCCCGAGAGGATGTACCCAAGTTCAGCACGGGTCTCGCAGTCCTCTTGGTGGCGCAGATCTTATCGGCCATCATGGGACTGTATACTGAAGAGACGTACAGGAAGTATGGACCGCACTGGAAGGAGAATCTATTCTATTCTCACTTGTTATCGTTGCCTCTCTTCCTCCCGTTTTCGCGCTCCCTGATAAATCAATTCATGCGCTTGGCCAACAGCCAGCCACTCCAGCTACCTCTACTGACCGGGCAAGTGAACCTCTCGACTGTTCCCGCCGCGGTACGGCAATGGATTGAGAGGATCTACATTCCTAGCCAGGTCGCCTATCTGGCACTCAACGTCTTGACACAATACGCCTGTATACGAGGTGTCAACCTCCTAGCTGCTGCGTCTTCCGCGCTAACGGTCACGATTGTGCTCAACATTCGCAAACTGGTCAGCCTACTGTTAAGTATATGGCTTTTCGGGAATCGTTTAGTCACAGGAACCCTAATAGGAGCTATCGTAGTTTTCTCTGCGGGTGGCCTTTACTCATTAGACTCGAAGAAAAAGACAGTACCGAAGCCGAAAGCGACCGGCGGAAAAGCAGCATAGTTAGCTAAGGTGTGTTGGGATTCGAGAGCATGATTTGCTTTCCTCATGAGACGCTCAATACCAAGTGCTATTATTAAATATCCTACACGCCACCTTTGCCAAGCATGTGATTCTAGCACGAAGTGAAGTGAAATCCGTAAGCCAGATCACTAATAAGTTCAAATACTACACTATAACAATATAGGGGCTTCTTCAAGGGAAGTGTTGTTGTATCCACATACTTCTTACGTTCCAAAATGAGAGACTACTGACTTTGACCTCATGATTATGTAATGAGGTTTTCTTAGGTACAAACCCCACACATGCACTTTGACCTATTAAATGCTATGTAAGCCAAATAGGAAATGTACGCATGCTATGATCAGGTACCTACATATGAATGTACCTAGTAGTACTAGGTAGGCTTTGAGCACCGTGCTAGACATCACGTATCGTACCTATTACAACCTTGAACGGGGTATGTACATTCAGTATTAGGTACCTAGCAGAGTTGTTGTCCTCCCCCGCCGTCGGTCGAGAATACACAACAGTACTGTACATATTATTGTACCTAGTAATTAGTTAGCTCGACGAATCGGACGCCAAGCTTTTTTTTTTTTCTCTTTACAAACATTGAATTTCACCAGTGAAAATAGGTATCTAACATAAAAATGAAAAACTAAGTTTAACTATCTGATGTACTAGGTACCCACATATGTATTGTACACACATGCTTAATGTAGGTAGGTACCTTTGCCACCGTACCTACCTAGTAGTTATCTAGTGTATGTACCTAGGAAAATGTAGGTACCTAAGCATCAAAGTAGTGACAGAAAATCGATATAAAAAACTTCATATTACATCAACCTGATCTCTATTTGTCACAAACAGTGCCTGACGATTCCTACGTTCACCGCTGGCTATTGTAACTGAAGTATCAGAGGAGATTACGCTATTCACGGATATAAATTTACTACCCATTGCCTTGCTTGGGTAGTTACCTACCCACCTACCTGGTGATACTGTTTATAAATTATACACATCAAGTAACGACAACGAATCTACCATTCATCTTGGCCGTACCAGTAATATGTCTTGTTAGTCAATCAACCGACCTGCCTAACCATACTAGCAGTCGTATCTTGCGGTGACTCGATAATTCAGCTTGTATGCCGCTGGCTAACGACGCTGGTACCACAGCTTTCCATCCAACCTCTCCTAAGATCCCGGCTGCACATAAGATACTCGAATTCGACTCTGATGGATCAGATGCTGCAGCACTTGCTGTAGAGAGTGACTCGGAACCCGAGACCCCATCACGCCACTCTGGATTACGAGACCCAATGCGTAGTGCAGGGACAGGTGTACCGGAGTACACAGAAGAGATATCATCGCCCTCACTTGAAGATGGCATGCTGCTACGAGATCGTCCGAGGAAAACTACATTTCATGACGCCGTAGCTGAGAGGCAGCTAACACAGACTGACGCGAAGCTTTTTTACCAAAGAAGCCAACTGGACCAACTGAAGACGGAAGGGAGCAACTGGAGCCATACTCAAGCAGCTACCCCTAACGGAAGCCCTGTAGCCTCCGTGGGCCTAGCAGCGATAAAGCCGACTCTCGAGACTTCTCTCACCCGTTCTCATTCCAACTTGGGCGCCACTCCGAGCTCTACGCCTTTACCTTCAGCTATCCAAAGTTACAACTTCCCCCATATTGCAGGTTCGTCTACTAGTCCCCATAGCCTTGACATAGCTCCACGTACGGCTACACGGCCATCCCTGGGAGGGCATGTTGGTCACCAGCCAACTAGCCACCCACGAAGCGATGCTCCCCAGGACCGGCCTGGATCTAGCTTGCAGCCTGATATGGGGCTTCCAGAGGGAGCATCGTCCAACATTCCGAGCGGCGTCGGCAGCAGTGACCCCCATATTGTGGCAGAACTAAGTACTATCTTCCGAAATATACAAAAGATTTTAGATATCCGTCATAGATACATACGTTTGTCCCTGCAACGAGATGGCGACAATCCCAAGGACGACTCAAGCTGGGATATCTATCCTCCACCGCCAGAGCCTGCCTGGGTTGGACCCAATATGAACCAGGATAGCCATGGCCCCAATACCGGAAGTAACAGTATGAGCAACAGCACAGTTCTGCCTACCCAAGCTAACGCGCAACGTCCTCATGATCTCGGAACTATGATTGCAGACGCTGAACCTAAGAGAACGCCTAGGAAGCGTAAGCCGGGTCATGATATTGGAGAGGATTTTGATATGGAAGACCTACCCCTTCCCCAAGCAAGTGAGCTCGTATTTCGCCTTGACGAGAATGGCGTTTACCAGGTGTATGAAACGGACGCTGCGAACAAAGCCAACACTCCAGTGGTGGGTGTCCCCACGATCAAGGACTTCTATATGGACCTTGAAGAAATTCTGTCCACGTCGTCCGACGGGCCAAGCAAGAGTTTCGCCTTCCGACGGCTTCAATATCTAGAGGGGAAATTCAACCTGTACACTCTTCTAAACGAGTACCAAGAGACTGCAGACACCAAGAGGGTTCCTCATCGGGATTTCTACAACGTGAGAAAGGTCGATACGCATGTTCATCATTCTGCCTGCATGAACCAGAAGCATCTCCTGCGGTTTATCAAAAGCAAGATGAAGAAATGTCCAGATGAATACGTGCTCTTTCGGGATGGCAAGAACCTCACACTTAGGGAGGTGTTTGAGAGTATCAACCTGACCGCGTACGATCTCAGTATTGATACATTGGACATGCATGTGAGTTGACGGCCACGACCTCGAACCTTTCTTTAAGGAAAGGCGTAGATTGACTTGAATCTAGGCGCACACCGATTCCTTCCATCGATTTGATAAGTTCAATTTAAAGTACAATCCTATCGGAGAATCACGACTACGGACCATCTTTCTCAAGACAGATAATTTCATCCAGGGTCGCTATCTGGCAGAGATCACAAAGGAAGTCATCTCCGACCTTGAGTCCAGTAAGTACCAGATGGTAGAATGGCGAATCTCAATATACGGGAGGTCTCTAGATGAGTGGGACAAGCTCGCCGCGTGGGTAGTCGATAACAAGTTATTTTCACCCAATGTTCGCTGGCTTATACAGATCCCACGACTCTATGATGTCTTTAAGGCTACCAACTTGATGGACTCCTTCGAACAGATTGTCAAAAACGTCTTCCAGCCGCTCTTCGAAGTTACAAAAAACCCAGAGAGTCACCCGAAACTTCATGTCTTCCTGCAGCGAGTGATTGGATTTGATAGCGTGGATGACGAGAGCAAGGTCGAACGCCGGCTGTACAGGAAATTTCCCGTCCCAAAGGAGTGGAATTCCAAACAGAACCCCCCATACAGCTACTGGATCTACTATGTCTTTGCTAACATGACCTCGCTCAATTTCTGGCGTCGCCAACGTGGTTTTAACACGTTTCTACTCCGACCGCACTGCGGGGAGGCAGGCGATAGCGAACATTTGGCTGTCGCTTTATTGTGCAGCCATAGTATTAGCCACGGTTTACTCTTGAGAAAGGTGCCTCTCCTGCAGTATATATTTTATCTGGAGCAGATCGGTATCGCCATGTCCCCGCTTAGTAACAATGCGCTTTTCCTGGCCTACGAGAGAAACCCGTTTCACCAATATTTCAGACGTGGCTTGAACGTTTCACTTTCCACCGATGATCCTCTTCAATTTGCGTTCACCAAAGAGCCGCTGATGGAAGAATATGCTGTCGCTGCACAGATATACAAGCTAAGCCCGGTAGATATGTGCGAGCTAGCGAAAAATTCGGTGAAGCAGAGCGGCTACGAGTATTCTATCAAGCAACAATGGCTGGGAGAAAAGTTCAATCTTCCAGGAAAGGATGGAAATAGCATGGTGAAGACTAATGTGCCAGATCGAAGAGAGGAGTTTAGGCACCACACGTGGGTTGAAGAGCATCGAATGTGAGTGGCACGTTGCCTTCCTTCTTTACCAACATGTCACTAATTTTACTATAGGATTTCAAGCTACACATCTACAACTGAACTGCACGAAGTACTTGACCATCATCTGGCGGCTGTACCGAGTCTCAATCCGGCCTCACCGACCTCGTCCCTCAAGACGAACGTCGCAAGCGGGATCACCACGGGCGATTCTAAATCTCACACCTACATCAACATCAAGGATCTAGAGGGCCAACTGCCGCGTTCGAGATCTCAGGCGGAAATTAGTGGCTCTCATCTCGACTCTCATGCTGATGACTTACACGACACACACCTCTCTAGCCATGAGCCTAGGTATATCCCTGGGATGATGGCAAGAGCCTCGAGGCACGGTAGTATGCACCGTAGCTCAGTCCACGAAAGCGAAGACGTAATTTCCCCTCGTGGTACTCCTAAGAATAATACTGGGAGGGAAGAATCAAGTTAGGTTCCGAATTTGAACGGCAACACGAGCGGACGTGATGAATTTTGCAAACGACGAAAGTCTAGCATTGACCTCTTAAGTTTTCCCGGAGACAATATAGATTTAGATATATGGGCCCTGGTAGTTTAATGATAGTATCTTCTTACATACATGAATGTATGTGGTGGTTACGTAGGTACGTAGATATTTAATGGTCCGGTGATCCTTTTCAAAACTCTTTTCGAGATGCATATAACTATGGGTAGTATAACTGTATATACTAGGTACTTAGTTAGATATATAATATGTATATATAATATGTATGCGTTTATCAGATCTGTCAGTGTACATGTGCAAAGGTTGCTACGGGGTACATGGGTTTAATTTAGCGTGTTTAGTAATTTAGTACGAAGTACATACGTCCATAGTACTGTGGGCATGTCCTATGCATGTACCTGCTTAAACGATTCCTGTTCCGCCTCCGTCCGATTACGACCGTCCTCGGTTTCTCTGTGCTCTGTGCTCTGTGCTCTGTTCTCTGTGTGCCCTGTTCCCTGACGATTGCTTCACGTGGTTTTACCTTTTTCTAGTGTACTTCTTCTCTTCAATATCACATTTCAAATCCCTCTCCCCATACATTCGTCCGGACACGCTCTCCTAGGCTGCCCGTTGCGTTTGAAGCAGCACAGCTTCGAGGTATCCATAATATGTTTGCGTATGGTTACATCGCAACGATAAGTCCCTGGGAGCCTCTTGTTGTGCTTGCGCAAATCGTTACACCTACATCACTGCTTCGAATCATCATCTGAAGTGAATCTCTTTCAGACTCTTGCTTTATCCTCCTTTCTGTGTATGCCTGGATTTGGATTTGGACTGAACTTGAACTAGACTATCCCTACTGCGACCAACTTCCCCTCCCTTCCACTGCCGCTTAAGTTTCAGAGAACCTCTTCCTCACCTCGAACACTCGATCTTATACTATACGATCGCTCGCTACCCTCTCACCGAATTCGCATGCGCCCCTGAAAGACATAGCAATTATAAACGATTTATCCGTAGCAGGGCTCCTCTAATCCATAACTTCTTTCGTTCCCTATCCTATCCTTCTTTTTAGCCTGCCATGGGATTTCTCGGTGTATACAAGGCCATATATGATTATGCGCCACAGTCAGAAGGGGAACTTTCCATAGGCGAAGGAGACGTGCTTTATGTCCTAGAGAAAAGCAAAGATGACGATTGGTGGAAAGCTAAAAAGAAAGCTAGCGCCGACGACGAAGATGAACCGGTTGGGTTGGTACCTAACAACTACGTAGAAGAGGTGCGTGTGCAACAAGCCATCAACGCCCTGATCGGCTGTCCAGGTAAAGGAAGAGATTGCTAAGCTTTTGTAGGCACAACCCGTAGGCCAAGCCCGTGCCTTGTACGAATATACTCGGCAGACCGACGAGGAGCTGTCGTTTCCTGAAGACGCCCAGTTGCAAGTCTTCGATACGTCCGACCCCGATTGGATTCTTGTTGGGTTTGAAGGTGATTACGGTTTCGTTCCGGCAAATTATATTGATGTGGCTGCAGCCGCCGCTTCGGCTACTGCCCCGAAGATCGAGCCAGATGTCGAATCTCAGCCTGAACTTGAACCTGAAACCGAACCGGCAGTTGTCCCCAAGCCTCCATCGCTACCTGTACGACCTCCTGCTCCGGTTGAGCCAGGAGTGCCTCAAAGCCCCCCTCTACCGGATAGGAGGTCATCGGTAAGATCTACGGCGACTCCGGCAGCGCCGGCAGGCCCCGCTGCTGCCCTGGCTGGTGTAATGGCTGGTAGGGGTTCTGGTACTCGCGCACGAACACCTCCGCCAGTTACTGTACCTCCTCGCCAGCAATATCTATCAGAAGAGTCCGATGGAGAACCAAGCCCCGCTCTGCCAGCCCGACCGCTGTCCCAGTCAACGTCAACCATATCCAATGACCATCATGCTACGCCGACACCTCATCCACAGCGATCTTCTAGCCGCCGCGACTATGAGGATGAATCTCTCCAGCCCCAGTCGAGTCGTATTGCGCCAGGTGGTTTTCATATGTACAACATCAACGAGATGGTATCTGTGATGGGCAAGAAAAAGAAGATGCCGACAACCCTAGGCGTGAATTTGAAAACGGGAGTTATCCTCATCGCTCCAGAACATGCCCAGGACGGTCCAACCCAGGAATGGACTGCGGATAAGATGACGCATTATTCCCGAGAGGGCAAACACGTGTTTTTGGAACTCGTACGGCCAAGTAAAAGCATAGATTTCCATGCAGGCGCCAAGGATACGGCGGAGGAGATCGTCAGTGCACTCGGCGAGCTCGCCGGAGCTGTGCGAGCGGAGGGTCTACGAGAAGTCATCATGGCCGGAACTGGTCGAGGCGGTCAAAAGAGGGGCCAGGTTCTCTACGATTTCATGGCCCAGGGAGACGATGAAGTTACTGTTGCTGTAGGAGACGAAGTTATAGTCATCGACGACAGCAAGAGCGAAGAGTGGTGGCAGGTTCGCCGCCTCAAAAACGGAAAAGAAGGCGTCGTCCCAAGCAGCTACATCGAAATCACCGATATGATTACGGCACAGACGGCATCGGGAATCACTGCCGGCAAGTCTACCGTGGCACAAAATCGATTGGAGGAGGCGCGCTTGACTAAGGAAGCAATCAAGCGAGATCAGAAAGCAGCAGAGGTAGGACCCGGAATGCGTTTGCCTGAGAGGCGTAGTAGTTTGTCAGCAAGGAACAATGGTAACAATTTTGGGCAACAGCGAAATCGACGCGAAAACGGTCATGCCGAGAGTAGCCGTTCCGGTTCTTCTAAGCCTAGTAAGTTGTCTACATGGACTCAACACGTCGTAGAGACGGCGCTAACCCCTGACTTCAGAGCCAGATCCGGCCAAGGTGCGGACTTGGACCGACCGCTCCAAGTCCTTCAGCGTCGAAGCGCAATTCCTCGGTCTTAAAGACGGCAAAATCAACCTGCACAAGATGAATGGCGTCAAAATTGCTGTCCCCATAGCCAAGATGTCGATCGAAGATATTGAGTACGTCGAGCGTGCCCTGGGAGTGTCTCTAGATGAGGATAAGCCTCTGTCAGAAGTTAAACGTGCCAAGACATCAAAAGCCAGTGCGAATCGAGAGCCCGCAACTAGTAAAGTTGGCGCCTCCGTTGAGCCCGCGAAGCCGGACTACGACTGGTTTCAGTTCTTCTTATCTTGTGATGTCGCCGTCGGCCTTTGTGAGCGTTACGCTCAAGCATTTACTAAGGATTCTATGGACGAAAGTGTCTTGCCTGATGTGGACGCCAGCGTACTCCGGAACCTGGGTCTACGGGAAGGCGATATAATCAAGGTTATGCGCTTCTTGGATAAGAAATTTGGTCGTGATGGTAAGAAGAGAAACGTTAGCTTTGCCGGAGATGAGGAAGATGGTTCCAGCGGCGGCCTCTTCTCCGGACCAGGTGGGACACTACGAAACAACACCCGAAAGGGTCGTCCTGCCCCGGCCGTCCAGACGAATGACAGTGTGGACCCTAAAGCGTTCTCGCGGCAGAGGGAGAGTAGTGCACATGGTTCAGATTCTTCTTCGCCCGTCACGTCTCGTCCGAAGGCTGCTGAGAAGAGCAACGCCGGTGGGTTCGATGACGACGCATGGGATGTAAAACCTGCAAAACAGCCGGAGCCCGAAGCGAAGCCAGCACCGGCTACGGAGCCAAAGTCAGCAGCGGTCGCTGAACCTCCCCAGCGGCCGCCGACGCAGGCCATGCAAGATCTTTCCCTCCTGACAGCTCCACTAGAGCCAACCAAGACGCAACCAACCCCTATGGCGCCTTTAATAGCCCAGCCGCCGCCGCCGTCGCAACCGCTGGTCCAACCACAACAGACACAGTCCCAACCTCTACCCCAGGGAGCAACACCATCATTCTTCACGGGCATTCCGCAACAGCAGACCGGTATTCCATCCGCGCCAGTCCCACAGGCTACGCCAGCTCAACCTCTCAACCTAGGACTCGGCAATCGGCAAAGACCGCAACCTCCCCAAATGACTGGAAGTCAAGGCGCTCTGATGCCACCGCCTCCTCCATCACGGCCGTTGTCGGCGCCACAGTCGGCACAACCCAGCGGGTTTGCGCCTCCTCCGCTGCAACCACAGATGACAGGCATCGCGGCCCCGGGACAAAGCTTGAACGACCTGAACCAGCAACGGATGCAGCAACAGTACATGGGATCGTTCCAACCCCAGCCGACGGGCCAGGGCATGATGCCATATAACCCGAGTACTGGCACACAACCCCAACCCGGGTTTGGGACAGGCCAGTTCATGCAACCCCAAATGACTGGAGTTCCACAGACGCAGAGCCCATTCTCGGACCCTCGCCCACAACAATTCTCGCCTATTCAAAACCAACCCACCGGGTTTCCGGGAGGTTTCCAACCAGCTCAGCAGTTCCCACAGCAGCAGGGCGGGGTTAATTCGTTTTTACCACCTGCGCTAGAGCCTCAGCGAACGGGCATGCTGCCAATCCAACCGCAATCTACCGGCTTTGGGGGATTCGGTCAGGGATTCAACACCGGGATGAACAATACAGCTATTCAACAGCCGCCCCCGACCCCTCTCCTTCCCCAGAAGACCGGACCGGCACCCCCTGTGCGTTTCGGTGTTGCAGATAAGATTGTTCCTCAGCCAACTGGACGTCGTGCGAACCTGGCACATGCAAGTAAGTTCCCTCTAGTATCTATTTACCATAGTGCGTGTTGTCTAACTAATACCATGCAGCCCCGGACAATCCCTTCGGATTTTGAAGGCCTCTATGTACATGGGTGCTGCAGCCAGCTAGGCGTGGTATCAGATTGGTGTTAATTATACTGGGCAAGTCTGGCATGCATGAACGGTGGCATTTATGGAATTCAGTACTGTGGCATTCTCATTACGCTCTACACTATACTTGTGTCCTGTAGCTGCTCTGGCATCGCCTGACATGTATTTACCACTAAGCGCTTGAAAGCTAATTTAATCTTGGGACGGATCATACCCCGACTTATCACAAGTCTCTTTTTTTTTTTTTTTTTTTTTTTTTGTGACCAAGCAAATGTTGGGATGGTCAATAGGAACGGGCAATGTAACGGCGCGATAGATAAACACTTTTCGAATACCGGTTGCTTATTAGAATGTATGACCTCTACCTATATATAAACCCCTTTTACATATATTTCTCAAATACGCTGGGGTGGACGTCTCCAGCTGCATCCTATAGGATAACGACGCTAATCTTTCACATGGATATCATATAATCCAACCCGTTTGTTAAGATCCTCACATTACGCCATTGTTAGGGTATTACGTTATATACTTGCCAACTCCTGTAGTCAATTTCATTCAATATCCATTCAGTATATCGTAAATATCAACACCGGGGCGGTAAATAGGATTCCATCATTCACAGCGTAATAGCTCAAATTTATCGTATATCAAATTCTTCATAAGTATATATTGTCATTTCCCTCATATGAAAACGTTCTGTGCAATGTTGGGGAGACGGGGCGGGAGATAATTAATTGAAGCTCTTCCATGATCAAATCAACACGTGATCTGCGTGGAGGGTAGCTGGTTTCTTTCGGATGATATTAGATTGGTGGAGGCTCATCTTCCTCTTCTCCGTCTAGCAAAGTGCCTCGGCGCGGCCGAGCCTTCAATTGGTCACTGTTCGGTTCCACGCCAGTGGCGATAGCATGATCTTTCTTTGTCTTCTCTGCTTCCTGAGCTGCCGTCTCTTTAGGGTCAAATCGCTTACGAACGGCATCGATCATCTTGAAAAACCAGTAGAAGTTGAGCGAGTTTAAGGTCAAGTTGCTGCCAGTGTAAATGGCAGCAAGCCATAGCGGGACGCTAGTTGAATCGTTTACGAATCGCATGGTATTGGCGTACTGGGAAGGAAAGATCTCCTCGGGAACATTCTCAGGCGCGACGTTCGCCATAACAGTTGGTACCGAATGCAAACCTGTCCAGAGATCGCGAGCAACGAGGACAGACTGGTATGTACCCCACACAAGGCGGCAACAGAAAAAGGTAAATATGAGAATTAAACCGTTATACAGCTGTGCCCGAGACCCTGTCATGCCCATTTTATCGAAGAACCAGTGGATGTTGAGGAAGGGAGAAGAGAGCTCCCAAAGGATGAAGTTACAACTATAGTAGTTGACGAACGGTCGCTATTGTCAAGGTCAGTACAAGCTGCGCAGACTAGAGCCCTGGGCAAGAGAAACATACGAAGCCGAAAGAGTAGACTAGCAAAGCGCTGGTGGCGTGTGCGAGCATACCGAGACCGAAGATGTTAATGTGGGATGCAGTCATGACGAGATCCCAGAGAAAATAGCCAGCGGCGAGAGCTTGAATCATAGCGGCTGCGCCAGTATAACCCCAGATACGCTCTTGCCAGTCCATGTTCCTACGCTCATCATCGACGAACATGACCCATAACGCAAGGATATTAATTGTAGTGCTCTGTACAAAAGACACGACGTGCACGTCCCAGTTCAGCCTCCTGCTGGGTGATAGGGCCGCGTAGTGGGTAGGGAAAAATCGGCGTGATAGGAAAGGGGAGACGACACTGCCTATGACATGATAGAAAGCAGCCATCAAAACGACCTCATGTATATGTAGTGGCAGCGTCGGTAACTCGAAATAGTCGGCCCATGGTTGAACGGCCTTGGTGAGGATGGGTATGGGCGGGATAGGGAATGGATCCCTCATCGTCGTGTTTCTTTTTCTTCTTCTTCTTCTTCTTTTTCTTCTTGATTATTTTCCTTGCTGTCCTTGTCGTCCGTGTTACTCGAATTTCTGCTGTTCCGTGTGTTATGTAGCAAATGTATTCGGGACGCTGTGGTACCTTGGTTAGAAGGGAAGATGTTCTATGTAGTAGATATCACGAAGCAGACCAGACAGGAGGTATCTGAAAACTAGGTGTAGGGATAGATAAATAGATGGATGAAACAGGCGGATGGGAAAACAGCAGAGTATTAAAGAGTAATTATACGTAATAAAAGAAGAAGAGATGAATTAAATAAAAATGCGGATCGTGGCAGTCAGCTGCCGATGACTTACAACTCAGAGCTGATGACCTTGCATATGACTACCCTTGTACTGCGCCTACATGGCACCTGGACGTATACCAATAAATTTCCGGCTTGGGAACTTAGGCAGCGAGAGGTCAGCAGAGATTATTTGACTCTCTAGTGTGCGTGATACTTGATTTGTCGGTGCTCTGAATAGGGAGAATGGAGGATAGAAGGTTGTGGATTTGAGTAGCCAGGCTGGAGGTCTAAGATCTAGGATCTAAGAATCAAGATACCTGGATATTTGTCCTAGCGCATTAATTTTGCTTACCTAGTCCTGATTCTGAACCCTTTTTTCCCTTCCTAAGTACGAAGAAAAGAAGGCGTTCGTGCAGAAGGCCGGAAGGTAAAATTAAATCTTGGATCGTAAAGATAAATCAAAAATCAAAAGAGGGTTATAAATCCTATATCACTCGATCTTGTACATACAGCATGGATCTGTGGTCCTAGGAAAGTCAAATCCCCAACATATGCGCCCGCTAAGGACTAGATAGGCAATAGACCACATGGGATCTCAAAGTCGTTGGGTAGTACGAAGTACTTCGTACCTTACCTAGCAGCTACCTAGTAGCAGCCTAGGTCTTATACGGTACCTATATGTAATACATATACTACTTATGCTAACATATCTTATATAATTAACGATGCTACCTAATACCTATAGAATGATAATTATTTTTATATACATAATATCTCCGTACCCATCAAAAGTTTGATTTCTTAGTCATGCGTACGTGACATGTTAGCCAAAAGTTAAAAGGCAAGTTGCCATAGGATCGCTTCGATCGATATCAATAATCACATTAATACCTAATTATACAACGATCCATCCTAATTAATTGAATCATGTCTGATTTATTCTTTGGGTTGTTAGAACCACCTGGGTCAACCGATGCTCGTCTTAATGATAAGCCTCATCATAATGATCCCGTCGCCCTCGAATATTTATCCACCCTAGCTTCTATGCCCCTTTCTCAACTAGACGGTTCTGAACAGCAATCCTTAGCCCAGTCCTCTCATTCATCACTCCTATCTTTACAGGCACTTTGCAAGCGCTCCCACAAATCCATCATCGCCTCTGCGGCAAACCATTCTCACCTTCGCTCAGCACTTCCCGCTCTAGCAGCCTCGACCAATGACCTCGCTAGTGCCATACCCAAACTAGACAACGAGGCCGTTCATTTTTCTACTACTTATAACAAATCCGGAGATAATGAAATTTTAAGTGCACGGAAGCGGGCTCTTCTGTTATCGAAAAATGTCGAACGCCTGGTCGACGTACTCGATCTGCCTACCTTACTGTCCACTGCAGTTTCTGCTAGCTCTTCAGCTCCTGCTGCCAACTATGCTTCCGCATTGGATCTGAATGGTCACATCCGTCGGTTACACGGACTGTACGCAGACTCCCCTTTAGTAACGTCCGTGTCCGCGCAGGCCGACGAGGCAATGCAGGCCATGGCTAAAAATTTAATCGTGGGCTTACGCACACCCGGGCTCAAACTAGCATCTGCCTTGAGAACAACTAGTTGGCTTCGAAGGGTAATACCAAATCTAGACTCTGCCGATACTGCCAGCACCGGCGGAGGGTTGGGCGCCCTATTCCTTGTATGCCGCCTATCTACCCTTATTAACATGCTTGCCGCGTTAGAGCCACTTCGCGAATTGGCAGAGCAGGAAAGAACCCGCCAGCAGCAAACCCCACCCGGGAGTGCATGGTCTGGGGGCCAGCAGACCGAACGATATCTAAAGCGATATATAGAAATATTCAGAGAGCAAAGCTTTGCTATCGTTTCCATGTTTAAGAGTATATTCCCCACGCCAACAAATGAGTTGTCCTCGAGAACGGACGACTGTGACCCTCTCCGACATGTTCCCTCCGCGTTATCAACATTCCCATTCCATCTTATCGAGATGTTGTTGGAGACTCTGCGAATTTACCTACCGACTGTTAAGGACCAGCCATCTCGTGACAGTCTCCTCACACAAGTTCTATATTGCGCCGGGAGTCTTGGACGTCTTGGGGGTGACTTTGGTATCTTATTGGCTACCATTGACGTTGGAGAGCAAGCTGAGGAGGAGTGGGTCGAGGTGGTAAAGCGACATCGACTCATGGCCGGACGGCTAGAGTCAATTGTCGGGGGTAAAGATAAGAATTCTCCGGATCTCATCAGCGCATAAACATTCACTCACGAAGTCGACGGGACGTCTTTGCCTTTGAGTAATAATCAACTAAATATATATACCTGGAGTTAAAGTACTTGTACTTAGGAATCAACTAACTACATACATGTATATATGTATATTTATAAAGTTGTAAATAAGTATGTTCTCCTTACATATACTTTATAGGTAATTTAGTGACTATATATTCTATATAATAAGTTAGATTGATATTTTAAGCTATAGGTAGGTAAATTTAAGGTGTATACTAGGTATGTGTATATTTCTATAGATATCTAACCTTGGATCCTATCTATGAGTACTAGGTACCTACATATATAATGACGTATGGGACCTTATCAACTTACCCCAGTACTAAAGGCGGGGCATCCGGACCTACATATGTACCTATATATGTAAGATCCGAATATTAGGTACTTTGTCGAACGCACCTCACTCACATGTACCCGGGTCCTACCTACTATCCATTATGTCTGTACCTAGTAGGCAACTTGAAGTAACCAAGCTTGCATCTTGATACATACTAGGTAGTAGCGATCTTGGAAGTCTCCATTTTTAATATTTTACATTTTACATTCGACGCTCTACACTTCCGAGTTGTCATTTTGAAGCTACACATACATATAATGTACCTAATGTCTTCCAAGCTAGGGTTTTGTAGGTAGACATCTCTCTTCTTTATTTCACACCTTGTGCTATGCGGACGCTTGAAGGCCAAATCCGGATTAGAGGGATAAATTATATTAAGCAAATGGGCTTGTAATAAGGCGCCTCTCGGCCTCGGCAGGATTCGTCTATTCCCTCACTTGTCTATGCTTCATCATGTCGCAGAAGACGGCCGTCAGCAAGTCTTCGTCGAGTAAGCAACATGAGGTCGATTTTAAACGAGGTTTGTACAAAGAAACTAATGGCTCTTTTTTAATCTCAACACAGCCTTCCATTTTGCCGCTGGTCTCGGTTCTGGCACATGTGGCGCTGTGCTTCTACAGCCTTTCGATCTACTTAAGACACGCGTTCAACAGTCAGGCTCACACTCGATCAGAGCAGCTATAAGAGAAATTGCTAGGTCTCCAAATGCCGTGACTGCCTTTTGGAGGGGCACAATCCCGTCAGCTCTCAGAACTGGTGTTGGGTCTGCCATATATTTCACGGCTCTTAACGTCATACGGCAACGCGCAACATCACTGCCATTTGCCATAACACCCGTTACTGACCCGCTGAGGTCTTCCTCTTCTCTCCCGAAGCTCTCGAATACCGCTAATCTCGTGGCCGGTGCCTTTGCTCGGGCTTTCGCTGGCTTCATCTTAATGCCACTAACCGTTATCAAGGTCCGCTATGAGTCAAACTTGTATTCATACAAGTCCATTGCCGGCGCCGCGAAAGACATATATCGAACGGAACGTATCCCTGGGTTTTTCGCCGGGGTCGGCGCAACCACAATTCGAGATGCCCCCTACGCTGGACTCTACGTGCTATGCTACGAACAGTTTAAGAAGCAACTGAGCTCTTGGCATTTTCAAGACCCTTCTGTTCTATACGCACAGTCCGGCGCCGGCATGGGGGGCTCATTATCCGCTACCATCAACTTTAGCTCCGGAGCGCTAGCCGGAGCGACGTGTTCTTTCGTCTCGAACCCATTTGATGCCATTAAGACGCGCATACAATTACAGCCACGCGAGTACCGCAACATGGTTCAAGCCTGCCGTAAGATGGTATCGGAGGAAGGCGTACGATCTCTCTACGATGGGCTCACTCTACGAATGGCACGTAAGGCGATAAGTTCCGCCTTGGCTTGGATGCTGTATGAAGAATTGATTCGGAGAGCAGAGACTACCCTACATCGAAGAAATACAAAGGGACATGTATAATATTCCAAACCCACCCCTAGTCAAAATAACTCCCCGCTCACGAGTGGTATCGATTGGTGAACCCGAGGCAGACCGCTCTTCGGGATGGGTATTCCCGCCTGTGATTCATCTTGTTCTCATCATCATAGAAATAGGAAAGTGGCATGAGTCTATTCGTCAACTGCAAATTGCAGCGGCCATCCCTGTCCACGCAAAGGAGAAGAAAATGAATAGAAATTACCACACTACGCCGGTCTCCCCCCAGCCAAGTACATCAGTAAAGAAGGGGATCGGCTCCGCCTACGCTCCTTCTTACGGACCCATTCAAATTCAGGCTCGAGATGGTGATGATGCTTTCTCCTATCCTTCTCTTCAATAGACACTGCATAATCTAATATTAGCATTTATCCATCGGAAAATCATAAGAGTGGACTCAGTATGTGCAATCATATACTAAATACGATTCGTTCTCTAGCGAACCCCTGCAATGCGTATCCGATTTTAAAAGCGAACCGAAAAAGGAGGGGGGCGGCACGGCGTAGAGTAGTGTGTAGACGGAATTACTTACTAATAAGCTTACTAGAACCAGAGGACCGCTTCTCGCGAATGAGTTTGGTGTGTCTCCAGAGCAGGTCCTGCTCCGGTTCATCCACCCACCTCTTGATCAGGATATAGTCTGGATCCTATATTATGTGGTCAGACAGAGACGCCACTCAGAAGAATGAGATGGGGTCCACTTACGGGGTCAAGTTGGAAGTCGATATCGTAGGCCCTCAAGGTCTCGATCGAGAGGTGCCGTCTCGCCATACGAGTGTAGATAGGACGTGGTGCCTCCTCCGTCTCCTTCCCCTTCGCCTTTTCCTTCTCTTCCTTTTCTTTTTCCTTCTTAATCTTCTCGCCGGCGAGGATGGCATTGATCTCTTTCTCGCCGAGACCGGACTTTAGCAGCTGCTCTTGCATTTTGACTTTGTATTCTTTCTCGCGCGCCTCGGCCTCCTGCTTTTCCTTAATTCTACGCTCCGCCTCTTCTTTCTTATACTTCTCAATAGCCTCTCTAGCTTCTTTGTCGCGGCGCTTCTTTTCTACCAAGGCAGCTTCTTCGTCCTTCAGTCGTTGAAGTTCGAGCTTTTGCTTGACGCGGCGTTCATACTCATCATGCTCTTTAGCTTTCCGAATTTCGTCGAGCTCTTTCTTAGCCTCCCGCAGGTCGCGCTCTTCTTGGATAGTGCGATTCCGGCGCTTCTCGTCCTGCTCGATCTGGGCGGATAGCTTGAGCTCTTGAAGTTCTTTCCGGGCGTGCTCTAGCTCATACTCGCGGCGCTTATTTTCGAGATCCTTCTCGTAATCCCTGCGCTTAGCCTCGATCTCCTTCTCGTAATCCCGGCGTACGTGCTCCAGTGCGTACCGGTCGTGATCATGTTCATGGGAATAGCTTGAAGAGGTACGCGAATGTGCACGAGAATGACCACGACGGCGAGATCGAGACCTCTTCATCTCATGCTCTGAGTCAGAGTCGGATATTGACTCAGAGTCAGAGTTATTATAAATACGATTGTTGATTATGACGGGAGGATTAGGTGCACTGACCCCCGGTGAAGCAGGACGGTGATCGCGTGAGCGTGATCGCCGAGTTGTCACAATAGTGCGCTCATTCGTCGGTACTAAAAAACGGTCCTCTGCACGGGGGGCGGTCTCATAGTAACGAGGACGAGGGGAGCGGGCGTCTACATAATGAGCAAGAGGAGGTGGGTTAGGAGAGGCATGCCGATGTCTGACACGGATGTCAAGATCCTCATCTTCCGAGTAAGAATCGTATCTACTCATATTGGGATCGTGAGGTCGCCGATAGGAGGAAAGATGATAGGCAGGGGATATAGGGAAATCTTGCAATCGTTCTCTAGTAAAGATTTATGTAAATAGTACAAGAGGACCTCCGAGAGGGGATTAAATAAACTATTTAGGCGAGTAGTAAGCGGCAAGTATTCGACAGGTATAGGGAATTCGGTGAGGGGTATGGACGAGAGGGAAAGGGAGGAGTTAAAAGAAAAGAAAATGAGAGAGGCAAATCCCAGAAATGAGAGTCAGCAAAGCCAGCCGTGCTTATATCCACGCACGAAGGCGGGGGAGAGTGTTTCGATTTATCACGTTGGATAACCCAGACCTGCTGTACACGTCTAGTCGATAATTCTATGTAAGTAGGTACATTGTAAGTAGGGATTTCATATCTATCTAGTACTTACCTAAGTAAGTACCTATGTAATATACTATATTAGGTCGCATTTGGCGCCGACCAGAAGAGCCCCTCTATCGTGGATACTCATCCTGCGAGAAAGAGGGTACATGAGAAAATATAGAACACATGTCGTTTTGAACTTGCTCCTGTTAGTATCTAATAGTATAAATAGGTTACCTCCTTGTATAAAAAAGACTGGGTCAAATAATGAATAAATTCCGCAGGTACTTGAAAAAAGATGTCGTGTCTTATCACAGTTAACAAAAAAGGTACCTTATTAATAGTAACGTGTAAGTAGTTTATTGTCATGAGCTAAGTACCCACACTTATACTAAATGCATGTTGGGGGCCAAAAATAATTGGAAGTGATTCGTTAATCCTGTCCATGTTAAGGGCTGAAAGTGGGGTTATGAGCAAGGAGGGGCTGAGCCACTACGCTGTAGGCAAATGATTAGGCAGACAAGTAACTACATATGCATTTATCAGACGATACGTATACTAATATATATATATATATATATATTTGCATACACATATAATCGAGAGTCTTTTAAATGAAAGTATTTGGTAAATAGGTTGTACTATACTATTAACAAACAATAATGGATGGACATATACAAATGTTTACCCTCTTTCCTTTTCCTTTGAAAAAAAAACCAACTAAGAGGCACCCACACCACCCCTAAGCATGCGATCGATTTGGTCCTTGCTATTCTTCTGCGAAACCTCGAGATAGTGAAGCCGCTTCCCTAATCCATCTACCTCACCTTCAGCTTCCTTGATTTGAGCCTCCAGCTTGCTCTTCATGCTGGAGACAGGTAAGGCGACAAACCTAACAATTCCGTTTAGTTAGGATAGGATGGGGGAGAAATAAGGGTGAAATGGAAATGGGCGGGGGATCGAGGGACACCAACATCTTGCCAACACCCTCATAAACGTTGGTGTCTACCGGTAATGAAGATACCTCGGTGCGCGTTAACTGTGCCATACGTAATTCGCGCTGCTTAGAAGCTTGTTGAGTTCGGACTAGAGAAATTTGTTGTTGCGCGGCGATTGCCTGCGTCTCAACCTCCCGTAGTAACTAAATCGTAGAAACTTTGTGAGCAAACCCCTAACCTCTATTTATGTAGAAAAATACGTTCAATAGTATACCTTCTGCAACGCTTCGTTTGAGATCGACATTGCCACTTTTCTTTGGTGTTTCCTAGATAGGTGGTGCGAGGAAGGGAATCTAGAGTGTCGGAAATATTCTAGGGTTCATACGGAAGAGATTAAGGTTGGACGTTGGAATCCGGTCCGAAGGCGGGGCATCTCGCAAGGACTACTACTAGCTAGGTACTACTACTACCTAGGTACGTACAGGATATGTGGGCTTACCCAATCATTGCACTGTTCCAAGTTAGGGAGGCATTTACATACTTTCAACCGCTAGTACGAAGTACCATTGACGTTGTTTAATAGAACCTGCAAGCTAGGGTTCTTACATAACGCGGGGTGATGCTACTATACTGTAGTACCTGATATGGTTAATAGTATATAGATACCGTTTAACCATTTACGTAACAGAGTGTCTATAGATATCCGTGACCTATCCAGCATAATAATCTTTATCTAAATACCGACTTCAACAGGAACGCTGTTCATTATCTAAAAATAGGTGCCCCACCTGAGGCTGTTTTGCGCATGGCAGTCTTGGAAAGCGAAAGTATCCTCAACCATCTCGTCTATCGTTTTTTTCTGTCTAGCGTATCTTTTATAAGAACCACATCCGGCATTCGAAAAATTGACGGCCAGTGAAGGCAGAATTTATCCTCCTCGCCATCTAGGACGCGGTGGATCCAGATGCGCCAAATTATGTAGTAGTATGCTGGTAAAATCGTCATGTCAGTCATTACCAGATTCTAATACGTGCTCGCCTAGCCTTCCATGCGCTAGGGAAGGTCATCACTTACCACCTATTCCGGTCACTACGGTAAACATCTGACATCAGCAACTATCTCTGGAATGAATAGGTATTGGAAAGTTACGTACTCAGGTGCCACCAAGCGTGTCCCTCAAGTACAATAGCCCAAGGGAGCCGGAGACGATGTCGCCATTCGCGAACTCTGCTGCAGTACATGTTATCCAAATTCCAGATAAGATACCCACCGAGGAATATGCTTAAACCTGTATGTAAATGACACCGGAACCCGTCAACGTAACTGCCAATCAAGGATTAACAATCAAGCCAGGATTAGTTGCTTACCTGTCGCAACCATGACCCACATCTGTTTCACCATCTCATTGGTCGTCGGCAGTCTCGGACTTCTCGGAGCGCGTGTCTCTCGTCTACTCTCTTCCCTCCTCTTCAGAGCCGGTCGGAGCACTCGCTCCATAATCCACATATTAGAAAATACCACAATGGCGGTCAAAACTGCGTAAGCATTCTGATGGAATTGGGGATCCTTGGTTTTATAATATCTTGCCTGGTATCCGCCGTCAGCACTTCCCGAAGCGGAACAGACAATGGCAAGGGGCAAGGCGAACGGTAATGAACCAAGCAAGGCTAACAAGGCCGACACCGAGGCAGGATGAGAAGCGAGTAGACCTGGCGTATGAAAACGTAGCAAAGCACATGAAGCAAGTCGTATAGATCATGGCTAATTCGTCGACGAGCTGCATCGGATCTGCCAGAAGTTAGGCGGCCACGGTCTTAAGAGATCCGAGGGGGTTGCACCGTATAACATTGGGTACGACATGGAAAGTGGCGCACAGGCTTACACTTGAGAGAGGCGTGGAAAAGGGTAGACCCTAGGCCGACCACGATGTATCCAACGAAGGTCACAAAGAAAATGGAAGGATGTGAATATCTGATACACCCACGGATGCCCTTATAGCCTAGCCATATAAAAAGGGCATTGGTGAGAGTCTATAAGCAAAGCCGTACACGATATATTAGTTTTCTTTGTGCTCATTATATCCAGGACGTAGAAATATGAAGATGTGAGCCCTGGGAGATGAGGTTTCATAGAAAGTGAAGAAACCCTGGAAAGCCTACGTTGCAGACTTCAGCACAGTAATAGCTCATGGCATAATCCTAGATTCGGTATTTAGTCCTATCCAATATTGCTATTTCTCGACAGATATATGTGCTGTGTGCATCTACTTACCTCTTCGCAGAAATTCAATGTAGACGTTTTGTCACCCCAGAAGCCATGCCGAGGTTCGTGATAAGGGAAGCTCAAGGCTTCTAAGAGGCCCTGCACGGACATGATTTCGAGGTGGGCATCCAGGTAAGGAAAGGTATCTAGTAACAGGTTTATTACCTAAGGCACCCTTAGGAACGAAATATGGAGGATTTCACGAGGTATACCCTAGCTAGGTAAATCTGAGAAGAACGAGAAGAAGGGGAGGAGGAGGAAGAGGAAGAAGCGGTTGGGAAGAAGAGAATATTGAAACATAGTACCTAGGTAGCGTGTAAGTATAACGTTCGTATAAGCCACGCAGCGCAGCGTTAATCAAGTATCCATAGATGTTTCCGGCACTCCGGTAGGAAGGCGAAGTAGCGCCAAACTAGTACTCAACGCATCCATGAATACTTGTAGGTACCTACCTAATAGTATCGCTAGTAGTAGGTATCCGTACCTGCCGTACTAGCCTGCTAGCATAGGTGCCTTACCACTGACGTAATCACACCCAAATAATAATAAATATATGTAAATCTATAAATTATTCAAGTAACGAAAATATTTGATATGGAGTCCTCTCACTTAATACCTACTTACCTACCTAGTACATATATAGGCTAGTACCTAATAATTTATTAATTGCAATAGTTACATCGAGGTACATCTGTACGAAATTAGCGGAGTCTTCAAGGTTGTGTACCTAGATGCACGTACGTATGTATGTATGTACATGTTCTATTAACGACGAAGGCTCGAGCTGATCTTTTTCTCATCTTGAGTTGTACTACCTTCATATTTCTCATAGTGATCGTGATCGTTTCTGATTTGCAGCTGCTAAGCTACACCAACAAGAACCAGAAATCGTGAATACACGAGGGGATATTGCCATATCAGCTCTCGCTTGGCAGTATTTCAATTACGACTTTTTACAGTCAGGAAACCTAACACGATTGATATCGTCGTTCTCTTACGGAATAACAACGAGGCGCAAATGCGAGAGCAAATTCATTCCAAAGGAATATCTTCTTAAGAGGAGGGTGGGAATAGTACGGCAGAACGAACTATATAGGTTATATCATCTCATCTTATTCATTACCGTAACACGTCAGCAGCAGTTAGAAGTATACCGAGCATACCACACCATCCCATACGATGCGCCGACTCCATCTTCCGAATCCTCAAACGAACGAATTACATGCGATATAAGCGCGTACTAAAGATTAAAGATACTCGTATCTCCTGTTATACTACCGTAACGTGTGGGCTCCAGAGCCTTAGATATGTCAAACTCCCAGAAGTCATCCAGATGGGGCTCCTTCTTGTCCCAGGCCGTCGCCGGCGTCGAGGCGAGGCTTGACAACATCCTCGCTGAGGAAGAGTCCGCAAAACAGACCGCATCGCAAAAGCCCACCAGACCATCATCCGCTTCCTCTACCACTACTCCCAATGCGAACATACCAACTCGGTCTGCTACGCCGTCTCGGTCTACCAACGATAGATTACAAGAACGCTTGGCTCGAGCTGTTGCCGCCAAGAATGCCGCCCAAAGATCCGATTCTTCGCCTGTCAGACCAAATAACGAAATCGTTTCACCAATTCAAAGTCCCCGTGCTAGCTCTGATATTCTCCTCAGGACAAGTTCTGAAAAGGCAGAGAGCTCAAGAGATGATACAACGGACAAAGAACCCTCTTTGGTACAGCTACCGGCGGCAGCTTCTAGTGGACAAGTCGATCGCGATGTACAGGTTGAAGGACCTCAGAATGCCGCGAGCGAGCCTGATGTGGTGACTTCCGATAGTCTCTTAGGGTCAGAATCTATTTTATCGTCGTCGGTCTTATACGAGGAACGCATTACAAACCTAGAGAAATCCTTAGAAGAGGCCCATGCACAACATCACGAAGAGCTTCATAGCCACGTAGAAAAGGTTGACGCCCTGCAGGCTAAATTGCAATATCTAGCCCGACAGGCGTCGGAGACTGCGAGGAATGCTGCTACCACTGCGCCGGTAGGCAGTGAGGAGAAAATCATTGCCGAGAAGGACCAACAAATCGCCCAGCTGATGGAAGAAGGACAGAAACTCGCAAACACGGAGCAGAAACACCGGAGCATCATAAAAAAACTAAGGGGTCAGCTTGCATTAGACGAAAAGGAGCTGAACGAACAGAAGCTCTGGCGTCAAAAGGCAGAGAACGAACTTGCCGCACTACGGAAGAGACTAAACGAACAGGGTGATATGGAGAAGGCGAACGTGGAATCTCGGAGGCAAATAAGCCAACTTAAGAGGGATTTGGAAAAATTAAGAGCCGAGGTCGCCTCAAAAGACAACATGGTATCTGAGCTTAAGGATCGACTACAAGAGGAATCAGATCAGGCTCAAAACCTAGCTGGTAAAGTCAACGACCAGCTACGGCAAGCGGGGGAGCAGCGTGTAAAAGAGTTAGAGGATGCGGTGGCAGCGCTAGAGGTAGAGAAAGGCCTGGTAGCTGACCGTGCCAAGATACAAGTAACAGAACTACAGGGAAAGGCCGATAGAGTTGCGGAGCGTTCTCGCGCCGTAGAGCTAGAGCTCAAGGGAGAAATTCAGATTCTCGAAAGCAAATTAGAAGCTCTTCGAATCCGAGCGGAAGAAGCATCGTCGGGCGCTGTGGGCGATGCACAAGCAAAGCTGCTCCGCCAGATAGAGACTCTGCAGACACAGTATTCCATCGCCAGCGAGAATTGGCAGGGCATCGAAGCATCCCTAATTGCAAAGACTGCGGTATTGGAGAAGGAGAGGGACGAAGCGTTACGTCGCGAATCAGACATGAGGCGGAAAGCCCGTGAGACGGTAGGTCACTAACATTTCTCCTCAAACAAGTACGAGGGCTGATTACCGGCAACAGGCTACTCGAGCCAAACGTCAGGAGGAAGAGCTAGAGGAAGCAAGGAATCAACTTCCCAACGTCCAACAAGATTTAACCTCGTATCAATCTCAACTCGAATCGCTGCGTAGGCGAGCCGAGGAGGCTGAGGCCTCGTTGGCTGAAGCGAGATCCGACTTCGAACGGCAGCGGCTGGCTTGGAAAGAAGAAAGGGCCGAACGGACGGATCAGGATCGGCGGAATTGGTTGGAAGATGTTCCAACCGCAGCGTTCCGCAGCATTAGCCGTCCGGAATCTCCTCTGCTAGCCGCACCACAGAGGACTTTCAGCGGCGAGTTCCTCGGGCTTCAGAGCTACCCGACAAGACTCCGCAAGACCTCGGCGCCCTCTAGTAATGGTGAACCGAGTCCTGGCGATCGGCCGGCCTCTGGCAGGCGGCCGTCAGCGCAACCTCCCATCCGATCGCCCATGTTTCCCGTAACGTCGGCACAGTCAGGAACGCCGCCATCCCTCCCCGGCGGCTTAGAAATGTTAGCATCTCCCTCGACGCACCCCATCGACAGAGACGACGTCTTCGACAATTCCGAGACTCCGGCCTCTCCCCAAAACGTGCTGCAAGATATGGTATCAGTCTCGACTATGACAGCGGGGCCGTCGGTGCAACTCGTTGAAAGGATGAGCGCTGTCGTTCGTCGATTGGAGAGCGAGAAAGTGGCAGCTAAGGAGGAACTTGCCAGGATTTCGAGTCAGCGAGACGAAGCTCGCGGGGAGATAGTTGTACTGATGAAGGAAGCAGAGGCCGGGAAGGGAGCAAGGAAGAGAGTTGAAGAATTAGAGAAGGAGGTAGCAGATATGAACGAAAGGTACCAAACTACGCTGGAGATGCTCGGGGAAAAGAGCGAGCTCGTAGAAGAGTTGCGTGCGGACGTGGTCGATGTCAAAGCCATGTACAGGGATCTGGTAGAACGCACGATTAAATAGGGGCGAGCTAACAGGTCGGGTACACCTCTTTACGCCTGAGCCTATTTTGGGCATAGGCACGAAGCAATATCATCAAGAAACATTATCACAATTAGCACACGCAATCTATGACAATAGTCAAAGCCACCCGTAGTATACTCTCACAGCTCTATCCCCTCATTTTCAGCCTCCCGCTCGACATATTTGCGAACCTCTGTATCGGGCGCAAGATCTAGTGCGAGATATCCGTCCGAGTCCCGCTTGTCGGTCGCGGCGCCGGCCTTGAGTAAGGCAACCGCGGCGGCTCCTAGTATTTTGTTAGTCGATTAACCTCGTATCGTACCTAGTAGGTTTGTAATAGATAAACTGACCGTGACCCTCAGCGACGGCATGATGTAGAGAAGTATAACCGGCGTTGTCGGTTGCGTCAAGAGGGCTTCGGTTCTGCAGCAGCAGGTTAACCATAGGCACCGAGCCTACCGCTGCAGCTCGATGGAGCGGGTATTGGCCACGCCTATCCCTTACCCGGGCGGACGCCGGTGGCTTGTTGTCCAAAAGCTTGCGGGCTACTTCGAGGTTGTTCTTAGAGGCAACAAAGTGAAGACTCGTCTGTACTGCTGTCAGCAATCTCTCCTGTCTTGACTTTCCATCCAACCCAGCCCCTGTTTGACAACGCACCTGCCCATTATTGTCTGCTCGGGGTTAGTCTTTTCACGATGTAGACTTGGTTATAGACGACAGGGCTTACTCTTCTGGTTCACATCTGCGCCCCTCGATAGCAACAGCTCTACGATTGCGTCGCCATCCTTTACACTTGCCGCAATCATTAAGGGAGTCCAGCCGCTGTCGTCCTTAAGAATTGTTAACTACGAGAAGGAAATGATTTTTTTTTTTTTTTTTTTTTTTTTTTTTTTTTTTTTTTTTTTTTAAATTACAACAAGTTAATTGTTTTGGGTTTATACCAGAAAGATTGGTATGTAATTGTT